AGCAGCTCCTACTACTACATCTCAGGGCTTTTTTCCCCACCGGGGACTCTTTACTGCACACACACAAACGTAATAGAAAAACTACTCACTGAATGTCAATCTAATCGCTGTTTTGATAGCTTTGATGTTCTATTCGGGCAGATTTTAGAGATTTGCATGAGTTTTTTGTTTACAGTAAAAAAGCGTTCTAAGTAAAAAATGCTCTGTGGGAAATTCAAGAAGTTAGATACAGTCTAATAATGATACTGTAGTGAAAACAATTATCAAGCTTGTCCCATCAGGGTTTTTGACTGGAATTTTCCGGTTGTTTTTCAGTGTAATTTCTTAAGAGGCCAACTCTTTTTAATTGATTTTAGTCATTACTTTATGCGTTCTTTCGCCGCTTTCGTGTAAAAAATAAATAAGGATAATTATGAGCTGTTAAAGTGAATTTTCCACTGTTTTGCAATGTTTCCTTACTGAAAACATAGATCTGGATTTAAATCCTTCTTTGTTTACAGGGCAAGTTTTTTATAGCTAGTCGATATTTCCATATTTTGAAATTTGTTTCAATATTTTTATTTTCTTTTTTTGCTTACAAAAAAATGAACAAATAAATAAATATGACTACCATCTCTTAAAGTACATCCATAATTTTTGGACTTCTCAAAATTCCTTTCACTTTGTTCATTTACGGTTGAGTAGGTTTTCCTGCTAATGTGTGCAAATACACATTTACTGGGGTTACGTAGGCCATAAGAACCATATATTGTTTTCTTGTTTTTTTTGGTTTTTGTTGTTTAAGCAGGATAAATTTCGAAGAAGATTGAGTGATTAAATGACATGCAATTTTTACTTTAATGACTGAATCTTCAGTTCTTTGGAAATTTCTTGAAAATCGCAAATCAAAAACCCAAAAGAGATTCTAATTTTTTCCGTCAAAAGCTGCCTACCTTTGCCTCTCCCCCCCCCCCTCCGCTTCATTCCCCGCTACTTTCCCGTTGACAGAAATAAATTCACAATTGCTAATTCCCAGCAATTTATTGTGAAAGAAAGAAAATGTTGCAACAGTGCAATTTTTTCTCTCTTCAGAAAATTACGTGCTTTTGCTGTTTTACTGCGTAGTGTGTTAAATGTGCAAGTGCAACAAACAAATACCCTCAAGCTGCTGTTGCATCTCTTTATCCCCCCCCCCTCTTAGTTATCCTTTTTCTGGAAGATTTTTTCTCGAGTCACTTTCCACAGTTGATCGTTTGCTGCGGTCATCAAACTCTCTACAGCTTATGTTTCGTCTCGTATTGCAGTCCAGCATAGAGAGCGGAAATCAGGGAGAAGGTGAGGGGGAAGGGAAAGTTAAAATCCCCCCCCCCCCCGCCTCCTGTCCTCCCCCTTCTTGTCCGGGGCTTTTTTATCGCGCACAAAGGTCGCGCCAACCTCCACCATATCTGCTCTGACGATCGCGCTCCTGTGATAGTCGCTAGAGCTGCCTCATTTCCGTCGCCGCCGCCACCACCGATGTCGCAACCGCCATGTCGTGACCTCTGGCCCGTCAGCTGCCAGGACTCCATGAAAATGACCGGATGACCTTGCATGAAGTACAGAGCGATCCGCTTGAGCTGCTTCCGCCGTCGGCGAGAGCCGCTGGCTGTCGTCTCGACCGATAGCGCCGCGATAGCTGTCTGTCGCAGTCGGCGGCCAGCAGCGGTTATTTTGCTTCGACGGCAGTGAAACATGCCGTCCATGCTCTCTTCTTGGCTTGCTCCCATTTTCTTTTCGACTCCAATTAGAATGTGCTAACATTACACTGTTGCCGGGGTTCGGGTCATTTCAATACCAAATTTCCCTTTTCTCCAAGTCTAACGTAGGCATCCGTACCTTCAAAAGTCAAGTTGACAGTATCACCCACGTCTGTTCTAACCTCTATGTCCGATACCATCAAAATCAAGATGTCTTCTTTATTTTTCCATTCGGGACTCTTCCCCCTCCCATTTATCTGCTTTGTCAATTTTCTAACGCTTCGAGCAAAAGTCACTGTCCATTTTTGAAACCCCACTTTCTTCCATCAGTCGACATCTATAGAAATCGCAATCGAGCAACTTTTCTGAGGGAGGGAGGGGGGGGGGGGATGGGTGGAAGGGGAAAATTTTTTCGAGAGTTGTTGTTGTTTACTCCTTAAAAAATTCTTTGGGATGCTTTGTAAATTTCCTGCAACTTCGGCTAATGATTTTAGAAATTCGAGTCCGAAATTTTTGAAATGTTTATTTGATTTCTTTTGAAATTTTTTTGAAGTTTTTTACTCTCTCCATTGAACATGAGCAATTTGTCCAGTTTCATAGCCTATGTGAGCCACTTCTGAAAAATTCGTTGCCATTTTCGGCTTTTTCCCTCCTCTATGTTTCAGTATGGCAATTTTGAGTTTATTATCTTTCAAAAAAAACGCTTCCTTTTTGCTTACCGTATACATATAATTGGTTTACTCCCTCTTTTTCTTTACATTTTTTTTATTTCCGCTCCTCAACTCTGAAATATAGAAAAATTATCTCTGAAGTGGCGATCACTTTGTGAAGCCATGTTTCATTTCCCATGACTTCTTGATTCTTGATTTCTCCAACAGGTTGAGTAATATGTATATTGTTATCAAAGCAATAAAGTGCACTACTTAATGAATCATTCTCATGCATTCCAGCCCTCCTGTAATTTCAGAAAATTTTGCAAGTCAATAATCTGGAAGATAGTCTTTTTTCTTCATTCCTTCCATCTTGAATGATTTCTACAGTCATATTCTAGTCCTATTATTTGCTTATGTTCCTTCCAAAAGGATCTTCAAATCTATAGGGGCAGTCTCTTAGTCTCTTTCTTTTTTCCACACTGAAACAAGCGTTTCCACTTTCATTAGCCATTAACCCGGTTCTCACTCCCTCAATCCTAACCTCCTTTTTATGTCTATCGCACTCTAAACTTGACCCAATGTCGCAACTCTTTCCCTGAAACCCTTAAGTGGTTGATTATGGCAAATCTTTATGGCCATAAAGCTAGAAACCACTTTCCAGCTTAGTTTGCTGGGTTTTTCTCAAGTTTTTGCACTTTGCGAGATTAGGGCCCAAAGTGGGCCAGTTTTTGGCTTAACCGGGTTTGTATAACCCGTAGAACCTCCTTCAGATAGAGCAGGCTCTGGTAGCGGTCGTCCCTGGTCTTCTGACAGCTAGGGCGAGTGGGGAGAGGGGGGGGGGTGCTCTGCTAATTTTCTCTGGTTGGGGCGTGCATTTTTGCGTGTTTTATGTGAGTATGTATGTGTGAGTGCGGAAGAGTGCTATATGAGTGAGCGCTGTGAGTGAACGAAATCAGCTCGACGTCAGTTGCTGCGATTTTTCACCCCCCCCCCCCCGTGCGATAGCAATTTTGCGATTTCTCCGTCCACCTTCTGCTGACCAACAACTGCGTGTTGCAAATGGAACCCGAGACAGACGTATAGTTCAGCCCCGTCTCCTTACCCCCCCCCCCATTCTCGGCTCTTTACGGGGCTAAATGCACTAGATTTTCCGCCTAATCGCAGAGTGTTGTCCGTGTCGCTGTGGTTCTTCTCTATCTCCCTGAATGCACTTCTAAAAATGTGTGACAAAGGCGTCGCCAAGGTCACTAACGTTCCTTTTTTTCGCTTCTTCGGCTCGTCACATTTCGGATCTCATAGACATGCCATAAAATTTGTTTTTAACCTCTTTTTTATCAGTGATTTTGTGTTGTTGAAGAATTATGGCTAAAAGACCTACATGTCTAGAGTTTTTATGTGCAAAAGCGTGTAGAAACGACCCGGACTAGTAGGCGGGGCTTAAATAACCATTTATTGAATTAAAAATGATTTTTTGTGTTGGAATAAAGAAATAGAAAAGCAGTTCACATCAAGGCTAAGCACGAGGTGGCTTTCCGAAGATTCAAAAAAAAAGGAAATCCCCCTTGACTTTCGCAAAAATTTAAGAAGCCCTCCTTGACCCTAAACGCTGATTGTAAAAACCATCCTCAAAAGAAAAACGAAACGTCTAGAAAGAACGTCATCCAAGTTGTGCTTTTTCGGCCACAAAACGATATCCCCTTTGCTTTTTGTCCCAAAAACAATGTTCAGTTGCTTATAGGCCACCTGTTCCGAGCCTTGGTTTACATTGATTTTACAAGAAATTTTCTATCACACAGTGAAATTTTCTAAAGCCATATTGCCAAAGCCTGGAATGGTTTAGACTAGGATGCATTGACTCTCTGCTTTTTCAAGATTTTTTATGAAGTTTAAATTTTATAAAAGATTACAAATCACATTTCATGCAAAGGAAAAGTATATTTTTTATTTATGTTTTTATAATCTATATTTTTTAGCATTTTTTACACTTTTAATCAAAAGATCAAATTGATAATAATGATCGATTTGTTTAAATAATATAAATTTGTAGGTCACACAAATGATGGAACACTTGAGTAGCATCCCTGAAATATCGTGCACACTAACATTCTACAGTACTCCTACCGTAGCAGGTGTCCCTAAATAATAATACATTGATTCAGCTTGTGTATGTAGTTACCTAATTATGACTGCGAAGCCGATGTTATCTATAGAATCGCAATTATAAAATGATTCTTCAGCGTTTTTTATTTCCTTTTTTCTTCAAAAGTTATTTCCTCTAGCGATGCAATTGGTTTGTCTTTTTTTTTCTTGAAAAGAAAACCTGAACATCTACTGCTCAATTAGATCTTATAATTCCGAATCAAACCTTTTTTGGTCATAACTGAGTTGATAGAACTCGCCTGAGATGCCAATAATCATAATTCATTAGTGTGATGAATTTAAATTTACTACCTCTTAGAATTACTGCTATAAAATTTTTCATCCTTCCAGCTACAGAATAAGATTGAGACACAACTCTTTTTGCATCTACTACTCTCAATCAGATAACACTGAGGTCCCAATTTCTTTGTATGTTTATCTCCAGTTCGTCTTTACCTCGCCGTACTCGATTTTAATGTTTCGTATAACTCACGCTTCCCGAGGTGTCGTTTTAAACTGCTCTCTTCGCAAAGCATCGATGCTGTTTCGAGTGATATATCGAGGATTACTTTCTTCTCTTTACGAGGGCACTTTCTTCTGCTTTCACGCACGAGACACGCCTCAAACAGCACCGATCCTCTCCTATAACATTCACCTCTCGTATCGATGCTTGGTTTCTCACAAATCCCTCTTTTTCTCCCTTTATTTTATCGAATAAACTACGAAGAAAAGATGCATTGTTTTTTAAAGACCTTTTCTAGCTTGACTTCTATAATTTTGGTGAATACATTCTTGAAACTTCTTCTTTTTGGTTTTTTGCAGAGAAATAGCGCCCCATTCCAAAGATGTTTTTTTCTCGAATCTCAGCAGAAACTTTCCTGGCTTGTCAACACTTTTGTGAATATGACTTATGACCACTTTTTTGTTTTCCGCTTTTTCTCAAGGAAGACGTGCCCCTGTTTTGAAGATGTTTTTTATTCTCAAGAGGCTGTAAATTTCTTGATCATTTATACCAGTAAGAAAAAAAGGAGTAATGTTTTTGCTTTCTAATCTTATCCAATTATAATCCCGATTTCAAAATCAAGTTAAACGGTCGTCGATTTTTTCAAAAAGTTTACTATAATATTTTTGGCCGTCATTTTACATTGAAAAGTTCAATTTTTTCATTAAATAGAAGAAAAAATATATGGTATTTTCTATTTTTTCTGTAGAAATCTTAATGAAAAATTTTTGCGATTATCACACATCAAAAAATGAGTTTTGATTTTTTTGCAATCATCATTCATTAGAAAATCGATTTTTGCTTTTTTTGCGAACAACATACATCGGAAAATCAATTTTTTGTCGAATTAGAAGAAAACAACCCATGGCATCTTTCTGAACTGTAATTTTAAAAAAAAACTCACTACAAGATTTTTGTCATGGTATCTCTCAAATTTTTTCTTAGATTCCAGTATAAAATTTAAGCAATCATCATACACTAAAAAAATCAATTGTACACCAGAAATCCAGTTTTCCAAAGAGAAGAAAATAAATTTGAGGCATCTTTCAAAATTGTTGTTTTGAAAAAATTTAACATACAATTTTTAGCAGTCAATTGTATATATATTAGAAAGCTCATTTTCTCTTATTCGAACAAAGAAGAAAGATTTGTGCGTCATTTTAGTTTTAAGAGGATTGTAAAGGTCTTAATAAGCTTTACTTGGATGTGAAAATTTCCACATGACATTTCATCTGATATTCAAAATGAGCTTATCTTACTTCTGCACTCCCTTCAAGATACTTTCTCTTTCCTTATGAAGACTATAATTTGTCTGTAAGCGCAAATTATCATTTCAATTGAATTTCACAATTTTTTCTTTGAATTTTCACATTATTGCTGCAAACTTACTCGTTGTATAGTATCGAAGAGCCTTCACCTAGTTTTTCGTCTGCACTTTCCTTGTGCCATTTGGTCTCCTTCAACGATTGCCAAATGTTCCATGATTTGCTCCATATGTACGAAAAGCTAAAGAAAAATTTCTTGGCAGGAGTAACAACGGATTTTACAAATAAACTCTTGAGAAATTCGCCTTGAAAATTCGCCAGATTTTTCACGAAAAATTTTTGTTTACTGTTCACGCAAATTCACGGACTGTGCGGGTCACCAAACAGAACGCCATATTTTTCAGAGTGCTTCTGCCCTGCTTTTTAGTCGTTTCTTTGTCTAGTCAATAGCCGTTTCGTAGTCCACACTCTCACAGCATCACAGGCAGCTGTGAAAGGTGAGTGCTCGATTTTCTCGATGATTTTATTTTCTCTCTTTTGCTTATCTTCTATGTGTGTCGGTCGGGTAGAGATGTGCGAATCACATCACGCACATCAGAATACCATAACATATCGTTTTGTTGGAGAGCGAGAAAAAACTGCGGAGAGAAGAAAGAAATGGAAGCTTCTAGAAGTTTATAGTATTGTTCGATAGTCCAGAGATATCCTTGGTTTAGAAATTTTCGTAAAAATTGCCAAAACTGTTGATCAAATTTTTACGCCTACTACTGTTTTTGTTCGATCATTTTTGTTTTTTTTTCTTGCATAGCCTCACGCCGTAAATTGTTTTCCTTGAAAAGATTTACGATCTTGAATGTTCAGGTTACTTGAGTATAATTTTACCTGCTTCTAAAATTTTATTAAAGAGTTTTATGATGCGAAATTGCTTAATCTGAGTTTTATTGTTGTTGTCTAAATTTCTCAGCGACTGATTAATCAGCTTTTAATCAATAGTCTTAGGGTTTAAATTTTAACGTAAATCGTCCTTAATCCTCATAAGCATTATATTTTTCTCAGTCCCTTTGGAACACAGAAAAAAAGTTTAAAAAATGTTTGGATACAGCAATTTTTCATATTTTGCGAGAAGAAGTTAACACGTTCTCAGATGTTTCCTAAAGATTTGAATTTATCAGAAAAAGCTAGTATTTGATTGGTTTCGAAGTAATCTGTCTTACTAGTGAAGGAAAACAAAATTGCGAGAAATCTCGGGAAATGAGTTGGAAACGAAGGTAGTTTTCTCATGGGACAAAATCGGAAGAAATTAACTTACTCTCAATTTCCTTTTTCGTAAGCAAATAATTATTTGAAAAATGATAGTGGGTTTTTTGTGTCCGATCTACTTGATATAATCATTACACATTACGATCGCTTTGATATATTCATCGCACTGGCTAAGGTTCATTTTCTATGAAGACGAGCATGCTACTGGGAAAGATATTTCTTATATTGGCTTCTCTTCTCATAAATCTCATGAGAAATGCTTTCGACAGATAACACGATAGTAAACATGCACGCTGCACATCCTGCAAACGCTTTGAGCTTTCGAGAATATGTGCGAGTTTTGGTCGATAAACTGTGCAGTTGCACAAAACTGACATCCAGAGCATGCGCAATTCTATCTCCCGATTGTTTGTGATCAATCAATGATAATGACATTTTTAGAAACTCTTTCCTGTAAACGATGATTTGACAGTTGCGAAAAGAATGGATGAATTATGGCAGATAGCGAAAAAAAATCAAAAGTCTGTTCGATTGCGTACGATGTGCAATTGCACAGTTTATCAAATTCGCACACAGTTTTTTGTCAGTACTAAGTAGATTAAAATAGGCAGAATGCGCATTGCAAAACTGCATGACTTTTGCAAGCTGTGGCTGATCGTAGCAGGACCATGTCTGTGTTCTACTCGTTCTCCACAGTCCCTGGCAGGCGAAATGCGGGTGCCTTGCTCGCGCATATGACGCGCAACATAATGGCGTTGCGGGTGCGCAGCTACAGTCTGAGTTTGGGACAGAAGGAATTTTTTTGGAATAAACTAGGAGTTGGCAGGGGTGAATTCAGATATCTAAGTTACCCAAATGAGAAAACTTTAGTGAAATCGAGTTTTCAATCAAATTTCTGTAATTTTTTTTTAGAAGTTGTGATGCGGTGGTCGCTGCCGTCGTGCCGCTGCTGCTGATCCTAGATGCTCGTCGTGCGGCCGCGAGCCTTCGCTGCGCTCGTCGTCTGCGCATTTCTTGCCGCCGCCAGCATTCTGCTCGTCAGACGACATTCCTCTTCTACATTTTCACATTCACTGCCTTCTTCTACCGAGGATCTCCTATTAGACGCTGATGTGTTGCAATCAGTCGCCCGGGCCAAGTACTCAGGTACGGTCATCATTACCGTCATTGATAGTTAGTCGTGGCAGGACCATGTCTGTTCTTTCTTCGTTTTTCGCACTCTCTCGCAGACAAAATTCATGTAGGCTTTTATACTTCCTTTTCACTCTCCTAGGCATATCCTACTAGCTTTTGCGAACTGTCACAGCTAATCGTACCAGGACCATGTGTGTGCTCTCTTCGTTATTCTCAGTCTCTCGCAGACAAAATTCATGTAGGCTCTTAAATTTCCTTTTCACCCTCTAAGCATATCCTACTAGCTTCTGCGAGCTGTCACAGCTAGTCGTGGCAGGACCATGTCTGTACCCTCTTCTTTTTCCCAGTCTTTTGCAGGCAAAACAAGTAGGCAGTTTTTACATAAATTTTTTTCCTTTCTGGTTTTTTAGGAATATTTTTGAGCGCTCAATTTGTAAACTAATTTTTTGCCTCACTTTGCTTCTGCAAAATTTGAGCTCTGTACCTCATGTGTTCAAGTGTAGTGATTTATTAGCCGCTTGCACCCCGTAACATGATTCTGCGATGCACTTTTGAAATGCTGCGCCTTGCACAATCGCTTTTGGATTCCAATCTGTACCTGTCACAATCATTTCAAAGTGCAAACCTTCCCGAAGCTGATTTGAATGATCTTATTGTATTCTCTATCATTTTTTTGTAGTTAAGCGCTCACTTCTTACCAAACTGACATTTTGATTCTGTAACTTTTTTATGTGACCACAAAAAATGGACAAATGCCGTTTGTCAGTGCATTCTTTGCATATTTGCATCAAAAACAGCTTTTTATTGGCTGGACTTGGTTTTTGTGTTCATTTGATTCAAACATATTCTGCCCTTGTGCATAAGGTTTGCCAGAAAATTTCCAAAAATTTTCGAGGGACGATAGAGTCCAAGAAAATGTAGCGAAGATCTCTTCCTTTCAAACTCTGTTAAAAAAAAACATAATTTTCTTATATGTACACCAGGGTCTGGGCCTTTCCATGTTCTGAATGAAAAAGCGACAACAGCGTAAAGCTACTCGGAGATTGCACAATTCGTGCAAAATTATGAGTTTTCAGCTCAATTTTTTTTCAAATTACTCCGTTAGCTAACGCCAAAAAATTGCATTTTTTTCTGGCACAAGTGTGACAAGGCCGCATTGGTCCGGCCCCGAAAAACCGCAAACGAAAGCTGATGGAAGTGATTTTAGCGAATTGACCTGGCGTAGTTGTCGCTTCCCTGCGGACATTAGCCCATCAATCGTAACTGCGCTAATCCCCCCCCCCCCCCACCCGCTCCACGGTAAAAAGCTATAGTGGGGTTTTAAAAAATTGCGGGAACACGGCGGACGTCGAAGCAACAGCTTGTTGTATGACCAGAGGGGCGATTTCAACGTAGCGCTGTTAGTTGTTTGTAACAGCTGTCCGTCGCCACAATGCACTGGTCGTGCGTTCATCGCGTAACCACTGATGCTGTACTTTTGATATCAGCTTTCAGGCAAGATTTAAAGTCATGAAAACTGCTGAATAGCTGTGAGATCCTAGGAATGGAATGTTGAGGAAGGGTGATTGCCTGAAGGAACAAAGGCGAAATAGATAATTTGCAGCTTTTGCAGCTGTGTTATAGGGAAATGTCTGAAAATTCTATTTGAACAGTAGAGCAGTTATGAAAAATCACAAGAATTAATGAGAAGGTGCTGACATTGATTATGTGCAAAAGGAAGCACACACAAGATTTTCACGCTAGCTTGAGTTATTTCTGATGAGAGCCAATAGTTAAATTTTCTTTTCACTTTGAAAATGTCAAAAGCAGTAAGAAGTCCTTTTCAAACGGGAAAACTATCCGCAATGTTGTGAGTAGATTAGTAAGCCAATCGAGGTTAGTATTTATTAGTAAGTGGCGGCCTAACGTTTCGAGCTATTCGTCTTCTTCAGAGGCCTAAAGTGGTAAGAGATTTATGATTTTATGTCTACCCCACCAAAAACCTCCTCCATCCCCGGCTAGCCTCGACGTTGCCCCAGAATGCTACGAACAAAAATTCCATAACGTGAAAGACGAACCAACCTCCTCCACCGCCGGCGCGCAGATGTTGATAGCGGCCGTCCTTCAGTGCCACTGATACCAATAATGGAATACACTGTATACCATATTCGAATTAATCAGTGGTCTTTCAACTCACATAACGTCACGAATGGCATAAAGTCATTTGTGATTGACATACACTCATTTCGGCTGTTCATGCTAGGATTTCTTGCGAAAATCCAGAACGCCTCAAGAGCCTTTCTAATGGCATATCGTATTCGTATGCCAGGATCTCGAAATCCTTGCCACCGTGGACTTCAACTTTATGTTTACCGAGAGGAGTGGTAAGGCTTCCTCGCCTTTTGCTGGCAAGATGTTCTTTTTTTTGAACATCTTGAACAGCAAAAGGCGAGGAACAACTTGAAAGAACATCTTGCCAGCAAAAGGCGAGGAAGCCTTACCACTCCTCTCGGTAAACATAAAGTTGAAGTCCACGGTGGTAAGGATTTCGAGATCGGATGTGTAATACTGGCATACGAATACGATACTGCCATTAGAAAGGCTCTTGAGGCGTTCGGATTTTCGCAAGAAATCCTAGCATGAACAGCCGAAATGAGTGTATGTCAATCACAAATGACTTTATGCCATTCGTGACGTTATTGAGTTGAAAGACCACTGATTAATTCGAATATGGTATACAGTGTATTCCATTATTGGTATCAGTGGCACTGAAGGACAGCCGCTATCAACATCTGCGCGCCGGCGGTGGAGGAGGTTGGTTCGTCTTTCACGTTATGGAATTTTTGTTTGTAGCATTCTGGGGCAACGTCGAGGCTAGCCGGGGATGGAGGAGGTTTTTGGTGGGGTAGACATAAAATCATAAATCTCTTACCACTTTAGGCCTCTGAAGAAGACGAATAGCTCGAAACGTTAGGCCGCCACTTACTAATAAATACTAACCTCGATTAGCTTACTAATCTACTCACAACATACTAACAATGCCGAGGTTAAGAAGAGAGGAGACTTGGAAACTATCCGCAATTTTTCTAAAGTATTGTTGTTGATTGATTCTATTCAAAATTTAGTGGGAAAAAATTAGAAATGAAGGAAAAAGTCTCAGAAGATTCTACTACGCTGGTAATTTTTCAACAAATGAGAAAATTACAAGTATGTTGTCCCTTACGCAGCAACACGAATTCCAAATTCCACAAAATCTAATTGAAGAATTACACAGATATAGATGTCCTAGTATAAAGAAAGTTTGTTCACTTCCTATACATATTTGGAAGTTTTCTCCTTAGGAAACAAAGCTTTTGCTTATACGGCTGAATCCATCAAGAAATGAATTAAAGTTTGTCTTTGAAATTGGAAACTGCGGTCTGCAACCTGCCTAACTATTTTGAACTTCACGTGAAAGCTTTTGACGGCTATAAAGTTGGATTGAAACCGCGGAAACAGTCATGCTTATTCTTGCCCTCGAGTGACTTGGTCCCAAATTTTGTACTTCATCACGAAAGAACGAAAAATACATGAAATCTCTCGAAGCCAGGCTATCATCCTTTAGCAAAGTGACTGAATCTGTTAGATAGGTAGAAATTCACTTTATCCAGTTTTGGCATAACATTATCTTCGTTTACGCACATCACACTCTACTTTCAACAGTCAATTATCAGAAAAATGTTCAATAATGCATTGACGGTGACCTAGAACTCTTGCTAAACTTCTTGCTCGTAACGATACCGGTAGCAATATGTCGAAAACTTGCAAGTTCAAATAAAATTTTTAGGCAAACACGGTATAGTTGAAAGACTTCCTGTCACCTCACATTAGCCAGTCTAGAAGATACTATCGCACCTTGAAACAATTTCGCTCGCTTTCACAGTCGGTGTGACCATTAATCTTTCATGGACAAAAGGAGACTCTACATATTTTGGAAATGAGGGAACATGGAAAGTATTTTTTTTCTTCAGCTTCCAAAACTTGTGTTGGTGATTTACTCAGTAACATCAACTTCATGATTTTAGAGTTGATTATTATGTGTTGATTTGGGTTTGAAGTAATCCGTTTTCTTTGTGTAGAAATTTAGCTAGATATCAGCACTTACAATGTTTGAACGTCTAATGCAACATTACCTCTTCTAAGAGTGCTATCAAACTATCCGAGTAAGAAGTCTGTGAAGAAGATGGATTCTAATCTGCAATCACTCTAAAAAGGCCCATTACAGCCACGTTTTCTTTTTGCAAACTCGTCGTATTGACAGATTTTTTTGACTCTTGTGCAGTTATGCGCAACAATGACGACAAATTACAGAACTGCGTATGACCTAGAAACAAATGATTGTTATCATCCAAAAAAGCGTAATGTAATGTGGACTCTTGCCCTTCTTAGGAAACGCGAAGGTTTCAAAGGTTTTATTTCTCGGGCGTTATTAGATAAAAAGGCTTGGGCAAGTATTACTGACGATTTGACAAGGTAAAGGAGGAAGTGGGAGAGGGGTGGGTGGGGGGAGGTTGTAGCAGCAGAGAGGAGAAAAAAAGGGGAGGGGTAGAATGAAAATGACATCAAAAAATCTGAACTAGTAGAATCTTTCTTTTTTTCTAGAAGTTGTAATGACTGCGACAGAGCTCTTCTTTCCGCATTCCTCTACTTTTTCTGCTTCCGCAGTAATCTTTTTCGGTAGTTGGAGGGGGGGGGGAGCTTTGATAAAAAAAAATTTGAACCAAGGCCTTGAACCACTATAGTTTTTTGGACAACCCCAGAACAAATGCTTCATACGTTTTTAGAAATCCAAAAAAATGACCAGAAATCCCAACAAAAAAAGTTTTTTTGTTAACATGTTTAACAACTTTTAAACAAAGTTTTCAGTTGAAAAAATTCATTTTGTACCACTTAGATAAAATTTTGATAATTTTCTCCTCGAATTTTTATCATTTAGAGTAGGGAGGGATTGCGTTGTCCATTTTATTTGAATTTAGGTGTGCCAGTCAGCAAAGGACGTCTGTTCGACGTGGACCGTCACTTTGTGCGACGAAAACGTCGCGCCGCCGGCTTCGACGAACGACGCCGATCGGCTGGCGTGCGCGGAGTCGCGCGCGACTGCGGCGTCGCCTGCCATCTGCGACTGCGCAGCGTCGACCTCATCTACGTCGTGCACCTGCATCGATGGCGTCAGCTGGCCATACCGCACAACAAGTATGTCTAGACTATACCAAACTTTGGCGCCACCAAATTGCTGCACACACAGATCACTGCCAGTTGTTGAAAACGCGGACGTGGTGCCGCTCGTTCAGTACCTCGACAGCGACTCGTCGGCGCGAGCGCGACTCTCGCGCGCCGCCAGCGATTGTATATACCGAGCACGAGTCGTCAACGCCGAAGACTCGAGCATTGTCAACCTCTGCGACAGTGACAATGGCCTGGTAAGTGATATAGATTACGAACAGAAAACAGCAATGGGAAGAATATTAATTCATCATAAATTCTGCGGCTTTTCGGCCGCGTCTAAAGTTTCTCGTGCCAGTGTCGTGCCAGCATCGTGCCCGAGGTGCCGATGAAGTCGACCGATAAATATACAGACTGCGTACATATGGACCGATCGCTGGAACGTCGCTGACACGGGCCAACACGGGCAACTCTGGACGCGGCCTTTGTAACATGTATACCGCAACCTACCGTAACCAACACATTTTCCGCCAAAACCGCTATCACAGTGTAATCTTTGGAGCTCCACTCCTTAGCAATGGTCCTTCCATATATGCGTGCGCCGCAGTGCAGCTATCGGCATACGACACATTTAGTTGCGCAGCAGGATTACGGTAGCAGACTGTAATGGTGCCAAAAGGCCGCCACCTACCCAAAATCCCTCGCCTTTTAATTAGCACAAAATTCTACAGCAACGTTTTTTTTCTTTTTCAAGTTTTTCACAGCATAAAACAACCTGCACCTTGATAGAACTACTTGGTGAGGCTACCTTAACCCGGGGCAGCTCAAAATGATCCAGAAAAATTGGGTACCTGGATTTCCTATGCGGATGCTTAGGCCCCCCCCTAGAGGCCCTTAACTAAACTAATGTCCAAGCGCTAGCTCATTATTTATTTAAAGTCAAGATAATCGTTCCACAGTCCGACCCAGACCGTACCTCCTACCGTAGTCGACGACGCTGATTGGTCAGCTTGCAAACTTGGTGATCTGGCGTGATTTTCTCGATCGTAAATGAGCTGCTGCTTGAGCAATGGCTTAGCCACTATGGTCTAGTTGTTATGGCACAACAAACCGCCAAAAAAGTCCACTTTACTTTTGCTTTACACTGCAGACAGCGGGCACACAGAGCATGTAAGTGGCCATTTGTTGCGCTCACTTGTATTGCAAAGAAAAACGAGCCCAACGGGCAGCAGCACCACCCTCTCTCGAGCTGAATGATGACACTTTACAACCGGGGCAAGGAGGGGGGGGGATACTCGCGAAAAATGAACTCTGTCTATCACTGAGATCAGGAAACTCGGACAATGCTGGAAGCACTTGAGAGCAGCTAAGATGATTTTTTTTATTTTCAGTATGGCCTACTCGCCCTGCCGGATGGAGTGTACACTGTTGAGCCGATCTATGACCCACAGGCCGGCACAGGTATATATTGTAGGCACTTCAAAAAAATATTCGCAAGAATAAAAAATGTGAAATTAAGCAGTTTAAAAGTGGGAAAAGCTGAAAGGAAAAGAGTTGTCTACGGTTGTAGCTGAATTTGTAGCTGCGTCAGCGCACCGGTGTCATAGATCTCCCGCCAAAACGCTGAGCAACCGCACGCGAGTGCAACTTTTCTTTTACTTCTTCCTTTCTCGTACTGCATACCTTCGCTATACAAAACAGGAAAGAACGTTCAAAAATCTTTACTAATGCGCTTCTCTATAATTCCTTTCTGCTAAGATATAGCCACGTGCGTCGCGTCAGTCGGGTGAGATTTGGGGGGAAATCGCCGCTAAGTGAGCATATACTCGAGTAGTACTCTAGACTGCACCAGATAATATCATTTTACACATATCCACCATTACTGTGGATAAATATGTAAAATTACGAGATTTTTCCTCGCTCCCAAGTTTGGTAAAAATGAATTTTCGAAGTTTCAAAGCATATAAGTGTATATTTTAGGCCCATCGCGACACCGACCACATCTCGTCCATCGCTTTCAGTCACAGAAATTTCATCCTCATTTTGATGACCTCACAACGGATACCGTTGTTGAGCTTGTCGACAATCGGACGAGTTACGTCGATACCACATGGGAAGATATACTCGGTAATTCTTGGTTGCGACGTAATTTAATTATTGCTGTAGCTTTATTATCGCATTAATTTTCTGAATTGCATCACTTATTCTCCTCCTAAATCAAGATTTTCGGCTCTCTAAAGGCATTTCTAGAAGGCGGTCCGGGTGACTGCACTTCGTGATTGAAAACTGATTGAAGCTTTAAGCCATTTTGTCCGATTGAACTTGAATAATTAAAAAATTCGCACGTAACCTGTACACTTTTATGCCATTGTTAATTAAAATAAAAAGGTTCAAAAATTCGACCAAAATTTTGAATTTGGCTCAGACGACATACAGTATCTCAATTATCTCAAATCATTTTGCAAAAAAATGTGCTAAAAATGCAATTTCTTGCACTGAAACTGTTTTTTCGCTGGCTTATTGAAATCTGTTCGTTCTTGGTGTTTCTCAGTTTTTTTTTCATTTCCCAACAACAGATAGGTTTGATCTTCTAGAAGGATCATTTGCCAACTTATGAGTGATTGACAGCATCGTGAAACACCTGTTCCGACAGTCATATAGGTGTGATTCGCGGTTACGAAAGCTGTTGTGACCGATTTGATTAGCACACTGTTGCATGATGACCGATTAGCATGCCTCAGTGGCCAGTCAAAGGACACTTACCGGCTTATTAACTTGTCAATTAGCTAGGTAGGGGTCACTCAAAGTTAGGGGAGGAAATAGCAGTAGAAGGGGGGGGGGGGGCGAAAAATATTGGGCACCCAGTAATTAGGGATATGTGTAAAACTGGATGAGATTCCTACAAAAAATTGATGGTCATATCAGTTATATGTCTGCAAGCGACACAGTAGTGAATGAGATGATCTCTGAAGATTATGCGGGATTACTGTGAAGTGGTTTATATACAGTGAGTCAAAATAATCGTGCTGAAAGTGAATGAAACTCCATTAAAAATTGATATAGTAGAAAGAAAAGAATAACTAGGCTTTAGCAAGCGGTGGATAACGATATCAGTGGGGCAGCCTCTGGAGATTACTGTGGGGTTACTGTAAACTGGACTATTTAGATGGATATTCTGCAAAATTTATGAAATTTTTTTTACATTGATATACTCGGGAATTAGTACGAGCTTTTGCAAGGTAGCATAGAAATAACTAGAAGTCTTTGGAGAATACTGTAGAATTTGTAAATTCTGTAGAGTTACTGTAAAGTCTACCAGCATTAGACTCTCAATGCTCCTACAAAGTCCAGTGAATGGGACTTGCAAATAATTACTGTAATAGTTGAAAAAAAATGTTTTTTGCTAGCTGTGCAGTTGCGTATTTTTGATATGTGGACGAGATATCATTCTTGTGGGTTTTCTTTGTTTTCAGGCAAAATTGTGATTTGTAAAGCGTGACTGAAACCACGTCTTTTAAAGTCGTAAATCCTCTCGAAAATGTGCAAAATTTCACTCTTTTTGAAGAGAATCTACTCAACTAACATCCACGAAATTGACACGATATTCAAATGCATACAAAAGCGTGATGATTGTGATGGGGAGAAGTGACGTTCGTTTTGGTAAATGTGTTTTACTGCACAGTTACCGTTTTGTTCTAAAAGAGCTTGAAAATCGATAGCAGACATGTTTTTGAACAACTCATCTTATTTCGTATTTGGCCCTAATATTACGATATACTAATTACAGAACGACAGACCCGATCTCGCAGATCTGCCAATTCTTGGGACCACTATGTTGAGGTATAATTTCAGCACAAACAAATTCATGTATGCATCGGAAACGTAATGGTTCAATCAAAATTTCACAAAAAAAATTTAGGTCCTGGTTGTGGCGGACTACAAAATGCACGAATACCATGGATATAATCTCGAATCATATATACTTACCCTATTTTCTACTGTGAGTTCTTGGTTTAAATAGTTTGTTTTACGTTTACTAGCATCTGATTTTAGGTAGCTTCAATTTATCGTCATCAATCATTACGAGCATCTATCAATGTTGTGGTTGTGAAGATTATCATCCTCAAACATGAGAATGTGAGTTCAAAATTGAGTGACTTTTGAAGAGAAAAGACTGAGAAATGTGGGATTCTTGAAAGAGGAAAAGAAATGTACTTAGTCGAAAAAACTGCAGTTTTTTTTCTTGCTCTCCTCATCTAGGTCGAAAAAGGAAAAAAACATCTAAAAAAACGGAATGTAGGAGACTATTCTAAACCAGGATATGAACTGTGTTTGTGTAACAGTTCAAAAATCCTTTAAAGAGCAAATAAATTCCTAAGAAACTCTCCATTAGAGGCTCTTTTCCTACATAACTGTTGATGGGAAGTTCGAGAAATCTCTTAGAAGCTGTGAACCAGCTAATAAGTGTGCCACAGAGAAGTTTATGAAAACCATGAACCATCAGTTCCAAGAAAAATAAAAGAGAATTGCAGAATGCATTGTGATTCCGCGAAAAGCAACAAAATGAGTAACGAAGAAATCACTGGTCACATGGTCTTGAACATCACGGGGGAAGGGGGCAGCAAAAGGACGGGCATTGACCCAAATGAATCAGCTACGAGTGATCTGTAGCAATCAGTAGTGGAAGATAATATCTTGCGAAACGATGACAGTTAGTAAAGACCTTTTAACATAGGTTTACCATAGTTTTTAGAGGAGAGAAAATCAGCTTTGACAAAGGCTGACATTTGAAGATGAGCGCTTTGCTATTGATATTTGGAGCAAATTCAACTAGATAATTTTGAGAAATTCAAATTCACAAAGAAAAACAAAGGAGTTTAAGACAAAGTGCAGGACTTGGCGAGCAGATTTACGCTATATATAGGCACACTGCTCAACACGCTTAAACTTGTTCTTCCATGGTTCCAAGTAGTAAATGATCCTAGATGGACTGAATCACGTGGAAACTTGTTGCAACACTCGAGGTTGTTCAGACAACAAAGCGTATAGAGATAATAACCATTTCAATTGAAGAAATTAACAAGTGGGAAAGATACCAAAGTAAAAAGAAAATATTTTGCGCTACTATAGTATGGTGATAATACCTTTGGCAGCTGCTTGCAGCGAGGCACAAAAATGGCTTACGTGAGAATGATTATGTCTAGTAGGAAAGGAGAGGATTGCTGATTTTCAAGAATCAGAAGTCGAAAACAGAAGTCGAATCGAAGAAGAATTAGTAGTCTGACAATGCTCAGGAAAATTTTGGCAGGTGGTCTTAATCGGTGAAGTTTAGGACTTAATAGAATTAGCGCTGAGAGGCATCCTACGAATTTATCGTAGCCGAAAAGTTCAACTCTAAACTCCGCCCCACGCCTAGGTGCTACCGTACTCGAGGATGCTGAATGGTTCGCTGAAGATATGGTCTGGGCCGAAGCTTAAGTTAGATCTCTCAGCCACGGAAAATTCATATACATTCCGGCATTCAGATAAATAAACACTGCCTTTGAAATGAAGCAATTATTTTTTGTGAGAAAGTATGAACACAGATTATGGCGTAGCGAAAGTATACAGACCACAGCAGAAACATGATCATGAAGAGCAAAGGAATACTTTCGATAGGTCAAAGAGTCTTGAGGAGCAAATATTTGTAGGGGGGGGGGGGGTGAGAAACCGCTAGATTAGCGTTGTAATCCTGTCAGAGATGGTTATTGTGAATGCCATGTGCAAAAAACATATTTATGAACATCCAAATGAGGAGAGGAGGATTGGAAACTCAGCATACATATATGCAAGTGAGATTTTGCACAGATTTTGAATAGTTTTCTAGATTCTTATGGAAAATGCTCAATGTCCGTAAATGGTAATGACTTGAGCTAGAGCAAAACGGGAACTCAGGAATAAAATACGGGCGAAACTGCACATGTTCGATTCTGACGAAGTAGAAGCTTTGAGAAAGCCAGCCTAAATATTCGAAAGGAAACGGAAAGTTTTTCAAACTTTTTGACCTTGAGAAACATTACATTAAAGACGTTAAAAGCATTTGCAAATAAAAACAGGACAATGGGGAACTTAAATTTTGTTTCTACAGTACAGATGTACATTACAGTAATTTCTGTGTTGCCGCTGAGACGCTCGAGAAAACTGACTGAATGGTAACATCGCAGAGAGTTTAACACAGCTCTCAAATTCAATAAATTCCAGTCATAGATAAACACACGTGACTCATGTTCCACTTTGAAAGCTTATTCATTTCGCTGTGGAAATAAGATCCTATCTGGTTAGAAAAAAATTGCCAAGATTTATTCAACTACCGTAACCACTTCCGTTGCAAAAAAATGGGAGCTTAGCTTCGAAAAAAATCGGCTGTGGTACCAAAACTTCCTGGTTCTACATAAATGCTGTTTTGCTAGCAAAAAAAATTTTCTATCGATACTTTAGATTGGCTACCAATGAGCAAAAATTTGTAGAAATCGTTCGCATACATTTTCCTTTCAAGTACAGATTAAAGTAAGTCTTCTACAGTAACAAGGTAGGTCCTTTTATTTAATGTTTAGATTTTTGAGATGTTACTGTAAGAACTGCTAGTGTAAAAGTAACTTTGATTTTCATGTATTTCTGCCAGTTATACCAGACACAACCTCCTAATTCAAACCGTTGTTAAACTGTGAGGAATCTTCTTCAAAATCCAAATTTCCCTATTTTTAAGATTTACGCTCAATAAAGCATGCAATCTGTTCAATGCGACCCGAACTCCTTTGTTTTTTCAAACAAAAAAGTCCTAAGGAATTGTCAACTCCTTGAAAAATCCAATAAAGAGGTAGATAATCAAGCTTGGAGCTATTTACTTCATGCAAAAAAGTTGAGTTTTTTTATAGCAACTTTCTCTTGTGAATCCCACTTTCGTTCTTCTAAGAAAATCCCACTATTCGATATGAAAAAGAGAAAAAATTTGAGAGTTAGAAGTGATTGTAAATGGAAAATACTGTGAAACAGTCATTCGGTAGGATATAGAATGGGTATTTTAGGCACTTTCCCGACAGCAAGTAGTCCTTTGCAAGTGGAGGATTTTATAATTCTAAAAATCAACAAATTACCTTTTTCAGGCTGGTCCTCACGTCACATCAAATGCCCAAGACACTTTACAACAGTTTTGTCGATGGCAGCAGCTGTACAACGATCGCGACGAGGACAGTCCCAATCATCACGACGTCGCCATTTTGCTAACCAGAGGAGACATCTGCAGGTAATTGGGCCTAAGCCTTGTTCAGAGAAAGTTTTGAAAAACTCTGCTTACCCCACAAAAGTTGAGTAGAGGACGTGAACAGCATACTAGCGCAAGGGAAGTAAAGAAACGGATACTGAAGAAATGTGAAGGGTTTTCCGACAAGTCGTTGAGAGACACTGAGTCATCTGATCAATAGGCAAACAAAAGTCAGCTGGAGAAATTGGCTAGGTTCCAATTGCCGACGCGTTTGCCATCGAGCGCTGGAAAAGCAGTAAGATAGCGAGAAATTTTCGCGTTTTTTGGTGATGGTAGCAAGGAGAAGAAGAATGGAAGAAGGAAATGTACAAAAAAGAGTAAAAGAGTTAACCCGGTTTATATTCCCTTTGGTTGGACGTTTTATATTGTGTAGATGCAAAAACCTGCGGAAATTCTCTAAATCCTTTTTTCATTTTGGAAATACTTTTGCAGTCTCATACCTAGCTTTTTTTAAGGAAAACTATGTTACCCACATGTGATCCCTATATCACTAGAAAATTTATAACAGAAGACTGATGAAGATTAAGCATGCGCTACATATTTCGAAAAGGCTTAAACTTGGTTCTTAAATTGACATTCGTGTCAATTTCTTTCTGAAGCATGACTTCAAAGTAAAGACTTGACTGACATCTTATGACTTCTATTCCCTCGCGGACTTTGAAATCAAAGCACCCAAAGCAAAGAACTTTCATTTTTGCAAAGTACGGGAGCAATTCATTTGCGGAGCTAGAAAATTATAAGTCCCCCTTGTTTGAAACCTTGACATTTTTGATATTTGTCTTCTTTAATCTGATGGTGACGAGTTTTGGTGTACAACATTCCAGTTTTTATGGAATTTATCACATTCTGAAATGTTATAACGGGCTCCAAATCCCGTATTCCAGGGCACCAGGAAAATGTGACACACTTGGATTAGCGGAGCTGGGAACGATGTGCGACTCCGGCAAAAGTTGTGCGATTATCGAAGACAACGGACTTAGCGCGGCGTTCACCATTGCACATGAACTCGGACACATGTAAGTGATTTCAGATTGCTGTCACGACCCTGTCATGACATCTAATGGTTTGCCTTCTCCAGATTCAACATCCCACACGACGACGAGCGAAAATGCGCACAGTACATGCAACTGGCCAAGCACAATTTTCACATCATGGCTCCAACACTCGAGTACAACACCCACCCATGGAGTTGGAGCTCGTGCTCTAGTGGCATGCTCGAACGCTTTCTTGAGTTCGTTACACTTTTTCTATTTTCTATGGGGTGTGGCAGTGTAAATATTGGGTTAGTGAGTAAGTTCTGCTGTACCTTTACATTGTAATCGCATTTTAACAAAGAAAACTTTGTTGAAGAAGTTTTGAGAATTGTTTCTAAACTTTGCAAATGCTATGCATTTAGAGGGAAATTGAAAGGTTTCAATTTTTGGTATCTGGATGCTTTTACTTCATTTCTTACAAAACTTAGCTTAAGCCAATTTTAATTTTCAAAAAAAGGTTTCTTGATTTTTGAATCAGACACATACCAATTTCACGATGGTAAAATACTAGACTGCGATTAGTTTTCGTAACACTTTTGCTTGCCTTTTCAAAATTTCATATAAATTTCTACACGATGCACATAAGAGGAAAAATTTTCAAAAATTCAGTCTTTAATATTTTGCCAGCTCCCTTTTATGGCACGCTAAAAGCATCAGACTGCCGCCAAAAAGAGACAGCTCCGGAATACATTTCAAAAAGAAAAACATCAAAGGCAGTGGGTCGGCAACTCTCAACATAGTCAAATTTTTGCTTACCTGGGGTTATTCAACACGGCGATCCCGAAAATCCACTTCTGCGAGCTTGAAAACGGCGAAAACGAGCGTTTTTTAATGCCCTTCCCTTCGGAATTGGACGAGTGGAGCAAGGCTGATGGTGCTGGATCGTTCCAGGACCCAATGGTTATGGCATTGCAGCCTCCAATGGTGAGGAGGAATTTGCTAACTCGTCCGGAAGAGTGTAAGGTTGGCCTGAGCGTGTAAGTTTGAGAGCTATTTTCTCGGCGGAGAAGGCATGCTGTGCAACCATGATGCACTGTTTTCATACTTGGGCGATAAGGAACCTATCGCGTTCAAATCCTGAGTTGTTGAGTTTTGCCGATCAACTGCCTTTGAAGAGAAGAACCACAAAAAGAGGCAGACAAAAAGTTTTAAGAAAAACAGTTTTTGGTTTATAAAATTGTTGTAAACTTGCTAATTGCGCGTGCATTTGCTGCATCAGTCAAGGCGTGGCTACATCCCTTCATTACCTGTGCATGCTAAAATTTTACAGAAAAAGAAATGTTGTAACAGAAGTTTCCCGCTGACCTGTTATAAGCTCAGAAAGCCTTCGAAAAATCTTTCTTGAGTTGCTTGTTTGAAAAATTTCGCAAAATATATGAGTTGTAAAGCACGGTCCGAGAAATCTTTTTTGAAGTTGCGCGACAGAAAATTTTCCGAGCGATGGGGCATATTGGGACACTTTGAAATTTTTTCTGTCTATAAGCCCCATTTTTTGAGGAAAAGGGGTGTGGCAGCTGCTCAGCAAACTTTTGGAAATTTTCAAGAACTATCATTTAAATAAACACAACTTACCTCCTTACTAGATGCTATGTTAAAAGTTAAGGAAAATTCAGTGGTTTGATTCATCGATGAAGGCCAGAAAAACCGCTGCAGAATTTTGTGAACCACACCCAATTTACGTAAAGATCATGCCCCGATGTGCTAGAGACCTCTACAATCTCAACTACAGGGCCAAAAAAAAGCACTTGATCTTTTACTTTTACAAGAACCTATCCTTCAACTGAGTGACTCAAGCTTATTTTTAGCAACAATCGCGGACAGATTCAATGTTTGTTTGATCAACCAGTACAGCGCAAGTATTACGAACAACTATTTGAAGAGGATGCACCCGGAAGAAAGTACGATGTCAGCCAACAATGCAAATTCGTCTTTGGACCTCAATCAGAACTTTGTCCATATATGGTAAGTAGCCAGTCACAGCTTTGGAAACGAAACATAATTGGTGCTAAATCAGCATTTCTTGCGGACTCAAAAAGTTGGTGAATATTTGCGTTTCAGCCAACTTGTCGTCGTCTCTGGTGTGCAACGTATTACGGTAGTCAAATGGGTTGCAGAACACAGCACATGCCATGGGCTGACGGAACAATTTGTGACAAAACCGGACGCATGGTACAAATTTAGCTTATACCTCCTTTATACTCTGGTATAAATACCGTTTTGAACTATTGATCAAAACAGGAGCTGTGGACGAATGTTAAATTTTTCTTGAAAAAATGTCGAAATTTGAGACCTATTCACAGTCACAATTGTCTCTAAAAAAGTTTTGCAATCTTCAATAAAATTAAATATTTTATTCGGAAATGTTGATTTTTTTAGCAATGCCATCGCGGAGAATGCGTGTCGATGGGAGCCGAACATCGTGCTAAAATCGACGGTGGTTGGGGAGAATGGAGACCGTGGGAGACTTGCAGTCGAACATGTGGTGGAGGAGTTCAAAGGGCTCTCAGAGATTGCGACAATCCAAAGCGAGTTAACAACAAATAAAACTTATTTGGATTTACACTGATTTTCTATGATAAAAGCGATTAAAGCTGCGTATAGAGTCGCTCGTGCCAGCGCTGTGTCAACGCCGTCGATCAATCAGCGGTGGCACAGCGCTGGCACAGCGCTTGCGCGCAGGAACTCTAGGCGCGGTTCTAGAAGTTGCAGATGTTCCTGAATATCCAGAAAGTCCATAAAACATAACTATAAATTCTAGTTAATGACATTATTATCAAGAGACTAAACTATCGTCAACTATAAATAAAAGTTGTGATTATTTATTTTGCCTATGTTACAATATATAGACCAGCAAATGGAGGCAAATACTGTGTTGGCCAACGTGAACGATATCGCTCTTGCAATGTGGCCGATTGTCCTTGGGATACTCCAGGATTCCGCGAGATTCAGTGTTCTGAATTCAACAACAAGGTAGTCACCTCCATTTTTTAAACGCAAATTTTTCAAACCCTTCTAGGATGTGGGCATCCATGGTATTCCAACAAAAACCACATGGGTGCCGAAGTACACAGCTGTGGCGGATAATGAACGTTGCAAATTGTATTGTCGGGTGGCTGGAAGTGCTGCATTCTATCTACTGAGAGAAAGGGTAAGTTGCACAAAAGATTCTAGAAATGTGTACGCTGATTACGAAAATAACATGCATTTTATTAGTGTCTTGAGGTGCAAGTTTAGAATCAGCACAAAAATGCTTCATTATCCAAAACTCATGTGCAAAAAAATTTTGGAGCAAAAAAAGCAAAAATTGTCCGAAGTCACGGAAACAAAGTAGCACCCTTCCTTTTTTTTTTCTTCCCGAGTTCCATACGAGCATTTTTATAAATAATGCTAACGAACATAAATAATCATTACTATCTATTCTTCTTCCATCAATATTTTGCATTGGTCCTTTCACTTAAACATCCAGAATTTTTGTGTGCCGTATCTGTGTCAGCGCTGTGCCAACGCCGTGCCAGCGCGGCGCGTGAATGGCGCTGGCATGGCACCAGCGCGGACATGACGCAGGCGTGGGTACAAAAAATCTATTTCTCATTTTCGCTCAATATTAATTGTAGCCGAAATCTTTTACATTGATTAAGTTTTTCTAAATTATTTTGTTGATCTAGGTCATCGATGGTACTCCTTGTGATAGAAACGGCGATGACATCTGCGTCGACGGAACTTGCATGAAAGTGAGCTATGTTGAAAAAAACGAAAAATTGAACTTTGTCTTCTTTTCAAACTCAGATTTTTCCAATAAAACTTTGAGAATGCATTTCTTAGGCGGGATGCGATCATCGTTTATACTCAACGATGAAGCGCGACAAATGTGGTATCTGTGGCGGAGACGGTACAACGTGTAGAACTGTGAAGGGCACTTACAACGAGAGAGGATCGTTCGGATATAATGCGGTTTGTTTAACACACTCGATAAATTTTTCAAAAAAGATGGAAAACTTGTATAAAATTTTTTAGGTAATGAAAATCCCTGCCGGTTCAGCAAACATCGATATCCGACAGCATGGCTACAATAATCAGAAAGATGATGATAACTATCTTTGTAAGTTTTTATAGCCAAGATTTTTCCAGGAAATCCTGAAAATCTCTTTCACAGCTCTGAGAGCATCGAATGGCGAATTTTTGCTGAATGGTCACTATCAAGTCAGTGTATTCCGTCAGCAAATTCCCATACAAGATGTGATTCTCGAATATTCTGGCAGCGACAATGTCGTCGAAAGGATAAATGGGACCGGACCTATTAGGTAATACCTCAAAAAGTCATAAAAATTCATGAAAATTTTCGATTATCTTTTTCTTTTCAGGATCGACATTTATGTCCATGTTCTCTCTGTTGGAAATTTGCTACCACCGGATATCAGTTACGAATACATGACCGCTGTCGATGTACGTATAAAGCATCAATTTCCATGTTTTAATTTTTTTTAATTTAAAAAAATTCAGCAGCTTTTTTACAGACTCCAAAGCAAATCCCAGTCGTGAGCAACTATGACTGGAGATTGTCTGACCAATGGAGTCCATGTGACAGGGTATGCCAAGGTAAACGCTTTCTATATGGTAATTTCAAAATCTGAAAGGATATCTATACTTTTGGACATGTGCCAAAACTTTGGCTAAAGTTTGCATAATTGTACCAATATCTTTTAGACCGAAGAATATTGAAATATCAATAGGCTTTACCTGTAGTTGAATCGACGAAAGGCGTGTTGAGAAAGTTTAACTTTTTTTACGATTTTTGTCAAGCTATTCGCACTTTCCAAGAAATTTATGCGGTAATACCGTTAAGAGTGGTTCTTCAAAAGACTAGCCGGCTATCCCATGTTTTCATTTTTTAATTTTATGCTTTTTCCGCTTTTAAGCACTGATTTTTATGTGTTCACTGGTTTGTATTGCGCGCGAGTTTTGAGAGCATTGAAATAACTAAAATATACCAAAAATGAAAATTATAGGCACACAAACCCAAGAGATCGTCTGCGTTGACTCGTCCAACAACCGTCAGGCAAACGAGCGCATGTGTACCGGGCGACGTCCGCAAATCAACAAGCGCATGTGCAACCTGGATTGCATAGCTAAGTGAGTAACCTTTTTAAGTAATCAGTATGTGATTTTGAATTTTATACTCCAGATGGTTGACGGAAGATACGTCACATTGCTCAGCACAGTGTGGTTCGGGTGAGAAAAAACAACGCGTGTTTTGTGTGAAAATTGAAGGTGGCCGACAGACAGTTACCAGAGACGAGGACTGCGATCGAGCGAGGTAAGCCTGTTTATTCTGCTTATTTTCTCGCTTTTGTAGAGTTCCTGGAAAAGGCGGGATGACGAAGTGTAGAAAAATTCTTAGAATATGAACTTCGGGGAACTCCTATTTTTGAATTACATTCGAAATTATCAAATAACTTACCCTAAAATCTCATAGATAGGGGCTTTCATCAAATAAGTTCGTCTGCAGGTAAATCCGAACTTTTCTGACAGTCTTCAGCCTTATCTGGTAAGATTTCTGAGTAGTTATAATGGAAAGAAACAGACTTATCTGTAGGGCGACTTATCTGAAGGCCCTTATCTGGATCAAAAAAGGGGTTTATCTGTAAAAATTTAGGGTAGACTGAAAAGCACTTGAACCGGGTTGATAGGTGGAAATTCATGATACCGCACCGATGCGAAGGTCAATTCAAAATTCAGTTTCCAAACATTTGAAATACTTTGGAATGTAGTAAAAAACACTTTTAATACCATCTCGTTTTGAACACAAGAAGCTTTCTTGAATCAAATAATCTGACACAAATTATCAACCACTGTCATTTTGAAAATCTCAATTTCAGTAGACCTTCCGAACGAGTCACTTGTTTTGTGGACTGCTCAGGTCGTCGTTGGAGCTACAGCGAATGGTCGCCTGTGAGTCGTTTCCAGAATTTTATCTGGTTAAGTGTGATGAAGGGAGCTGGTGAACGCTAAAGATCTAATATATAAAGAATCGTAAGCGCAATTCAAAAATGTGCACATAGCGGGAAACTGCGGCGCGGTCAAGCGAACGCTGTTGCCAATAGCACTTTTAGATTGCTGGTTCACTAGTCTGAAAAAAAAATCTTCACAAAACTCAAATGATTTGATGCAATGATCAAATGCAATATGATTTTAGTGTACCCAAACCTGTGGTTCCAATGGAATGTCGCGTCGAAAAGTAGTCTGCGTGGACGATCACAATCGTGTCGTGCCGGACCACTTATGCGTTGGGGAGGCAAAGGAACTTCTAGAAAAAGAATGCAACAGATTTCCTTGCCCAAGATGGGTCTACGGACATTGGTCGGAGGTACACAGCCTAGTAAAATCTTCAAGATTTGCCAAATTTCATTCAAATGAATTTCAGTGCTCTCGATCGTGCGACGGTGGAGTTCGCATGCGACATGCGCAATGTATGGATGCTGCCGATAAGGAAACTCATCATTCACACTGTGGTCCTAAGGTCTTCGGCGTATCTATCACGAGTTTCGGAGTTTTTCAAAACTGAAGTTTTCAGCATGATAGAGAACCATGTAATGAGCACATGTGCACGGCATGGTCATTCGGTCAGTGGTCATCATGCTCGGTTACCTGTGGTGACGGTATCCAAACAAGAGATGCGATTTGTGTGGATAGGGATGGACGGCAACTCGATGCTGGTGCGAACGAAAACTGGTCCCCGTCATGCGCAGATGGTTATACTAGCTTTTTAGGAAGGTGTAACTACCGTGAACGTATTGTACAAAAACCATGTTCTCGTCCAGCTTGCCCATCCTGGAAAATTGGCGAATGGAGTCCCTGCAGCGTAAATTTTCTCAAACACTTTCCAGACCTCTCACGGACCTAAATTTCTCACAATTTAGGTTTCCTGCCAAGATGGTTGGTCTACACGCCGAGTATCATGTGTCAATGCCTTTGGTGAAGACGTCCGATCCGAGTTGTGTCAGGCACGAGGAGATCAACCGGCTACACATCGACAGTGTAACCAAGGCCCTTGTCCGTTTTGGAGAACAACCGACTGGAGTGCGGTAGGCGGAGCTTCTAGTGAATATGGACGAGTTTTCCAAATTTTCATCTCAGTGTTCGGTCTCGTGTGGATCCGGTGTGCGACGACGTACGGCGGAGTGTATTTATCGCGAACAAGTCGTCGATCAGTCCTTCTGTGGAGATGCAAGTCCGCCAAGCACTCAGCAACCGTGCAAGTAAGTTCTATTCCCTCCCCCCTCCGCTGACACATATGGGTAAAAAATTTCAACAATTACTTTAGTTTGGTGCCCTGTACCTCATGGGAAGTCTCAACTTGGGGACCATGCTCCGTCACATGTGGGAATGGAACACAAACCCGACGTGCTCATTGTGTGTCAGGCCCTAAAAAAGAACCTGTGAAGGACTTCTTGTGTGACAAGGTTGGCACGGAGCCAATCATAGTCCGCTATCTGCTCTATTTTCTACTTTAGTCTTCTCGCCCGCGTGAGCGAAGAACTTGTGAACGAGATGCTTGTGAGACGCGTGTGTCAAGCGTAGTGTTCGTTCCACCGGCCGATGTTCCACCTATCCGATGGGCCACAGGACCATGGTCCGAATGTTCAGTACCATGTGGTAATGGCACTCAAAGGAGATTGGTGAGTGGAAAATACCGCGCTATTTGAGCGCCTGCAAAAATAATGGATAACTTCTGAAGTAGAGCTGTGAACGGCCCATCCGCTTCTAATAGTACGCTATCGTAACCTCCCCTAAGGCTGCGTCAAAAACTGTGCGTGCTAGCACCGTTCCAGCCCCTTGCTAGCTCCTGAAGGAACGTTTAGCATCAAAAGGGGCGTGCCTACGTGACACAGCGTTGATACAGCGTTGGAACGGCATTGGCACGGAGCTGGAATCGCGCTGACACAACTGCGGCACATACCAGCTTTTCTTTCCACCGCCTAATAGAGCAATCGCGTTCTCCTGCGTCGTCGTCGTCGCATATTGCATTGAAAAGTAGTTCTGAAGTCGAATTTGCATGGGAGGTGAAGGTCACGTCTTTGTCCAATGGCAGAGTGCATTACGGTAGCATACGGTATCTCCGACCGCATGAGTCGCATTCACCTGACACGAGTGAGAGAGTGTAGACGAAATAAATGTAAAATAGCATGGTTTCAGGTAGTATGCCGTGACCATCAACGTGATCTACCTTCAGAATACTGTAGAGATTTGGAGAAAGTCGAAGATCAACGTTCCTGCCGTATTAAAGTGTGTGCATACTGGCAAACTGGTCCTTGGAACCCGGTAAATCAAACTTTTTGAAATTTTCATAACTTCTGATTCTTTCTTCTTCAGTGTCCAGCTACCTGTGGTATCCACGTGCATCAGACCCGAAGTGTGAAGTGTGTTGCTCAGAATCCATTTGAAGCCGCAAACGAAACAGACTGTAACGTTGCTGAAAGACCATCGTCAATGCGCTCGTGTAAGCTGGCCGTCTGCCCCAAGGGTGAACCACCGCTTGGCAGATGGCTTACGGGAGAGTGGACTAAGGTATGCTAAAGATTTCGCATAGCTCTGTTTTTTCTTCTCACTCCCCTAGCTCTACAGTGCTCGGTGACATGTGGTGGAGGATGGCGACGTCGTTCTGTGAGCTGCGATGGTATCATCTGCGACGATGCGATGAAGCCGAGAATGTTCGATGAGTGTAATGTTGTAGCCTGTCCACCGATGAGCAATAACACATGGCAGATATCCCCTTGGACACATGTGAGCTGAGCTTTATCTTCTTCTTGATCAGTATTCCTGCAGCATAGCACGAGGGATTTGTAGATACTCAGTATTTCGGATTGGCCTAATATGAACAGATCAACAGTTTTTGCGTTGAAAACTTGTTCACAAAACTCAGAACTTATGTTATTTCAGAATCTTCCAAACAGTCTTATTTTCCTTGTTAAGCATTCTCGAATAGAGTACTTGAGTAATATACAGGAGATTCCAATGTGAGCGTTAGGTCGGCGCGGCTTGGGTCCTCGCGAGCGGCGTCGCTTGAGCTCTCGCCTCGTTCGCGAAAATCGCAACGTCACTTTGTTATAGCTCCATTAAATAAGGCTACATCAAATTACATTGCATGTAAGGAGTTTTATCTTCAAATGATGAAGAATGAGTCTTATTTTCAAATCTGAGGAAAAGGGAACAATTGTGTTAGTGGGTTGTGTCTTCAGATTCTGTGGTGGAGATTTTATTGACCTTACGTTTCGACAATGTCATCGTCATCAGAGGTCTTGACTCCACCGGCTAGCGACAAGTCCGCACATTTGGTCGTAACAGACGTTAGGCACAACCTACTGATACAAACGTCCGGTACGACCAAATGTGCGGGCTTGTCGCTAGCCGGTGGAGTTGAGACGTCTGATGACGACCACATTGTCGAAACGTAAGGTCAATAAAGTCTCCACCGCAGAATCTGAAGGCACAACCTACTGACACTATTCTACTGACATCTTATCGTGCCCAGATTCAAAGGCAGAAAAGGGAACAATTGGCCATAGGCTGGTCTACACATTGAAACTACTGTGCTAGAGAGCAAAATGCAGGACAAACAAAGAGGACTACTGAACGTTTTGAATATTTACCATGTAGAAGAGCAGAATGTGATGCCAGGAATGTTAGGTATTCCTACGATGCACACACTTATTATCCGGTATATCACCGGAGCAAAAGGTCTAAGCTCAAGCCGCTTTCCAAACTGCTGCAACAGGTACTCGCACATATTAGAAAAGCAAACTTTTGTAATATTTATCATAAGACTAAAATAAAACATTTTTGGGCTATTGAAAATAGTAGTCAGTGCTGAATTGCTGAGAGCTAGGATAATGTAGAAATGTATTAAGACGACTTTTCTAGTTTGTTCATTAGTCTGCTACATAACGTAGTTAGATCTCATCTCAGAAAACTTATATGCTTATGCATGAAAGGATGTAAGTATAATAGATCGCTTAATAATAGAGTCTCGTATGTCAGTGCAGTACGGAACGGCAGGTTTATCAATACGAAGACGTAATTCATAAGGTTGATTACAAAATCCATCTATCTTTCGGGAAGTATACGATAAATAAAAGGCCTACCTCAAAGAGCGTATGCCCACGGATGGCAAACTTCACTTTACGGAACACGCTTCACTTTACGGAACACGGAGTTTGAATTTTCGAAGACCAGAACTGCAAAACACTGTTCGTAGCTTAGATCTCATCCTTTGATTTTGATTTTGCTAATCTTGAAGGTTCCTAGCGAACTACTGCCGAGCGGCACAAAGGAAGCTGCACTAACAATACTTTGCTAAGCTCTGAAACCGGATAGTGTAAAAACGTACAATAGCATTGATTCTTTTGTTTCTAGCTAGTTCTTACCAAATGTTAGGGTGAAAGGAGTTGATTTTCATTACATTTCGGGAGTATTGAGATTTTGTTTGGAGTAACAACAAGCAGGTTGCAACTTAAACTTCGCTTACATAAGCGACCTTCGCCTATTTTGGGCAAGCATTAAAGCTCCTCTTCCACAACGCTTGAAGTGGCGTTTTGAAGAACTCGAACAGAATTTTTTGAACATCTTTCATTCTTCCGCTGCCATACCCTAAAGTTATAAAGCTAGTCACGTACCATTTGAAAGAGCTTTTTACGCTCTTTCAAACGGTCTATTAAAATGTATAGGTTTTCTTTTTAATTCCAGATAAGAAAGCAAAAAATTTGAAAAACTGCGAATTTTTGGCGCATTAAAAACCAAAAAATCATGGTGATTCTATAATTTTTGAAATTAGGAGATTTTGAAATAAACCGCATATGTATAGATAGAGCGTAAAGAGCTCCATCAGATGGTATCCAGAAAACGTGCGGTCACTTGCAAAGAAGTAAATAACACGTATCTTTGTTTTCGAGACTGCAAATGACCATATCTCCTGACTTCTAGCGTTGCGGCCAGCAAGCCATATTTCGGTTACTGTACCTATTGCAGCAGTGAAACTTTGGTTTTTTTCGCATGTTTCACTGCGCAGATGCCAGAAGTTCGTAATTTATCGAAGTGATTAACTTTGCATTTCAGCAAGTATAAAAGTTATTAGGTATGTAAACGACCTCATATAGGTACTGTCTGAAAGAGAATAATATATTCTAATATCTATCAAAATAAGAAAGTTCAACCATTTTTCCTTCTTGAAAAATCTACAATTATTCTTAAGGTGTCACATTCTCACTGTTCACCCTAATATTTTTTCTACTAAAAACGCAAAATCTGTTGTTAATTATTGCATTTGATATTCCTGCTTTTTTGTTTTAGTGCTCGGTCACATGCGGTGGTGGAGTGCAGCGACGTCGTGTGTGGTGTGAAGATGCGGTCACAGCACAGTCTCAAGACGAGGGTGAATGTCGAGACGCAAAACCGAAGACAGTACGAGATTGCGAGCTACCGCCATGTCCAATTCCTCAACGTCAATCGCCAGCCGTTTGGCAAGCGGCTCCATGGAGTCCGGTACGTCGCAGATACCGTAAACGTCCACATATTTTCAGTCACCGTAGGTGGTTACATCGCTTCTGGTAAAGCGCTTTTTCGATTGTTTTTAGTCGCCACTGAAAATGCCATCACCGCACAGCTTTTCAATAAGTTATTGTATACTCGATAGAGTAGCTTTATGTCGTAAAGTTTTTCGAATGTTTTGTCAGATTGCAATTCTAAACCTAATTAATCATAGACTCTTGTTAGATTGCATTTTACAAAACATTCGTTCAAAAATGCTACCCAACGTGTCCAAATCATCGCCTCAGGCGATCGAATATGCATGAAACTTGGGTTGTTGTTTCACACTTTGTTTCGCTTAAGTTTTATTTATTCCAAACCTCGTTCACAATCGACTGCCCGCATATTCGCCTGCCGATTAGTGGCGTCTTTCGTTCTTTGTCCATGTGTTTGTGTGTGTGTGTCTGTCTACGTTCGTGTCCGTTTGTGATTGTTGTGCTTGTCGCCACACTCAACATTCGTCCATAATGTGTTCCAATTACCATATCATAACGCAATAATTTGTCTTTGTGTTTTATCGTTTTTTGTTTCACTAGGTGTTCGTTCAACATTCGCTTATGGGTCCGACAGAAATTCATTTCTATACATATACGTTAAGGAGAAAAAATAAAGTGTTTGACCAATACGTTGTCGTTTTCACTAGCACCTGCACTCGGTCACGAAAGTGGGGTTGAACTTCCTTTCCTGCACTGCATGTTAACCCGTGATGTAGAGAATGTTTGGTTGCTGGTGGTGGAATATGTCCGTTGCATGAAGGTTTTGATATTTTCGGGTGGTGGATTGTTTTGGTTGCGCCTTCCTTGGTTCAAGTTAGTAGAATTTACCGAACCATTTAAAATACTAATAATTTTTTAGTCCTGTTAGGTTTACCAACCACTCGTAGTGTGGCTCTTCGCACGAAGTATCTCTCTTCTGAAAAATAAACTAGCACTTGAGTTCATATGTAGGAAAGGAAAAAAGCCAGTCTGAAAAACTTTAATTGGTAATTTTCTCATGATTAAATTTACCTAGCACTTTGAAAATTACCGGCTGATTGACCAATATAAGATTACATTTGCGACTAACACTAGTGGATCAATCTTCTAGTACCACCCACTATTGAAATCTCAAAGTAGCGTCCGTTTTGCCGTACTCCGAGGCTGTACCAGCGTCTTGCCAGCCCTTTGCCAGCCGTCTCTTAGCTCCTTGATGTAAATCATGCGAACGTGCATTGTGATCAATCGACCAGCTTCCGCTGCGGCACTAGCACGGCGCTGGAACGACGCTGGCACGACCTGGCGCGACCGCTCTAGAGGCAACCTAAGGGATGTTCTGTGCGTTTCTTCATTGCACGCAATGCGAGACAAGGGGTAAAGGAACAAATTTTAGTTAGGTGCCGCCTCCGCGGACCATTGGTCTTCCGCAAGTGCTTGTGCACACCGTATTAGGTTCAGCCGCGGAAGGGACGCCTAATAAAGGTGTTCCTTTAAAAGCAAATAAGGCAGGAATTGATGGTCTGATGTTGCGAAGTATCCTATTAAGATTGATCTTAATTACAGTCTAACAGATCTTCTGCGTAGTAAAGTGCGCTTGCGGTGCCGAGAATAGGGGACAAGTTTGCGCTCAAAAAGTCAAGCCCGTAGTAAACCTTGGTCATAGCTGGCTAGGTGGGTAAGTTGAACCAGTTGGCGCCTCAGTCCAGTAAATCATGTCATCGATCTCGATGCGTATCGCTTTGTAGAAATGAAATACATGAGCATTTAAAAATAGTTGTGCATGGTGAATGTGTAAACTATTGCGTTTCAACCAGGAGACATGGTTCGCCAGATTAGGGACATTCTTTTGGCTACATCGGAAGTCTGTAATAGCCCACTATTGAAAATCAATAATGACCGCTATCAAGGATTTAGCATAGTTGTCGGAGAGAGTATTAAGTAATAATATCTCAGCTTTTCATCATCAAGATTATGACCACCAGAAAATGATAGAAGGAAGCCTTACCTCAAGCGTCTAACGAAGTTCTGAGAGTTCATCCACGTTGGCGTATCAGCTCCAAAGTCTCCGTGGTGAGACCAATTTTCGCAGCTGCTAGCAAGTGATGATGCATAGGATCTAAACATGCAAAGGTGATTAATGGGAAACCACTTTTCGATCCCCTAGCTTCTTGTGCATCATTTCATCGACCCGCGCCCATTTGGACGCCGGTATTGTGCAGTTTTGCGCGTTTTTGTACCGCAAAAGAACATAAGTTACTCGAAAGCAATTTACGGAATTTTGCTTCATTCTCTGCCTTTGCACTATCCACTATCTTCGTCAGTCTAACTTTGAACTAACCCGGTGGAGGAGGGTTTTTTTTCACTTTTGATTTTGCCTTTTAAAGCATTTGAAGGCTGGCTGTTTGTAAGTTCACCTCACGACTTTCTAAAGGTCAGCTTAGCTTAACTGAGCTGATGGGGGTTTCATTAAGGGCCATAGTTGCGCCTGTAATGCAGGCCAACTGCGCGCCAAAATGCTGACGATGTCGTGGCTATTTGTTCACGCGCATTTTGATCGCATCATCTCGACAGCGCAAGCACTCTACATCAAGCAGAGATCCTACTAAGTTGTTCGGCTTACAATAACGCTCATATCAGACTACAGTGCAATAACGAGGTGCAATTTGTCGTGATTCCAACAACATTGATCTCCCTGCTAGACTTTTGCGGTTCGGATAGTTTGTAGATGAAAGTACATTTTGGTGTTGATGTTCTATTTTCTTAAACTGTAGAACATTGCCATATGTACAAACGCACAAATCTGGAAATTTGTCAGTCGAAAACTAAGGATGGCTTGGAGATACAATCTTAGTGAAATGACCAAGATTCTGAATTACCATATGTTGCGATGCGATCGCATACAATCTTCACCTTGGTCCAATTTCACCTTCAGATAAAACAGACTGTGTAATGAGATTTACTTCATAGCTAAGAATGAAATCCGTTCCTAGAAAAGGGCTGAATGTAGATGCGTCACTCTCTCCCCTTCTGTATTTGGCTAAGTCTGAGCTGGCTGAATTAGTATTGAACTAACATGAAGAGAGGTTCTTCTGGTAAAGAGTCATAAAAAATAACAAGCCTGACGTCTTGGCAAGGATTTGCTCTTGCAGTGTTCCGCGAAATGCGGACGCGGAGTACGACGACGAACTGTTGCATGCATCGACTTGGCCACGAATGCGACTGTCGCCAGCTCGCGCTGCGACCCAGCGTCACGACCGGTTGACGAGCATAAGTGCCGTGTCATGCACTGCCCACGATGGAGAGGAACGCCATGGTCGACGGTGTGTCTTTACTTCTCTTCTTTTCTATCTCAACCTCTTCTTTTCTATTTCATTCTTACTGTTTCGCGAAAGAGCATACAACAACATTTAAAGACGCATTTAAGCATGAAAATAAAAGATAAGATAAGTAACGAGTCAATTGCAATTTTTCGGGTCGCTGCGAACATTCACAAATTACAGTTACCCTAATTTCACGCGTACAAGGCGCGGGGTGGTCCTAGCTTTCATCGAGCTGCTCAGCCGCTTTAACGTGTTTTAAGAAGCGATTCTTATACCGCACGATTCGTCAGGCAAAACGAAGCGCGGAATGGGGTTCCTTTGGTTGCGAAGTCTTTTGCCGTGTTCGGGCTGGTCGATGAAAGCTAGGACCACCCCGCGCCTTGTACGCGTGAAATTAGGGTACTCGCTATATACGACGCAACCTAGCTCATCACATATACCTAACGCGTGGTAGGTAATTGAAGTCTAATGACATAAAGTAGCATAAAAGAAGTATGACTAGTTTACAACTACTAATAAAACAAAATACAAATTCGAAACGAGTTGCACCATTTAACATATCGCGTTGCAAAGTTTGACATGGCTGCCTCTCTGCTCCAAAGATTCTTTCAACCATACTAATTTGAATTCGAAGAGAAGCTCGACTCGAATCCACAAATTCGATTCAAAATCCAATCGTTGTTCGTTCGATCTCTTGATAAAAAGAGATCCTCCACAGCGGGAGCTCATGACTAATCAGAGCGGCAGCAATCTGAAGTAGAAACGGAAAGATTGCGTAACAACAGGAAAGCCCCACCCAGTAGAACAACCTCTTCACGGATAATCTGCAAGGGTGGGAATGCACGGGAACGCGGGAAAGTGTCTTCCGTAGTACAAACACTTGGGAACTACAGATAATGCGTAAGCTCTTATCGAAACAGCATGTACCTTTCGGCCTTCTTTATTAGTACAAAAGAAGAGGTAGAAAACAGCATGCCATCACTAGGCTTTGCCTGCGCGAACGTCTAGTAGTGACTATACTGTGTTGAGATGCATAGGACGAATGTGCGTGCGAGCAAGCCCGTCGGTAACAGAACGTCCTCCATGCCGAGAAATTTTTGCGACTTGACGCTTGAGCCAAAGTCCATATGGGTTTAGACTTACGGAGTGCCTAAGAAAGGTCAAACTGTAAATTTCGCAGAGACATTTGGCCGCTGTTGCAGAAATTACATTCCTAAACGAGGATCCAAGTTAAACAGAGGTTATATTCATCATTGTTAGGCATCGAACTTACATTGAAGTGAGAACCAACCTTTCGGATACTAAGCTCACCTCCTTTCCCTTTCCTCCTATTATAAACAAGCGGCCGCGCTCGTTTTCAGTTTCCACGATTTCGCGTGGATCCACGGTCAAGAAATTGATTGACTAATTAAGCAAAGGCAGAGCTTCAAGGGCCTTATCAGAAGTGAAACTGAGCAATTACCTTCTCTTTCCCAGCGGCCGCAGTGGAATTGCCAGCAAGAGAATAAGCAGAGGTAGAATAAGGTTGCGATTGGCTCGTAGTAGGTTTGACGTAGCTTTCTCGTAGCTCTTTTAGCAGACATGACGGAGAGTGAATTAGGGCGACCGCTCAGTGCGATAGTAGAGAGTCTAATGGCATAACTTTGATACATAGAGCTATACTAACGCATACCCGCTTTCACATGGAAGGCAGCTGGACCGTCAAGCGGTACACACTCTCGAGTGAAATGGCAGGACTTACCTCTCCGCCAACTTGCGCTTCACCTCCATGCCGACCACCTTGTTTTAGCTTCCTCTCCTGCATAGAATACAACCGTGAGAGCACTTTTTGCAATAAAGGAGCCTTCTAAGCGACTTGCAGAGAGTCACTGCATGCTGCTCAACCACCTTCCTTGTTCAAGTAATATAGTGAAATGACTTGATTGTAACTACAAGCGTTATTCATTTCCAGAGTTTATTAAACAAATCAGTAGATCGATAGAATTTAACGAATTTTCCTTTGAAAAAGTTGCCTAAAACCTTCTCCGGGGTTGAAAACATCTGTGTGCAAAGTTTCAGCTCAATCGGTTCAGCCGCAGGCGTTTCTTTAATCCTACATAACCCCACCTACCCTCCAAACGGACGATTTTTGAGTTATATATAAAAATTTCAAGTTTTTTCCAGCATCTAATATCTAAGTTGCAGTTCAGCACTGGTTTTATTACAGTAATGGAAACATTTTTCAATGTCGGTAAAATGCGCAGATTGTGGATGTATCAAAGCTACTGTGACAGCTCGATCTTCAAGCTTGTCCAAGAAAAACGACTTCTGACATTGCTACATCTTACATGGTTCTCATCCTGTAAAACTTAGTGGGCCTGATGCATAGATAGAACCCTTGGTTCAATGCACGCCTGATGACTTCACTTAACACGCGCTCAAATGAACACGTATTGAATTAATTCATTCTTTCTAATTAAGAGAAACCATACCTAGAGAAAACGAACTACATTACACTACTACTACATTACGTTCTCTACTTAAAAACTTAAGAATCACGGGACGAGGGCCTGTATCTTGCTACCAATGCGCGACTATGTCAATCTCAACTTATGATTCTGTAACACAAATTCACCGCGTGCGCCAAGGCTTGAGACGACGGCACGTCCGCCCCTCATGTTTCCTTGGTCTTACACTTCCAACTTTAGATTCAATATCGAACAGCTTTACTTAGCGCGGTTTGAATCCTCTGACTAGTTCCAAAACATCTTTTGATCTAAAAGACATCCGGCCAATTGCTCTTTCATAAAGGGCAGGAGCAACGGCTGCAAACCACTTCGTAGAATATGAATAAATCAAGAGGAGAGTCGAACAAGATATCAAACTGGGGCCCGCCATCGTTTGTAGGCGCCGAGTTGGCAAAGAGCCAGTTAGGGTCCGGAGGCATTTGCGGCAACACCCATATCTACCGTAACCGTCGTCGGAATAGTGCGGCAATCGATGCTTCCGGCCTCATGTTTTAAAGAGCGCTTGTAAGAAGCTACGACACATCCACTATCCATACATCCAGACATCTAATCGGAGTTCCAAATCTAAATTATTGGAAAGCAATCTCATAATGCAGCAGTTTTAACGAAAAAATTTCAAAAACATTTTAAAAAGCCTTCTGGTTCTAACATCTAATCATCTTTCTCAATAGTGTTCAACGACATGTGGACAAGGAGTGCGACACCGAGAAGTATTCTGCCAACGGGGACGTCGAATGCGAGCACCCGACTCGGCCTGTGATCCTGCTCGCCGTCCTGCGACTACGGCAAACTGCTACCTGACTGCATGTCCAGCCTATCACTGGAGCACCACACCGTGGTCCAAGGTCGGTTTTGACGATATTCATGTAAAACATTGGCTTATTGTCGAGACTTATGTGTACGGTATCTAGTTGCGGAAACTAAGCTGATTTCCGTCTTCGATCCTACACGACTTACCTCGCTTTCTATATTGACCTCTGCATATCTCATTCGCTTATAAATGCGAGAACTGTGTAAGCTTCGTGGTCATGGTCATACTACGTACAGGCCAGTGCAAAATACAGTTTGCTTTAGGTTCTTTTATGTTGTCCTTCCCCCTATATCCCTACCATTTTTGCGATTATTTGTTGCAACGGATTATTTTCTCCACATCTCCCATTTTCAAGCAATGTTTTGTTCTTGATTACGCTAAATCGAACGTTCACTCCTCTGATACATGATCGAAAGGCAGATCAAGTTAAATTTCGATCAGTTTTTCATCCAGTAGATTCTAGGAACGTCCAAATTTTGGTCTACAAATCTTTCGATTGAACATTAGGCTATGTCAAAGTTTTGACGCAGGCATGTACCCTATTTTCAGGTGTATAAGCCGCACCCTTTTTGCTCTAAACGCGAGCAGACCCAGGCGTGCCGCCGCGCATATTTCTCGCGAAGCGGTCACCTTATCGCATACTGCTCTCACTTAACGCGCTCCATGATGACAGTCAGTCTTTTGGAGTGTTCGCCTTTAGATTGAATAGGGTGCGGCTTATACACCTGAAAATAGGGTATATGAAAGGCGAAGAACTGAAAGATGTTGATACCAAAAGTCTGACATGGCTAGCGTCTTTACTCGTAGATTGGTTTTTTTTTCAAACAAATTGCGGCACATGCTTTGAGGCTGCGTCCAGAGTTACTCGTGCTAGCGCCGTACCTTGTGCCGTCTTGAAACGTGCGCTCAACACTCCGGCACGGCGCTAGCACGGCACAGCACATGGGCAGCTCTGGCGCTGCTTAAAATTCAACTCAAAGCGCTGTTTTTCTTTTGAGAAAAAAAACTTGTAGCTGCCGCAATCCGTTAAGTAGTGATTTCCCGCCATAGCACCCTTCGTCGTCTGAATTTATACTACCAGTCCTCAATTACAGCAGTGTATCGCGAATTCAAAAAAAAAGTTCTGCAATATTTTTGAAGAAGTCAGGATTATTTAGAAAATCAACGTTTTTCAGTTGCTCATCTCTCATTAGTGGAGTGTGTCTTGCTTCTGTCTTGTTAGCCTTCACGATTATTTATAGTTAAATACCATGTGCTCACTGCTATCGTGCATGTGTGCTGCTTTGTAAGCTGCTTATTTATTTAATTCGCCAAATATACAGATTATTTTGCCTGTAGTTCAGAAGCCATTCTACATCCTCAACCTTATATGGTGAATTAGATGTTGTACAGTGTCGTTAACCAAAAGTAGATTAGAACTAGTCCTAGAGTCGTTGTGTCGTTCAATAATTACCGTAATCGAGAAAATTTCAGTGCTTGGATTCGTGCGCGAGGGGGGATCAGCATCGCCGCGTGTACTGCGTGAATAACGCAGGTAAACGAGCTGCTCCACGAATGTGCGATGCCGTACAAGCTCCGCCCAATCGACGTCCTTGTGATATTTCCAAATGCCCATACGAATGGGTGCCGGGTCCTTGGAATACGGTAACTTTTATTTCATAGTTCTTTGGTTGGAGAAGTTACCCATAAGTGCTCCGCAACGCAGCTCATTCGCTGTCTTTGACGCGCGTTAATAGGAAAAATCGCGGCAGCGCAAGGGCGTGTGTTGCGTGTGCGCGAGGAATGCCTATGGAAACTTCTGTCGGAGACATACTATAGTTCCGCATGTCCCTTATATCAAAAGATCTTTTTTTTCAGTGCTCAAAGACTTGTGGTAAGGGTACCCAATTTCGCTTCGTAGAATGTCGTGTAAAAACTCCAAATGCTACCAAATACAGTGAGCCTGCTGTGCCTAAAGTGGGTTGTTCAATTTATTCTCCGGCGCAGTTCTTTCAACTTTCCCATTCCAGGAAAAATGTGAAGCTTTGCCAATGCCAACAGAAGCACAAGAGTGTAATCTAAATGCTTGCGAATCCGAGTTTCAATGGCAGATTGGCCCTTGGGGAGCGGTGAGTTAACACTGAGTACTTGATTATGATGAAATAGGGTTAATTCTCTTTTTAGTGTTCCCAAACTTGCGGTCAAGGCGTTCGCCGTCGAAAAGTTCGATGCTATAGCCGTCAGGGTGTACTGGTTTCTCGAAGTAAATGTGAACAGAATTCACCTCGTCCTCGTCGAACTCAAACTTGCTTCCAGAGGAACTGTGAGCACTAATTTTTGCGCTCAACAACATTTCAAAATAATCAGTCAAGAGGAAGAGGACAGTGGTTTCGTTTTTTCGCTCTTGGAGACTGACAAGGGAAAGATACCAAAATAATCTGGCAAACCAAGGACAAATGTATACCGGTAGAAGCGTTTTCAAATGCTGCTTCCAAATCTGCTTCCTTTTCTGCGAAACAGTTCTCCGAAAGAAGTTATGAGCGTTTGAAAGTCTAAATTTGTCAAGTTTTAAAAGGCATAAAATTAGCTAAAAGCTCTGGAACAACACTTTGGCGGACTTTCACTAGCTGTGTTCCATCCATGTAGTCAATATACTTGACACAAAATTAAAACCCACTTTCACATGTTTTTGCCCAGCTCTTCGCTAATTTTATGCCACTTAAAGGAAATGTACGGGCAAAAAATCGATTTTGAGATTTTGTGCCTACCTGACCTATTCGCTATGCTGAGTCCGAAAATGCACACTGGAGAGCGCAAAAACGGCGAAGAAGGGCTTTAACGCAGGAGGGAAATCAAAAGTGGGCGAGGCCTTTCCCACTGTGAATTCACGCTCCCAGCTCCCGGAGCGATCTTCTTTGATTTTGCTAGCCACCCTCCATCACCGGCCAGTGCGAACAAATGACTTAAAGGCAGCGTCCGGGCAAAATTTCGCTTCTCATGTTTCTGCCATTCTGGGGCCTTCCCGTGGCCCTGAATACAGTTGTAAAGTCCAGATTGTTCAACACCCCCAAAAAACCCGATTCTTGGGGACCCTCTCTTCAAGAAGCGGACGAGTTTCGGATTGCTCGTCCCCATCGCATGCCAGCGGGAGGAGCTGCAACTGCACGGATGCCGTTGCATTGCATTATGCAGTGCAACTGCAATGCAACTGCAATGCAACCGCACACCTGCGTGAGCACTCGTCCTCAGCGGTGGTTTGTGATACGAAGGGACAGTTTGTGATACGTATCACAGGTCCGTATCTCCTTTTAGAGGCCACTTCAAAGATTCGGACCAACGCAGATCGGATACTCATGGGCCCCTCTTTACAACTATGTGCTAACCTGGTTGGATGGATCTTGCCCGAACGCTGCCTTTAAAAATGGAACCGAGAAGATCGCTCCAGGAGCTGGGAGTGTGAAGTCACAATGACCCCGCTCACGTGTTGATTTCTTCCTGTGTTAAATCCCTTTGCCGTTTTCGCGCTCTCCAGTGGGGATTTTCTGATTCAGCATAGTGAGTAATCCCGGATAAGCACAAAATCTCAAAGTCGAGTTTTTGCCCAAACACTGCCTTTGAGACTTTTGAATGTCGACTTCCAAACGCTCATAACTTCTTTCGGAGAGCTGTTCCGCAAGAACGGAAAGCAGATTTATAATCGTTTATAAGGTGGTGTTTGAAAGTGCGCCTATCGATATACATCTCTTTTTTGCCAGATGATGTTGGTATCCTTCCCTTATGAGCAGACTAGCTGGCTTACCCGGCTCCGCCCGGCCCTGTCAAAACACTATGTCAAAGAACACTATCCCTATTCCTGTACGAACTTTCCCCTGTGCCCACGCCTACATGCCAAATCACTATTCCCGCTGTTTTAGTAATCAGCATGTTCGATTACCCCCCTGTGCCAACTCCCAGCCCCGTTGCTCAAACTTTGCAAAAAATCGATAAAATCGATAAAAGTAGTGGACGATCTTAAAAACTAATATTGTATTCGGAATCCCCATGCTCGATCAACCCCCCTGTGCAAACTCCCAGCTCCGCAGGTCAAACTTTACAAAAAAAACTCGATAAAAGTAATCGATAAATCTGAAAACTAATATTGTATTCGGAATCCCCATGCTCGATTACCCCCTGTGCCAACTCCCAGCCCCGTAGGCGAACTCTTCAAAAAAATCGATAAAAATCGATAATGATACCGATCGATGACGAAAAGTAGCCTATGACACCCGCCGGGGCCCGAAGTGTATGTGTGCCAAGTTTGGTCCGGATCGGTTCAGAAATGGAATTTGCTATTCGGAACATACGTACATACAGACATACATACAGACATACCCTCGATATCATCCCATATGTCTTTCCTCAACATGACGTGGATTACGTGGCTTGATGAGGCACCGCTTCGCGTCGGGCTTGCGCCACGTTGCGTGCGCATTTTCGGCGTGATGTGGCAATAAGAAGAACGTGGAAAAGCCTGCGCCACGTTGTGTTGAGCGCCACGTCGCGCCAAATGATGCGCTCGCAACGTGGCGCGAGCCCGAGGCGAGGCGGCGCCTCATCAAGCCACATAATCCACGTCATGCTGAGGGAAGACATATGGGATGATATCGAGGGTACGTACATACAAACAGACATTCAGCCTTATATATAAGTAATGATATGACCACGAGGTTTATCCCAATCGCCGATAATCCAACAATACAAAAGACATCAGTTAATAAATCGTATAATGTGGAAGATAATAGTGTAAGTCAGCCGTCCGCCGAGAGCGTACCCGATCAAAATGACTTGGAGTAATGTGACAAACCTTTATACACAACGTTCAACACGTCCATACGCGATCAGACGAGGCGGAGAACAACAAGAATTCAAAACAACACAACGAGACTATGCACCAAAAACAACAAAACTCATTACGATCATAGTTATTCTTAATCATTTTTGTCTCGTTCAGGCCTGCCAGCTACATGTCAAGAAATTCGCGCTCAAAACTTGCTGACACATTCGATCGATGGCAATTATACCGTTCTTCTGGATGGATTCCCTGTTACGGTGTACTGTCATCGTATGAATGAAACCATTCCGAAATCCTACATCAATCTCAATCCCAGCAGCAATTTCGCTGAGGTCTACGGTAAACGGTTAGCTCTGATAATTTACGCCGCGGCACGGTTGATGTTTCTCAGTTGCGGCGAAATGCGGAAGTGAAAGGCATCGACGCGTGACCGCGTTTTCTGCAATTTGCGTAAGATCAACTGCTTCTTTTCATTTGAGAGAATGTGCATCTTTCAGCTTGATCTATCCTCATACCTGCCCATTCAACGGAGAGAGAAACGACTCATGTCAGTGTTCAGACGATGGCGATGCAAACGCCGGTTTAACCCATTTTCGTAAAGTTCGTGTCGATTTGCTCAATCGCAAAATCAACAGTAAGTTTTCAAATTTCACAGTAAACTCCCCCTCAAATTAATAATCTTGTATGATGTATTTGAGTAAACGACATGACCTTCGCCGATACGCTACACGGCTCTTTCGTCCCTTATGGTACGGCTGGCGATTGTTACAGCATGAAAGATTGTCCTCAGGCATGTTTTTGATGGAAGTAGATGTTTCGAAATTACTAACTCAAATTTTCAGGGTCGATTCTCAGTGGATCTCCGGGGCACCGGGTTGAGAATAGTGGATGATCTGCAGTGGGAGGACAAAGGTCATCGGACAACTTCGAGAATTGACCGATCATCGGTAAGTTCTATAAGAAAGACGCTTCTTACTGACTAATGTATCCTCGGAAAAATAAGGGCGCAGAAAACTGGGACTGATGTTTTGCAGGCGCGCTTTCGCTAATCATAGCTAGGCTTGAGTATTGACTTACTACTCACAATTAAGTATTGAGCATGCCGCTACCGTACACCTACCGTAGCTCTACATTAAGATTGGCGGTGAAGCATTACCGCGAATTGCACCACTTTTTTAAGGAGTTCGCCAATTCGTAGTGGGACAGGGACATGTGTAGAAATGTAGTATTGCCTGCGCCATGAGCCTGCCACAACACAAATACTCGTTTCAAAGTAGAGGCCCTATGCTACTAGCCTACTCAGCAGTCGTAATAAATTGGGACTACACTTGCGTTACTGGCATTTGGGGCTTATCTGGGCACAAGCATGCATCAAGCACGTCTTCAACCTATGGAACCCTTTGGAAATTGATTATAACAAGCTCATTTTACGAAATGCTAGCGGAGCCGTAGCTCATCGCTAATCATCAACACCGACATCAAGGTGCCCGCCTTTATGCTGATATCTAACCCTACACTCAAAGACAGAGGTTAAGTACAACCGACCAAGATGTCAAATCCTAGGGTCCAGCAAATGGAAAGCTCCTGAGGCAATCTCGCTGACGTGTTTCAGGCGTAAGCGAACCTTAAGTTACCTCGTGTGCAGGAAGTTAGATGCTGAGCTTTGTTTGAGTTGGGGTAACGCTGCTTGGGCGATTGACTTGAAGATGGGCGTTGGAGCCGACTGTTCATGAGTTGACAATCGCGACAAAGACTGACGGAAAGCTGATTTTTAGCGGTTGTGAGGGCACGGGGCAGTTTGCGGAATAGCGTTTTAAGACTTGCAACGCGGTGGCGAATTTCTTGAAGAAGTGGCGCAATCCGCGACAAACATGTCGAGAATATTTTACGACTGCCTTGACTTGATATGCAAAATAAATGAACTATATGAACAGAATGGTCCGTAGTAAAACTCGGTCAGGGGAAATGATCACTCCTGGGGCCCCTGTTTCCACCAGTGGAATGGCGACAGCTCACTTCCTTTTACATGTGAGCCTCACGTCAAGCCTGGCGGGGAGATCATTCTCCCGATTGAGTCATTGGAGATATCCGAGAGATGATCTCCCGAAATAATATGCTAACGAAGGATTAAGAGAACATCTTTGTGATTGCTCCTGAGTAACTTACAATACATCTCATAACACCTAATAATGCAGACAGAATTAGCGCAAATAACATTTGAAAGCCCAGGGATACAAAGGATCGATGAAGAGCTGATTGCACCCGCGGAAAAAGGAAGTCAATTTTTTCCCGTTTTTGCAGTTTTGCTTCAATTTCTTGACAAAGACATGGAATAAGAACTTACTTATTCATCTTATTCTATCTTTGTTCCAAAAGTGTTGATTTTTATGAACCATGCCAAATACCATTCTACTCTATCGATTTACTGATTTTTTGCAGTTTTTGCTTAAAAAATGTTGTTTCGCCCAAAAAGGATAGAAGGAGCGCGGGATGTGAACCAAATTTGGCAGATGTAATGTATGGGGTAGGGCGTGTGTCAAAGCCGTTTTGTTCGGGACCCACCGTTCCATTCTATCGATTTATTGATTTTTTGCAGTTTTTGCCTGGAAAATTTTGTATGTTCGTTCAAAAAAATAAAAGGAGTGGTGGGATCTAGACCAGATTCGGCAGACATAATGTATGAGGTGGGGTGTATGTTAAAGCGATTTCGTATAAGACTACCGTTTGGCCCTACCGATTTATTGATTTTTTGCAGTTTCCGCATGAGAAATTTTGTAGTTCGTTCAAAAAGCATAGAAGGAGTTATGGAATTTGAACCAGTTTCACAGACATAATGTGTGCGGTGGAGCATGTGTTAATAAGCCATTTTGTTCAAGACACACGAAAGGCCCCTACTGATTTATTGATTCTTCGGCAGTTTTTGCATAGAAAATTTTTATGTTTGCCCAAAAGGGATAGAAAGAGCCAAGGAATTTGACAATTATGACAGACCTAATGTTTGGGGGAGGAGCGTGTGTTAATACGCCTTTTGTTCGGGATACACGGAGTGCCCCTATCGATTTATTGATTTTTTCAATTTTTGCCTATCAAATTTTTTCCGCCCTGATTAATGGAAGAAGTTTTGACTCAGTTTAAAGACGCATGTGTTCTCAACACCGAAGAGTAGCATAGGCTACCTTTTGCAACAAAATGCTGCGCGTTTCTATCGTTTTCATTGAGATTCGGTTTCAGAGGAAAATGTCTTATTGCAACTTTAATCCAATATCACCCGATAGATATATAATACAAGAGGGGTATAACACATTTCATACGCATTTGAATGATGCTAGGCGGGTGTTTATAGTTATTTTGTTCAAGACATACCGATTGCTTCCATCGATTTATTGATTTTTTGCAGTTTGCTCGAAAAATTTTTGCTGGCCCAAAATGTTTGAAAAAAATTATGAGATCTGAACCGAACTTCACAAACATGAACTTTGTGGCGGACGGGTGTCACTAAGTTTATATCAAAAATAATCTATTGTCGTTTTTGATTCATTGACTTCCGGCGTTTTTTGCTTAGCCATTTGTTATGACTGACAGAATGTTAGAAAAAATTATGAGAGAATCAAACTTCGCATGAATAAACTTCTGAAAGGTCTTTTGTTAGTAAGCTATTTTATTTCCACTAATATGGGCTAGATCAAATTACTAATTTATCTTACTTCGCTCTTGAGACTTAAAATTGGCGGCAAGGAAAGGATAGATAGGCATGGTTGATACGTCTTGAATATCTATTGCTTCAATTATTGACTTTCTCTATCTATTCATTATTTTTTTCATCTGACATTCTCGACAACTAACTGATATTTGACTACGCATCAATCCCTTCTCAGCGAGATTCATCGACCGGCTAAGTTTATCGAAAACAGAAATTTCATTCACCCCAGGATCACGCATGACCACCAACCATATGAATCCAATGACAACACCCTTATATCCCCCCTCCCCCATCTTTTCTTCATACCATGACGCCTTTCTCACGTATTTCTCACGTACTGTACTTCCTTTAATTGCTTCCCCTTTTAACACCGTGATAACTTCACTCACCTTACATGGGACATAGGACAGTAAGTGCTTGGACATGAAAAATGAACATGTTTGTGACATGGATGCAGACCTTGCACATCTCATGGGACATATCCAGCCCATCTGTGTTGTTGACTGTACATTGTCTGTTGATTGGCATATTAACATAAATTTGATTGAGAGGTCAAAGTGCGTCCTCGATCATCCTCCTGTATAGGTTAAGCCGAAGTGTTCCGTGCAAACTAACAAGTTCACTAGCAAATTCTTCTCACATTTGCACAATATAGAGTGGAACGAAAGATATAGGGAAGCGAAGCTGCCGAGTACCAGTCGAACCTGCCGCGTAGCGGCAGAGAGCGGCTGGTTTGATATTTGCACAAACTGTGTCGTTGTTTCTCTCCTAAGAACGCGCACCCTTTTCACATCCACAAACCGATCAGCATCTAGATTGATAGCTCGCTAGATGCTGAAATTATGCCCAAAAGATCCACTCAGATCAGCCTCAGGGGAGATGCTTTGACGGGGGTTTACTACGGACCAAGAGCCAATGTCTTGTTAAAAATTTGGGGTTTAACGCGATACCTATACCTATCGTGCATAACTGCTAGTCTTAACGCACTCTAGGCCATAAAGTACCGTTACTACTATCCATTCCAGAACAATGCCGTTATCGAGGGACGATGTGGTGGTTACTGTGGCAAATGCGCTCCAGACAAATATAAAGGACTCGTCTTCAGCATAGATCAAAAGCAATTGAATGGTGGCAGCTGATGAACATGCGATCCATACACTCAAAGATATTCCAGCAGACTCACTGCATAGCTTTCGTGTGCATAGTCAAAATGTTAAATAGTTGTGATTCGTCGTGTTTTTCTTATTTTTTTTCTATTTTTTTTCACATCTCTTTTATGTGCCGATATAGCCAGACTTTCCCTCTGATTTACCGACACTAGCCACAACTAATTCAGTCTCACTCATACACTGCCCACGAATCATTCGATATCATTCTGTCTACCATATATGGTGGTAATTGCTTTCAGAAACATTGTAAGAGTTTTTAGTTCAACTTGTCTTTTGTTTTTGTTGATATGAGTGGTTTTTGTTTTAGGCCTTTTTTTAAAGAATTATTCTTGCCTTTCATTCATGCGCTGCTTTCTCGTGCTCAAAAATATTAGGCATGTTGTATGCATTTTGTAAGCTGCGTTTAGAGCTGTGCGTGCCAGCGCCCTTTCAGCGCCGTGCCGGAACCACGTCGGGCGCATAGCTTACTATTGATCATTCGAACTCCGGGGGAGTTCCAGTACGGCGCTGGCCTGGCGCCGAACAACCCTGGGCGCAGCCTTATTGCTGACGTCTTTTAGTGATTGATTGTACCACAGCTTCCGTCATTTATTCACGGTATCCAATCTTACTCCAACTGAGATATCACGTCTATAGTCACCCTGTGTTCCATTACGTAGAAAACACATTCTTTACCTTGGTAAATCCGCCGCGCGAATTTCACATGTCATGCTGCCGCAACTGCTTTGTCTCTCATATAGACCAGTGCTACGGTTGTTTCACTCATCATTATTCACTGTCACACGTTCATGTCATACGTGCTTTAAATTTTTCTTTTTCCGTGCATAATGTTATGGTTATTCAATTCCTGCCGAGATAACAGTGCAAATTCTGTTGTTATAGCTTTATAGAATTTTCTTTGTGAAAATAAGTTATTACAGATGAATAAACTAAACAGCTTCATGCAGTAGAGAATGTTGAAATTATTTTACATTTGTTTTCAAACTACATTGCAGCTGAAGTCGCGCAAATGGTGCACTATACTCATCCATCGGATCTGATGTGGTTGAGGGTGCCGAAACTAGCAAAAAATCGAAAATCTCGAGGTGGAGTCTTTTATCACTTCTTAGTCTTCACAGTGATCATCTAATACAGTGCTGGCCAAAACTATAGATCCACTATAAAAAAAATGTCGTAGTTCACCTGCTTCTCAACGAATTGATCTGAGATTTGGTACAGTTGTGTGTTCAACAGGCTTTCATCAGTGACCGGAGCGGATTCCGTTTTCGCCAGATTATTCAGGAAAAAAATCAAAAATTTCGAAAAAAGCAGGCTCGAAGGCTGGCCAAAACTATAGATCCACCTAAAATTTCTGTCTGCTAACGTGATTCTTAGCTTCCAAAATCTTTTGTGCATATACATAGTCGAAAGTCAAAGCAGTGGCTTTAGTTCAGCTGCGTCATACCTTTATAAGAAACGCTTATCTGCTTTTTTCCTCTTAAAAACTGCTTTCATGCGTATTTTGTTCCCGAGAATGTGTTTTTGTAGAGGATTCCGCACTTTTTTGACTGGTTTGAAAGTGATAGGGCTCCATCTATCTTATAGATGCTTAGTAGCGTGGGCAGCAGAAAAAAATTCGGGTTTTCGTATCTAAAGCGCACCTGACATAGACCTAACCGCAAACCTGCGTTCAAATTTATGCCTTCAAGCTCTTTCTGCAACGTTGTCATGAGCGTGAACTGGAGTAGTTACATTGTTGGTATGTATGAGAGTCCGTATGCAGTGGTTGCAGGTTTCTGCAGATCCTAGTATGCAGGCTAATTGAGAACTTCATCCTGCAAAAAGTGATTTGCAACAAGCCTTGAAGTTATTTCTGCTTCTGACCATAATGCTCATGTGAATCACAAGGCAACATATATTGCAGGGTGTATTCAATAGTTAGCAGCTAAAAAGTGGCAAAATTCAAAGAAGGTACCAGTTGGTAAGTACTTTGAGATTGCCGAACACACCGCAAGACTTGTGCTTTGAAAAAGAATTAAAGTGCGACTTCGCAAGCAATCGTAACTATAGTTTACAAACTTCTTTTTAGGTAAATAATGCTAAATAATGCTTCTACATTATTTTGAGCTTATAAAAATAGCGGATACCAATTTTGAAGGCAAAAATTCGAGCGCAGGCCTACGGTTACGTCCGTGTCAGGTGCGCTTTGGATACGAAAAACCGAATTTTTTCTACTGCTCACGCTGCTAAGCATCTATAAGATAGATGGAGCCCTATCACTTTCAAACCAGTCAAAAAAGTGCGGAATCCTCTACAAAAACACATTCTCGGGAACAAAATACGCCTGAGAGCAGTTTTTGAGTGGAAAAAAGCAGATAAGCGTTTCTTATAAAGGTATGACGCAGCTGAACTAAACCCACTGCTTTGACTTTCGACTAGGTTTATGCACAAAAGATTTTGGAAGCTAAGAATTACGTTAGCAGGCAGAAATGTTAGGTGGATCTATAGTTTTGGCCAACTTTCGAGCCTGCTTTTTTCGAAATTTTTAATTTTTTTCCTGAATAATCTACCGAAAGCGGAATCCACTCCGGTCACTGATGAATGCCTGTTGAACACACAACTGTACCAAATCTCAGATCAATTCGTTGAGAAGCAGATGAACTACGGCAGTTTTTTATAGTGGATCTATAGTTTTGGCCAGCACTGTATATAAAGAATCGTAAGGTGCATTCAAAAATCATCAGGTAGCGGGAAACCGAGCGGGTCCCGAACTGAGCGCCTGCAACTCTAGCACCTCTGAGATTACTGGTTCAGTTCATTAGTAAAATAAAAAGCATAAAGAAAACAGATCGTATCTCTTGAGGCAATTTGTGGATGAAAAGGCTAAACATCTATCTCGGTCCACTGCCATCTCAGTCTCAGCTCAGACACATATTAAAAATGCAAGAAAAAAAATTGGATTATTTGAATATTAAAAATACCGGATCTTTCAGATGGCTTTATTGGGTTGCAATAGTTCTAGGATTTACCGACACGCTTTACTACGATGTAGCAAATTTTACATTCAATCTGACGTAATTATCGCAACCGTGAATATTTCTGTAGACATAAAAACCGCAATGAGTGAAACACAACAAAATAGAGTCCGCTATTAGGAACTGCAACTTCTACAGCTAAAGAAGTAGATTACAGTAATGGAGGGTAAAAAGTGTGATAACAGAATGTTATCCTTCAGCCCTCTGACCATTGTTGGCTGTTCCTTTGATTACCGTAATTCGCGATCCCCAAAGTTTGCATTCTTGAACGCATGACTCCAATAATGATTGGGCGGAGACCACTATTTTCGCATGTACTTGCGAATAATCAAACCCTTGTTGGCTTCAGCTCGTCTTCCCGCGCTCCACGAACAAGGGCAATTACAAGAAAGATGGGAATCACGTTTACAAAGAGAGCATGGCAGAACCTCAGGAGCTGCTAGATGGACTATTCTATAATCCGCTACTGTTCTGGAGTTGAAATGGTTAAATTACCCCATTTTTCTGAAATCCAGCGCATTGTTTTCACTTTTTGAGCTCCATCTAGTAGAATGAGCTGATGCAGGTAGATCTGAAATAACGAAATGAACCCTTTTTCTAGGCCAGCAGTATGGAAAATTGTACCATGATCCAAGCTAGCCAACAACATGCAGCCGTCATTATAATTACAGTTCGAATGATTCCTAGAACAAAATAACCAATCAACCGACAATTGAGATTGGGACTCAAATTGAAAAATCTGCACACCCCAATTAAGTCCTTGGACAAGGAATGGACCGCCAACTCCGATGACCGACCAGAATACGGTCACCGGCATCAGCAGGATTACTCCCATCTGAAAAGTATCTTGCCTAATTTGATATTGTCCTAATCAAGATCACAAATTTTCACAATCTCGGATTCGCACATTTACGCCATAAAGTATATACCGATGTTTTTGCGACGTGTATAAGCGCAAAAGTGAAAAAAGCTGCATTTAAAAGCTTCATAAGAGGTTATACGTAATGATCTGTATGCTAGTAGTCGTGGATATCATCCGTGAATAAGCGCTTCATATTTAACGCTATAAAAAAAATAAAAAAGATGGATCATAAAGCCCGAAGTCTTCCAAATAAATGACCCTGCTTATAAAGATGGTGCACAAAGTGAAATTTTTTTCATTTATCAAATATCTATTCACGAAAATTGAGTCTCTTGCTGGGAAAGTACATTGATTTTTTCTTAAAAAATAAGCTTGGAAGAAAACATCACATTATTCAATAGATCACTCTCCTCTACAAGATAGTGCAGAGTTCGTAGAAGCTAATGTATCGATATTCGGCCAGCAAGGGATGAATAGACTTCGACAGATAAGAGCCATTTAAAGGCTATTTGGTATAATATCAAAAGTGCCTTCATGCCAAACCTTGGTCGAATGACGGCAGAATATGAAAAAATGATCGTAAAGTGTGACAGATTGCGCAATGCCATATTGACGACCCAAAAGCAATATTACAAAATATTCGTGCTACAAAAACAGATATAAGCTGTCTAGGAAGCCTAAAAACTTGTTTTTTGGAACAAAGAAAACGAATATACTCAGAATCTGAATAGTAATAAATAAAACAACAAAAACACCCATCAACAGCTCAAGTCTAACTCCCGGATGTGTTGAGAGTAAGAAGGGGTTAAACTTGTTTGAATCATGTACAAATATATCATAATATTATTAGTCATGTTTTTTATCAGTAACATTATCAGTTTTTGACAATCACCACGACCGCTTGACCTACCTGGGCTCCGACTAACCGCGTAAATATTATGTTATTCTTATGTTTTTCTGTTGAGGACAAAATCCTAAAACTTAGCTTTATCCGACAGTTCTCACAAAGATAGCTAGTGATCTCATGCGCTTTAATTATGTAGCTCATAATACGAAATAGATGAATCGACTCTATGCGATGATCGCTTCAATTTCTCAACTTCGGCATTGACATTTTGTGGAAATAATGGTTCACTGAGCAAGGTGTTGCATGTTGCGCCAGTTAGTTAAACCGTTATATAAGTTTCGGTAGCATGATAAGCTTCTAAAGGATATAGGTAAGGGATACGAAATTTTCTTGAAAATAGCGCTACCCATGCGAAATCCGTTCTTTTTCACCGCTGTCTAGACTTATTCTTTGATATGTTAAGTGTTTATTTAATACTGTTGGCTTTTTATTTGATATAAATAGCCACAACCTCTTTTTATTTGATAGAAATAGCCACAACCTATCTTGAACACTGCCAGTATGTCCCCTTTTGGATGGACTTGGTAAACGGGTCGAAGTGATATTGCGAAAGTCACGATCCCTGAGGTCTGGTCTGACACATGTATTAATACCTGTAGACATTCATTCTTGTTTTTGTCCTCATCACCAAACTCTGGACATATTGTCCTCCTAAAAATCAATGCTATATCCGTCATTTGCGGAGAGATCTGTAAAGTCCATACGGTCTACGGCTTTGAACAATAGATTTCTATCCCACCTCTATCCTGTACAAGGTTGTTCTTTTCCTTGCGACTTCCATATTCCGTTTTCCGGTTTTTTTATAATGCTATGAAGAAACTATGACTTCAAAGCTCCACATGCTGCAAGAATGCTGCTTTCAATGCTCTTTTGCGCGGATGATCCGAATCCACATGCACGATAATTCAACTTCTCAAAAATGCGTTTGGAATATCCTACAATTGTATATATATTGCATACTGATACATAACACATACCACATTTCTTTTTATCTTCATGATTCAATACACCACTTTTACTGATTTTACCTACTAATAACGATAACACACTAATACAAGTACTGATATCTAGTATACTTACCACATTTCTTGTCATTATCTCCATCAACACACACTTTACACTGTTTCCCTGGAATTCGTGGCAATTTCATCTGATTTTGCGTTCTAATACGCAAGAACATAGCATTTCGTATATTTCTCTGCCACTTGCCATAGTGAAAGAAAGTGCTTTTCCTTTTTTTGAGGAAAAGCGTAATGCAATCTTCATTTTCCACCGCCCTCATGCGCAGGTTGCGGGGAGTTATAGTCGTCCTCACCGCACTAGTCGGTCGGTGGTCAAATTTGGAGCAGGCCGGCCGCGGCAGAGCGTGGCAGATGCCGCCCCTCAGCTAACCGCTTATACAAGAGCTTTTTTCTTATTGTAAAGTGAAATAAATGCTGGGTGGCGTGACCACGTCAAAAACGCACATTCGCGCCTAAAAAAAGTTGACATTTTTGTTGAGGTCTTTGAAACAAACACTTTTTGAGCAGAAAATACTTTAAAGTACACATTCTATCGAAAAATTGCGACACAGTTTATCAAATCATATTTGTGTACATGTCACTTACCGGGAAAGAGATTTCTCATCCAAAAATTTGCAATCGCACACTTCTTCCCGGTTTACCTGGAAAAAATGTAGAACAAACAAGCACAACTGCACAAAACAATAGTTAGCGGTTTGAAATCTTACAATCTGATTGAAAACATTGCCGCAATATGAGAGAAAGCAAAGAAACAGAAGAAAATAAGAAAAAACTCATGTGCAAGCGTTTGGCCGGAGGGCGGCGTCTGCCGCGCTCTGCCGCGGCCGGCCTACTCCAGTTCGAATTCATATTCGACCACCGACCGACTAGTGGGGTGAGGACGACTATATCATGGCGAGCGAGGCTGTCTTAAGTTTCGAAACAAGCACTGACACGTTTCAAAAATTCAATTCACTGCGAACACTATAGTTGTAAAAAACGGAAATTTTCAACAAATGGACAAATATCGACTAAATGAACTTTGGAAAAATTTTAAACGAATGAATATCGAATAATTGATCTTCGAAAAACTTTCAAATGAATAAATATTGCGCGATTTCCGATTGTCATATTATTCGAATTCGAATATTCGAATATGGTCACATTTCAGGATTCGAATGAAGAATATCCGAATGACTGAAGTTGATGGAATATTCGACTATTCGAATAATCGAATAACCAGATATAATCGAATACTTGAATTTCGAAGGCAATATTCGAATATTTGAATATTCCGAATAAACTACCGAACTTCAAACATAGGAGCGCTCAAAAAGAAGTTTTATTGACATCTATATTGAAAACTTAATGAACAAAACGAACAGCGAGAAATGTGCTTGCACTACGCTTATAAACAGAGTCACCAAGATTTGATGTGTGAGACAATCAATAAGGCGACAAAATAAAAAACAGTTGAAAATCATCAGGACAAGAACCTCAGTCATCAGGACTCAATATGTGTCACTCGGAAAGACAACGAATTAGAAAGCGATATAGAAATTAGGTTTCATTTTTTCGGAAAAACGCGTGAGATACCGGATGACACAGCAAGAGTCAGAACTGTAATTGATGTTTTGTTTGTTGAGCAGAAGTTGCCGTTGTATGCTCATTAAGAGTGTTCGATGAAGACGTATCATAGCCATCCTCTTTCGAGGTTCCTCTACCTTTTTAATTCGTTCTTGACCTTCCTTTGCACATCATCTTGCGACTTCTTTGGCGCAGGGTTTGCACACATTAGCCTCTTGATCAGAAGAGGTAGCATCGGCGTTTAAGTTTCCTGGGAAGATGCCATCCTCTTTTTCAATTAATCATGCATACCTTTCCTTGACTGGTATACCAACACTGGCAATTTCTGGTACGTAGGTTGAGATGTTGCACTAACCTTGTGAAACAGTTATACCTTCCGATTTCCTTGTTGGCGTAAACTTGCAAATTAGCCCTGCATGTTAGCCATTCGGCCGGCCACGTTCTTGCTCTCATATACTATTAGGTTGCCCGGAAAATAATGCCGCATGGCATCTTACAGCGACATTATGACCATAAAAAATAGCGAGTGGGGTATCATTTGATAGAGCAAAGCAAACTCTACAAGATAGTTTATGAACCTATGCGGAAATCGTGCTCCACCTGAAGTTCGAATCCAAAATGTAAAAAATTTTAGATATCCGAAAAATCGTATCTCGGTTCGTAGACGTCTTATGGATCTCCAATTTGCACAGGCATGTACTCTCTACACTAGACACTCGTATAGTTGTGGTTGTTTCCTTGGCTACAGAACGAGAAATAAAAATAGGTCAAAAGTGCGAATATGTCGCGTTTTTCGGGTTTGCAATTGATTTTTCTGAAAACTAGCGTTTGTCTAAAGCTGAAAATTCATGGTTATACTCCTAATAGTTCATGCTACAGAATCATCCATGTGAGAGAAGCTCAGGATTGTTTTGGCAAAAATGTGCCGAATTTCGTTTTCTCATTTTCAGCCAAGGAAAAACCGCGAAAATGTGCACACGAGTGTCTCGTATAGTGAGTCCATGCGTGAGCAAGTTAGGGGTTCCCAGGACTTTTCTGAACAGAGATACGATTTTTTCTCGTTTTTTTAGACCATCAGCGCCTTGAATGGCTCCAAACTTCATGCAGATCAAACCTGGCGCAAAGGCTCAAGCTTTATTTTGTAGAGCTTGTTTTGGTCTATCGGTTGGTACCCCATTTACTTACTTTCGTACTCCCTGCCGCGATTTTGCATGTTAAAATAAAAAGCGACATTATTTTCCGGACAGCCTAATATTTCCGCAAGGCTACAATGATCATTATTGAAGCACGCAGCTCTACGCACCTGAACAATTTCTCATCAATGGATGCTGGGATGGCATTTACTGTGACTTTATTAGGTTGCTGCATAAGTTCTGTCCAATTTGAATTTTTTGAGTTCAAAATATCATAACTTCGTTTAAAGTCAACTTTTTTCTAAGATCTTAGATTCTTTGTGTTGAACAGTTCCTTCGCTATCAGATGCATATTGAGAATTGCGCAAATCCTTGTCAAGGAAGAAGCAAGAATGCAAAAACTTTACAGCGTTTTTTTTCAAACCTGACTTTTTTGACATGGCAACGCTCCCTTATGATAATTGATAAACATCTTATCTAAAAATGTATAGATAGAAAAAATTTCGCAGTTTATTATGCAACATAAAAGAGCTCATAAGGCCTGCGCTGCCGAGAGGTTGTTTTTTGACCGAACAAAAAAGAAGCCACTTCTTGACCTCGCTTCAGCAGATGTGTGCATGCCTATTTACGAATTATGAAAATTTTATAACTGACGTGAGCGCCGAAAAGAAATTGTTGGATGGGCCCTGCTAGCTCTTGCTTTGCCCTAGCATCTCCAACTTTAAGCATATCGATTACTTCTATTCGCAGAAAGTTATTGCTTGTAAAACATCTGTACAAAAAATTAATGTTCGACAATAAACTTTACTAGCAAGATGTCTTCTTCATAGAACCGAACTCCTACATATACTAGCCTTCTACACCCTTATTCCGCTATCAATGAAAGAACTTGACTTGAAGGGCGCATTGTGGAGATTTCCACGCAAGAACATTATTCAAGGGTGAGAACGTATCTCGGCCAATTAGAGATTTTAGGCCTGAAATCTCCGTACATTAAGAAATTTTTTGAAATGTGATATGCGTTAGAAAGAGCAAGGAAAGCACTTTCTGATGATACTAACAGTACTGCATTAGATTTGGAATTCTCTTAGAACAGCTGCTTCAAACATAAGGCAGAAAAATCGGACGAACTTACGCAGCAACCTAATATTTAGAAAATGGAAATTTTTTAGTATGACTGCAGCCTTCGCTTTCCTAACCTAACTTAACCACACCATCACTTACTGCCACACAACGATGTAAAGATATTCAGGATAAATTGTTAGAGTTATACTACGCTCAGCGTAAATGAAAAGTCTTTCACAGTCAACGACGTGGCTGAGATGCAAGGTAACTGTGTCACTTCATTTGAATGGAGTGAATCTTGTGAACGACTTCTCCACTACGTGAACGATGACAGGTTTTGGCGGGGCGCGTTTTTACTCAGATACATACGTTGGAATTACCGAAATGTTACAAGTTGTTTTTGAGTCCAGTGAACATATTCGAGGATAACCTCAACTCCTGTTTTTTTTCACCGACATGCTGTGTAAGCCGGCCGGCCACGCTTCTTGCTCCTATAAGCTATTCCAACAGGGCAGCGAAAGTGATCATTAGTAAAACTACGCTAAGCTCTACGTAATTGAAGAATCTCTCACAGTCAACGGATATTGCTGGGATGGACTGTGCGACTTCATTTAGAAGGGCTGGAAATTTTTGAGTGTGATCTCATCATACAAAAGGTGATAAGGTTTTTTTCTGAGCGATTCTTCTTGAGCACTTATAAATATTGCTTGACTGTGATTCAGTACTGTCCCTCGCCATCACTTCTTCTGACAGAAAGCACCTCTCGCGAACGACTCGCTTTCGGCATACGCGATGCCCAGAAGGAATGGTGAGTTTAAGTTTGCAATGGTGCTATATTTCAAGCCTCTCCTATGACGTAGATTTTACAGAATCCGTTTGAGATTCCTGACCGCACTGACTACTGGAAGATGGATGTGACACAAAAATTAAAGAAAGAGAAGCAAGTCTAAGTCCGAGTTCAATAAACCTTTCTGCGATTGCTTTCAAGTTCGGTAAAAACAATTCTGTCGAGGGAAGCAGATGTTCGATCACTGAAATACGGAAAGTTGTCAGCAAAGGATGGTGAATTAACGCCTAACATCCAGGAAAGGCTCTCGACCTGCTTAAGTTCTGTTCTGCGCTCAGGGCAAGTACTGAAATATCTAGTCTGTATTCTTTGAAACTGAGCCTAGCCTTCCTGTCTTCGCTAGTGATACTTTTTCCCCCAGCCAGCAAAGGAGGACAGGTTGCATCTGCACGCATGTTTGAAAGAAACCCGGGTGCTCTTGCGTAGCAGGCGCCTGCAGGACTTGATCCACAGATGTTTCTTTTGCATCTTCTAATCGTCGGACGGCGGTGGAGAGCATAAATACAATTCTTTTACTGTCCCTTGTTACTTACTTTTACCGGAGGATGAAACATAGATAAATATACTTTGTGAGCTAGAGTGAGCTAGATCTTGTATGCGTAGAATACAAATATTTGAATATTCGAATAAAAGTCTTTTAAAATTCCTCGAAAGAACGAATATTCGAATCTCATTTTTACAAACGTCTAACGAAGTTATTCAAATACAGGCCTTCCCTTTATTCGATTATTCGAATAATCGAATAAATGGATTTTCTTATGTCGAGACGCAGAGTAATTAGATAGTCCGACAGTCTCCACGCCAATTGGGCGGTGCCCAGAATCTCCAGATGAGCTGGCACTCCCCGGGTGCTCGGTGGTCCCCTCCCCAATTATGTTCCCCCACATTTATATTTATGCCATAATGATAAAAGAAGCTAGTCAGAACTGTTATGTTGAACCAAAGGAAAGAAACTAAGGGTAGAGGGATCAAGTTAAGAGAATAGCTAACTCTTCAACTTGACACTTAACGACTATTTGAATATTCGAAAAGTCGAATATTTGGAATAAATTAATCGAACACGAATACTCGATGCTAAGTATAGCGTACACGTCGTTTTTACCCTTCTCCTACTTCTGCTATGTAGTTTTCTGTGCACCATGAGATATTTGCTGAGTAAACCCTTTCGAAAAGAAGGTGCAGTTTCTCTACTGTCAACGCATTACTCGTGGATATTTCATTAGATACTTATATGATTTGCCCTCGCTTTGTGTGCATCCAGCACAGAAGTTATCATCTGTTCTTGCCCCTCTCTCCTGACGCCTATAACCTTCTTACCAGTCGAGTATGGCTGCGTTATAACCCCCTTATGATAAATCCGAATGCTATAAACAAACTGATCTGATAAGCTCCTTTGATCTTGCAAAAAAACTTGCAAAAAATCGACTAGCACTTTGTATACTCTAATATAGTGAGGCTGATGCTAAACCCAAGTGATCCAGTATGAATTACGAATCTCAAATCAAAGAAAATAACAAATGCGATCAAAATGGAAGCTCAGAAGCATCAGCTTATTTGAGTTCGAAGCATCCATGTTCCCATAACGGGCGGCACTGTGATTGAAACTTCGAAAATACATTGTGAATTGCTGGAGGTACATTATGACTTCGATATAGCGAAATTTATCACAAAAACTTCGCTTTCTCGGTAGCGAGAATACCTTTGTTTTACAACCATAAAAATTTTCATATACATGGAATTTGATGAATGGAGCAATCACAATGAAAAAATAATCCTGTACAGTCGTCTGAGCACCGCAAGCGGTATTCGGCTGAATTCACAACTAAGCGCGGATACAATCACAGTGGTAGAGGATGAGAAAGTATAACAATACAAGAAATTGCTCAGTGAAACTAACTAGTCGATCGGGATGGCGTCGGTGCGAGATCTACTACTGGTTAAGTGGAACAGGGGTTGGTGAATCGCCCCACTTATGTGAAATCCAGCGGATCGTTTTCACATTAATTTGAGGTCCGATCAGTGGATTGAGCTGATGCAGGTAGATCTAAAATTAATATGATATACGACATCAAGTCCAGGTTAACACTGCAGAAAAAATACCATAATCCAGAAGAGATGACAACAAACAGCCGTCATGATAATCATAGTCTGAATGATTCCTGTAACAGAATAGTTATGATGAATCAAGATTGTAGTAAGCTATACTGGAAACAAGCTTGTTTGTTCATAGAACCTGCATACCTCGGTTGGGTCCTTTAGGAACAAGGAATGGGCCACCAGCACCGATGAGCAGCCAAAATGCGGTCACTGCCACAAGAGGAATGACTACTCCCATCTGAAATCACTTTTGGAGATCATCGTCAACTGTCACGAAAACGCATAATCAAATAAGGTCCAAATCAGTCGTCGAAACCAAACACGATCAGAGAGACAACGAAGTCAGATTATCGACATATGCATCGTGAAAGAACGACAGGAGAAAGTTTCACATCAACAGTGTTAGATTATACGCATGGAAGACTGCGCCTCGGGCAGAGTTCACGTATTTTGATCGTCGCGATTCAATTGCTAAAAGGCAAGTGTTACCAGTTCATTGCATGCCGATCTTCCTGAATGTCGATTGTGATAGTTAGTCATGATTAGTCGTGTTGGAAAACTACCACAACCGAAATGCAAGAAGATCGGCATACAATGATATTGTTACAGTTGTCTTGTCGCGATCAATCACGACGATCAAATCGCGCGAACTGCCCGAAGCCTAAGGTGTATAGACGAGATATCATATAAAATTAAAACATTAAAGCGTGATTTTTGATGGTTACACACTTTGTAAATAGATTACATTGAATGACAAGCAAAAACGAACAAAATTACTTACTTTATATGAATAATCAAACATAGGTATTTGAGTTTTCCATGATTTCACTGATTTGTGGCGTGACAGCGAAAACCAAACTTTGAGAATCACAATATGAATACCAAGATGAAAGACTCGGTTATATAGAAATACTATCAGTGAAAATGTGAGGGATTATACCAAAGATTCCTTGAAGAGAACAAAGTCTTAAAAAGGACTATAAACAAGGAAAACAAAAAAAAACAATCAAAACAGAGAGTGGGTACATTCTAACAAAAGTAGTTGTTTCAGAGAAAGCCCTATACGGAGACTGTGCATCGCGTTAAATGATGCCAGATATCAATTCCACATAAGGAAGATGTATCTAAACAACACAGTAAACCCAAAGAACAAAAACATGCGAGAATAGTAGAAAAACGGTCTCGGAGGGCGAGAGATCGATCGCGGACAAAACACGCAACACGTCCCACAAATGAATTTCACAATTTCTCATTAGAAAAACGAAAGGTGACATAAATGCTTGATCAGACTTCAGCGACAATATCGTCTGCACAACGATAACTGTCCAATGCTTGAAATTTTGCTTGTAATTCTATTATTTTCTGATGATTTTGGTTTGCGATGCGTAAAGTGTATGAAGGTGACTGAGGTCGAAAATCATGGGACCGCCCACATTTCTGCGCCGCATGCTAAGCTCGACTTCCTTTCACTCTTGCTGATCTCTGTGTAATTCCAGTTCCACTCGTGTAATAAATTTCATTCACATGTATATATATTTTGTGGCTTCGTCAGCTGCTCGCGTAATTTACCACTCTTTTTTCAGGTATAAAATGCGGAAACTCTGTCCATTGATGGGGCCGAAAGCGTCCGCGTTTTGGTAAGTCCATCTTTCTTTGCTTCTTGTCGTACATTAATCAAGTTTGTTCCAGTATGATCATGTCAGTATGGGGTATCATATTCCTTGGATTGTTAGGAGTTTTCTTCTATATACAAGCTGTCACCCTGTTCCCAGATCTTCACTTGGAAGAAGAAGGGAAAGAAGCCCCAACCGTTGAGTAAGTATACCGAGATTATCTTTTTGTTTTTACTTTTCCTTCTGCCTTTTTGAAATATTCTCACAGATTGTTGTGGTACAAATTAATTCTTGCAAAAGCTAGTGTATTGCTCCCAATTTGAAAGTAGGCATGGTCACATTTAAGCTTTTTCTGGTGAACCTTGTTTATAAAATAGTGTCACTCAAACCAAGAATTCCAGTTCATACTAATCCTGTCATCTGACAGGGAATGATCAGAAGTCGAAACGGCCAATCCGAACAAGCTGCACAGATGCAGCATAGAACGCTGACTTTAAATAAGTTTGTCTAATCTGCTAAACGCCTTTAGACAAAATCATAAGCGGTTTTACTGCGAGAAAATTGTGCACAAAAATCGCTAGTTTGAGCACGTCATTGTCCTTTTAGCTTATCTTTAGGTATAGGCTATGTCAAGTAACCTAGCTGCATGTTTTAGATCAGCATTGAGCAGAACATGGCTCTATGCAACCAAATTTGTACTTTGCATGCACGATTTCTTAGGAAATAATGGCCTCTGATGGCTTATAGCTTCGTCCACAAAAGTGTTTAGCAGATAAGGAAGACAATTTTAGATCCCCGCTTGTATGGATTGGTCACTTCGATTTTTTACCATTTCCTTGCGAGACAGGTTGTGGACGGTTTGTTGGTTTCGTGCGCGTTCTGATGATTTTACTCGAGAAAGGATACCGAGCATTAATGAATTGCAAAGTAAATATCACAAGGTGCGGTTTCAAATGCCGAATTTGAATCAAATTACTCACCCGTTGACCAACTTCCGAGGAATTGTGACCATTCATCACATCCATTCTAGCTCACTCACTTTCATGAAAAATAATCAGTGCTTTGGCTCATAACTTAAGGATTTTATTCTAATTATTCTTACTTTTCTTGGTGCCAATGGGATTATTTGATAAAGCCTCTTCTGATAGATCTAATTTTCAGAGATATCGAAACGAGATACAGTGAAAAAGCGATGCAATGTTGGATAGCTGCAGGCATGTACGGCGTGACGTTGATTCTCGTATTCTGGCAGAATAAATATAACAACGCCACCGTTTTCTAAAATGTTGACCTGTGATCACTCCATTCAATGCTCTCATTTCGTTAGTATTAGCCATGTTTTGAGCATAATTAGCAGCATCGAAATCCTCATTGTACTCTGCGATACGAGATGCGATACATTGTGCATAGTGCTCTGATTTTTAGACATTCCTTTCTCTACAGTTCTATGTCATATACGCTTATATCTTCACTTGTCTCTTGTCTGTGTGAACTTATGTAAAAATTATGTTGTATCATAAATCCGTACATTCTCAGGCGAAGAGAATTCAAAGTTTACTAAAGCAGATAAAATATTAGATTGTATGCGTGTGCCGAAATAAGCCTTCAAGATTGTCATTAAAAAGATGGAGCAAATCAATAACCGCAGTGTTTTGCCATAGCATTCCGCTATGAAGAAAACAGCTCCCAAAATGTTTGATATTACCCTTTTGTAGGTGAAAATCATGTGTTTTGTAAAATGTGCTAAAGAACGATGAAAACGTGAGACTCTCGGAAAAAATGTGCAAGACAATCATTCTTTATCAAACGAACGCAGGAATGACAGTACAGACAAAAGACAAAGAGTATTTGAGCGAAGTAAGATCCCGATCGAATCGAATCACTTCTTACCGGATTTCTTTATGCCACCACCAACTGAAAATATCAGATTATATTCACCAGAAAAGTAAGGGTTGCCTTCAAGAAGAATCGAAAAACAAAAACTCTTAGAACTGCTAATATCACTTCCGAATACATTACGTACTCCAGTTAACGCGCTTGTATTTTTGCTACGAAGCAATCAGACAAAATTTTTAGACTTGAACAAATACTCAAGAATACGAAGTTTCAAACGCTTATTTAGAGTCATCCTATAAGGCACAACGTCTCCTGCTATCATTTGATTTGAAGTAATCGTATGTCGCATTGTATGGTTTTATTGTGAATAAAGTTTACACGATGAGTGGGTTTATGTAAAGACGCAGTAGAAATGCGTTGAGAATTCGGAAAGTTGATTTAAATGTGAAGTTGGTAGATATGATTATGAACTCGCTAACATTTGTGGTTGCAATGAACAAACTTCTCGAAAAGATGTGATCAAAACTAACCAAGCGGTCCTTTATGTTGTGCTTTCGCAGCCAATTCAGCCAACTTCTTTTTCTCTTCCATCTGCTTCTTTTTGAACTCCAGATCGTCCTAAAATTAGTGGAGTAGGTGTGAATTACTCACGAAATTCTAACAAACTAACTTCAGTCAATTCTTTCTCCGACTTTTTCGGTTGCTTCAGGGGCTTAGCTTTGCCACCTTGACGACCAGTCATTTTGAACTGAAATGTTGTAGGCAAGATTGGTAACATTAGCCTTTATTAGCTCAGCGCGGATAAGTGCCATAATCACGCAACAACATGAGGAATGAATGGAGATACAATATTGCTGTCGGACGATGTGGCTCTTCAACAAGATCCACCACTACCTACTTCGACTTTGGTTTTTTCTATTCGATAGGTTGATATTATACCCGATAATGCGCTACATATCACCGGTGCTAGGAATTCAGTTCATGAATCTTGGATATTGGCCTACAGAGGATTCAGCTGAAGATGACGCAGAAATGATGCAGATTGTTAAAAGGAATTCCACACAAACAGGTAAGCTTAGTTAATGTTTATCAATGTGAACTCGACCAGAAAAATAATTTAGATCCGGATCGTCCCCATTACTACTTATATGAGCGAGCTCTGATGGCACATCCCGATTACCCGACTCTAGACAATTTGCAACTAATAGAAGTCGGATGTGGACAAGGAAATGGAATCAAATGGATCAAAAGGTTTCCGCATCTACTCAGACTTTCGTTGCGTACCAGCGGCGTACCTAAATGGCTCTGCGTACCAGCGGAGTGCGATTAACGTACCAACGGCGTTCCTTAATGCGCCCTACCAGCGGCGTACCGTCTTTTGGCGAGCGGCGTTCCATCAACCCAAGCAAGCGAGCGGCGTCCCATCACATTACCCCACGCTGTAAGCGTAGGCCGTACCCGTATGGGATACGACGCAGTGGTTGGGCGCCTCAGCATTTTAGTGGTTAGCTAACACTTCTCGGCACTTGACAAAGGAATAGGATTGAGTTGTTGTTCTTATTGAGTGACCTGATAACACCCCAGCTGGGTGTTGTAGGGGTGGCCCAATCCCCCGATTTCGATTCAATGAAGTCCATCGATCGAAATAGCAGGAAATGCGCTGTTCGGCTTCATAAAATATGACGATATAGCAATTTTCAAACCAACTAATGCTGCAATTAGTACGTAATCAAAAATCGGGTGAACATGCGGTCCGAAGGCGTACCCTCTTGGCGTACCAGCGGCGTACCATTCTCCTGCCAGCGGAGTTCCACAGCGTACCAGCGGCGTTCGCGTGCTGCGCTCAGAGGACAGTCGAACGCCGCTGGTACGCAACGAAAGTCGGAGTACCACTTCCACTCAGCGAAAGTTCAAAAACCTTAGACCACAACAAATTTTCCAGGGCACATCCCCATATAAGAGCACTGAAGGGAATTGATCGTTGCGCAATAAAGGAAACGTGCATGATCACAGGTGATGCACACAATCTGCCCTTTGACGACCACCAATTCGATATAGGTAAGCAACCAGATGTGAAATAAGAACAACAATACTTTGAAATAATTGATCGCCAGAGATAAATGCGGCCATAAGGTGCAAAAAAAGCAATCAACTTGTTAGATGGAATGGGTAGATGATATGAAAGTTAGTGTGAAGATATGAAGTAAAATAGTTACTGGAAGCAGCTTTAACAACAGCCAAACCAGTGTTCCGCTGAGAATGCTTCTGATAATCTTAGTCGAATAAGAAGTACGGACGTAGTTGCCTGCGGATAGCATGGCTTGAATATTATTGGACCTACAGATCAAAACTTGGTAAATCAAACCCCTGTGCAAAAATTCAAATTGTACAATTTAGTGCTCAATGTAGAGTCGTCTCATCTCTACCATGACTGCGAACAATTCTTCCGTGAATGTGCAAGAGTTTTGAAGAAAGGTGGATATCTTTGCTGGATCGATTTGCGATATCAATCACAGGCAAGTATGAAGTTCGAGACAAAATAAAAGAAAATCATAAAAAGTACTTAATTATGACTTAGAAAATGAACAGATTCAGGTTCATAGCACTCGCCAACAAGCAATGAGAGCAGGATTAGTTGAAGAGCGATGGGATGATGTGACGAAGAACGTGCTAGAGGGGATAGAACGAACAGCATCGCGTTATGATAGAATGCTAGAAAAGGTAACCAATAAGGTAGTTATCAAAAAAGAAAACAAATCATTTAACAGGCGCCCTTCATCATTCGTTTATTTTCGTCATCGCTTCGAGCCACTTACTGTGCTCCAGGAACCCACACCAATGCGAGATTCGCCAATAATGAGAAAGGATATTTTGCTGCTTTGTGGAGGAATAAATGATTTGACGAGTGACGTTAGTGCATCACCAGCACTGCCCTTGCTCAATTACGAGAAGAAAGTGTGGAGAAAGATCTCATGACCACATGAAGCGGACAGCATTCACGTTTGGTCCGCAAAATTACGTCGCATTGATGAACATTAGGTCAACGTTAACGTTTAGAGCGCCCTTTGAGTTTTTGCCATATTGATGCTTAAGTCGGCAATTCGATCAAACAGTCTCTCATAATAATAATTCTTATATTCAAGGGAGGAAGCGGAGAAACCGTGGTACAGATTTGTACACATAGATAAATTCCTTTATCGCGAATAATGCATAGACGAGTAATAATTTAATCGGTGTAGTTGAATGAGACCAAGGAAATGCATTCGGCATACTTTCATGCATTTATAACGCGTGCAAGCTTCTGAATGCGATTCAACAGTATGTCGCCGTCTCTGAAAATTGTTTGTAATAACCCATTGAGTAACGAAATATAAATGCACTCACTTAATAACAGCCTTATAAAGATGGTTTTTCGAGTCAGGATGATTCATTTCGATGACACCACGTACAGCGTCAATCCTAGATAGTGCTAGAGTTCTCCTTTATTTGAAAATTTACAGCTGACGGTGTTTCACACTAAGCGGCTAAGTTACCAAAATCAATGCCCTCACTGACTGAAAAGTTGTGGGACTCAAAACTCCAAGCAGCTTAGACCGCAGTCTGCTAGAGACTCGATCATGGGCGTACTGGATGGTTCCCGCCAGCGATTATTGAGAGAAGAAAATACTTGCCTGCAGTGTAATTGTCCTGCAGCGATGAGTCGATGCAATTCCTTGTCAATGAAAGCTCGTGAAACTCCAAAATCTTTCGCCATCATGTCCATTCTAACCTGAATCAAAAAGTTTTCTAAGAAGGAATTTTCCGAAATCCCAAAACGCTACTTTAGCGGAGAAACATGGACAGAAATGCAGGTCATGGGAAGAAAGCAAGTAAACTCACGCACCGTTTTGTAGGGTGTAAGGAACTGCTGATAGGCACGTAGACGCATACCTCGTGAGTAATAGTTGAAATGAGGAGCAAGATATCGATCAAATTTGAACTAAATGTCAAAGTGGAGGCCAAAAAAAATGTGCGAAAATTGAGCCGTACCCTCTCGCTTTCAAGGGCTGCAAGTTGTATAAAGAATCTATCGTACTGGCATCCATAATAAGCCTCTAGATATTCTCGAACAGGAACAAGTGCACCGTTTACTCCACCTCCTGTGAGCTGTAATGGGGATAGTACGTTACAATAAACCAGAATCGATAGTTCAGAGCTATGAAAATTACCTGCTCCTGTATTTCGTTGCACTTGATCACCTTAGTGCGAAGATCTGGACGGTCGAGTGCTACAACGTGCAAATAAATTGTACAAGTAGAATCACATGAGTAAAACTAACCAAACAGCGAAGTAACAACAGTGTAGAAAACGAGATTCTCGTAGGTCATCAACTCGTATGAACCGAAAGTGGGCACCGCTTCGAGATACAGATTTGCAGCAGCAGCGAAGTCTCTCACAGACATTTTATACAAGGCCTCATAAGAACGCAAACGATTCTTACGTTCCCAGTCACCACCCTAAAAACAAAAAACTGAGCAGCATATTCATGACTAGAATAAGATTAGGTGAAACGAAACCTGCATGAAATAACCTACCGATCAGTCATAAGATAATGCCAAATAGGAGTATGAGTAGTAGATAGAACAAATATTCAAACTAATCCCAAAGGGGGAAAAACCTCACCTGCTCCATGAGCTCTTTAGCTTTGGTGATATTCTGATTGATGAGTGCGTGGTCGAGGAAAAAGAGTCCAACGCGGATCATGTTGAAGACCAGATCAATGCGATAACCCATACCAACGGTTTTATCATAAGTCGACTAAAAAGTTTGGTAAGTAGCGTGAAAACGCATATAAAACGCGCACAAGAACCCCAAAGACCAGTCTTTGTTCACGGAATTTCGACAGAGAGAAAAAGAGATGTTATAATACGTGAGAAGGTTTTCCGCTATCATGTGAACCCAAACGGATGATAGCAAATAGCAGATGTTAGCCCCGGTTTTCAAAAAGACGAAAACAAAAAACAACGGTATGGGTTACTCACCGTAAATGTTTTGCATGCATTCTCCTTGTCTCCAATCTGACAATAATATTCAAATTTCCTCAACCATGCCAAACGCACTTCAGTACCGCCTAAAATCTAACGATGACAAGCGCTGCTCATTTGTAGCGGGGCAAATAATGCAAACCGAGATTGTTTTCAGCATCCTCGATTTCTGCCTCTATTTCTTTAAGCCTCTTAGCATTATTCTCCTTCATTATTGACAGCTGTGCAGCATCAGCAGGAACTCCGAGTTCTCCACAAATAAGCTCATACAAGGGTGCCATGTCAAATTCTTTGATAGCCTACAAGAAGCATAAGACTAACACAATAAAAGTATGAAAGGATTGATCTCACAGCCTGTAATTGGTCAAGTTTTTGTTTCTTGATGATTGGGTCGAGGTCCGGATGGTTGACCAGAAATCGTAGCTGTGCTAGTTCCATATCCGGGTGTTTGGAAATTATCTGAAACATGTGAGATAGCTAGTGAAAACAGGGTATGATACCAAGATATTTACCTCTTTCTCATAACCGCCTTCTTCATCTCTCTTTGAAGTTTTCGGCTTTGAAGAATCTGCCATGATCTGAAGAGGATGTGAATTTGTTTCAAGAATAATTCCTGAGCGGCGATAAGAACATATTTGCGCTAAATAACAAAATGAATAATCGCCTTCAGCAGAAAAGCAAAGAAATCGACTGAAAATTACGATTTCAAAGTGATGACAATGGTCGTAAACGCTGCATCGTCTGCAATCGCACAACCACCGTCGAGCAAAAAAGTGGGGGGGGGGGGGGAACGAAGACCGCAGGTGCTGATGTAGTGTAGGGAAGATGCTTAGGCATAAGACATTCCTATTATTTGAACTTGTTTAGAATACTGGGCAAAATTTGAGATAGGTAAGGCAAGGACTTCCAAAGGTAGACCTGGATTTGGTAAGCAGAATGAATAGGTTTTTTAGACGGTGGGATAATTGGTAGGAGTGCATGGAAAAACTGCCGCTGCAGAACATTTTCTCATACTTTTTTGCGAATAAGCTAAGTCAAGATTATCTGAGAATTAAGTCGAGAAGCTTCTTTGATGATGAGCTTGTACACGCAGAGAATAAATTGAGTCCCTTCTAAGCATTAAAGGCACCGTCCACCCAAAATGGAGGTTGGCGAGATTATGATGGCATACCAGTGAGGGCCCCCACACTAGGCAAACCCCCAAGCTTCGCCGCAAAAGACTGCTTCTGAAGCGCGAAATCCGCTCCGGAAGTAGCAAAGTAGGCGGGGCGACCCCAGTCGCCCCGCCCACTTGCGTGCTTTATCTCGCCTCCGCTTGTTGCAGAGGGTCCTCGAAACAGGGATTTTTGGGGGTTTCGCGGATTTTCGACTCCATACTCGGAATCAGGGCTTTCAGAAGGCCTGAAGGCGACAAAAACATTGACTTCGACATTTTGGGTGGACGGTGCCTTTAAGAAAATTCCGTATAAAATAATAAATAAAATTTTCAGATTCTAATTGATCTCCTTGAATTTTTTTTTCAAATGTACTTCTAAACGAAAATCCAAACCACGCTATTTTTCCAAATTGAGACGGTACTAGAAAATGGTAGCGCTCTCATTCTCAACAAGTAGTATCTAGGCATGAACTTATTTGTAGGTTTTTATAATAAGTAAACACTTTTTTGAATATCTTCGGAGTAATAAACTGCTGCCTTTTTCAAACTCTTATCATAGTGACGCGATAACGAGTTCGTTTTGCCCTATCAATGTTACAATTAGCTTGCTGCGCGTTTTTTTTCTACAAATTTTGAATTTTTCTGGTCCTACACCAAAATTGTTTACCTATGCATAGCCATCTACTAAGTTTATTTTAGTGGTTTTCCCTTCTAATATGTAAATGGCTCTTGCATACGTATGGCTTTGCCCCGTTCTCTTAGCGCTATACAGCATTCTATGTTTATTGCTTTGGTGAGTATTTCTCTTACAAATCGAATTTCTCAGCCATGTTTGGTTGCTTAGCAGTATAGAAAGTATTTAGTTTTTCGATATCTGCGTACCATCACAATTTGCCCTTGGGTCTACCTTTCATAAGGTGAGTGTTGCTAGTCACCTAACTTGACAAAAAAAATTTTCTGACAAGGAGAAAATGTAAAAAAAAATTACATATAAAAATAAAAAATTCCCCTTCAAATACATGAAACAGTGCTCAGTAATTGCGAGAAAAGAATACCAATTTTCAGAACTAAACTGACACACAAGCCATTCATTTCAAAGAAACCTCCATGCAAAATGGTGTTTCGGGTAGGAAATGGGAATACAACAGTATCAATAAAAAATTTAATAGTGAGCACTGAAGGAGTTTCGACTTAAATAAAGATCAATTAATCAACAGATTCCAAAAAAATCATTTCATAGCGAAAATGTTTATAAAATCGTGCTATATACAACGAATCTTAAAAGAATTTTCGGAACCTCTCATTCTCCACATTCTTGACTTACCTGGGGCCTAACAATTTCTCGTTATTTGACTTCTATGGCATGCAGATTAGAAAGTGTTTAAGCACGATTTTCAGCGAAATAGCCACGACTCCTCCTGCAAGTGCTCTCTACCGTATGATGATGAATCATATAGCACTTTTAGGTGAAAAATTGTTTAACCTGTGTGAGTTGCATAGATCAGACATTACAGCAGCTCTGTGGATGTATTTGAAACACCGAGAATTCGTGTCATATTTCAATTTGACAAAAAAGCATGCGTGGTATCGTCGAACTAGTCTGCTTCATCTTTGCATTGGTTTATTGGCGAGTTGCTGCCTTCAGATCTCCGTAAATTTTCCGGTAAGTTTAGTGCGAAGGACCATTTCCTTCAAACTTTAAAGTGAACAAATCAGCTCCATCAAAAAGTTATTATTAGGTTGTCAAGAAAATAATGTCCGTTTTTATTTGCTTGCTTTAACAAAGCAACCAGACTGAACCCAACAAAGGGTAAGGGGTATTGTTCGATAGAGCAAAGCAAGCTCTACAAGATGGCACTCATGTCTTTGCGCCAAGCTCGATCCACTGAGAGTTCGAACTCAAAATCTAAAGATTTCCAAATGCCCAAAAAATCGAAAAAAATCAGATCTTCGTCCAGATAATTTCTACGGACCTCCCACTCGCTCATATCAGTACTATCGATATCAGATATCCATATGTGCGATTGGCGTATTTTTTCCTTGACTAGAAACCGAGAAAACGAAAATTTCCCTGATTTTCTCAAAGCAATGCTGAGCCGTTTCTGCAAGTGTGGTTCTATACTATAAGCCTAGGTAAGTATAACTGTAGATTTTCAGCCCATTCCAAGCGGTAGTTTTCGAAAAATAACGAATTCGGATTTTTTCGTTTCAGTTTCAGTGCTAAAATCGACATTTCTCGAAAAGTACCGCTCGAAATAGGCTGAAAACCTACAGTTATGCTTACCTAGGCTTGTAGTATCAAACTACATATGCAGAAACGGCTCAGCATTGCTTTGAGAAAATCAGGGAAATTTTCGTTTTCTCAGTTTCTAGTCAAGGAAAAAATACGCCAATCGCACATATGGATATCTGATATCGATAGTATTGATATGAGCGAGTGGGAGGTCCGTAGAAATTATCTGGACGAAGATCTGATTTTTTTTCGATTTTTTGGGCATTTGGAAATCTTTAGATTTTAAGTTCGAATTCTCAGTGGATCGAGCTTGGCGCAAAGGCATGAGTGCCATCTTGTAGAGCTTGCTTTGCTCCATCGAACAGTACCCCTTACCCTTTGTTAGGTTCAGTCTGGTTGCTTTGTTAAAGCAAGCAAATAAAAACGGACATTATTTTCTTGACAACCTAATAATTATGTACATCGCCCAGGATAAATCACAAAAACAAAACAAACAGGCTTTGTGCGCTCTACCGTATGATACCGTCCTGCGCGACGAATCGCAGGTGCTTTTTTATGATCCGTTTGGTCCACTCAGAAACTTTTCACAAAAAAATCTGCACGTTTGATCTCACATTTCTGGTCAGGACTGTGGCGGCATACGGTATCTCAAGTATTAATGAAAGACGATTTCTCTATCCCCCTTCCCCCTTTTTTGCTCCCGCAAAAATAGCCTTTCTGAGTAATTAGATCTGATGTAGCGTGCTGTGAGGGGGAATCTCCTGATTCATGCTGGAAGATGATTGACAATTTCTATATATACAGCTAGCGCCTCAATGAAATCTTATGTGAAATGTGCTGAATCAAAATCATTCTAATTTTTTCCAGCTTTCAGACGCACCGACTCATGACAATTTGTTCAAATGCTGGAGTAATGGCACTACTGACTCTTTATGTTTGGATGCATACTATATTCTCTTCGATAGTGATAGACGCAAATCTAGCTCGAGTCAGGCTGCTTCTGGTACGATCTTGGTTAGCAGCTGCCGTCTCATCTTGTTTTGGAAGTAGTAAGTTTCATTGAGTTCTTTTCTATATTTTTGTGCGTAGTGAAAAAATCGCTTATTGTTAATGGTAGATTTCAGTGATCAAAGTTGAGTTCAACCATGCAGCTACTTCATACTTGAGCACTCCGTTACCATTCGTGAGTTTGCTTCTGCATAATAACACTCTAATCTATAAGCTGCTACAAAAGTTTTGTTTGTTTTCTGTTTGGTTTTGGTTCCCAAAGTTTTGCACCTGAATATCTTAACTCTATGCAATGCATACTAGAAAAAAGATCCCAAGAATTCATAACAAGAACAGCAAATGTTAATTTGCACAAACACTCCCATGTAAACCTACGACTTCGTCAAAAATTTCAATTTATAGCAAGAAATAAGCTCGGAAGCAGCCTATGAATGGGGAGCCTACTTTTCAATGTGTTTGTTTCTGCTCACTGACGCATACGAGTTTCGGAATCTCGTCTATCGTGCTCCAAAGCTGGTCATACCAGGATCACCCATGTACGATGCTCATCGAGCTGCGCATGGAGGACATGACAGGATATCATTGAGCGATGAACTAGACACAAGTTCGTTTGCACCATTGATAAGATAAAGTGTTTGAATAATACATGGAATAAAATTTCGAAAGTCTAGTCTTGTAATGTTCATTTGACCGCATTGTAGGTCTTTAAAGGCAGTGTCCCGGCAGATTTTGCACCTCCACCTTTTTGCATGTTTTAGGCCTTTTCGCCACGTAGAATCCGAATTTGAGCTTTGAGCGGGCTGAAAAGGCCGATTTTGGGGCCAGTTGGGGTAGCGCGCGCCGGTTCAAGGGCCATTTTCTCAGCTCAGAGGGAACATCACCCAGCCGGAGTGCGCCTGGAGGGCGATGGGGTGACCAGGAACCCCACCACACGTATATCCCCCAGGACCCGAATCTGCCGGGACACTGCCTTCAATGGTCTGTTCGGTCCGGTCTCCGTCAGATGAGCCTTGATAGAAATCACCATACTCCAGTGGCTTGCCGAGGGGGGGGGGGAGGAGAATGCGTCGCGAAATTTCCGAAAGTTGCTTATATGAGTGTTAAAAATGTGAAGCGACTCATTTGTAGCTGAAAATTAGCATGATTCTAAAAATATTACTAAAAATTCAGATCAGCCTTATAATAATTTTGCGGGACTACCGCCACGCCTCTCCTTCTATAATATGGGGGATTGGATCTTGAAGATTTCGAAAAGCGCGCAAGAATATTTTCAGAGTGCATAGCTTACGGTACGTATCCTTATTCGAAAAAATGTTTGTTCCCCCCCCCCCTTCTCAAATGGAACCTCCTGGGGCCGCCACTGCCATATTCATATCTGATACTAGTTGTTGTTCCCAGTGGCCATCGCCAAAACTGTGAAGTCAATAATTTATGAAAACAAATGATATGAATAGTTGACGTATTTGCAAACTCTCGTTGGGCTGACTCACCTCTGTGCACCAATTTGGGCTTCTTAGGGCGATAATGCTAGAGCCGATGGCATTGACAAAGGCAATTTTCAGATGCATATCCGAAATTTCCTTGGTTTCAAATCTGACCGTGTATACACTTATGTAAACACTGCACTCGTCTCTAATTTAAATCAGGAATTGGCAATGCAAGAATTTTGTTGTGAACTTGCACCACCCAGGCAATGACCGCCAAGCGGATAAAGCTATCCTCTTTTCGTAGCTTATTTTGAAAGGAAAGCAAGGATGAAAAGTAACCTGATCGCATTCGGAAAAGAGCTCTTTAAGAGCTACAACTTTCATGCCGCTTCCTAAAAATGACTCCAGAAATCCAAAGAATTCCATGAGAAAGGTTGAAGAAGGCCGCGATGCCACGGACAGCAATGTGGACGCGGATGAAATCTTTATTTTACTTTCCGCTCTTTTTCCTCTGAGCCTGTCTGAGTCTTATGTTTAATAATATCTTACGGCTAAAAGATAAGTTAATCAATTTTCAAACTCTGAAGGGAACAATAATGACGATTTCTAAAAAAAGGTTTTTGTTCTTCATACATTTCTGCCCGTTGGTATCTTATCTATAAAGCTGAATGTGTGTATGTATGTATGTACGTATGTGCGGAATAGAAATTTTTATTTCTGAACCGATTTGGACCAAACTTGGCACACATACACTTCGGGGCAGGAAGCGTGTCATAGGCTACTTTTCATTATCGATCAATATCGATTTTATTGATTTTTTGCAAAATTTGAGCTACGGGGCTAAGAGTTGGCACAGGAGGGTAATCGAGCATGCCGATTACAAATATGTTATTGACAGGGCCGGGCGGAGCCGGGTTTGCCAACTAGTATAACTATAAGCGGGTGTGCGCTAAGTTTCGAAAGGGTTACTAGATACATCTGTAAGTCTTTATTAACTCCAAAAATATGGAATCTTGACAAACACATAGCTATTGAGTGAAATTTTGCGGACCATCCATTATTTTTGCTCCAATCCAATAAGATTTAGAAATTTTAGGAATCATGTTCTTCAGAAGGCAGTAACTGAATTGTAGCTCTTGCAAAGTCCTATCACGGCAAGAACTTAGATTAAAAAAACCAAGGAAAAAGATCGCTATAACCACATTTTTGGCAGTCGCTGTATGATTTTTGGAGATGTTTACCTATCTCTTCTGATCATAACCGAAATGAGTAATCAAGCAAGCGCTCAAATGTTGTGACGAAGTCTCGTCTGCAAAATATACGCTCCAAAGTAAAAAATGTCAACTTTTTGAACCGAACACGAAAAGTTCCGCTATGCTGCATATGTTTGTACTAATGCTACACTTCTATCTAATATTTCGGCTAAACACCGTCTTCATACACCTGAAAAGCACGATTGATTTAATCACTTGTTGGATTTCTGGATGGAGATGAAAAGTTTGAGCGGAATATCACCCACCGATAGGGTCCGCGAGGGACTTACCTTATTTTCAGGTGTATAAGCCGCGTTTTTCCAAATTTTCCCACGAGCTGCTCAGCCGCTTCATTGTGTTTCGAGAATTGATCCTTATGCCGCACGATTCTGTCAGGCAATGCACAACATGGTGTAGGGTCCCTTGGTTGCAAGGTCCTTTGATGTGTTCGGGCTGGTCGATGTAAGCTAGGACCACCTCGCGGCTTATACACCTGAAAATAGGGCACATTGAATGGAACGCATAGTGCGCGATTTCCGGAAGCGCATTTTCTTGGTTTTCATTTCTAATCGAATGGTTTTTTGCTTACGTATGATAAGAAGTGACTAGAAGACACTAGAAGTGACTGAGCTGAACGTTGAAATGATGTCTTATAGTATGAGCGTTTTATGCTCCTGTGGGTGCAAAGCCGCAGTAAAATTCGTCGTCACGATTTTATAAATGAGCTATAGATAGGAATGAGCTATTTGTGAAAATTTACCTCGAACGGCCAATATATTGCACTTGTTGTGCTAGGCAAGATTGTGGATCGCCGTTCGTATTGTTAGTAACATGTGAGATTCTCGGGCTATCGCACAAGTAAAATGATTTTGATTAAGTGCAGCTTTAGCTCTACTGAATGAGTACTCTAAAAGATACAATCTTCAGATGATTTCATGTTAAAAATCGCACGCGCAACCTCTTTCAAATGTTGACCTGATTGAGATCCTCGCGCCATGTGAAAAGTGTGCTGTCTCGCTCTCTCCTCAAACATTATGCTCTCTAAACACAAATCGGCATCCCTGCGTCTAACTTTTGATAGGGACGCGGAAGAGAAATGTAATAAATCCTCATGGGGTTTTTCAATTTGCGGATTCATCACAGTTCCTTTTCTTATTTCAAGAGCACTCAAAATAGTGTTTGCTTTGTCGATGCTCAAGGAAATGCTGAGTCTTGCTATTGTATGCGTCTTCATTCGTTCTCTCGATAATTTCCTCCTGATTGTTTTTAGTTTCTATCGTGCTATCGTTGTGCTTCATATCAGATACTTTGTTTATTTTAGATTTGAATGACAGAATTAGATCAGGCAGAGCTGGATCTACTAGGAGAAGGACCAGCCGCCACTGATGGCGATCACTTGGACGAACACGCCCTCCTTGATCAGTGAGTGACTTGAGTCACCTTGGAATCGATCTGATAACTTGAATTACTCAGAGAAGCCAGAAATCTCATGCATTTCCGTGTTCTGAATACATTTTTCATCAAGCTTTCATTAAGGCTTATTTTTACTGAATAGAGTGCTAATGTTAGAACCAATGCATGAGCGCGGCGCGCAAGAACGAACCCCTTTCAAATAAGGCTTGCAAGAATTCAAAAATAGTTAAAAATTCATTAGTTTAAGTAGTTCATTATTCGTAGCGAAGTATAGTGCATATAAAACTGATTTCATTTACTTTGTCTTTAATCTGTGGGTAAGGAGTAAATTACATTTGATTCAAACAACCTTCGATTCTTCGCTTCCTTATGGTTCTCGAATCGTGAAGCTATCATTAACTAGAATTTGATTGCAAGTTATTCAAAGCATTTATCGGGTAACCCATACCTATATTGAACAGAACTTCCCAAATTAGCGCGAGTTTTGCACTTATGCGTATATTGGACTTCATGATTGTTGCGCAAAAAAAAAACAATGAACTCATTGCAGAATCGTTAGTTCGCGGGAATTAGGGTTATATCGCATAAGGGAAATTGCGCTACAAGACATCTTTTTATGTAGTGCGCTCTTCAAGTTATTATTTAGAACACCCCCACCCGGAGACGATCACAATAATGGCTTAAATCGCGTGAAATCTGAAGAATTGAAGAGTGAAGAAGTAGATCTTTATGACGATGCAATCGCACCGTCGTCTGGAGAAAAAACAGTACCCCCGACTCCAGTTCGTCCTGCCCAACACAATGGCGGAAGTACACACGTATCCGATGGGAAGCGGTAAGTGCACGATGAATCGCATCTTTTGCATTTGCGAGTTTAGTTTTTCAAGGTACTGCTGCTACATTGGCAATCTGGTATGGTGGGCTACCGACGCCGATGTTGGAGTCAGTTTTTTACTTCACTTTTCACAAACACGCCTTTATTTCCTTATCTTATAGCTCCACATAAAAGCCCTCGGAATTCCTGACTTGATCGACATGAAGTTTTTTGAAAATAGGACCAACGGTCAAAGCAAAGGATTCGCTCTGCTTGTTCTTGGAAGCGATGCATGTAAGTCGAGACTTGCATCCGAATATGTGTAGCAAATTCAACATATATGCTTCGCATCAAACTGCTCTTGCGCTGTTTTTTTTTTGTGCTCGTCCCACAGGGGGTAGCTGTCTTAGAAAAAAGAAATACACGGATAAAAGTCTGACGACCTTGAATATAGATTGATTATCTCATCTGTGGGAAGGAAGCGAAATGTTTTGCTTTTCTGGGGTAACTGTACAAGGCTGAAAATGTAAATCTATGTAAACTCAAAGGCAGTGTCTCGCCAGAATTTCGTTTTCCAGTTTTCACCTTTTCGGAGCCTTCTCGCCATGAGGAATCCATATTCAGCCTTTTAGAGCATAAAAATGGCGAAAACGAGCTTTTTCGAAGCTTTCCAGGTCCGCATTCAGTGAAGATATGCCGAAAGTCTTTCGCGCCCCGCCTTCCTCGTTCCCGGCTCCGCCCAGTTACACTATTCTCCACTGATTGCGGGCCGGAAAGCTTTGGAAAAAGCTCATTTTTGCCATTTTCATGCGCTGAAAAGGCCAGATATGGATTCCTCATGGCGAAAGGGCTCTGAAAAGGTGAAAAACTGGAAGATGAATTTCTGCTGCGACACTGCCTTTAAACCCGTGTTTTGTCTATAGAGCTACTGATCGTAGAACTTTCGCTCTATGCAAGATTGAAACTAGAGCAAAAACGTAAGACGTCTTTGCTTTTCGTTTGCGAAATTAAAATCCACAAAAGTTTCTTGGTAAAATCAAAAGGAGAGACTTTCACATATCTGCAGCACTTTGCGAAGGAACTTGAGCTCCTTTGCTCGACCGACCTTTGTCTAAATATTGAGTAAATTTTCAATCTACATTTCAGAGTAAGTTATGCTTTAAAACTGGTTAGGGGTCTGCTGATCGTATCGTTTCTCCTTGCTGATGCTAAGATCATTTCTGAAAAGAACTGTGGTGATCTATAGTTATACTCTAGTGAACGCTCGTTTTATGTCCCAACATGATTCAAAGCTTACCGTCCAAATCTTCCCTCAGCAGAGCTGGACCCCTGTCAGATTTTGGTACTGTTAGGTAGCAGGCCTCCCAAGTACGCCGTAGCCCAAACCCCACCCTTCAAATCACGCGCTGAGTTATGTAGAAAAGCTTCAAAACTCCACCAGCCCCGTCCACTTCCATTGAGTGGGCGGGGTTGGTGGAAGTTTGGAGCTTCTTTACAGAACTTAGCGCGTGATTCGGAGGGTGGGGTTTGGCTACGGTGTACTTGGGAGGCCTGCTACCTAACAGTACCAAAATCTGACAGGGGTCCATTCTGCCGATCCACTGCCTTTAACGTAGCTGGTATAGTAAGTATCACGTCATAGTTTTTGAGTGAGTGGCAGTGAAGTGTTGTTACACTCCAGTGGATTACCTTTGATTGAGTGTGTCACTTTGGTATGACATCGTTGATCTTGCCCTGCAACGTTGCTGTTCGAATTGAGCACCCAGTTTCTTTTTCACCTCTCATATCATGGCAGTCGTTCCATAAATTATTTTAGCCGTGCGCACTATCACTGAGCAAATGCCGCAGCGCCAAATTCATGGACAAAATCCTGTGATTCTACCATACACCAAGGCTTCATTGAATCGTTTGGATGAGGCAACGTCGAAGATGCAGAGCCGACCGGATACCAAGCAGAGCAAGAAGGTTATACATTTATTATACTTTTTTCATGTCTAGTTCATTATAATACATTGTTCAAGGATGAAGCGTGTATGAACATGGGAACCATCCGCATAGGTACTGCAGGCGGGCCAACTGGACCTCCACCCATCATGGGGCCTAGAATGGGTACTGTTGGACCTATGGCCACTGGGCCAATGCCTATGATGCAAATGAGAACAGGCCCTGGCGGTCCACCCATGATGAATGCTGCGCCAATGGGAGGACCTGCTCCGATGGGACCAGGCGGAATGATAAACAGAGGCCCGGTGATGATGGGACAGCCTGTAAATCAGGTCATTATTTTCATCTACGGGTGACGCAGAAGTGGAGTTTTGTTTTTAGGGTCCAATGATGGCACGCACTATGGGACCACCAGGAGTTGGGACGACCATCGCCCCCGTGCAGATGGGAGGTCCCGTTCAAATGGGAGTAGCTGGACAAATGACAACAGGACCGCCACGTCCGATGGTCGGAGGTGCAGTACCAATGCAAGTCGGACAAGCACCACCCATGATGCAAATGCAGTCAAAGTACGTTTGATGCGAAGAAGCTCTTCTACTGTATGATAAATCCGTTATTATAGTCGTCCCCCACCTGGAGTTCAATTCAATAGTGGTCAACAACCAGTTCTTGGAATGAGCCAACAGCAAATGATGTCACAAGGTCCACCTGGTGTACGTTCTATGAATGCACCTCCACAGGCTCCGCAACAGTTACTTGCACCTCATGGCGCTCATATCAATCCACAGGTACCATCTAGTTTATCACTGGCGAATGCATAAAAATCAACTTGTTCAGATGTTTCCCGGTGTTCATCAGCAGCCTCCCGTACCAGGAGCTGTTAACGATGTCGAGTTTGAAGAAATTATGAACAGAAACAGGTAATTTTAGTATTTATACTTTTTTTCATTCCCTTAGTTGAGCATGTCACATGTTCGTCTTATTTTATGTCCTTGATCTAGTGCGCTGTTCCTAAATAGTGCATCAATACATATATGTTAGGACTGTGGCATCATCGGCCATTTCTCGAGCTGTGGCTGATGCTGCAGGTGGTGATGTCAAATCGGCTACTGAAACAATCTTAACTGCAATCTCTCTGATCAAGCAAAGTCGTGTAGCGCATGATGATCGCTGCCGACTTTTGGTGGCTAGTCTACAGGTAACAAATGGTTGATTTTGCAAATCGTTTTGGCAGTGTTCCACTCAGTTATTCATTTGCCAAACTATCTAGGATACCCTTAATGGTATTGAAAATAAAGCGTACGGAAGCAGCAGTCGAAGCAAGCATCGCGACCGATCGCGTAGTCGTTCGCGCGATCGTGATCGCAAGCGAAGACGCAGGAGCCGTTCAAGAAGCCGGTGAGTTGTGAGATGATGCGAGCAGTAATGTCTTCACTGTGTTTACTTCTTAGTTGTTGTTTCTATTTTCTTTTCCTTTGAAATCAAGGCATTCAAGGTCAAGCTCTCGATCGCGCTCCCCGAGGCATTCACGCTCTCGTTATCACTAAATATGGAGCAGATAATGTGTTTCCTTTCAAAAAGGTAAGAATCTTAGACATTGTTGCGTTGTGAATTCGCGTTTTCATCGTGTTCTGTAAGCCTTCTCGTGTTTGTACGTCTACAGATACTCTCTTCTCGTTCACATTGATTAGGAAATGCTTCCATACGATTGCTCGTAGTATTTTATAGAGTAATATTACTACCATCACTATTTCATTCACTTTCTAGTTAGGCATCGTTTGTTAGCTGAAATCAGTTTGTTTGGTTCAAAATGAAAACTAATTCATGTTGTTGTAGGCATTGATTACTTGACTACATCGGCACGGCCTAGTCTAGTTTAGTCTTTTCGTTTTATCATGTTGGGAATGAAATGGGTAGTTTTATTGTTATCGGGATCGGGGCGAGAAATCAGTTCTAGGAAGATTTTGTTTTTTCTTACCTCCATCTTCTGCTTATAGTTATATCTCATCGTTTGGTCTCGTTTCTCTGTGCTCTCATCTTTTTAGCTAACTTAAATTCCCCGTCTAAGCTTGCCAAGATTTCCATATGTTTTCGACTGTTTCAATCGGAACAACATGTTACTAATAGTAGTACTCGAAATCAACTTGGGTTGATCTCGATTTCTGATAAATTTTAGTTCCATTGGAAATTATATCTCCATCATTTTATAGAGAAGTTTGAGCTGATTATCGATTGTCTTTTGAATTTAGAAAAAAGGTACTAATGAGTTGAGAAGGATGATAGTAGTAGCTTTGATTGCGAATGTTTACTTTGAGTATATGCTTTTGCGTAGAATTCAGTAACAGTCGCTGTTCGTTTTCTAAGATTGATACTCTCTTCAACTTGTGAAACTATTCAAAGGTAGACGCATGAAAATGTGATTAAGAACATAGATGCAGTGTTCAATATTTTACATCTAATCGCATTAGTAAAATAATGAAGTAATCTGAGAATCTGGATTTGCTTACATTTGATCTCCTTGTCATCCCATGATCTGTGAAAGCTTCATGAAACTATGCTTCTGAATTGTACTTCCGTGACCGTTTACTGTTCTCTTAGCGAGTCGATTATTTTGTATGCATCGGTAATTTACTTTATTTGTTTATCGAATAATTGTCTCGTACAGGTTCTGTATTTCTACATTGCGTTGTTGGAGTGAAGGGAAGTGGGAATGTATTCGTCGTGCATCATCTCTTCGGCGTCGTTTCTCGAGGACATCCGTCTCGGACCTTATCTCTCCGTATTCTATAATATTAAACATTGTTAATTTTTTTCGATAAAACATGTAGATCTGAGTTGTTCAGCACACAAGGCATGTCACATTGTTCTACATGCCTGGTAAGCTTTATTCTTCTGCTTTATCAATATCGTGCTTTCGTGTTGTAAGCAATAAAATTGTTTAGAGTTAAGGAGTAGTCTTCAAATTCAAATTTTCAGTACATTGCTTTTTTTTTATCGTGAATGACTTTATTTTTTCAGGGATCTCCTTGCGAAGACGGGTTAACTTCAAGGGTCTACGACATGCTCATACGTTTTCTTGTACGTTCTCAATGCTCAGAGATACTCTGCCAATAAAAATTGTCTCACTTTTGTTGTGTAACACACATAATCCCTCGGGAGAATTACGAAATTGAATTTAAGTGCTAGAAAATGTCATTCGCTGCAGCGTAGCGCCTGAAACATTGCTCCCAACGGGACGAAACGTCGCGACCTCCACGATGCGTTGATCTATGACATGTTTTAGTGCACATGGGCGACACTCATATTCAAGTAAGACCATAGTTGCGGAGTTGAAGAGTAAAAAGTTCCACGCAATGTTTTTTCGTAAAAAGCCTAAACGAAGAGCTGAGGAACTGTTGCAAAATTTGCAAGCTTTCTATCAGCATTTGGCGTGTTTAGATAACGCTTTTCATTCACTTACCTGACCCAATGATACTTAACTTTGAGTTAGGTAAGTAAATGAAGAGTGCACGAGAGGTGAATGATCAGAAGTTTCCAGCCTGAACAAAGGTGTAGTTGCTGCGACTCTTTCTCAGAGGAGTTGCGGCTACTACACCATTTCACATGCTAGTGTTTACTTACCTGACCCAGTGATACATACCTTTGGGTCAGGTAAAGAAGTGACAGTCTCTCAAAAAAAAAGTGTAGCTGCACCTCTTTTTTCCGTAAGCGTTGCGGCTATTGTGCCATTTCTCAGCCATACTTACCTGACCCAATGATACATACCTTTGGGTTAGGTAAGTAAATGACAAGTACACCAATCACTCAATGAGAGAATCATAACAGAAGTTCTTACTGAGTAATGGTATACTGCAACCCTTTTCCCGCGAAGAGTGGCTACTATACCTTTCTTAAGGCTAGAATTCTGTGCCAGCCTGCACAGGCGCCTGATCAGAATGCAGCAAATGGGCGCTAGTTTTGAATTAGTTTACGAGCTGTAGCTTCCACGGCCCGTACACGATGGCCATCGTAGCTGATTTATGCGCTCAGTGTGCATGCAGCGCAGCACACATGGTGGCCATGTTGCTGTGCTGCGTAGATTCACTAGCGCTCCTCAGCTCGTCGCTCTCTCCAGTTCTCTCCACATACATAGTATCATGTGGACGGATCACACATTGCCTCCTCTGCGCACTCCATATATATTTCAGCGCCAGGCGTGCACTGAGTTATGGCCTAACGATGATTTGTTGCCGATATACCGAAGGCCACCACGCGCTCTCTGATGGACTCGGGGATGTCCCGAGCGCATCATAGCGCGCATGGTCCTCGCTTTTGTGTTGTCGTTGAATCTGGTAGCTGCGGTCTTTGTGCTCAAATCGGCTAAAGTTCTACTGCTCTACTGAATGCTCTCAATCGCTCTTTCTTTCTCCCTTGTCCTAACATTTTGCTGATACTGTTAGATATCATTTCTTCATATGACGCCAAACTCTATTCTCTAACGGTAGGTCGATTGTCTTCTCAAAATGTGCATTTTTCACTAACAAAAAAAAAAGCACAACTTCCGTTACTGGTAAAAGTGGATTAATGTGCAAAATCCTGAGTCTACTCTTATAGTTTCAATGAAGTGCTCAGAGCACAAGGCCAGTAAGGTTCAAAAATATTTTCACACAGTATCTTGGCATATTTCCAATTCTAGACATCCTACAGTTTCAGTACTTTGGTTGCGATTAGAAAAATGTGCTTCGCAGCTTTTGAAATTGTCAAAGTTAGTCTCTGTGTCGCTTTCCGCACTGAGTGGGGTGAGCGGGCGTGGCGCGGACTACCACTAAGCCAATCGCCGCTCAGATCCGTGGAGACAAAAATTTAAGCAATGATTGGCTGCTCGGCCGCATAAGGCTTGCCTATTTCAAGGAAACCTGCAAGACACTTTCATTACAAGCTCCATATCGTAAATACGTTTTCAGATTAATGATTTCTGCATTCACAGGCTAAAAATTTCTAGAAAAAATTACAGTTGAAAGTTGGCAAATCCGAAGCCTGAGTTTATCTCGCGTGAATGATCACTACTAAAAAACCTTGAAATCTAGTTTTATAATAATATCTTCGTACATGAATTAATCCCCAAGAAAGATTTACCATTGCAGCTTCAAAAGTGATACTATTTTTGTGATAACGAATTACTGTGGTAAAACAAGGGGAGCTCGTTTTAGAAGCAGATATGCTCTTCCGAAACTCCAAAACGTGTTTACTCATACACATGAATTGCGCAACAATATCAATCTCACCATCTTAGCACTTGACATCGCTTACGTAACCGATAAATTCTAGTAAACGAGAGATCTTGCAGATAATCCCTATTAACTCAGATAGTACCAATTTAGTCTTCCTTTTGGGAGAAGAATTTTCATGTTTTGGAGTTTAACTAACATCTTTTATTAGTTATATCTTACAAAAATGACGTAAAGCATGCGAAACGTTTTCCTTTTCCCTTCCTATTTACACACTTCATTTTCGGAAAATTATAAAATGAGATGCACCTACTGAAAAATTTCCGGAATAGATTCATGGATTATTTCTCTCGAAAAAAAAGTTTATTGCATAACCCTTGTGAATGAATTCGTTTTTGCTCAAGCAAAATAACTTGGCCATCATATCTCGAAGTAGCTCCCTGAGTCAGCTCAATGGCATTTTTTTTTCTTTCAGCTGTAAAAATTTTTATCTAGTTGTTTTCATCATGAAGTAGCAACATAATAAGGAAAACATCAATAGTTGTCGATCAGCTACCAGCTATAGATGGTAATAGCAGTACAGATTCTGCAGCTGCAAAACACTACACTTCTAGTCATTATTTGTACCAAACAAGCCTTTGTTGATACAGCTGATCGAAGGTTTCAGTCTGCAACGAACGAACATTCATAAAAATCTGAATGCTCATTGGCTTTTTGAAATGTACATTCATTTGTTTGCGTCTGCTTTGTTCACACTTAGCTGAAGCCTTTTGCAAAATTGCGAGACCTCAGTTTGAAAACCAAAAAAAGTTCAGGCGAACATATCTAATATCAGACAAAATTTCGTGAACTGGCTCACCTTGGTGCATTTTGCAAAAGATTAGATTGTTTTGATTTACTATTACTACCCAACTACCCTAGAATCGTGTAGGGTAAGTCCGCCTACAGATAGAATTGGATTTTTAAAGAAAATTTCCATGGATCTACAAGAACACAGGGTGTTGTCGAAAGCCCTGCAGGGAGGAAAGCGGACACCAACTATCATTTGTGAATCATCAAGATCTTTGTCATTGATAGCCATATGCTGATCGCAATCTTTCAGTCTTTTTTCAAGACTGTGATTCCTCTTTAATTTCACAATCCTGTCCGCCACCGAAGTATCTACACCTATCAGAGAAAATTCTCTCATTGAATTTTCTCAAAATAAGATCATGTCCCAATCACTTTTTGGAACCATGCTCTCGATCCAAACGATTTTGGCAACTGTCAGTAAGGAACCGGATAGGTATTATTGAAATGTACTTATTGGGTTCGTTCATAAGTCTTGCCCCTCCTCCTCCCCCCCCCCCCCTCCTAAAAATGAAAATTCGTTTCAAGAATGAATAACACAATTTTTCTTCCACCAGAGCAAGTAAAATTATGTAAGTTTGTTGAAACCAAAGGAGATCACGATTTTCCAAAAATTTCGACGCATAACTTACGGACAGGCAAGACACGGACATTAGGCAAAAATTCATTTTTTTAAGAATCAAAGATACGCTCCGCCTTTAAGCTTTACGGCTGCAGAGACAACGAAAAGGAGGAAACGGAGACAAAATTCGATTTTTACAAAAGAAAGTGCGTGAGGATTGGGCTTTACCCTTGCATGTGTACGTTCTGTCGCCTAAGCCTGCCCTTTATCATGAACCACCTTGATATTTCAAATTGTTGCTAGTTCAGCATATGAAACTTTTCGATGAGCAGATCCATTCTCGACGACGACTTCCAGCATAGTTTGGTAGTTACGTAAGTGAGTTCGCTAGCAGGGAACTACTAATTCGATCGTATTCGTTCATGCAAACAATTCAATCTCGAAGATTAGCTATGGGCCCGCGTTGCTGGAGTTTACACTTGCCAGAAGCTGGCTGATTGCTCTTCACATAAGAAAGATATCTTCAAATATAATTTCCTCCCAATTGAGGATTCTGAGATTTTGTTGCTAATAGCAGGATTCCAAACTAGAAAATAGTCCAAATCCCGTTACAAAAGATGAATTTCGAAACGAGAAAATCGTTCCTGAAGGAGGAAGCGGCCGAGGTCGCTCCGCCCATAACGTGAGTGGCCTGGAGATAATAAGCCAAACAGTAGGCTTTAGGGTAGAGAAAATGTCAAAAATCTGATAATCATATGGGCGGACTTGTGACTACTCTGAGTATATTGAAAACCCGATTCTGGACTCTTCATGCTAGACCACCACGTTGATGGGCGGAGCCACCTGGGCCACTTCCACTTTCTGAAGCGTTTTTTCGCCTCAGAATCCATCTTTCGCGACAGGACTTGGGCAATTACTTTTAATGGCCCTGCTATTATACAGCGTCAAAAATCTCACCAACCTCAATTTGAGTGGACGGTGCCTCCTAAGCATGAAGATGTTCTTCAGTGCTGTAGTGGTCGCTGCTCATGTCTGACCCCCTGTAATTGTGGTCGGCACCGGGCTTTCATCCGTCGCTCTCGTTCGGGTCAACTGCCCAGCGATAAGACGGCCAAGGTTGGCGCATCGTTATGCCGACGTCGAGACCGTTAATGACTAGTTGAGGTAGTAATGCGGACTTGAGTCAACACAATAATCTCCGCTAGTTTCAGCCAGAGGAACATTACTCCAAGGTTGACCTCCTGACTCTTGCTGTGGATGCCACATATTTTGGTTGAAGGCAACAAAAATTCCCTTGCACTCAAAGTCGCCCCTAATTAAAGTGACTTAGATTTGCTGAGATTCTTGTGAGAAAACTCTTCTTGTGTGTGTGTAAATGCCTGCATAACCAATAAGACCATGTTAACTCGTCTTTTATGCACTCGCTGCAAAAGGTCCGTTAGTCCATCACTTCAAAAGCAGTAGCAGAAGATCATATTTATGCCTCTACTCAAGTCAAGCACTTTTACCCATCTCGAGAAGTATTTTTGTCTTGCTGTCACTCAACCGTACTAGTAGCAAATGAAATTGACAAGTAGAGCAATTTTTACCTGGTACTGATAGAACTTTCGGAAACCGCCCCGCATTCACGCGGTGGTGCTTTCGAGATTTAAAGTAGGAGCAACTCAAAACAGTAAACGATTTTTTGAAAGTGTTTGAAAACTATACAGAGCTTAAGACTGACAACCTTATCTAGGACCAAAGCAATCTCTCTTCATTGAGTATGTTGAGTCTTTTCAGCGACCATAAAGTTTTTATTTCCCTTAAAGCCACTGAAAAAGGTGTTGAAAAAGTCACGCTCTTTATACGGAAGTGCTTTGTCTTCTTTTCTTCTATCCCTCAATCCATTTTAGTTTTTCTGGAAAGTTTAACAATGAGACCATTACGCATACATTGAAACATGGATGAAATACTAACGGAAACCTCTTGAATTCGCTGACTAAGCACCTTCTTTCCACGTCTACAGTTGTCTGACAACACAAGAAGCACCATGAATACCTTCCTTGGGTATAACTTCTTAAGTCTCGTTTCCCCGTACAAAAGGCAGTGTTTCAAAAGATTCAGTGCCAGGCTCTACCCATGAAGCTCCGGTGCATTCAATGGAAGAATGACATTACTGTTCACATGTGCTGACTAACGCAACACAAAGCCCGGCTGCGGTACTCTTCAGTTACGGGGGCCCCGTCGACCACGCCCCGCATACATGGCGGGGAGCGGAGAGGGCGGGGCTCGGCAGTGCCAGATGCACTGGTTCCTTGTGATGATGCATCACAAATCCTCATGTTTTTGCTCGATTAGCTTACTGATGGGGGAAATTAGGGGGGGGGGGGGGAGGAGCGCATTCGTTTTTATTCGCACTACTCTACTTGGTGTTTATTCTCATTGTTTGCGTAAATTTTAACTTTGTATTAGGTACTTTTCTTGCGGCAGCATTTTCGTTTAAAGTACGGTAGAAGTACGGTAGCGTTACGGTAGCCCTGATCGTCAAAGTCTTGTATATCCATGTTTTTTGTTGCACTTTTTTGAGAATTTTTAAGTGTAATTGTATCAAACCTGGCAAGAACTCTGTGCTCATTTTGTCTATTCAAGGCCCTTTTGCAGCGATTTCACCAGGGGTACGGTAGCATCACGGTAACTATAGTTCAAAGTCCACATTTTACCTTAATTTCTGCTCTTTTTACGAGAATTTCCAGCTGCAAGTTGAGCAAAACTATGAATAGCTCCAGTTCTCCATATCATCTAATCCAAGACTTCTCATATTGCAAAAATTAATGAATATCGTCGTATCAGAAGTCATCCCTCCCATTCCGAATCCGAATGGCCAGCTTCAAAGTGATATATTTCCGTTCTGAAGCGAACATCACTTTATCTTGCTTCCGCGTTCGTCTCTCGCTCTTCCTCTCGTATTAATCTCCTTTATAATCTCTCGTGCTGGCATTCGTGGACTTGGGACCACATAAATATCATTTGAGCTTATAAATATGTCCTATTCTTCTCAGAATAATGCATGTTTTCTGGAGATTAGGCGATTGAAAGGGCTATTCATGGAACTTGTTTACTGGGGAATCGACAGCTTCTTCTGGTCATATTTTATGTCAGCAAAAAATGGTATTTTGTGTCTAACATAATATTTTTCTTGCAAAAATCACTCTTCTAGAAAATATAAAAATCCTCTTTGAAACCGTACGATTTCTTCAGCCATATCTATCCAATCTGACTGACATTTTATTTCCCCAATTCGTGTCCATCAAACTCGTTTATACTCATTGTTCAAGCTTAGATGAATCAACTATGATGGCCCATTTCTATTAGGTCCTTAGAGATTTGCCCTTTTCCCCCTAGTTTCATAGCGTTATCGCCCCTTCTGATCTGCATATTCCGTACGTCTTAATAGAATCAACGCGACACACGTCCATCTTAGATACTTTGCGCCATTATTCCATCATTCCAACTTCGTCTCCCGAAGCGAAGAAGCTTATGAAAGCTGGTTTTATAGTTTTCTAATTACTATATTACCCTTTGGCCTCTGATCAATCGGGCAAGATCGTCGTCTGACCTGCATCAATATTTACTTTTCCTCCTATCACTAAGGTGGACACCACACCGCTAATCGACTCATCGCTGTGTCTGTTTGGGCAAGCTCAACCAGCAACTTTGTTCCCCTACTAGCTTCCTTATAAGGAACTTTGGGGGGAGGAGAAAAGAACCCAAGTCAAATTTTTGCGCCCTTTCGACCCCAGTTAGAGCTAAAGCTGAGGATTACACTATAGTATCCTAGCTTGACTTAATTATGAACTTTTTTGCGTTTTAATGAAGCAAAGATAGAAATATTGTCCTAAAATTTAACAGAGGAGTAGTTGTAAAGGGTTTAACTCACTAAAAAACCACATCTTATCCTTCCTTATTCCATTTCGATACTTGGAGGGGTGTAAGATCGTAGGGCTCTTTAGACTCCTCATTTTCTAAAAAAGTCCGCTAGACCTAACTCATGAAATTTGAACATCTTCGGTCGTAGTTACGGCCCCGAAGATATTGAGATATTTTTAAAAATTACCGTTACCCTTAAAAGTATCCAAGAAGGGAGGAGAGCAGTTGCTGGAATATTTTCCAAAATAAGGCATGAAATCAACTTTCCTCCTGAGCTTTTTACGAGCTGCAAATTCGATTTTGGCTTTTAGTTAAGATACTGGATTATTTCAAAAGTCTTACCTTCTAGTAATTATCTGTGGAAAAATTGCAATATACTATTACCCAGCGGCCCCTAAAAGCGACTCCGATGAACCTAAATAGGATCTGTAGATGGACGGTCCAATCAAGGATGTATATGCTGTATATGCTTGTCAAAAAGTCTATAAAGCTTAAATTCTAAAATTGACCGAATTTCGACAAAACCCTTAGTCATGAAAATCCAAAATTTGTACATACTGCCATGTTGTCTATCGCCACTATATATATTTCAAAATCTCAATTATCTAATCAGTCAATAGCAACCCACTTTTGTCAAAAATATTGCAAACTATTGTTACTAATCTCATCCACAAAAAAGTGTAAAAATATGCTTTAGCGTAGCGCGAAGCGCTAATTATGCAGCGTACGCGGCAATTTTTCTCTCCTCATTTGCATGACTACACTTCGTCTTCGATGTGTCTTGGGTTTACTACATTTTTTGTCCTGCATGCAGCAGCTTTTAATTGCTCTGAACTTATCCGCTAGAGTTTGCTATACTGACAGCACCATTCTATTCTAAAAATCCCAAGGGAGTGCCTAATTGCTAAATTGGTTCAATCCCAACTCCTCAAGAAGAGAGCCGTAGGAGGGTAGAACAACAACTTGGAGATTTTATAGGCTTGAGGACTTTCAACTGGATGTTTTTTCTTACCCAAAGGTCCACGAACTCTTATAAAAGTCTCTAAAAATTTATCAACTTGTTGTCAACTCTCTGAAATCATCCAACTGCATACAAACAACTATGTAAAATGAAATTAAAACAGAAAAGGAAGATATAAGGGATTCACATTTTTCTCAACAAAAAAAACTGGACGGAGATAAAAAAAGTATTGTTGCGTTAGACTAGCTGTTATTAGATTTTCTCCAAAATTTAGATGCACTAAAAATTTCAAAGTTTTTGATTTAAATTATTGAATAAAAACCAGTTCCATAATTTTCGGTCTATTGTAAGAGGTTTCAAATGCATGATCCTGAGTTTTTCTGAGGTTTTTTTCATTTCTGAGGTAGCTTTTTTGTAAAAAATCTTACTAATATTTGGATGCACTACGAATTAGTCATAATTTCCAGTGTGTTATAAAAATATCATGCTTATAGGTGCGCGTTCTTGAATTTTTAAACATTTTCATTTTTGATGAGTACAACCCTTAACCTTGGCATTATTGATGAAATTTTCATCATTCAAGGGATACTTCATTGTTGTTTTCTGTTATATATTTTTTATTGCAAAAAGAAGAACTGAAACTACACCCCAATATTTCACTTTTTTCCTCGTCGCCTTTTGCTGATTTGTTTTGGTTAAATCTCATACTAAATGAATTGTTCTCCTAAAGAGATGAGTGACCGAGTTCGACGACGCCGTAGCCGAGAACTACGAGTCCCTCGTCAGGACGGTGGTCTCTCACCAGCTTCACGACTTCGTATCGCTGCTGATGTTCATCGCCATTCCACCAGTGACGATGATTCTGGCTGTGTTCTTGAAGAATACGCATGGATACCGAGTGGATTGAAGCCTAATGTGGTTGGTACTCTAGTTCAGAAAAGAGATTTGGCCCTAAAAATTGTGAGTTTTTCAGGTCCACATGTATTTTGCCTCGTTACCCGAGGAAAAAGTCCCCTATGTGAACAGCGTTGGCGAAAAATGGCGGTTGCGACAGTTACGACATCAGCTTCCACCACAGGACTCGGATCCTCGCTATTGTTCTCGCCTAACTCGAGAGGAAGAAGATGAACTAAGGTAGCGAAAATTGGTCCCTTTCCACCCCAAGGATCAATCAACCCTATCCTCTCAGGCTCTTCGAGCGTCGTCGCAAAGCTGAATGTCTCGGACGAGGTTCGGTGGATCGAGTGCCTTACGATGGTCGAGTTAGGAATTGTGGGAGCGTAAGTTACCCGCTGTGCTATTCCCATGTCACATTTGATTCCTCGATACCGTTTTCGATGAGTGCGCACTATAACGAGTCGTAAACGAACCGGCTCTATTTTGGCTATGGCTAGAGAGCGTAAATTTGCGGGAATCTTCAAGCAAAACGCGGGAGAGAAGGGGGAGGGGGGCGGTAGCTAGGAAATGTTGTGAGGAATTTTTTGAGCTTTTTTTGCGAGATTTGGATCTCTAACACGCTCAGGATTACGGTATATAGATTTTTGAATCAATGACACGCGTAAGGTATACGTGCAAAACGCGAAAATAACTTCAAAGCTCCACTCACTTCTGTAAATCGCCACTCTATCCTGTCAGGACCTGCATATGCCAAGATCCCAGTCCGCCGTTTTTGCAGCTGAAAATATGGAACTCTGAAAGAAGAAGCAAAGTTTCAGTAGAAAATTTTTTGAGAAACCCTCTACAGTACCAACGCGCAAGCTATTTCTACCCATTTTCACCAGCTACCAATTCCTTTTCCTGTCCCAAAACCCATCCCAACAAGGTCCTCCAAGTCTCCTTGACTTTCTACTTCACGCAAAGGTATCCCTCTTCTTCCCCCCCCCTACCCCCAAAAAAATTGCATTTGGATGACATTCGCGCATGACGCATCGGTCCGTCCGCGTCCGTCTCGCTCCGTTTTACCGCATGATTCATTTGCGATGGATTTGTGGTCGCCTCGCACCAGACGGGGGATCGTGGCCCCGATCGTAAAAAACGGGGTCCGCAAACATTGCGGTCCGTTTCTTATACCGCGTAGCTGGTTGTATATCTTATCGTATGAGCGATGATTTGGCTGTGGAAGCAGTGGTTGAGCTTGCGGGTTCTGGGAGAGGAAAAGAGGGGGACGGGGGGGGGGGAGGGGGGATGCACTGGAATTGCGTGATGTTATTCAATTTTTCACTGCTATTTACTCCAGCGCCGTGGTATCGATGAGAATTCTATGCGATGATAAACACAAGATTGCGAAAACTGAAAAAAAAGAACTTGAGAGGGGGGGATTAAATTTGTGTTTATTTTTATTATTATGATATTTATGTAAATCCAAGTCTTACATAAAGACAAATATTTCTAGAATTTTGCACTGAACAGATATCCTTTTGCGGCGAGATTTCCGCCAGGAGTACGGTAGCGTTACGGTAGTGCCACGGTATCTTTTGCCGCCAAAGTCCCGTTTTCAATTTTTTTCCCGCGTTTTTTACCGAATCACCTTTCCTTTCCTATCTGAGAATCCCAAGAAAATCCATTTTCTTCCCAGATCTTGTCTCAATGATTGTTTGACCTTAGTTGAACACCAGCCAGCTCTCCTCTCATCTGACAGATGGACGGTGCCACTGTCATAGCTCATCCATTCAGGATATGCCTAATTGCCGGTCACTTGAGAACCCGCAATGCCCCGGCCCAAACATCATGCCGGCTTTGTTGTCGACTTTTGATGGTCGTCTTTTACCCGAGCTGTAGAAGTGGAGTGGAAATAGGTCGCAGTTGACATGCGCCATAGAGTTTAGAGGGGCATCCGAGAGAAGAGGAGAATTTGACTTGATTGAGAAGTCTGACAAAGGGATTTAAAAACTTGAAATGATGACGAGTCGGCCTACTTTGGGTATCCTATTTTGCATATTCAAGCAAACAACTTGCAATTCAGATCGGAATAGATTCAATGTAGTTTTTGCTCTCAATCTACTCGTGTTTTTTTTGGATTATTTCCATAAAATAACAAAAATCGCCAATTGTGCTAGCAAATCTGAAGAGAAAGAAAAAAAAAGAGAAAATTTCGCAAGCATCACACCTAGAATATAAATTTGAATAGTCTTTACCTTCTACCCTGAATTCCATCACTTTAATCATTCCTGGCACTACAAAAGTATTTTAGTAGAAAAGCAACTGCAGTAGGATTACGATAGAGATACGGTAACAGGTCAAATCGCAGATTCGCGAAAAAATGTCACAGAAATTGGAAATATTGGTGTAAAAATTTTCGCATGACTTCTTGAATGCAATATTTTTGGATCAGTCATTGGTTTTTAGATCAAAGATTTTTCTACCGAAAGGACATTATGTCAATTTGCGGTACTGCAGAGCATAATTTGATTCTTGTACTCTGATTATCGGGACTTTTTGAAAAATTTTGATAAGCATTTTCTTCGGACTATTACCCACTTGCTTTTTTATTCTATATTCCAAACAAAGCACTTTTCAATTCATGTCGCGACTATCCGCTATTTGTCATTCATCTCGGCGCCAGTGTCAAAAAAGCGCTAAACACTGCCAGTCATACGATCGCAAAGTTTGTCCTGCGTCCGCAATTACGGTCGGATATTAAACGTACCAAAGTGGTCGTTCTTGCGCATCGGGGCGATTTCGAGCTACGAGTGAAGAGCGGCCTCGTTAACGGTCACGATTGCGCTTTTGCACAGTTGAGCGCGAAAGAGCCTGCAGGAGGTCGGTCGTAAAACTCGTAAAATTCCCGTAGATAGCCAAACAAGTCATTGATTTGATGGGAAGGAAGAATAGGGCACGATAGGGGAGGGAGGAAGGGGAGATTATTCTAGAAAAATAGCTAAAGGGACAGCGATTCGCGTTGATGAGCTGAACAGATTGTCTCATTCGGATCCAGGATCTATCATTCTGAAAAGCGCTATATGCTGCGTAATTTGCGTGATTCGCGTGATTTCGCGGATTTTCGCGAAGTCAACGAACTTCTGCGGAAGGTCGCGACAACCACGAAAATTTGCACGTTTTGTGAGCGGAAATTTACAGCATCTACATCAAATTTTTTTGATCTACTCTCGGGGTCAAAACTGTGCCAAAACTGTAGCATAAGCTGATGTTTACCCAATGCATGGATGCCTGTCAGAGTGCATCTGTCACTCGACGGGTTCTTCGGACCCGGGTATCGTTTTCCCCCTAGCGCTTGACCCCCTCGCGCATCGGGGCGCAGCTGCCCCAACGTAGTGCTTAGCGCCACCGCCGCTACCGAAAAGGCAAATCTCGTTGACGCTTGGGATAATCGCCATAAAACGTGCTGAGGCGGTAAGATAGAGAGCTACGGTCGGATTACTGGTTAGGGTAACAGAACTGAGGTCATCGGGGGAGTTTGGGAGGTTGGGGGAGAGTTTGGGAAGGATTGTGGGGAAGAGGATCCTAGTCTGCGCAGGAATCAGCGGAGTTTATAGTCGCTGCAACTTTTTGGAGAGAGTCGCTGCAACTTTTTGGAGAGAGTCGCTGCAACTTTCACCCCCACCGCGCACTTTCTCCTATTTTTTTTCATTTTTTTTCTAGGAGAGGAGGGCGTGATGTGCCCCATAATGGAAACAATGTCCAACACAAGATACCCCATGAATCATTCTCAGCGTGACTCGAATGATCTATGCCATAGCGCATGCAAATCAGCCCCATCGTACATTGTGTGCACTGCACACTGTGGATAGCCGAATGTTATCCAGCGATGAGCCGAATATTTGCGAACCCGGGTCCATTACTTTGGGGAGGATTGGCGTGAGAGATCCGCACTTGAATGTGAAATCGTGAAATATGAGCTCGTATTGTCTGTTGCACATTGGATCCAGCTTTGATACGTTCGAACATAATTTATCTTTCAAAAAACTTCGCAAAAAATCTGGTGAGGAAGGAAAGGGGTAGAAAGGTGTATTAAAGATATCTAAATCCAAAATTCATCAAATCTTGTCATTGTCACTTCCATAAAAAAGGAAAGTACAATGTGCGCTATTTAGCGATTCTATTTAGGAGAGTGCGAGAAAATGCAGTAGTCTTTGAAGCTTTATTTCTGGATTTGATTGGCAGAAACGTCCGCCAAAGCACAGCGCGAAAAGTCGGTATCAGGAAAAAAAATTACGAAATTTTCATTGTCCAAAAATTTCCATTTCTGGTGAGTAGATTGGGCAGGCTGAGACATTCAGAGATAAAAGAGAATAAAGAGGGATATATAGAGAGCGAGATAAAAAGGGACATCGAAGAAATTGTCATTAGAATCCAATGTGAGAAAAGAGAAGTCAGAAATTGGCATTTTCCTCTGCTAATGATTATTACAAGCTAATAGTCAATCTATAGATCTCCCGCAATATTTTGAGGGATTTATTTTGGTAAAACTTGCCAACATCAGAGATTTTGAGAAAAATCCTTTTCAGGATATGATTGCTTGCGCTAGCATAAACTGGGACCAAAAATTATTCTCCTACAATTACTTCTGTCAATATCATAATTATTTCCAAGTTGGCTGGTGTGTCACGAGTTGAGCAAAAATAGCGCAAGAAAAAAAATTTTTTTAATTGATTCCACATGTTCATTACTGGATTAAGCATATACAAACTTCTGTCATGACCTCTAATGGAAAACTGTATATCAACTCTAGAAATAATTGGTTTAGTGCTCCGGAATTCTCGAAGAAGGCGAGCTATGCGTCATTGCCAGTAGAGCCGACAGCGTCTTCCATCCAGCTTGTTTCCAGTGTACAGAATGTTCCACTCTTCTGGTCGATTTGATCTACTTCTCCCATAATAACAAGGTAAATCTCCCAAGGAGTTTCTTATGCTTAAATAAAATCATTACTGTAGGTGTACTGTGGCCGCCATCATGCCGAACAATTCAAGCCTCGATGCGCCAAATGCGATGAGGTAAGCGATGTTGACTTCTGTTTATTTTCGGAACAATGGCAAGTGTGTCGATCTCTTTGTATCCAATGCGCTTTCATCTCGCGGGTTTCGCTCTTTTCCCGACACATCTGGCCTGGCAGCGGCTTATTTTGCCGCATTAATGCGTATCGCAACACGTGCGTACTGTTTATAGCGATGAAATGACGGAAGTTTATGTGACCGCCGCGCGGTGGCGGCGCGAATCGAGAACGCTTAGAAGGGTGCGACCACCGGGCCTCCGTTCAACTCTCTTGACGGCTCGAGTAGACTCTGAAGAGCAGTAATTATGATGTCTTGGCACCTGGCCAACTTCTCTCGGAATTATACAGTTACTCACCACCTGCGTTTGGGCAGAGATTTTTCCATGAGGCTCTTGAACATGGACAGAATTGAGAACTGAGATCCTGCAACAACAACAAATTATTGATCCAAATAGATCGAAATAATAACAGGTATATTCTCAACCTCGATAAGCAGGATTTTAATACTTCGAAGCTCTTCAAAAATTTAGATTTTTTTAAACCAAAGCTCAAGGTTCCCCATAATAACAAAATTTTTCACAGAAAAATGAATAGCAAATATGTCAAAAAAAATTTTGCATAACAGTAGCCATTCGCAAGCCAGCACTATATAGCACTAATTTTCATAAGGACGAATTTTTGTAAATTGTGAATCATTCTGTGTTTTCACCGAACAGGCAAAGTTGAGAAAATTATTCGCACGTCTGAATCATAGCATTGGATTTTTGAACTGGAAATTGATTGATCAAATGTTTCGCTTGAACTCACTTACTGAATTTTTTTCCAATTCTCCAATCTCCAAACCTGTAGATATTCACAAGAATTAGAAAACGCTAATTAGCGTCGAAAATCAATTTCGAAAAAGCGAAATTTCTTTTACTCCAAAGTCGCCATATTTTATTGCTACAGAACTACCTTTCAGGATGGGATTCGACAGAATATTGAACTGTCACTTGCAAAATTCTCCCACATCCATTGTCTCCACTTTAGAAAATAAATTCGGGACGTTAAATGGACTTTTTAAAAATCAATTTTTAAAAAAAATAAGACGACTTTTTCCAAGCTAGGTTGCATATCTATAACAACTTCAGATAACCAAACCATTGTTCAGTTTTTATATCTTGAGGCTACACGATCCACGATTAATCCTGCCATACAATCCACTTCTTTATGTCAGTGATGTTGAACTCTACGCTAATTGGTTCAAGATGTTGCGTAGAATTTATGTTTCCTCATCCGTCATTTGAACTTTTCTTGCAAGTGAAGGGTGCCTCGTTGTGAAGTTGGGGAAATGTCGGAAGAAAAATGGAAAAAAAAAACGAGAATGTACACTATGTTTTTGTAAGAGTTGTGCGAGTTATTTTAGCAGTGGATGAGGAGGAAAGCTTACCGTTGGGTCATTTGCAATTTGATGTGAGTTTGCACACTGCGCGCAGCAACCAACGACACCTTACTATAACTCGTCGGTATAGTTATTTTTAGCGGAATTAGCTGTGAAAGGTGTACAACGCCTAATACATAACCAATTCAACCAAAAAGAGAGGAAACAATGAGAAATTCGCGAAATCTCAAGTTTCTGATCTTGCAAGTCGTGAAGTAGCATGGGCGGTGTGCAACCACACATTTTGAGCTTCAAATGTCTCAAACTCATCTCATTAGCATATTTCACCACCCCATCCATCCCACAGCCCTTTACGCTTGTTAATTTAAGCCATCATCACCCCAACTCTGATAAGCATCTAAGATTGCCGCCGGGTCAATCATCGAACGAAGATGAAAGCAATGGATGCTGTCGACAATCTCAGGCTGTTCCATGGCATCAGCAGATGCAAATGAGCTCTGCTGACAGCGCACCGTATGGGCGACGTATACCGAACGTCGCGTATTTACCCATGCTTACGTATGCATTGGATACCCTACCCATCACGGATCGGACGATGCGCTCAACTGTTACGTGTTTGAGGGCTATTCACTATGCTCTCGCAATGTTTGCACGGATTACCAGATGGTTAAGTAACACCAGACACTCGAACAGACGAGATCCGGGTGGAAGCGCTGAGCTATGGATGGAAAAGCAGACTGTGTAGAAACAAACATTGTCAGTAAAAAAGTCTGACATCTTTTTTGTGGCTGAGCAAAATCACGAAAAGCCCGTCCATTATCAGTGTACAGCAGTGACCGCTCTAATTTTTTCAAAGTGTCGGGAGCATTCTCAGATGGGGTGATAGCAGTCGCAAAAATACTGCAATCTGTAAACAAAAATTATATGCACGGGTTTATGACTCACATAATCCAAGAACATTCTATTTTTTTGGAGGGGGGGGGAGAGGGGAAAGGACGAGCAGACATACTTACGCATTGTTATAGCTTTTTCAGAAGTATATGACCAAACTGATCTTCGCAGAAGTTACAAAAATTGCAGCTGTTTAGGGATAAAAGTTATCTGCGTATACCTATAGCTCATTCAAATACTTTTCAAGCATTTTTCTAACCTTTTCGGGGGGGGGGGGGGGGAGAAGGGCATGAGATACAATTTCTACAAATGGTCTTTTTGTTTTGTTTCTACTCTAGCTTTTTCCAAAGTGAATAGCAACAGATATAGGGAAAATATGCCTCAACTGTTGAGGCAAGCTCGTTCGATATATGCAGTACAGTAATCCGTAAGTATACGGTATGCATACGATAGGAGGGATGCATACGGTAGTAGGAGGTACATATACGGTAGGCCCTGAATGATTACCAAATAAATATCTTCCGTATGAAGGTATGAACGCGTTCGATATGTGCAGTACAGTAATCTGTACAGATACTTTGCATACGGTAGGAGAGAATTTGCTTGATTTTATGGTGCCAAATTTCCATGGCCGCATATTATTCACAAAAGCAGAATGATCACGCACGGTACACCTACCATATCGCGATTTATGATGTGAAGTATGGTAAAAAAAAGTTCTTTAAACCAGTTGATCACACAATCCCTCTTCTTTTCCTTGCAGAAATTTTGAGCGCTTTTCGAATAATTTTCCTTTTCGTTTTCCTAATTCAGTTTTTCTTATTTGTCAAACTGTACGAGGAAGAAAAAATAATAAAATCATGAGGTCGCTTTTACTCTATTCCAGTCTTTCTAATCAAAACTTCCTTTCACCTATAATTTCAGCTGATATTTGGCGAGGAATGCACAGAAGCAGAGGGTAGAACATGGCATCTAAATCACTTTCAATGTACCGACTGTTCCAAAGAGCTAGGAGGTCAAAAGTATATGCAAAGGTAATCCTAACTTTTCTAACCTCACCCCCGAGCCAATTATTTTCCTATTTAGAAATAACAAACCAGTATGCCTTGGATGTTTCCACTCCGAAGGCTCATCGTCATTGTCGTGTGCCACATGTAATGGAGCGATTCCTATTGAGAATCCCCACATTTCCCAGGTTAGTTCTTTTTGACGAAACATTTACAACCTGCAAAGCACCAAATTCCAGGGTGATAAGAGCTGGCACGCTGATCGACGCTGTTTTTGTTGTTCCGTGTGCGGGAAAAACCTGTTGGGAAAGAAGTATAGCTTAGTGGATAAGAGTCTGTATTGTGGATATAAGACTTGTGGTGGAGAGGGTAAGCTAGAATTTTAATCACAATCTCTAAAATTTAATTCGACAGACACTTCAAGCAGATAAAATCGCAAATTTTGGTCGAGTTTATTGATGATATTTTTAGAAGAATTATACGATGATGACAGTACCATTCCATGCTCGTCCCCTGCACAACGAAGACCGACATCTGTTTCAACGAGAGGCACAGTTCAAGACAGACGATTTCGAAGCACAGAAAGAATGATTACAGCCAGAAGGTTAGCGTTTTCCATGCTTTAAATGGCCACAAACATTGCAGTACAGTTTGTCACTATTCCTAAAAGCATTATGTGAACATTTAATTCCGGACACCATTACAAGCTCATCAAAAGACGCAAAAACAAGTTTCCAAGGTTTTTCTGAAGTTTAGCAAAAATAAAAAATTCTTTTCACTTCCAAACATGAACATATAGATGTTTATAGAACTTTGACCGTGTACCTATCGTAACTTACAAATTGACTACGGTGGGTATATGGTGAAAGGCCAAAAAGCAGTAACCTAGAAAGTTTTTGACTAGGTATGCTAACATAATGATTATGATGGCAGTGATTTGATGGTGGTTTACGATAGATATGCGGTACTTACACAGAACAGCCGAGTAGGATGGCTTGCAGATGCTAGTCATTACAGCACTGTACGGATATTGGTTAGAATACACTGTGACATTTGAAATGTATTTTCAATTTACTTGGCTTGCTAACGGCTTGCGTGCTATTCTCTTCCTCCTCCCCCCCCCCTCCAATTCAATTTCTCTTTCCACGCAGCAAATTATATGTTATATTGTTAATTATGTTGCGCATTGCAGAATTGAAAATTTGCTTGTAATTAAAAAAAAAATTCAAAAAAAGAGCATTCATTAGTTCTGGTTCTCTGTATACCAATCATTATTACTATCAGTTATGTTTTAGACCACCCACTTTCCCAGCAGCACCTCGTCCTCCTCAGCGAGCCCCACCTCCACCTCCTCCAGCTGAAAATGTATATGAAACCGTACTACCTTCAACAGCACAAAGGATAGAAGCTTTTCGGGAAGAAGTGTCAAGAAATGGCAGAAACCACTACAGTCGCACTCCAGATAGAACACGACGACGGGAAGAGCTAGGATACAGGTAATTTTTACTGCTCAATAACCATACAGAGAGTAATCTAGATTTAATGTCTCAGCTGTTCTAATCACTCGTTCCCAAATTTCATACTGATCAAACATTTGCAGCACATCGTCATCTGACTCAGAAGATGAATCATTCTATATCAACAAACTTCTCGCTGCTGCTTCTCTCAGCCGGGTTTGTTATCATTCTTTCTCAAACATGATGAAAAACTATCCGGAGTTCGCAAACAAATGACTAAAAAAATTCTTTCGTGAACTTTCTACTGTTACTCACTGATTACAAAATATATATAAGAAATGTAGCATTCATTATACAAACACCACTAAAAGACCTTGGCTGAAAACGGCATCAGACCGATACGGGCAAATGAATTGAATTTCAAAGCAAACTAGAATAATTACTGCTCTGTCTAAGCTTTGAAAAAAAGGAATGAAAATCGGATATGGAACATTTGTATGATGAAAGAAGATAACCTTTAAAAAATCTTAATTTCAGAACTCGCAAAAGGGCCTACCACCGCTTTCCACAGTGAAGATAGCGAAGACGAAGAAGAGCAACAGATGCATAGTATCATGATAAGAACCATTTTACAGCAAGAACAATTATAGGAATAAAGCACAAAGATTTAATTATTAGATCGGTAACCGCAAAATTCTACAACTTGGGTGGTACTCGCGCGAATCACCCAAGTGTTCAACATGCTCAAGTGACATTAGAGAAGAGAGGTGTATCAAATCACGAATAGTTTACCATGGAAAGTCAAAAAGTGAGTGTGTGGTGAAGCGAACATTTTCACAACAAAAGAAGCATATCACTGGTGGGTCGGTTCTGACAAAACAGATGATAAACATGCATCATCAAGGCGAGAATGATCGAATAAAACTGTTTGGAATTTTATAAAATAAAACGAGGCGAACCGGATGGGCAATGCTGATAATGGAACGAACCGGAGCACTGAAAAGTGCGAGACGCGACTGCACATTGGAAATAACTACAACTAGTGAAGTGAAGATCTGTTTTGAACACTCTGTAAAACTGACAAACAAGAAAAAGAAGAAAATCACAAGCAGTTAAAATTCTCTACAAAAGAACTAGCTCATCATTGGCGTTACTGGTGCCGACGATTCTCTCATGTCCGGCATGTAACTGCGCGCCATGAGGCAGGCAAACACAGTCATTACCATTTTTGGTTTCACCTAGAACGATTTGCTTCAGATATAACACAGAAGAAAAAAAGAATCAAAAAAGTCTTTTGAGAAATTCTCCATTTTCGACCTATCTTACCTCGACAATGTCCTCAGGCAGTGCATAAATCTTGGCACCGATTTTTCGACCACATGTGATGGCATACTTGGCGTTCTCCATTCTGCTCTCTAAGCTTCCGTCAGTTTTTATCTGAAAATGATCTTACTTTTGAGCAGAATGAAAGGGACGGATTTCGTTTTGACCAACCAAGTTTTGGTTGATAACGTTGGGTTTGATTGCATCGATCAGATCCAAAACAACAATAGCATCCGAGATGCACGGATCTTGGAACGATCGTATTGACGAAGACTTGCCGGAAGACCTCAGCTAAAATCAAAACTATATTTACATCGATCTGTGCAAGAACGTTAAGCAAAATAAAAAATAAATAAATAAATCAAAATAATATGAGTGCCGAATCCCATGCATTAATGCTGCAAACTAAATGCTTGATGTTTGCCTTAATGGCGTCAAAATCCTTGAAAATAACGATGCGATAAGTGAACAACCCGTTACTGGAAACTGTAACGGATGTTTAAAAAGTAGTTAATACCAAGAAAACTGAAGGATTCAAATATCAAATGAATTGAAGTCTGACCTTCTCGTTGACCCATGCTACAATATCTTTATCAGCAGGAAGAGAGTCTCCACTTTGTGTGCACTGAGCAAGTACTGTGAGCGTGTAAGCTCTCATCAACTGCCAAACAAGTGCTAAAATACACCTGATATAATGAGATAACAAAAATTAGAAGCCATACCTAAAGTTAGAGTTGGATTGCCGTCATAGATATCTTTTCCTTGGATACCAACAAGAGAAAATCGTAGTTGTTTGCCGAGTTCAACAGCATAATTGCAATTCTGGATCTGGTCCATCATTCCTCTCAACTTGTGGAACACTTTTACTACTCGTTTCCACTGTACAACTCCCGGTCGAATTATATCGTAGAGCTAGAAAATGCGATAATTCAAATGATATAAGACAAGCCATCAAAACTGGGGGCATTGCGAGAGAAGCAATAAGTATTCATATGTCAAAATGATAAAATCACCTGAAAGATGACCACACCGTTTTGCAGATCGCTGTAGAGCCAATTAACGTAAGGATTCACTCCCATAGAGTTCATCCAATTTCGATAGGTCTTCTCTTCTCGAGTCTCCTCAATCACTTCCTCAACTAAAAAGCAAACGCAAATGCACTGAAGTTCTCTTTTGCAAAAAAGCAAATCAAGGCATACCTATCTCGTCCGCACCAGGGTCTGGCAGTCCAGGATGTTTATTGAACAAATTTGCTACGAACGCCAAGTTCAGCTTATAATTGCCACTAGCAACATCATTGGCTGTCACGAATTCTCGGCAATCCAACTTCTCTGCTTCATCCAGCATTGCGCCAGCTCGTGCCAAATTACCCTAAACGATTTCTTGTTCGAAATTGTAGGAATATTACTGCCTGCCAGATCTAACCTTCAAGCTCAAGGGTGACAAAGTGACACCACAATGCGGAGGTGCGATTTGATGCAGAAGATACGTATAAATTTCAGAGTCGCAGATATCAGTGGTAAAATTGGTCAATCGTCGACCAATGCCAGCCTAGAATAAATCAACAGACGCAAAATGGAGGAACTGGATAAAGGCAAAAAGGGCTCACTCTCTCCAGATGGTAGTTAACCCATCTCATCAGAATTTCTTCTGGTGAAAGCTTTCTCAAATCTTCTAGGGTTTCACCTTCTTGCAACAATCGGAACAGACCAGGACAATGTTGAAGATCAATTTGGTTGAATAGACCTATCTAGAATGACAATCATTCCACATACTGTGGCCTAAAAAGAAAGAAAATGAAGCCAATCGACTTCAACTGACTCTGATAATCTGCCAAAGTAGGCCCAGAACAAGATGGGGTGTTCCTTTGCTAAGATCTACATTGCCGATGTTGGTTATGTTACATCCAATAGCCTAAATCGCATAGATTTACGCGAAATGTAGAAGTAAGAAAAGGCAAACCTGAGCTGACAACAGGCCCAGCGTGAGATTTTCGAGCTTTGTATAGGTATTGAGGTTCTTCTTGTTGATAGCTCTTTCATCAATTGTGCCGGATACTGCCAAATTCACCAGTTTACTGTAACGATTCTTTACATAAGAAATGGATTTTCTGTCCAGGTTTCTTGTTATACAAGCGAATCAAATCAAGATGAGTGGGTACCCCTTACTCAGGAAAGGTGAAGAGCATCAAGTTGAATCATTGGAAAAAGAAGACATGTCTCATATGATTCAATTTCATATCACTCGCCTTCCAAACTTCAAAGCAAAAATAACTTTATGCCTAGTGAGATTGCTGTCGCTTCTACACATTTATTTATAATATGAAATCGAAGAAATAAGCAAAGCAACGAGGAAATCAGTGAAAGAATTTTTGATGAATCTCGAGCGCGTCGACTCATCAGTTCTATCTGACCATAAAGTCTCTTCCCTCATTCTCTTCTATCAACTATATCAGAACTTTTTCTACTTGTCATCTTTGTGATACCATCTTATCTTTCTGGAAACAAGCCAAGAGAAACGTGCTGTGATGCCGATATCTCTACATAGTAAAAATCAAAAAAGTAGAGTGGAATCAAAAAGAAATGCTATACAGGAAATGGATAAGTTACCAGATTATGAGTCCATCTTGTACTTTAGTATAAAGATCATTTCCTTCCGGGATCACTGGTAGAAGTCGCTTTAGGTCGGGATCATGTGATAAATTAGAGTTGATCCAATTTGAGAACGCAACTTCTTCCTAAAAACCGCCTGTGTAATAGAATTGTGGAATCGAGCAAATAAAAGATGAGTTCTACCTCTGTTCTGATAGTATGAACGGTATTTTCTTGTTTATCACTTGGTATCTGATATGCACCGCTAACAGATCTAAAATGACAAACATCTGCTAAGGGAGTAACAAAATATGTAAAACATGAAACGTACCCTATTCGTTCCTTCCACCTATTAGTCTCTTGGTGTTTTGCATTATCTAATTCTGCGAAGAGTTGAGCAAACTGAGAAAGCTGCACATCCGAGTTGTTGAGGCCATGCCGTTCGCACAGCTCACGCATCTAAATCGTTTTTTCTTCCTCTTTCTTATAAATCTCCAAGGATTATTTGAGCCGCTAAACACCTTATTTCCAAAGGGCAAAACAAATCATAAATCTGGGATTTTCAAATGGAACAACAAATCATAAATCTGAGTTTGCGCTGTGATTCATCACGCTAAAGTCAGTTTCAGAAAAATATATTTTCCGCAAAAACCCCAGCTCAAAATTCGATGTATCGATCACAGGCTTCTGTCTTTGGGTTATGATTGCCCCGTACTGATGCATGCCAAAATTTCACTTCGTTGAGTGAGAGTAAGCAACGGAGAGAAAAGAGCGGTGATGGAAAAGTTTGTTGTCATTGGATCCCATAAAATGTAATATAGGCAGAGATGCTTAGAGCAAATCAAAACTGCCTTTACGATTTGTTTACTGTCAAAGCAGCACAAAATAGACAGCTATTCTTTACGTAAAAGAGGAAATCGTACAATCTTTCCAGAAACCTAACATACATAATCGTGAAACATGACATCGGACATGATAAAAAAAATTCTGATATTAGAGAAAAGCTTGTTACTAAGGGTGTAGCACTAAAAAGAGAAACCAAAGAAGACCAATACATGAATAATGACAAGCTACTCACTTTGTAACCAGGCACATCAATACCGAGAACTTTCAGAGCAGCTTGCAGCTCATGATGCGGTAAAAATCCCGAGCCATTCTGATGTACCTACAAAAGAAGACATAATCGACCAAACAAACATTCAAGAAAGATAAAACTTGCCGTTTTAAAGTTCTCCGAAAGATCTGTGAGCTGCTCACTTGTGAGCATCTCTCAACCTACAACAATGTGCAAATTAATAGATAAAAATAAACGTATAGAAACCACGCGATAGGCACCCGCCATACTTACCCCTCTTGATCCGCTTGATCCGCTTGATCCGCTTGATCCGCTTGCTCCGCTTCTTGCAGGACGCGTGCAAAACGCGCGCACACAGCAGTCCGTCGTTTGGCGCCGCGTACGCCGAAATTGCGTAACCATACGAAATTCCTTTTTACCTACGCGACGCCAAATTACAAACTGCTTATGCGCGCGTTTTGCACGAAGCGGATCAAGCGGATTAAGCGGATCAAGTGGATTAAGCGGATCAAGCGGATCAAGTATGGCGGGTGCCATACCAAAGACTAACGTGACGAGGAAGGAAAAGACCAGAAAGGGTAAGGGACTGCTCTGACTCGATGAACCGGGGAAATCAAAGATAGACTTCACAAATAAAAGTGAGCTTCCAAGCTGAAACTGGTGAGACTTTGATGGTGCACAAGTCCCGCAGCAAAAGATGTATTTCAAAGCAAAAAAAAAAACCGCCAAAGAAAGTGGATGCTACAGGGGTCGCCACGCCCACCAACATGGTTGGTGTAAACGCAGTGAGCGGCTCTAGAATACCCAAATGTCGAAAATGTGTTTTCACACCGAAAGGGGATACTCGACATTTCTAGGTACTATTAAGTTCGGACTCGTAACCTTTGAACCAATAACGACGGTGGGCGTGGCGACCTCACTGACATACACCCTCAGAAACGATTTTTCTGTATTCGAGTACACCTTTTGCAACGGGAGTTGAGCCATTACTTATTTTCGGATCGGACAGACACGACTGGCTGCACTTCTTCGTCAGCGAAGAAGTCTTTAGAAAAAGAAAATCCATAGAACCTGGTGAAAAATGAATTGTTGTTCAATAAACAGTCAAAACAGCCTTTTGAAAAATTGCAACTAAGCCTTTCAAAACTTTAAAGAAACGAAACAGTCGATAAATATCAAGGCTATAATAGATACAGCAAAGTGCAGAACTGCAAAAGGTAAACGATCGTTTTAAGACACAGTGTAAAGTGGAAGTGCTGCCAGAATGCAAGATGTTTGTGCGATGAGCAAATGTGAAGGCGAGATGCGGTAGTGCAATGAATGAATCATCGAAAAGCAAAGAAAACGTTGAATCAAAAGCGCGACAATAACATGACTAATACAACGCAAATTATCACTTTTGTTGCCTACAAACATGAGCTGTCATGCTTTGTTGTATAAGCAGCTGAAGGAGGCGAATTAACTGTCAAATTCAACAGAAACGTGGCGGAGCCCGCACCAAAGGTCGGCGCTGATTACAACATTTGCTCAGTTTCCGACATGAATACAGGAACTATCCTTATCTCGTGTTTCGCTGATTCGTAAAAATGCACAGACTAGAATACGTACGCAATGTGTAGCGACGGACGGCCATAAACCTCGCTGACAAAAAATGAGAGCACTCAAAGTGTGCACTGAAACTTAAGAAGTGGAGTGGTAGAAAAACAAGCGAAGAGGGTCAATGAATAGAGGGATAAGTACGAGTGAATCGACGCAAATCTGTCTGGTTCCAACAATTGCAAGTCAGTCGTATTGACTCAGACTATACTTCTGCAGTTGCGTACATACCATTTAGGTAGATAAATGATATGATAAGCACTAGCATGGACTTCATGGCGCTAATTCGGTATTCGGGCCTTCAGATTTCATGACATTTTGAAAGAATTCTTGATCTTCCACAATACACCACTAGAGACCACGTTAGATCTGGAACTTCCTTGAACACATCAAAAAGTGTAGGACCTAATAAACGGGAGAGAGAACGTTGAACATGCTGTCTTCATGCAACATTGTTCGTAGCTGAGTGCGGTGCAGTTGCACAACTTTTTTCAATCCGATCGCATTAGCAATGGAGCATATCATCCACCTCCACACTCAGAGGACCGTAAGCGAGTTTTCCAATAAACTAGAACTTGTTTTTGCTTTCATTATCATTTCTAGTTTCTTCCAGTTTTGCCTTGTTTTTAAGATATTTTGAATGCTGTTGCCGCGATGGCCATGTCGTTTTGACGATCAAACATTAGTAATAAAGTAACATCAATAAAATGATTATTACATCTATGCAGTGTGAACAAAGAAAAGTAAATTTCAGATCTTGTACGAAAAGCACAAAACGTGGGTAATGCGTACCGTGTGAAGTCGCACATAGCAACTCAGAAACAATGGACTATGTACAGAAAATCGGTGAAATTGACGGCGTTCTCAATGCTCACTATAGGACTCATTTTTTTTAGATGATCTCATCATATTCTGTTCCAGTTCCTATCAACTATTCTTTGACTAATGGATGAGATGCATGTGGGATATTTTTGCCGTATAAAAAGTATGTATGAGTCACTGTGAATGACTTCCAGTTTTCAAGCTTCATGCATGTATTCATTAGTGATGAGCTAATGCAATGATGCAACGGTTGGTGAAATTGATGCACACTGTTTGAACTTCAACCAAACGAGATGTGAAACATTATCCTTAATTTTCGCTGGAACGGCAAAATTGTTGTGAATGATCGCTTAGACCGCGTTTATACTGTCGCGCACTGACAAAAAGCGCCTTCTCCTGCGAGCTGTTACATATGTGACAGTGGCGGTCCCAGGATTTCCGTCCGGGGGGGGGGGGGAGGGGGGAGGAGAGGGCGGCAAATCTTTTCGAATAAGGTGCATGGCCTTAGCCACGCACTCCAAAAGAATTTTCGGGGTGCTTCTCAGAATTTTTGCGGACCCATAACCCATACCCGAAAAAAATTTTCATAAGGCTAATTTAAATATTCAAAATCTTCAAAGATTATTTTAATTACAAGAATAAACAAGTCACTTGCACATTTTTGTAACCCCTGTAAGTGAATTTTGAAAGTTTTGCGATATGCGATATATGTATAACTATGTAACCGCATACAAAAGTAGCTGTTGGCCAGTGATTGATGACTACCAATTCTCTTTGGAGGAGGGGAGGGGGTGTGGCAGAAATTTTGGTATATAGAGGGACATGACATAGCTCCGTGAAAATGCGAAGTTTTGCTTTAACTTACAAACTTACAGCTCTAAATTCTGTAAAAGGAGGACTGCAGTTCCGTCTTAGAATTTTTTCGATCTGCCTTAACTCTAAATTTCAAAAGAATATGAAAGAACACATCTCTACTTAGGAGTAGAAAGAAGCAAGTCTTGTATGTGCTACGGGTGTGGCCGCAACACCTTTTTTACAATTTTGATAAGGACGTATTTTGTGACAGTGCCATGGTATCAGTACCTAGCATCCCAAAAAGTCGCTAGTTGAGAAATTCTTACTGAAAAACGGAAGTAAGGAAGGAAATGGGCTGTACTCATTCTACATGATATTTCGGGTGAGGAAACAATAATGGCAAACAATGAATGATATACCCTCTGTTTCACTGGAGCTGGCGGCTGGAGGGCGGGGCTTCGATTAGGGAACACGTAAGCATGGAAGAGCAGGCTCTGCATCAGTTAGAGGATTCTTCGGGTTTTTTTGTATGAGATGTTGGGACTAAAAGTCATAGTGATTGTAAACCGAAGTTCAAACTACATGTTAGATGAAGCAGGAGTAGTCGCATTAGCGTCAGAAAAGACCGTTACGCAACATTAGATGTTATCAAAGAACGCATAAACGCACTATCTACGAAAATGGCGCCATCTGACAGTCTACATAGTTTGGTCATTTGTAGCTTAATATGCTTATCACATATCATGCGCGCTACTTAACAACATGTAAGAATGAAACCTGCTCATTTTCAGTAATTTATCCTTGTCTGCTTGTCTCTTGAATTTGATTTGATATGTATTGGTTGTAGTACACATTTCTACACTTTGTTAAGCAAAAAAGGCTTTATCTAGGAGTTACAAGAGAAGGTGTCGTCGGTTGCCGCGTATAGTGTGCAAATTCACATACTAAATTATAAATGATTCGAGGATAAAAATTCAGACAGATATTGATGCAGCTATTATCATACTGTTTTAAAATTTTACAAATTATCTAGAAAACCAGAGGATACACATAGTGAAGCAATTTGAGCCAGGAATTGAGAAATTCCGAGCTTTTGGTGATTCAGTGGAAAGCGCACGCAGTATATGTATTTGAAACGGACAGAATAGCAGTGCACAAACAATGTTTACAGAAAAGCTTTATGAATAGGGGAGTGAAATTACACAAAATGAATCGATCACGACCAGCTCGCACAGACTGCACAGAATTTGTTTGTTTTCTCAATGAAATTCTATGAATTTACATAAGAATATTTTTGAAAGCGAATGTGGACATGATGTTTCCCATTGATTAGGAGACTCGCACATCAGAGATGTTAGTGTCAAAGAATTTTTAGTTTCAGAATATTTCAAAGCATCTTCATTTTATCAATGGTGGGCTAAAGCCGATTGTGAGTTCCGTTTGCTTTTTTTGTATGGATTATCGAAAGTGAAACTGTGAGAAGAGATAAGACTGCAAAAAATACTATTGATAGAACAATCAAATTTTGTGCCAATCGAGGTATTCCACAATATTCTTAAGACTACGGAAAATTTTGAGTACAGGCTAGCAAATTCAATACTTCATATAGTGTCACTGCAGTAATCACAACACTTGCGCGTGAACATATCGTCTTTCCTGTTGTTAATAATCTAAGCTTGTACTCGAATTGTGGCCACCGATTCACGTGCAAATGTTGTTAGCACCGCAGTGACGCTATATGAAGCGTCAAATTTGACTAGCTTATAAAAATGCGCAAAGAATGTTTGAAATCACTAAGGCGTAATCAACTAGCAAATGTAAAGGAACAAAAAATAGTGCATCAAACAGCACAAGCGTGTTCGGCGAACTTTGGCCTGCATAAGATAAAATGATTAGAGTGGAGTCACTACGTAGCCTAGCATTGTGTAAATGCACACGGCACATTTCGATCTCCGCTTTCGGGCGAACTCTTCTATTTCTCGGTTTCTTTTTTTTTTTTTTGAAGAAATAGTAGGAGTTTAATCATATTTCAAAAGCTTATATGAAATGTTAGTGTGACCTAGGACTTGACGCGTAATGTGCATGCCGTGTGCAATCGTACATATTGAGTGTACTATCAAACTCTATTCAGCGACAAAGAACAGTATATCCGCTGGTCCAACCGAACGATCAGACAATGCGGTCTATGCAGCAGATGATGCAGAAAATAAATGAGAAGATGCGAAACAATACTCAATCTCCGCACGACTGCAGTTCTACATTGTGAATAAGCAAAAGAAGTGTGCAGAAGAACACAACCAGATGTTCTATACGGCTTGCATTGTGCAGAACGCAGTAGAGTTTATCGTCGTGCGATCGCCTTTTTACTGCCAAGCAGTCACGATGTTGGCGAAAAACGAACTAGAATTTGCACTTAACGCTCTCATAATCGCCTCTCTATCTGCATGAGCCGTGTTCAAGGCGATCGTAGAGGAGGAAAAAAACAACATGTTTCAGTTAGAGACGAGTCATCTGCAACGCTACATAAAGTTTGCCCATTCTGTGCGGAACCTCATGAGTCATATGCAAATCAGCAGTGCAAATGAAATGATCAGAAATGATAATCAATGAGGATATAGCTTCTACTATTGATTCATTTGCAACTTGTTCTGAAATTTGCACATTTCGCACGGGACCCTGATTCCGTATTTACAAATAGTTAGTGAAACTGACTCGATACAAACAGATTGATTAGTGATGGATATGCATTACAACATATATGGAGAGCCATTTAAGTACTATGTGAACCTGCACACAGCGCGCGGCAAAAGACGACACCTTATGAGTAACTCTTCGATGAAACCTTTTCTAGCGAAACAAACTGCTGAAGTATGTACTACTACCTCATACATATTCAGCCATAAACAAAAGCGGAAGAAAAACCACTGAAATTCCGGAAATTGCCAGGTTCTGCTCTTTCAAGTCGTGAAGTATCGCGTGTGGTGTGCAGTACGCATATTGAGTTATAGTAAACCACTCGACGATACGTGTTAAAGCACCTGACATTCATTTTGGGAGCAGAATATTCGATTTGCGTACGACTGACTAACAAGTTTGAACTTGAGCTTTTACGCGCTTTCGATGATTTACCGTTAGGAATTTGTGGGAAAACATGTTAGAACTTGGTAAATGAGTGCGAAAGCTTCCTAAGCGTCCTAGTCTCAGAACAGACTACCCTTAGAGAGCGAACAAAAAGAAACCTCTCTAGATGGAGGTGTCGTGAAGTGACGCGCGCGGCGTGTAGTGCACGAAATTTACAAAAGCCTCTAATACATTGCGGGAAGAAGCATATGAATCAGTCTTTGATAAAATTCGAGTACATTCTTTCGCACAGGGTAAGAGGAGGAAAATACAGCGGTAAATGGGAGCTGTGAATGTTGCTGGGTGTTTGGCAAGACGCAAAGCGCGCCAGTTGAGGGAGTCGTCGGTGTGCTAAGCGGATTGCGCTGCGACGACCGCGAGCGCCAGCACCTCTCGACCGATTCGCGGTAAATTTTCACCAGTAAATCCTCATCTTTTATTCAACAGTCGGCTCCTATTCTACAGCTGATCGGTAGAGATTATGGAATGAGGTAAGTGGGATCAATTTTGGGGATAGAAGTTCAAGAATAAATCTCCCAAGGTAGAGAAGAGGACACTGGATAGATTAGATGCATTCGAGTAGTGCGCGAGTGCGCGAATAGTGCGAAGAGGATCGAGAGAGAGAGGCTATGGGGCGAGGAGAACGGGTTGAATGGACGGGGGCCCGATTACTCACCCTCCACCCGTCTTTCCTTAAGAGGAGACGCCAACCACCCGCCACCCGACCACCACCTACACCTTGTTTGCACAGCCGCGAACTGACTAAGAAACATATCCCGAGAGCAAGTAAACCCCCATGTATCATACCGGGTCTAAAACCTCCCCCAAATGGACGCACAGAACCGGCAGACGTGTGTCTGAGTCTAAGTAGACGCATACAAAAGCACTTCAGCCCCTTTGTGTACCCAACTGAGTAAAGGACCTGGTTAGGACCGGGATCTGACCAGGTCTACCTTCACTCCATTTCTATGAGGTACATGCACTTGAATTCTTTTTCATATGCTCTAGAAAAGTCGAGAAGGACCTTATATTGATTTTTGACACAAGATTGGATAATAATCAAGTTATCAAATACTATTTGATGTGCATTATGTGGAAGAATGGAGTCCAATAATTTTACCTAAAATAATGATTTACGTAAAATTGTTCCTGACATATTTCGCAACAAAATCTCGGAGAATATAAGAAGAATTTGTAATTTTTTGCACAAAACTTTTATGTTATGCAAATAAAGCGGCGCGACAAAAATTCTTCTCTGATAAGGGTGCGGTGGTGTCAGTTCCGGAAAATTTTTTATAAGGCTGAATCAATTTTACAAAAATTTAGAAATAATTTTAATTATTTACAGGTATAGACAAGTCACTTGCACCACTCATATAAGTAACTTTCCAAATCGCGACCCATTTTCGGGAAGGGGCTCCCTCCCTCCATCTCCCTCCCCTCCCTCCACGGTTGGCAAATAGCTATACAGGAATATGTGATTTTTAAAACCCAGCAATCTTTATCGTGTCTTTTTGAAAACGCTAATGCGATCATCAACAGGAAAAAGCTAGCAATTTCATCCGAGTAACTTTCTTTTACTCTCAAATATTTGCAGTAACTCTTTGAGACGAAAAAATTGTCGAAAAGAAAAGATTGTTGAGACTGTCGAAAAGTGAAAAAACAAACAGATATTCATGCGCAAATTGCGAGCGATTTCTGCACATGTTTCGTAATGTTTTAGGTCTTTAGAGGATGCAACATTTCGTTCTTCACATTCCGTTCTTATCTTTGCTCACGTATTGTATAAATTTCACAGCGAAACAAAAGCTGTTTCCCTCTTTAAAACAAACAAAAACATTGAAAATAGAAATGTAAGATTATTTTAACGATCAAAAGCACCGAAAGTAGAAAACAGACACTATTGGGATAAAAACTAGAGAGAAAGAGTGAGAAACGAATTTTTTTTACTCACCGTAGATTGATTTCGAACTTTACCATGAAAAATAAAATTCATCTGATTTATGAAGGCTAAATGAGCTTTTACGACCTTTCTTCAACATGCTAACTGTCATTGCTCAGAACGGAAATTAATCGCAAATAAAGTTGCCACAAAAAAGCCGTTCAAAAAAGGCTAATTTTTCTTTTTTCTTTTACAGAAGTAGAATCTCATGAGAAGAAAGAAGCTGTTCTTTACCAAGTTCCACTTTTCTGCTGGGACTACATATTCTAACTTCTCTTTTTTCACCTCTCTTCAGAATTGTAGTACTTATAGGTTTAGAACAGGACTGGTTGACGTCAAGTCTCTAAGATCTAGTGCATCAAATGAGTCGAATTGGAAGAGCATTGGCTACCTGGCTGCCCAAAAATAATACAAAAGAATTATAATACAATCCGAAAAGCAGCACAAAAGGCATGATGTTCACTCACCTTGCCGTATAGAAGGATTTTGGAAGTAAAACTGCTATCTAACAAGCATTTCCTGCTGATAATAGCTATAGCTGAGCAAGCAAAAACGCGAAAAGTTGGAGGGGTAGTAAAAAGAAGTTGAGAGAAGAAAATTTTTGCTGCAAAATTCGATAGATATGCAATTTTAACTGAATGGAAAATTTAAGGGTGCAAGGACGAGATAGACTGCGAAAAAGGGAAAAAATAATCATAGAAATTTTGTGCTGCAGATATTGTTAGCCTTAAGTAGCTTGGAAAGTACAAATGAGAGTGGAATGTGACACCACGACGTGCCAGTGAGCACGAAGAAGGGGGGGGGGGTTGGCTGAAGCGGAAGAGAAGGCCTGTCGATACGGGTGGGGGCAATGGTGGAGGGGAGAGAAGAGAAAATTAGTGCAAAGCCAAACGTGCACACGAACGGCAGCCGATTGTCGTTGATCGGCCGGAAAAATTATGGCATTTCGACGGCGGCGGGCTCGACGGGGGACAGGAAAGGCGAAAAGGCGCAAAGGCGATCTATACGGTAGCAATCGAGCCGTCCAAGGCTAGAAGACAAGTTGCTGGCTAAGTAGGGGATAAGCGGAAACCTGTACGGGGGGGGGGGGGAGGAAGATTTCGAGAAGAATTTGGAAGAATTCGCATGGCTCAGAAAGCAAGCAGCGCAAGTCAAGCAATTCTCAACGCCACATTGAACGAACAGTCGACGCGACCGCGCCGCACCGCCTGACGCCTTGCTATGGCAACAAAAGAAAAAAACGCCTTGCCTTTTCGAACGCGCTGTGTGCTCTCGACGGCTTTTTTTCACAACCATTGACTTCTAACCATTTCTGCGCTTTCGAAAAATGTATTTCACGTGCAGAGCGACTGATGGACGATTGCCGCGTTGACCTTTTCATTGTGTGTTTATACATCGACGAAACCTTTTGCCACCAACACATAGTGCACTTATCCAATATCAAAAGGAAGGTCAGATATGAGCGCGAGGTGCTCTTCTGCAATCAGATATGTTTATTTTCGGGGCTTTGCACAGAGGAATTTGTTCCAAATGTCGCCTAAAGATCGTCTGGGGAATTTGCGAGAAAAAATTTGGCAAAAAATTGTAGTTCCCGATATCCATTTGATTTTTACTAAGTCAGCTAATTAGACATCACCCAAAGTGTTACCACCAATCGTCTTCCGCAAAAAACACTTCTACAAAGAACAGAAAAAAGCTAAAAAAAGTGTCAGGTTAAAGGGTCGCGATTCCCTTTCCTGATGTGTAACGGTACAGGTAGGTATATATATATATTTATTATTTACATATTATATTACAATAAGGGGACGAGGGGGAGAGACTGCAGAAGCAGCCTTACGGTGCACGGTCGTAGGGGGTCACTAATCCTGACTGGCTTCCGTGGCCAGCCCCCGGGAGAGCAGCTGTTTGGGCTGAGCTGAGCTGCGTCCCGACATCTCCATTCCTTTAGAAAGCTCGTCCTCGAGCTTGTTTGATGGTTGTTGAATGTCTTCCGAGTTACGTGTGTAAAGAGTACACGTGTTACGGCGAGACCATAGAGAAGTTCGATTACGGTACCATTATCTTCAGATTGATTGAGTAGAGGAGTTGGTTTAGGCGGAGTGGATAACCAAACACGACCTTCACCTCATTATAGAGTAAGCTTGTCCTCAAGCTGAGAAATAACGGAATGAGCGATGTGACGTAGGGGACTGCTTGGAAGAGGCAGTGACATATACTTGTAGAAATGACGTAGGGGACTGCTTGGAAGAGGCAGTGGCTTATAGTCGTAGAAGGTGATGGAACGTATTCCCGAAAATTGACAAGGGAATAGTTGCTTTGGAGATTTATAGGAGTGACGGTATTTGGAGGTTCAGACGATGAAGTTATGAATTGGAAGGGCATTTTGTAGAACATTTTAATAAAAAAACAATGTTGATGAGACAAAATAGTTAACAGTATATTAGGCAGTATTGAAATACAATAGTCATTTTTGGAGTTTATGTCATACAAATAAGTTTATGCGACGTTGATTTGTGGTATTACTCGGAATATACTTAAGAAGGTAATGTAACGTGAGTGACGTATTCTACAGCATATAAGGCATTTGTTGATACATATCAAAGTGGCATCAAATGTTGAATTGAGTGTTGCACAACATTGTGCATCCAACATAGGGGCAAAATTTGGTAGTTACGAAAAGGATTTTTTTTTTGTTTTAAGCTGCCTAGTGCAAATGGTTTCTTTGAATTTGCCTTTTCAAAGAATTGCTAGTGTGTGTATACGCGACGTTGCGGCGAAAATAGGGGAAACAAACTAACCTTAGAGAATGGATAACTATTTGTTTGCAAAAATGGTTTAAGTTGGTTCAAAAATAGTTATTCATCCTCTTCCTCAAGATCGAGATTTGGATCCACTCTAAATGGTTGATTCCTCAGCTGTGAACGCGATGTTCGTTCGACAGACTGAGATTGTTCGACATTTTCTGAACTTTCTGATGGTGTGTGTTTTAGTTTTAGTTTTTGAGAAGAAACTTTAGCCAATGTCGAACTGTGAGAATAGATTTTTAGTCTATTCATATGGACGGTTTGCTGGACCGATCCATCAAGATAAGTGATAGTAACATTTGGACGAGAGACAGATACAACTATAAAAGGACCTTTCCATTGGTGTGTAAATTTGGGACGAATTGTATCGTCACGTAAAAGTACTAAATCACCCTTGGAAATGACCTTTGGAAACACTTTATTATGAAAATCGTAACCTGACTTGTAGATTGCGGTTTTGCGCGCAATTTGGTTTCCGACTTTCACGATTGTTGTTTGCAGAGCTGTAGTCATCTGGTCGACGAAACTATCTGTGGCGTATGAAATCCTGGATGGAAGCTGATGGATTATGTCGCACCAAGTGATTGGGTGGCGACCATACGCAACAAAATATGGGCTATATCCAGTAGTATCATTGATACTAGTGTTGTAGGCAAAAACAACTGGTTGGAGGAAATCAGACCAGTATTCCTTTGCATTTGAGCAATAGGAAGTTAGACCGTCTATGATTACCTTAACCATTCTCTCTGCTTGTCCATTCGCTTTGTGGTTATAACTAGTGGTGAACTTGTTCTCTATACCCAAAATTTGATTGATTTTTGAGAACATTTCACTCGTATAGTTAGAGCCACGATCTGAGACTAATTCATTCGGAATGCCATGTTTTGCAATGACATCATTAATCAGCGCTTTTACTACAGTATCTGTGGTTTGATCAGCGATTGCAGTACAAGTGATCAGCTTGCTGAACGCGCAAACGGTAATGGAAATGAATCTGTTTCCATTCATACACTGGGGTAAAGGACCAACTATGTCAGTGTGAAGGCGTTCGAAAGGTCTCAGAGGGATTGGGAAAGAGCCCAATTCTTCGCGAATTATGTTACCAGACGGGGTTTTGATTTTCTGACAAACAGAACAATTTCTTACAAATTGAGCTATTTCGGCATGCATATTTTTCCAGTAATATTTATTAGAAATGGTATTGATCGTTTTTCTCACTCCTAAGTGAGATCCTAGCAAAGGATTGCTATGCAAAATTTCGATAATTTTATACTGCAAAATTGGGCTAGGAACGATGAGTTGAGGTCTGTTATTGTGTTTAAAATAGAGTGAGTTGTTGAAGAAAGAATAATTTTCTATGTTGTCAGAAAAGTTGTCTGGCGGACAAGGGAGTTTGTTTTTGTAAAACTTGATCAATTCTCCGTATTCGGAATTGATCTGAGACTGCTGGATTTCGCTCAAAGATGGAAGTGCTTGGAGTTGAATGGAATTTGCACTTGGAACTGGGTAGCGACTGAGAAAGTCGCATAGAGTGTTGTGCTTTCCAGCACGGTACTCAATTTTTATGTCGTATGCTTGCAAAGTTATTTGATATTTAGCAAGACGACCCACGAGATCTGATCTATGCATTAGCGATTTTAGCGGTGCATGATCGGTTATCAACGTTATAGAACTATTGGCAACGTAAGGATAGAAGTGTTTTAGAGCAAAAACTATTGCTAAAGCTTCTAACTCAATGATTGCGTAGTTCTTCTCGTGCTTTGTTAGTGGACGGCTGCAATATGCGATGGGGTGCTCATTACTAGTCTCCGGATTGACTTGTAAGAGGCATGCGCCGAGACCGATGGTTGATGCATCGGTGTGGATGATATAAGGTTTTCCTAGAATAGGAGGCACTAAAACAGGCGCATCCACTAGGGCGTGCTTTAATGCTTGGAATGCTGTTTCTTGCTCCTTATTCCAAATAAACGCAGCATCTTTTATAAGAAGTTTGTTCAATGGATGGGAAATTATAGCGAAACGCGGAATAAATCTTCTAAAGTACGATGCTGCACCTAAGAAAGATTTGAGTGCTTTGGTATCTGTAGGGCGCGGAATTTTACTTATACTGTCGACTTTTTTGGGGTTTAGACGTGTACCATTTTTGCTGATGAGTAAACCCAAGTACTGAACTTCAGATTGGAAAAATGAGCATTTTTCGGGGGTTAACTTCATGCCAAAATTTTGTATGCGAGTAAAGACTTCCTCCAAATCACGAAAATGTTCAGGTACATCGGAACTGGCGATGATTATATCGTCAATGTATGCAAAACAGCAAGCACGCAATTCTCTAATCAGAGAATTTGCTACTCGCTGGAAGGTTCCTGGAGCACCTTTTAATCCTTGAGCCATAACAGTAAATTGGTAGAGACCTATGAATGAAGAAAATGCAGTACGTTCCTTGTGTTTCTTTTCTAGTGGTATTTGGAAAAAACCACTTTTAAAATCAAGAACACTGTAAATTTCTTTTCCGCTAGCTAGATCCAAAATATCTTGCATATGTGGTATGCAATAGGTCTCTGTTTCAGTAATGGCATTGATTTGGCGGTAGTCAACGGTAAATCGCCACTGATCTTTATTAGATCCTTTCTTTACAAGAACTATTGGGGAAGCGAACTTGCTGGTGCTTGGTTCGATAATGCGAGTACGCAACATTTCTTCAATCTGACGTTTTATTTCGTTACGCTTTTCCAGTGGGACACGATAGGGTCTCTGTTTTGGAGTTTTAGCATGAGGAACGAAATTTATGCGATGTGTTATAGGACCTCTATATAATCCTAAATCGCCATCTTGAGTGACAAAGCAAGAGCGAAAGTTTTTCAAAAGTTGGAAAAACTGTAATTGTTCTTGTTCAGCAAGTATAGATTTGTCAAAATGAACTAGTTCTTCAATCTTACGTTCTTTTTCAGATGGAAAGGACGGCATTGTTTGACTGATATCTACTTCTGGTGGTACATATTCTTCGAGTTGAAGCGGTGTTAATGTGTTTTCTGATTGCTGGATTGAATCCACCGAAAAAATAGGCGGCCAAGTCATGTCTTTGCCGACATAGTTAGCTTTTGCGATTGTTTTGTTATTATGAAGTGATATAAAGGACGGGTTGGTATTGAAAATTCGCAATAAAACTTGACTATTGTTGTCGGTGCACGATAATGTTTTACCTATTGCAATTCCAAACGGTAACGTTAGGGATAAATCATCACAAACGAGAAATTCCCATTTGCTTGGAAAAGTTCTATGCAAGGTTCCTATAACGACATTATCGGACATTGGCGGTAGAGTAACATTTTCGGCGAGGAATACCGGTGTCTTATAACTGGTTAAATCGGGTTTGTCTGGAATAATGATTTGTACCGTAGTATTGTCAAAAGAGACTGTCTTCTCAGAATAGTCTATAGATACTTTGTTACCTAGTTTGTTGATAGAATCATTACCTAACAAAAAGTCTGTGGAACAGTTTTCGTCCGAAACAACAAAACTAATGATGCTTACTACTTTATCGGCTACGGTAAGTTTAGTTGAAACTTGTCCAATGAAGTGAATTGGAGATCCATTGGCAGTTATGCCTTCTGGTAGAGTAGTTTCAGTAATAATTAAATTCGAAAGTGTAGCCATTCGTTCAGATAAAAGTGTGATGGCTGATCCTGTGTCAAAAAGTGCTACAGTGGATAAGTGATTTAGCGTAACTGGAATAAAGATAGTAGACATTGAGTCGAGTTGAACGGATGATACTCTTGGTTTGAATTTAGGTATTTCAAGATTCAATGGCTTGGCAACTGTTTTGGGAGGCACTTTTGGTGCTTGACTTATCACTCGTACTTCTTCTAAAGACGGATAAAGATTTCCACTTTCTACTGTTGCTGTACTAACGGTATCTTTGATAAGTGGGTTACGTCGAAATGCACGAAGTATAATTCGTGGAGTTGAAGATTCGGGTGCTGAAGGTTTTGGTTTCTTCTGACAACAACTTGAGAGAAAAGAGAAGGGTATTGTTACGATTGTAAACGTTGCTTTGACAGTTGCACGAGCGATATTAAAATGGCAATACAAAATAATTAGGGTAACTAGTATAACCAAAATAATGGTTGCAATGACTATAGTTCTTACGAGAGTGTGTAAGCCTAAAGAACGTATGATTTTGCCTTTCTCCATTTGGAGAATATCAGACGCTTGTGACTCTATGTACGAGATAGTTTTTACGGTATCTTGCTCGAAATTCACGAAATCACTAGATTCAACAGAAGGATGCTCTTTACTCATAGAAGAAGCATCAGCGTTAGCAAGTCTGTTTTTCAAAAATCGTAAATCGGTAGTAATTCGTGCTAGATCTGAGTGGAATATAGGTGGCGCTTTGAAAACGAAATTTTGCGTTGCAAAATCTTGTGGAAGATTTACATGGATTTGAGATACATGGGCATATCCTGTTGGAGATTTATAGTGGTTTGTTCCATCATTATAGATACCGAAAGGAAGATGTCCACAATTCGCTTCGGGACTGGAAGTAGTAAGGTCTCTAGTTCCAGGATTTGCGAAATAAATTGATTTTCCGATGCGAACTGGGGTATGTAGGTAACAGATACCATTAACGTTATGATTAAAATAGACTTCGTCAACGACGACTGGTTTACACTTCGAAATCATGAGGACATCTCCAGCAGGTATAGCATATATATCGTTTCTGTTTAGCAAAATGCGAGCAGCACTGGTGGGGTTTATCTCAGCAATGCTTCGTATCGCTTGAATTTTGAAATTTGATAGAGTGCAAATGCGGTCGAAAAGAGTGTTGTAATCATGTTTGAGAATTTCTTCCAATTTTATCTTGAGAAATTGCATTTTTGTGTTCAATTCGTAATGGCGCTGGTCTTGTCGTTGCTCGTGAGAAAGGGAAAGATCATTATTGAGCGTACTGAAATCGGGCTCAGTGTTAATAGCTATGTGTTTGGCTATGGCAGATGTGCCATTCCGCATAAATTTACTCAAAACTTGTTGTTCATCTCGAAATAAAATATGAGCTAGCTGTTTTTGATTATACTTGTTTGAAAGACTTCTTTTGGATCTTAGGGAGTCTTGAAAATTCGGTTTCCTTGTAGCAAGTTTGTCAAAAATGGAGTACACTGATTCAAGTGTTTTAATACGTTGATCTTCAGATGAATCTTCACTGGATGGTGTGGAAGTAATGAGATTATTCCTACTTTGATAAACGGCGTTAAATAAATGAAGCATTTTTGATGCATCAATGTGTTTTTGGTTGATATCTTTGATCATTTGTGGGAATTCGGTGAACATAGTACGTGGATTATGGTTTGGAATTTCTGGAAGTACAATAAAAACACCATTATCCATTGGTACAGAACTGTTTGGCAAGCACCAACTTGAAATTTGACTAGAGGTTAACGTTATGTTACTGTATGTGAAAGCAGATTGTATGTTATCAACAACTATATGAGTTGGAGTAACATAAGCAATTCCTTGCGTCGCTTTTACATACTTACAAGCAAAAGGATCTGTTTCTCCGAAATCCCAGATTACTGTGCCATGCGACATTTTACATTGTTTATCTTCAATGCGACATTGAGCCATATCACCAAATTGACTGATGATTGTTTTGCCGTCAAAAGTAGCAATATCAGCTTGTTCTATGTACACGTTTGTTGTGAGCGTGCATTTTTCACCAAAAAACCAAGGATACGAGTAATGTATGGCGTTTTCCGAGCCGTAAACATTATTTGATAGCTTTTGCATAGGTATGCCCAAAAATTTCTTTGTTTCGCTAAGCGACTCACACAGTGCAAAATCTACAGGAGACATGTACTCGTCGTCACTGTTTACAGAAAAAGATATGTGAAAATAAGACGACGCACATATTTTCCTAGTCTTATTAAAGCAATGGAACGCAGGTAGAAGATAAGGTTCAGTGCGTTCTACATAGATTTGCGCTGTAGTTACCAAAATGTTTGTAGAATTTGGCGAGTGTGAACACGATGTTGTTTCTGGATACGCGACAGGCCAACCAGATTTTCCCGCAGAGCAAAGTTGATAAGTTTGCAGTGAAAGTGCAGAAGTATTAGGTAAAAACAATGAAAATAGTGCTACAACAAAAAGTGAGTATGAACTATTAAGTAGTCCAGTGGAAAGGTTTGCTGAGACTGAATTTACCGGCCTTTGGCGTTGATTACGATTTTGGTTACGATTATTTTGATTTTGTCTATTATTCGAAAAATGAGGTGATTGTCCTCTTGGCCTGTTATTGGAAAAATTTGGAGGTGTTCTAGATCTCGACTGTTGACGTCGATACGGCGATTGTTGGCGGTGATTTGGTGATTGTCGCTGATGGTATGGCGATCTACTGCGAGCTCTATCAGAACGATCTGATGGAAGTGGCGCAAATCTAACGTTGCGTCTTTGCGGATATGGAGAATTTCCAAAAAATGAATTTGGAGAACGAGCGCGCTCATAACTGCTAGATGTTGACGTGTAAGGATTTTGCGAGTATGGATGGTTGTTCCATCTTTTTCCACGGTATGGTCTATTAACCATGTTAACAGATGTTCTGGGCATTTCAATGTTATCTAATATTCTATCCATTTTGGCTAGAATAGTATCATTCGCAAAAGATGAAGTATCCGACTGAATGAGACCGTGAATACGTTCGGATTCTTCTATAAGTTTTTCATGGTCAGTTGGAAGTGGACCAAGTAATTTGAGTTTTTGTTTGATTTGGTTTTGCAAACCATTCTTGAAATGTGTCGTTAGTAAAAATTTGCGATTGGCGGCATCGCTATCGCTTGGATATGCTTCAAGAATTTGTTGTCTAAGTCTATTGGAAAAAAGTGTGGGAGATTCTCCTGGAATCATTCGCATATCCATCAATTTTTCGCGAGCAGAATCCAAAAAATGGTCTGTTGAAAAATGGCTTTTGAGTTTTGCGATGATTGTTACCCAGCTATTTTTGTCTTCTGGCGTCATGTTGTCATAAACAGCTTTTGCTACACCTTTCAAATGTGCTGGGAGTAAGTGAACCATTTTATTGCTTGTTAAACCCATTATCGAAGAAATTTCTTCAAATTGCGTGATAAATTGCATGAGACCTTTAGGTCCTTGATCTCCAGAAAATGTTGGTAATTTGCTACCATATGAGGAGAGAGTTAGTTTATCAAAAAAATGTATCTAAACGATCTATGAAGGCTACTGCTTCGGAATGTTGATTTTGAGGCATTGGAGTATGATCCATTTGCGTTATGGTTTGATTTGAGCAAACACTTACAGATGGCGAAACGTGTGAAAGATTGTTAGCAATTTGCTGTGGTAGCAAAATTTGTTGAGGTACTATCGGCGAAAGAACTTGTTGTTGAACGAAATTTGAGGAGTGTTGTTGAGAGGTTAGTGCTTGTGCTTGCTCTTGGGTTATAGGAATGAAAAATTCCTCTTTTTGGGATACAAAAACCTGAGGTTGATTTTGAGTTACGGGAATGAAAAGTTGAGCGGGCTCTTGAGCTGCAAGAATTGGAGTTTCCTCTTGAGTTACCAAAGTTTGCGAAAGTTCTATGGGAGGAGTAGAGACTCGAGAGTTCCCTGCTCTTGGTGATGAACGAAGAGATGAATTATCTAGAGAAACTATCGAAGAAGCTTCGGTAGGAGCTACTGAGGAAACTTCAGTAGGTGGAGAAGCTACGCGACGTTTGACAGGACTACTTGATTTATATTCACTACACCTTACTCTATGAACTTTATGCGATATACGCGAATGAGATCTTGGTCTTCTTTTAATAGTCCCACGCTCGGTTGTATTGCAAGGTTTTGGAGACGCACAAGAACTAAGTTCAGTATCAGAACTGTTCATGTAACAGTAACACTTTCAATGATAATGTTTTCCAAAAAAAAATTATTTTTTTTTCAACAAAAAAAAATTTTTTTTTCGAAGCTCGATCGACTAAACGTGAAGGCAACCGCAAATTCGTCGGGTGACAAATGAGGACCACTATCGACACGAATGGAAGAGAGTATCGAATAACCATTTTTTTTTACTACGTATTTTATGTTATAATAAATTCCTCAAATGAATGTATAAACTTATCTTTAGGAAGTTGAAAGGTTGGTGCTGGACCTTTATAAGGCCAGGCGCAATCTCCCGATCAAAAGAGGCTACAATGAACAGTCACATAACGTGGTCCTTCACGATATGGAAGAGGAGATTATGATGGCAAACCTCTCTAGGAGAAGTGTGACGAGCTCGTACATTGATGTACAAGGGGATGGACGAGCTACGCTCACTTTATTGATGTCCGATGACACGCATATTAGCGGTTAGTTTGGTCTAATAATCATTAGATTGTGCAAGGTAATTACGATTCTTTCAGGTGTCATGAGGACATCGGATGGTCGACCCTTCAGTTTCATCCGAGACTGCGAGGATAATGTGTGGAAGGGCGACCATGAGGGCCTTTCCATCGGATTTGGTCATCTCACGATGACCAACACTTGTGGAAGAATTCCACTATTGCCTCGGTTCTCGGCTATGCTGGAAAGAAGTTTGGATAGGACTCGAAGTATCCGCTTCATCAACTTCGATGACACGGAAAGAATAGCAACGATAATGCAAGAAAGTCGAAGAATATTTATGCGAACTTAATTGCCTTGCCCTAATGATGTTATTGATGTTTTCTATTTGTTCATAAAGTTTTTGAACTTAATATGTTTTGTTATGTCGACAGCAGAAGGTAAAATTACGATAAAATAAGTTGCGTAAGATAAACTCTATCGGGTCAGATTATGCACAACTGTTGTTGTTAGTCGCGCGTCTCGATCGTAAAGGATTAGGTTACGCAATTAATAATCCTGTTCTAAGGTTTATCGCGACACAGAGCAGACGCGAGCATTGCGCTAATCGCGGCTGTAAGGTCATAGCGCGCAGATATCAATAATCTGTCGCGAGGTCACATGCTTACAACATACGAGGGCTGCTGCGTTGCTTTATCGCCAAAAAGGAGGTCACCGCGCGCGGACAGAAGCACTGGGTTTCGCTACATTTCCTGAGAGGTCGAAGCATTACGATTGGTCGACACTTCCCAGCAGAAGTTATCTGCAGTGGGCCAGCAGATTTATCTTTCTGGGTCTAATACTGCAGTTTTGAATTTTTAGCTAGCGATTGCGAACAAGTCCATTGTCTAATTATAGAAAAAAAAAGAAAAGTAAGAAAGTTAACAAAAGTTCACGGATTCACGGATCACGGATCACGGATTCACGGATCACGGATCACGGATCACGGCTGCTAAATGCGCTTTTTTTAAATTCACGGATTCACGGAATCACGGAAAATGCGAGCGCTTACGAAAGAAAGAGATTGACAAAATGGGACTGTTCGCAGGACTGTATAAATAATTTTTATTTTATTTTATTTAATGATTTTTTTTTTCTTTCTGAAAAGGTTAAATATTTGACACACACAGAGATTAGATATTTCACTCACACAGCAATTATATTTGTGCAACATAAAAAAAAACACTCACACACAATTGTTCGTTGGTGACGTCCATAGCGATCGATCGAATTGTAGAGGGGGGGGGGGGTAAGAATTTTTTTTTCCATATCAAAAGTTGAGGAGAGAAAAAAAAAATTATTGTAAAATTCTAAAAAAAAAAATCTTCCCTGGGACCTCCATGTCAGGTTAAAGGGTCGCGATTCCCTTTCCTGATGTGTAGCGGTACAGGTAGGTATATATATATATATTTATTATTTACATATTATATTACAATAAGCGGACGAGGGGGAGAGACTGCAGAAGCAGCCTTACGGTGCACGGTCGTAGGGGGTCACTAATCCTGACTGGCTTCCGTGGCCAGCCCCCGGGAGAGCAGCTGTTTGGGCTGAGCTGAGCTGCGTCCCGACAAAAGAAAGCTTGAAGAAATAAGGTGAAAAATAACAAATGTTTGTGACAAATAAAGTGTGATCCTGAACCACTAGAATGAACAACTTCAAAAAATTCTGCCCCTTTCACTTCTATTTTTATTTATTTTGGACAGTTTTGTTGCCCATGATCACAGCAAATACCAAAAAATTGAAACCGCGTGGCCGAGAAAAAATTCTAACACAAAACAAATAAATTTTGCATAATGGAAACCAGTTCTATTTGAAACACGGGCAGGTCCAAATCACGAGAACATGCTTGTCCATTTTAAAAGAAAAAGTTGACTACAAGAATTGACCAATTTTAAAAAATTCTGCCTTCATTTCTGTTTTTATTTACTTTGGACAGTTTTGTTACCCATCACAGCAAATACTAAGAAATTGAAACCGCATGGCCGAGAAAAAAATTCTAACACAAAACAAATGAATTTTCATGGAGAGAACCGGTTCTATTTATAATAAGGACAGATCCAAATCACGAGAACGTGCTTGTCCATTTCAAAAGAAAAAGTTGACTACAAGAATTGACCAGTCCCTATGGGTCTTTTTCACATCAATAGAACCAGAAGCTCTTTGCGTTGGAACGCAAATGAGTTCTCAGGATAAGATTTTTTGTGTTTAACGAGGTTAATAGGCAAGATACAGAAGCTATAAAAGTATGTTAGATCGTATTTTAAGGTAAATGCATATATCTCACTTATTACATTCCTAAAATATAAAATTAACTAAAACAAGCTAAAAATTACTTTCAGCCGCTAAAATGCAAAGAACACCGTGGCTAAGGAAACATAACGTTCCCTTAGCCACGGTGTTCTCAAGTGAAAAAAAATAGTGTCAATCAAACTTTCGAGATACCAATTCAATGGGATTGGCGGCTGGAAGGCGGCGTTCGAGACGTAAGCAAAGCTAGAGAATGATCAAAGAGTACGCTCGTGAGAGAGACGCAGATTGCGTTGCGGGCGCGAGCGGTCACCTTCCAGCCGCCAATCCCATTGAATCCAAGGGTAGATGCAGCAAAAGCCTAAAAATTTGCAGTTTTTCCTTTTTTGATGGAGAGTACTGTTTACCCCGAAAAGCTAGAGCTAAATATGTATTCTTAAATTTGTATTATAATTTACAACAAATGAAGATAGAGTTGAGCATACAGAGCGTAACAGAGATAGACTGAAGAATTAGTTGGTGCATAGAGGGTCTCATTGTCAGCTCTGTGAATGAAAATAGTGGTTATCTACAAAAATATTATCTATCGTGTTCCGGCGTGCAGCTAAAATCGTAATTATGACTAACGAGCAGGAAGTAGATAAGGTAATGAATCATTTCTAGTAGATGTGTTTGTCATCCAAAATATTTTGCAGAAAATATACAATTCAGCGGCAAGCACAAGGGTAGTAGAAGTGCTTGCGTTTGTTTTTCAAAACGAAGAAGAATGGTGACGAATCGGAAAACAAATCTATAAATTGTTGTAATGGTAGGGCCATATGATTGCGAAGATGACGATTGTTGTCAGTGCTGGAGGCGGGGATGACTCATTTCACGATGAGTTTATGACCTTTAGGAATTACAAATGCAAGTCAGACATAGCGTTAATGAAAAGCGATTCAGAAGCAGACAAATCATCGAAAAAGCAGCCTCCAACAGGGCAAACGACGGGAAATTACGGGGCCTAAATGGGATTCTACGGGCGAGTCATCAAAATGTCCGATGAGTCATCGCCGACTAAGCGCTGAGACAAAACAATCGCCCCGTCTATTATGGGGTCCAGAGAGTGTGTCAGATTACTACTGAAATTTTAGCCAGTACAAAAAACCGGATTGAGCTGGTGGGGGATAGGGTTGCACTGAGAACCACAAGGGCACTTATCTAGTACTGATGGACGAATGAGTCATGGAACCAAATGCAAGAGTGATTGCAAAAGTCTGAATATGTAAGCTCAGAAATTCTATCCATAAAAATCAAATCAAATCGATCCGAATTTGTTATAATAATATTCTACAAGGGCTTCAAAAGAACTGCAATCAATCAAAGTTTTCGAGCAGATTTTCGCATAACTTTAACTCTTGTCAGATCGTCTCGCAATTTTTTTTTGCTAAAACCAGATGATCGAACTGTTTCCGAACGAGTTCTATACCACTTAGTTTTTACAGATGAGTTTTCATTTTTTTCCAGCACATTTTTCAAAATCAAATAGATTGAAGTTACTATATTATCAAAACTTGAATTCGAATTATAAACCTTCGATCAATTTCAAAAAATCAGAGTCTAATAAAACTGAAGTTTTATCACTAATATTTAACCAAAATGAACTTTACTAAACAAATTGTTTCATTTAATTTTCACACATAAATATTTTGTATTTGTTTTTTTGCTCTGGATTTTAACCTCTAAAAAGCTTACAAATGATCTCAAATCATAGGTACTGATCTAAAATGCTACAGCTTCTATAATAATCAGACTCGATAGAAATTTATAGATCAAAGTATTTTACGAAAGTTTTGAAGCGCCATTTATTTTACTTTTGATTCGTATTAATTTTGTGAATCAAGTTGCTTTTTTTTCAAGGCATCATCACGATCAGGCTCAACTTACAATAAGTTAAATTTTCTGCAAAGCTTCGTGTCAAAATGAAAAGTACAACAGTGCTTACATAAAAGACGTGTTCCCACCGTGCAAGGGCTATGCAAACAAATTCTCAGTGTCGACAAGATTTCAAATGCGAAGATTACATCGCCTTGTAGGCAAAGGAAAGAGTGCTAGTTGGTCCAAAAGGGCTCAGTTTTGACTAAATATCAAAGAAACTTTTGATATGGTAGAGACAAACCAGTAATGTATAAGGGATAAAAAAAAGCTAATTTCGAACATTTTTGTGGCTTCGATCGCGAAGCACCACATGTGCTGCAAATTACTTCATAATGGCTGCGATCGACGCCGCACACAGATGGTTTGTGATGGATGAGTTCGTATATCGCAGCTAAATTACAAGCTTCAGTATGAAGCTTCTCTCATCGTAAATTACAGGGTTGGAGAAAGTTCACACGGTGTTCTATCGTAATGATGGAAGCTAGGCAAAGTGATTGCATGAATCAAATAGATATTGATGTTTATTCAACCGTCTGCTATCATTCATTCTCTGACTAGGAGATGCGAGCACGCTTTGCGTACATTTCATTAAATAGTTCATGGATGTGTTTTAACGCGTTTTGGTTAGTTTATTATTAGAATTCGTGGAAGAACATGTTTGAGCTGGTTAAACCACGCTGGCTTGAACACGTTCTTTCAGGAATTTTTAACAGTAAGCCAGAACGCGTTAGAACTCATTTATGAACTTGTTGATCAAACGTACGCAAAGCGTGCTCGCGTCTCTTAGTCAGAGAATGAATGATACATAAAATTGACTTTACAGTTCGAAGATTCCTCCTTTGACGCGAACACAAGCTCGGAACTTGAAAACGCTGACCGTAATGACACGGAGGTCACATACCAAGCTCCACATTGACTATCACGCATTCTGAATAGCGTCGCAGAGACTTCTTGCGTGGGTGAGCGCAGGCTTGAGCCTAAAGAACTGACCCGCTGTTGTTGAGGGTATTTAGATCCGGCCAACACGGAGGCCATTCCATAGGAGTGATAAAGTCCTTAAAGTTGGGAACCATGCTTGAACAGCCTTCGCTTTGTGCGCAAGTGCGCTATTCTGTTGGGACACCAGTCGCTCCCGGCAAAATGAGTATTGGTTCACAGGCCAACAATTCCTTCTTCAGAATGCTGTCCGCATGCGTAGCAATGTCCATCTTGATGCCTTGAGACACAAAAAACAGCAGCATCTTGCTGTCGAAAGCGATCGCCGCGCAAATAATCAAAGAAGCTAGATGAAGCTTTCCTTCTGCGAGTTAACCCTTGCTATTGAATTCTGGGAGCGATTAGTAGATAATGATTCTGTTGTTTTGGCGATCAAAAACCTCCTTCGCGGGGAACATTTTGACGTCAGAAATACCGTGTGGTAGCGTGCCTTGGAGAGACGTTCAAGCAGTTGATGGCATCTGCGCAGTCATTTCAGCTTCGTACCTTCTGAAAAACCATGAAATTCTAGCATCCTGAAAAGTTTCGTCCCAAGGTCCTGTTCAACGATGCCGGAGATTATCCTGCCAGAGATGGACAGCTCAAAGGCCAGCCCAATCAAGCTTCTCCGAGGATTGCGACGAGGACGTTTGCGAACAACCTCCGGATCTTTGTAAGTGTTTGCATTAACCAATTTACCACTCCTCCGACAGTCCTGGGTGCCGTTCATGTCCTTGAAATTATGCAAGGTGAACAGGCGCTTTTTTTTGAAATCTGGGGAACCCGCGCAATTTGCTGATCAGCCATCCTCTCCTCGTGCATCCTCGCCACCAACATTCCATCGTTCCAGAAGGCATACCTCCAATAGGAAAAAGACTAATAGTCCAGTTTCTAAGGTGCTTGTTTATAAGATAAGAAGCAAGTACGTATAATCAGCATACAAGAGTATGTGGAAAATCCGAACAAACAAGGACATCAAAAATTGTTCAAAGACTTTCCCCCAATCCTTTATTGTGTAAAGGGCTGTGGTGGAGAGAAAACGGGCGCCTGATCAAAGCTTACTATAAAAACTAAAATAAGAATATGTGTTGTACTATAGATGATTGCCGCTTAAAAAATGCATCTCAACATGCATGACTCCAGTACGCATCATTTATCAAGAAATTCGGAGATGTTATCTCTGCGGGATGATAGACAAGCGATATACACTCGAGTAGTTTTTTTCTGAATATGAGCAACTGCACAATTCCCAACATGGATGGGGCAATATCCATCTCATTGTATCACGTTCCTTTAGTCACATTCGTTCTCAAACAACAATAAAGGCCACGAAAAAACACAAATAAGCACTATCTGAGTACCTGTTCACATTCATATGAAAAAATATACAAGCACAGCTCCATCATTATTTTTTTTCTCTTAGAGTGCAGAATAATCTCTCAACCCAACTTTGAATTGGAACTTCCCCGCATTCAATATATCAACGTCTGACCGATTTCGAAACTGAAGCACTCTCGAATAAGGAGATTAGTATTGACAAAGAGCTTATTGATTTAGCTGCACGACGTACATATATCAACGTAATCATGATTATATAACTTATATGTAACTTCGTAACAAAAGAATTCCACTAAACTACGACATTATCAGTATGAGACCGATTTGTAGATGAGAAGATAGTTTAACTTTGTAAGTACAGCACGGCAGTGCGCTTACCGCTACCAGTAGTGCAGGTTTACGTTTTTGTCAGATTGATGATTTTATCAGTAAGATGAGCATACCATGTAGCAAATCTGATTTTGAATTCTTGAATGATACAGATCATATTCTTAGCCACGAGATAAACCAGAAAAATGCTCAACGTCACATTCAAAAAAAAAAAACAATTGCTTGTCGACTTCTTAAATTTATCTTAACATTGAGAGAATCTCCATGGGCTGCAATCTTAATAAGACACATCTATTTAAAGCAATGAATGGTAGGGCCACGATCATGCTAGGTATAGAGGAATTCCACCTAAACCTATGGTGGATCCAATAGTATAGAGTGTAGCCTTGCTAGATAGCGGTAGCCTTGCTTCTATGTTGCTATACGACCAACACGATAGTGGCTATAGTCGTTTATCCGATACCGGTAGATATATAAGAGCCAAGTAGGGTGGAGAGCTTGGCGACGAACCAGAGCGAGAATGAGACACGAATGAACTATCTCCCAAAAATGGTATGCTTATATACAATCTCAAGTAAACAACCAATTCAACATAAATACATTTCTATATACAGCAAATATGTATCGGTCATCGCAATCTGCGATACTAGGTTTGTAATGTCGAGAAAGCCGTTCGAAGAGAATAGGATGAACAAGTTCCTTTATTCTTTTGTAATCTCAAAACTTTCTTCTACTGCCATGGCGATTGCAACCGAACTAGTGCAACTTGGGGTAAAGATTATGAGACGAAGAGATCTCAGAAGGACATTTCGACTCTTTGGGTTCCTAAGATTTACTGGTTAACAGAAATGTCACTTCGAATATTTGCAATAACGTGGAGCACGGATGAGCTCAAATACATATGCCGGTATGCTTCCTCATTATTTTAGATTTTTTTCCCGGAAGTGATCCAGATAAGAGCATAGCTACAATATTGTTCGAAATAACAAATTAGCTATGCCCGGATTTTTTTCAGAATCCCAGGCTTGATTTTGAAACATAAAGAGTTAGACTTTATCCCTCGCAGAAATTTTTGTCACCTCTACTGCTGCTAACAACGAATTTGAAATTAATTTCTGTAATATCTGCAATGTTTAGCTTATCAAAAGAAGTTTAAGCTCCCGCACAATCAGTTTATTTTTAGCACATCAAGCTATATTTAACTCTACAGCTTTAGTAAAAGCGAAGCCTAAGCGAAGGTAACGAGGCGAGCTATCGGTTCTGCGCGCGAAGGTGGCCATAGCAACGAATGCTCAGGTGCTGACTGAAACAGATGAAGCGGTCCGACAAGCTGGTTCGGTGGATGAACGGTGTACTGGCGGCTATTTGCTGGATTTGTTGTTTTGTAGGAGGACTGCATTTGTCACAGCAGTACCTCCGTGTTCGGTATCCTCACTTCTATAATGGTTTATGAAGTTGTTCATAAGGAGGTAAGCGGCATGGATTTTTCTTGGATTTGTGCATTTCCATCTTATTCCAGCCCCTTTATCGTGTCTACAGTGCCTCAAAAGTCAGCTTTGCCAATGTGATAAAGACGATTTTCGACGCGATTCGCGTACTTCTTCCGCTTGTTATTATCTTTTCCACACATGTAAGCATCTTCTGCTTTTGATGTAAGGTTCAGTCTATTTTTTTTGAAAATATTTTTCTCGCTGTAGCATATCCACGCAGATATTTTTACTACTTCGTTTTCCGGCATTTAGCGTACTCTTTCAGACGTAAAAAATTTTTTCCTATAGACCAGAAACCAGGACAGTTATCAAAGCTTTGATGTAGCTTAAGGAGCATTGGATTTAGGGTGAACAATATTGATACTAGCTACTGGCTTACCCGGCTCCGCCGTATGTTCCGAATAGAAAATTCCATTTCTTAATCGATCCGGACCAAACTTGGCACACATACACTTCGGGGCAGGGAGCGTGTCATAGGCTACTTTTCGTTATCGATCGATATCGATTTTATCGATTTTTTGCAAAATTTGAGCTACAGGGCTGGAATTTGGCAGGGGGTGTAATCGAGCATGCTGATCACCCCCACGGGGGTGATCAGCATGCTCGATTACCCCCCTGTGCCAACTCCCAGCCCTGTAGCTCAAATTTTGCAAAAAATCGATAAAATCGATATCGATCGATAACGAAAAGTAGCCTATGACACGCTCCCTGCCCCGAAGTATATGTGTGCCAAGTTTGGTCCCGATCGGTTCAGATATAAAAATTTCTATTCCGCACATACGTACAGACAGACATACAGACATACATACAGACAGACATTCAGCTTTATATATAAGATGACACCCATACCCCTTACAACCGAGCGAAATCACGAAATACTGCATAGCTATGCTGATGCTTTCAATATGGTGTAATAATGTGCAAAATTACTACCAAAAATATTGTGTAAATCCTTTTTTATTGACACAGCTTCCGACAACTGAATGCAAAAGTTTAGGTCTAATCCATATAAGGAAAACCATGACTATAAAGCCGTAACACTTCTTTCCTTTTCATAACCACAATGTGCCACGGATTTTTGAGCTGTCAGAAAGCATTTTCTTCCTGTATGCTTATATTAGGTGGGCTCGAAAGTCCTTGCGTAATACAAACAAAAAACAATAACTTTTCAACGCCTAAGCCTTAATTCACATTCTTACTTTCTAAAAATATTAGAAGGCTTGCGCTCCATGACGAACGGTTAAGCGTAAGATTTTATAAGCTAGACATCGAGAAGGAAGCTTTCAAATATGGGGCTTTAAAATTTGCGATTTTGAGTTTGGTGCCAGAAAATCGCAGAGTGCCGCTAGCTAGCCGAAAAAAAATCTGTAAAAATTACTTACACAGCAGAACTCCATATGTTACTTTGGAAGGCTTTGATCTTGTACGGTGAAGCGGAAACAAAAAATTCGTCAAATATGTCATTTTGCGGAAAAAATCCCCTCACTACCGCAGTTTTTCGGCGAAAACACATTTTTACACTCCAAGAAACGTAGCAAGGCTCTAAATAGGCACTACGTCATATTTCTTGTTGCAAACTGTGCGCTTCACCGTACAAAACCAAAGCCTTCCAAAGTAACATATGGACTTCTGCTGTGTAAGTAATTTTTACAGATTTTTTTTCGGCTAGCTAGCGGCACTCTGCGATTTTCTGGCACCAAACTCAAAATCGCAAAATTTGAAGCCCCATATTTGAGAGCTTCGTTCTCGGAGACTAGCCCATGGGATCTTGCGCTTAAACTTCCATCGTGGAGCGCAGGCCTTCTAATATTTTTAGATAGCAAGATTGTAAATTTAGGTTTAGGTGCTGAAAAGTTATTGAATTTTGTTTGAATTACGCCAGAACTTTCGAGACGACCTAATGTTTACCCACAGATGATCGTTCAGCCGGTTACATCTATAGGTCCTAATATTTCTAAGAGATAGTTCTGAGAATCACGGTCTTTTTTCAGCGAATCACCCTGAACCCGAATTTCTAGGCAAATTTAGAACTAAAATACTAGTATTACACGTGTAAAAATAAAATCAAGAAAAAAGTTCAAAGTCCTTCAAAGCTGGATGATTACATATACTGTTGCAGGGTCTTTGGAAGAAAACGGGTACGTATAGGGAACGACCACATGTGACGTTCGAAGGAAAATATTTGATTTTGTTGGAGACTAACGATGGATTAATTTATACCAGTACGCTGCCTGTGCTAAATACTGCAGATCCGTCGCATTTTACTATGTCTGAAGTTCAGCAACAATGGATTCGTGAGGAAAACCAGGACAGTGAAGTGAGTCCGCCGAAGTGGAGATGAAAACTTTTGAAAACTGCTTTTTTTTCAGTTTATCATGAACATTTGGCTTCCAAGCATGGGAAATTTCCCCAAAAATCTTGTATTCTTCGTCTTTTTCAAATATAGGTTGGATTACCATAGTGATGTTGAGGTATACGCAAATAATTTGGATAAAGGGATAGCCGGCTAATTTCCCACATTTTCCAGGCCGAAGTGGTATTGCACGATTCTTTACAAGTAGCTGGAAATACTTCGGCAGCGACAATATTAGGAAGAATGACAGCAGATCAGAAAGAGCCGTTCAGGTAAAAACACGATATTTAATTCAACAAAAAATGTATTGTAAAATCATTTTTCGTTTCGCATTTCAGGTGGAGAGAACGCTACTTACTGTTCGATCCCGACAGACGAGATGCTGAACATTATAAACCTATCGAAATAGCTACGAGAGCAATAAAACAGCCGTTTAATGTTCGTTTAGATAGGTGAGTCTTTTGGAATTGCTAAATGACCTTCAGAGTATTTCTTCCAATCAAGTCCATACGGAAGTATGGGTAATTTGCAATATACATATTGATGAGCTTCTGAACTCCGAAGAGAACCTTGCGATGATGAATTTTTTAAAATTCGTGCGTGTATAACAGTACATCAACTATCTTAAGCAAGATTTTATAAGCCCTCAAATAATCTCTGGCATTTTTTTCTGCACTATACAACTTCGAAGTACTACAAATTTGAAAAAAGGGTCCGCTCTCGTTAAAGGCACTGTCCACCCAAACTGGGGTCGATGGATTTTGATGCCTAACAGTAGTGGGGCCCCCATCTGTATACTTATCAAACTCGCGCTGGCAAAAGTTGCTTCCGAAGCGAGAAAATTGCTTCGAAAATCGCTCGGATGACAGATTCGCCAAGTGCTCCTCCCCTTTGAATGGGCGTGGCCCAACCAATCACCGCATCGAGAAAATCGCTCCGCGGATTCTGAAAACAGGTTTTCGTGGTTCTCGCGGATTTTCGACTTGATATTCGGAATCAGGGGTATGAGAAGGCCTTGGAACGGCAAAAACATGGAGCTCGAAATTTTGCGTGGACGGTGCCTTTAAGGCCTTTCAAAAATTTTCCCAATCAAACGGAATTTGGTAACTATTATCTCCCGTTCATCTCCCTCCCTCATCTAACATTATATACGTTTCCTGACTAGCTGTTCACTTCTTATTCTAATGGCGAATCTGATCTGACTGCCACAAATCTACATTGCACTGTAGTGACCCAAGTGAAAGGCAGCGGCTCGGCAGAATGACAACTTTGGGATATTCATCGTTCTGGATTCCCCTGGACGAGCTAAGTCCAATACTGTGCTTTGCAGCTTCAAAAGATATCAAAAACCCGCTTTCCCAGACGTGAAAAGCGCTATTTGGGCGGACCGCGTATCCTGCTCTCTAAAGCGCGATTGGCTTGTGAGTGGAGACACTGTAACTACCGTACCCACGAGCCAGTCGCGCTCGAAGGCAGGCATACGCCATCCGCCCAAGTAGCACATATCACTTCTGGAAAAAGGTGTTACTGATATCTTTTATAGCTGCAAAGCACAGTCTTGGATTTAGCTCATCCAGGCTAACCGAGAACGATAAACATTTCAAATTTGTCATTCTGCCGAGCCGCTGCCTTCAACAGCTTGCGATCAATATATCGATGTTTTGGCTACATTACGTCTCATTTCCTCTATCGTTGATAAGCAGACATTGCTCTCATTTTGTCGTTTCTGGAATTTTGCCCTCGCACGCACGGTTGCCCTTCGCCCGAAAGACGAATTCTCGAAACTACTTGCGCCAGGCTTAGAAATATCTCGAAAAAGAACACAATTGCTGGTGACAGTCAGCCGCATTATGACCCTCGCTTGCCAAGCTTTTCTGTGCAAGAAAATTCCATATCGGTCACGAATTTTCCTAGATCCGCTTTTTAATATACAACATTTGGCAAAAAACACCAAATCATGGACAACAGTCAAAGTATACGATTTCACATGCCCGAACTTCCTATTTAATATGATTGCAGCTAGCAAGCAATCACTAAACGCACTTTCCGTACATGTGGTATGACTGCAAGGTCATCGGCGATCCACATTCAAACCACTAAGTTAGATTTTTTCCTCATTCGCATTTCATCACGTTGAGATGCCTTGGTAGTTTTGCTACGGTCTTCAATCGTTAAAAAGTCTCTTCGGCTGCTCTATTGATTTGCTATGCTCCAAAAAATTATAATGATCATGGAGATGTCTGCGCAATCAAAGCTTGTCATTCATATGATTAGACCAGCCCAAAACATACACAGAAACAAGATCACATATCCTCCCTTCCGTCGTCTCCAATAAAGTTTTTGCGAAAACAACTCCATAAAGGCACGGCCCGGGCCATAAAAGTTCCTATGCCTATGACATGAAAAACAAACAATAGGCGTCTAGAGGAACCACAAATAATCGTTAAAAAGAACATTGTTTATGGAAAATAGTTCAAACACTATTTGCCTATTCAGCAAAACTGTCATTTTAGAAGAATTCAACTCACCAATACTAATACAGCGGAAGACGGACGGTTTCACCTCACTCTCTCGATAGTTATTTCGGAAGATGAGTTCACCTATAGAACAGACACATGGGAACTGCTCAAATGGGCAATAGTCCAATACTACATTGCATATGCTATTCTGAATTATTTTATCAATAGATTTCTCACGAGTTTATTCGAAAGTGGTTTGATCGAAGCTATTCCTTGTTGTAAATGATCGATAAAAATCTGATATGATAGGCACTAGCAAAAGAATCACAAATTGTATCGACCAGAAAGTACTACAATATGTAGCATTCACACCTATCACATGGAATGATAGCAACATTCTGAGATCAACAATATTATAAGAATCTATAGGCAAGGAAATTTGGAAGGCACTAACTCGATAGAACAGACAGTAATACAGACAATGAAAAACAGTTGTGATCACCGGTATGACCCGAATTGACGATGTATAGCTGAAGTGATCGTAGCTACTATAGTGATATAGCATTATCAAGCGAATGAGCGAAAATCAATCGCACAAGGGCGACTATAGATCCTTAGATTTTCTGACCCGCAATGTCATGGCTGTCGTCTTCTTCAGCAGAATCAGTATCCGCGTCCCTCTCCACCAGAGATACATACTCTCCAATAGCTTCTAATACCGGAGAGCTTGAGTACTCCATGATCTCTTTGAGCCTGAACAGACAAAACGTACAAAAGTATTAAAAACATCAGACCTCCATGCATGCGCGCTGCGCTCGTGGCTCAACTGATTTTACTTTTGCGCCTTCGTTTGATAGAAGCCTTCAATTTGATGTTCTTGCGTTGCGGACAGCATTTGCGCGTACAAACATTCTTTCAAGCGCAAGTGGCAAGCAAGTTGTCTGCATTCTACTGAAGCATTTGTTTCCCCAGGAAATGTTGTCATATCGGCAAACGCACTATACCAGCCGTCAAAAAACTAATAAAAAGACTGTACCTGGCCGCCTTCCGAAGCGATTTCACGAGAAGCGTAAATAACACAATAAGAGGTGCGTTGACAAGTAGAATGACAATGATAATTTGATCTGCGCCTATGGATGGCATCAACGTGGCTAGAGCAGAACTCAAGAGACGTCCAACCATCATTGGAAACATGAAGTAATCTAATTGAGTACCAGCACGTGGGCTAACGCACATCTGTAAAAGTATAACTTTAGTAGCATTTAGGTTCTATTGGTCACAAAATGCATAAGAGCAAAAGAGAGTCTAAAAACAACATCATAAACAACTGAAGCACTTCTTCAGTGCCAATCTCTTCCTAATGAACAAAGCACATGTGCATCTCAGTAATAATAGAATGCAAAGATGTGAATTCTTCCCTAATTTCATGCATGTTTTGTGGATGGGTAGCAGCTGAAGAAGTACTTTTGGTTTCCGACGTTCACTCACCTCAATATAGAGAAACACCATCAAAGCGAATGTTCCCATGCTTCCTGATAGGAAAACGAGTCCAACATATAAACTCGCCAACTTCATCATAAGTAGCACACTTCCTAGCACAGAAAAAAACAGAACTACGCAACATCCATTGAGAGAGTATGCGATAGGCCCACTGTAACTTTTGACAGATGAAACCTCACGATTTCTAGCAATATGAACAAAAATAATGACTCACAGTATCATTACAGTAATCCTTGTCAGAGTAACCACGACATAGTGTATGAGAAGAAGATTACCGCTCCGCTGCGCAGTAAACATCACAGCAATCAATTCTACGAGGCCTGCGAAAAAAATGCATGAACCGAAGTATGCTTTACTTGATGAATGGTTCAAATCACCTTCCAGGAACGAGGCAATTGCTTGTAAAGATGCAAGGCGAATTCTGCATCCAGCGGTAAGCCCAGCAATAGACGGATCGAATAACTGTAACGAAAATGAAATTGCTTGTAAAGACGAAATGTTACAGCTACGCACCCTAGTAAACTTGAGATCGCTACTCAAGCTGCACGGTATGCAGCAAAAAACTGTCGTCAAGACATAAAAGACGACAGCAATAGTAGTGAGAACGGTTGTGGCCCAGACATTTGATTGAGAAAGAGGCACGGCTGCGACAGGACTAGGTGTGGGGATGGCAGAAGTAGAAAAACTGAAATATAACATTTTGCATGAAAATGCATAGAAAGTGACATCAAAAAATTGACGAATATTATACAAGTTCATGTCACCACACCTGCTTTGTAAACGTGCGAGTTGGAGGGAAGTCTGCGTAGCTCTTTTCGTTGTAGTAGCTGACGTCGTCGTACTTGGTAAAGCGGTGGTGACAGCCCGAGATGCGTTATTCGAGGGCGACGTAGTTGCTAGAATACCACATTTGATGAGCGCATGTTTTGCTTAGAACCTGGCAGGTATTTAAGCCATAAGCCAAAGTTTAAGAATGATTTTCAAAACTGAGCAGAGATACAAGTAATCAATTGAGACAACAAAGATAAACACATTTTTCAAGTGTATTGTAGCAAAGAGTGCACACGCATCAGTCAAAAAGTGATATTATTAGTTCTCCAAACAGCAAAGAAGCATGTAATGAACAGCTTACTCAAATTATAGGAGGACGTGACATTGGGAGGCCTAGTCGTTTTGTTCAAAGCGATCGCTTTCCGCATCTGCTTATTTTGGTCTGATTTCGTCTCTACTGCTTTAATTCCTTCGGCAACCTGAGGTCTGAAAATCAAGGCTACAAAGTCACAGACGATAGACTCAGTGTGCTTTTACTTACTTTTTTGGTCTCGTTACCATCGTGCCGTTCGAAGGCGGTTGGTCTATTATATTGTTGACCTTGTTGATCACAACATCCGGAGATGCCGTAGACAAGTCCGTCTGCCGCTTATGACGAATAAGAATGGGTGAAAGCGAAGCAGATGTTTCTGAAGTATGTTGCATCAAAAATGAACTAACGAACCTCAGTGCACAAACCTGGAGTGAGACCGGGCTGATTATGTGTGACAAGAATAATGGAAGATCCAACTGTGATGAGTACATAAAGGAAAAGTGCCTTCCTGTTAAAACCACGCCAATATATCAAGAAAACGGCGAGTCCAACTAAAGGGTAATGGTTATTTTGCCAGTCAGTATGCTACTAACTGTGACCATCCATTGCTCTTACACTCTTTGACAAAATGATTACTTCCTTCAAGTAATAACCATCCGGTTTTGCTAATGCATGAGGACATTAGGTTTCAGGTTGGGGACGATCAGTATCTAACATTTACTTTACCATAAGAATGCAATTAGAACTATGGCTCGAGTTGCCGCATATTAACTTATATGATTCAAACTCTGACACTGCTTTCAAATGCTATGGTGCAAACGTACTCATTGGTGGGACATTCCTTTGACCCAAACATAAAAAAAATGTGAAAGACTCGCATGAACTTGCGTAACAGATCTGCATTTAGCAACGACGCGACAGACTAACCGTATAAGATATTCCCTGAGACAAAGCCAAGCAGTATGCAGATAATTTTTGCATCAATCAATCCCGGAAGCACAGAAATAATCCAAGAGACACCGCATAAGGATACCGAGGCCAAAAACGAGAGGAAAACGAGGCTCAAACGTCGACATAAAAGCTTGCCTGAAATTAGAGAGATCAGTGAGACTAAAAACAAAGACCATGGTTTACGTTAGTTTCCGGAAGAGCGCGAAACCATTCATCTACGTAATAAGCCATGGGTACCCACGTTGAGAGTGCTTCACAAAAGTGAACAAACATAAAAAATTACACATTTTCAGGATAAGCAACCTTAGTAGATGAAAAGTTAGGACGTGACAAAAACAGCACCATGACCGTCTAAAGCCTTGCTGCGAAAATCGTCTCCCAAAGTAACAAATTTTTCTCAACCCATTTCAAAGCGACAATTTGGCTAGAAGTTTGCTGAAGCAGCAGTTCAATAAGTGTAGATCAATTATTCAAATTGTTCGACCAAATACAGGAGAGAATTACTGCTGCTTCAACCTAGAATATAGTTTTTAAAAGCAGTCGAGGCAGTCCAGTGGACTCGTGCCACATCCTTTGAAATTACTAGAACTTTGCTTCCTTGTTCTATACATTTTGACAAAAGAATGGACACGGTTTAACTTCGTCATGTCTGAATTTCACTCTATTCTTTTTTGTAAATTATTATTAATCGATTTCTACGTGACTGCTTTAGCTTTGTTCATTTTCCAAAAAGAGATGAGAAGATTTGAACTCGTCGTCATTCTATACGCTGCCATTTAACCCCATGATGACCTCATGTAATTCCTAACCATTAACTTTTTCCGATTGGTGAAAGTCACGATCGCAAACTCACCAGTCAAACAGCCGATCAGTAAGCCGACATTGTTTTCAAGTAGAAATGAGAAGGGTATTTTCTTGTCGAACTGGAATCCGGCCCATGCTAAAGGATAGCTAGCTCCCTAAACACACTTCGTGACTGTTGTACAAACAGTAGTCAGTTATTGAATACCTACCACGGCAGCATAGATTAGCAGAAGGACTAAGTAGACACAGGTATACGATTCATTCCTCCTTCTATACACTTTCACACCTTTATTCGGGGACAATAAAGAATTCTGGAAATGAAATGAAATGTAAACGATGCTGATGTATTGACTAAAAAACGCACTCTATCAAAAACTGGCTCCTCGTCAGAATCGGTCCTCGTGTCGACTTCGCCATCAATATTGACTTCAACAAATCGATCTCTTTCTGATGATACATCTGCTTTTTTAGGCGAATAGAGATGCTTACGAGGACTTTCTTCTTTTGAATCTAGTACTGAAATAGGTTACATAAAAATGGAAAAAAAACAACTCGTATCAGTTCCAGAAAAACTTACTTCCAAGACGTGACAGAATGTCTGCGTCATCTTGAAAATCCATATCATATCAGCATGGGTGCCTTTCACGAAATTTTGCCTATGAAACGTGCGGAAACCTGGAAATAAATGCACTAATGGCGAACAGAGACTCAAAATAAACGAAATACGCTCTGATTTGACGACAATAAACATTGTTAAGGGCATAACATTCCCCAACATAGAAGTGCTTTGCCTTTTCCGCAAGAGCTACAAATCGATAATAGGAAAATTTGAGGTCAAATGTGAATTCGTGTAGAATGACTTCATGGAAACTCAGAGATGTGATGTTAGGAACAAATTTTTCATATTAAACTAATTAGAAAGAGAAAGCTAGCGTAAATATATAGTGCAGTCGAGCAAGAATTTCTAGCCCTGTGAGAATTAGGTTTACTCAAATTATAGCCCTTTTGCTAGCTAGAGATTGTTCTAGACATGGTGTACTCCACGAACATTTGATTGCCCTTAGCTAATTATTTCCGTTTTGTGAGTTGAGGGACCCTTCAGCCCAAAATTACCACTACTTCCGAGCAAAGAATGCAAAACAAAAAAGCTCCAGTAACATCCGTATACGGATGCAAATCTTTGAGCAATACTAAAGCATTCGAGGAAAAAAATAGAGCATATATCGTAATAAAAGTACAAATTGATGCATTTTCGGAATAGCGCGTTGCCGTTGGAGAAAAACGGGCGTAGCAGGGCGCTGACGTCGCAAATGCAACACAGAACCAATCCAAGGGCGTCACTTGGTCGAATCTTCGATGTTGTCAGTGCTGATATAAACAGTACGACTCCACGCAGTCCTAAATCGAACGGCACCACACTGGCAAGTGTGTTTGCTAACGTTTCGTGTTCTTTGATAAGCGCCATTCGCGCCCTCTCTGACAACAACTCAAGAACATCCAGTCGTCCAATCGAATTCCGTATTTTCTGAGGTCAACGTCACTCGCTGCGTCTTCTATTGCAGTCCAACCGAGCACTAGTTTTCTCTGCGGCCACGGTGGAACGGGCGCCGCGCGCGCGATCGGAGGAGGGCGCGGCGTGTCCTCTGCGTGTCTGACGAGTCCGCGCGCACGCGCACCGACGCCGCGACAGCGGTGGCCATTGCATTGAGCACTGCGGTGCGGAGTGGAAGCGTTTTCCTTGTTGTTTTGATTGGATCACAGTCATTTGACATTCACCAAGAAGACTTCAAGACTTCATATCACATATGTGCATAGCCTCCGAACAAGTGAAATGGTCAGGTGAAGCGGTGGACACCCTTTTTGGGGGGTCTGCGCAGCAGAACTGCCCACGGGCAGCTCTCGGCTGACTCTTGCTAGACCAGGGCTTGTGCGAGCACACACAGGTGAGAGCTTGAGGAGAATGGCTGCAACTTCATGTGTAACTTCTTGAATACCTTCTTATCACATCTGAATTTGCTTCTTCTCCTATTAACAATCGCCTAAAATATAACTAGCTACTATCAAATTCAACTTTAATTAAGTTTCCTAGGCAGGGTTGTACTGTTCGTTCAGTACTTTAGAACTTTCGCAAAGCTTCATTTCGAGGATCGAAAGCCGGGTGGGCTGCATGGCGCACCGGGTCGGCGTCCCCGAAACGATCGATAGCGAGAGAGTGTGCGACGCGCGTAGGCAGCCGGCAGCGAGCGCGTCGGGCGCGATAGACAGTCGCACGTCAGTCGAGGGGAGCGCGCCCTACGAGTTCTCGAACATTCCTCTTAGCCCTGTTGTACCGAAACACACTGGATACTACCGAATATGAGTGGTGTGGTTGGTCACATCCACTGTCCAGAAAATGACTTTTCTACAAAATACCGCCTGGAACGGTATGAGTTGCTGGGAACTCGGTGATGACGAGTTTCATTGTCATTGGTATTAACCTTCTTTCTCTTCTCCTAATTGCAATCATTCATGAGCAGAAGTCATAGTTGAGAGCTTGAACAGATCTGAATGGTTTGGTGGGGTCTGACAGGCTAATTTCTTCCCAGTAACTTCAGCTAAACCAGAAAATGGGATGAATTCTTACTAACTATTTAAGACATAAACCCGTCTCTAATAGCGTTGCAATCTTCTATTTCTGCTATAAGCAAAGCTTGAAGGGGATTGTTTTGCTATTTTACGATTTTCCCACCGCGGCGGCGCAATTTCGTCCCGTGCGATCGATAATGGGCGGGTCCCGAAAAGCTGTTTTCTCTGTCTGTCTGCCCTCTCCCCTCTCATCTTTCCCCGCCCACTGCGATTACGGTAGTTCTTAGCGAAGATCCAAACTTGACAGAGTGAGAATAAGTAAGCAGGAAATGGTTATTAGTGAAAAGTTGGACATTCTCATCCTAGTGTGCCTGACGTAGGCTTCCCTTATTGTTCAAGTGCAACTTTCATAACATCAGTCTCACGTGACTCATCAGAGACAGACCGGGGTGGGTTGTATACTGATTTATTTGAGTGAAACATTCTTGTGAGAGATGCTTGAGACTCGTTCGAGAACAAGTTGAAAACCTCTTCTCCCACTTAATAGTTCGCTTGCTTCATTTGCTTACACACAGGGTTGAAACTTGTCTACGGTTCTGATAGCCTTTTTCTCCTGATTAGATTCTGTGCTTCTTTTCATTGTAGTGTGTACTGGAATCGCGGTTGGTGTTGAATCATTGTGAAGGTTAATTTGATGGACTGGGACTTTGTCTGTGTTGAATGTACTGTAAATGACCCTTGGCAAAATGTTCCAAGAATGCTACACTTGAAGTACAGTGAGACCACGATGAATCGGCATAAGGTCCTGTAGGCCTTCAAATCCTAAGAGCTTGATATCACATTTTCGAAAATCTTTACCTGTTTCATACCATCGAAGATTTTTACCACTATCGTCTCAATGTCTAGCCATATGAAAGAGGGAAACCCTAAGTACCCCAGACGATTTTCAGGTTATGGTAGATCTAATGGCCAGTCCAAGTGATTATCAAGAACCCCGAGATTTTGAAGACGGTGAACTACCAGAAGATGGTGAAATCTGTGATGATGATGAAGAGCCAAAAGGTAAAAGAAACAGTTCCTAAATTGGACATCAACAAACAGGTTTACTGGTGTATGAGCCTTGTCTTCCAAACTTTAAGAGATAATAAGGCGGAAGATTTCGTGTGCATCCTCTGCGATGATAGATAAGGATGTTAATGTGCTCTAATGACATTCGATGAGCGTCACTTTTCTGCAGACATCTGATGGTTGGCTAACTAACCTAATTTTTTCGCGGCGTCATTCCTTATTCGGTTTTGTTCACACTATGGGCTGCAAAAGCATATAGATATACACTTTGCTAAGTAAACAACATTTAATTGCGTAATATTGCATCTCCCTGAAATGCTTATCGTAAGAGTTCGAACTTGATATCAGAATCCAGGATGAAGAATGTGCAAAATCGTTACTCCTCAAACTTCTTGTTTTGCCCACTCAATAATGTTTTCAGCTGCTGCTGCTGTGAATAATCCTAGCCCTAGTCCGAGTGCTAACGTTGTCAATCAACCCTCAGCCGGTGCATCGCCAAATCAGTCCAAGATTCGAACAGCAAAAGAGATGATAGGGGCTTCGGTTCGTTATTTCATATCCTTATCTCTTCTCTCATGGCGGACTATTCTGTGAAAATCTCACCGAGGGACTACTTATTGATAATCTTAATTAGATTCTAAATTAGAAAGAATACAAGTTACATTAATGATAGACACTTTCTTTACAAACTTTGATTGATGTAATAGATAATGGCTAGTTTTTTTTTGCTATAAGTTGTGCTTTCCCTGCGCGACCGGTTCCATCGAATGCGTCGTTTTTTTATTTGAAGGAGGAGAATGCGAAGCCCTCGCAAAGCATGTGGGCGAGCAAGGTTGCGGCCGCCGAAGAAAAAGTTGGCGACGTTTTTGGATACGGTGCTGAGGACAAGGACTATCGATTTGAAGAGGAAGGCAGTGGAGATTTTGATTACCGACAAGGAAGTCATGTTGGTAGAAGGTATGCAGTTTTTTGCTTCCACTTAGGACCAAACTGTCTTTTTCTGTGGGAACTGCTGTAAATACTACTTTTATAGTTATTCTAGGCGTCGCCATTCTCCTCAACATGATGAAGACTGGGATATGCGTGGTCCAAAACGTCCTTATGGCGGTCGCGGATTCCGTGGCTTCCGACCAAAACCGCGTTGGGCAACCGAACATCAGATTTGCAAGTTTTTCCGCGAAGGCTATTGCAGAGACGGCGACAACTGTGCCTATTCCCACCAAGCTGAAGACTCTCTACGCCGTCCCGAACTCTGCAAATTCTACCAGCAAGGTTTCTGCAAAAAAGGGCTCACTTGCCTTTTGCTGCATGGCGAATTCCCATGCAAAGCATTTCACAAAGGAGAATGTAGTCGTGACCCATGTCACTTCAGTCACGTTCCTCTTACCGACTACACTAGGCCACTTTTCGAGCGTATGTGTCAGGAAGACGAAATGTATGCTAATCGAAGCATGGGCGGACCGGTCCCAATGAAGAGGCGTGTCTTACTGCCACAAGGACCAAGTGGGGCACAACCGCCACTCCCACCCACTACTGCTGCTCCGGTGATTCATGCTGCTGTTCCACAGCAGCCATCCAACGGTGGTCCTCTTGCACCGCCTTCTGTGGTCGTACCCTCCTTGACGCCTACACCACCTCCATTCCCGGCTATGCCTCCTAGGTTACCTTACTATGCTGCTCCTACACATGCTGCTTCACCCAGATTCGAAGAAGCTGCTGCAGTTCCGGGCGTCATTCCGACGTCTCAGCCTACGACCACTGCTCCACCTACGCAGTTCAACATTAGCCAGATGCTTGCTCAAATTGCTGGTGACTCAATCGCTGATGATGAAAGTCCCGCAAGTCCGCCCATGGGAAATGGATCCACCGATAGTGCTGTTGTGCGACAAATTCCGGAAGGAAATGTAGTAGCTTGGAGGCTGATCGCTGTTGATGCGCCTCCGACATACTCTGGAGTCACTCCAGACCTTAATTTGACGAGCCAAGATCCTAGAATGAACCGTGTAATGCAGTCACAATTCGATGCAGTCTCTTCCTTGATCGCCGGCACCCCCTCAGCTGATTCATCAGTGAGTAGGACAGATTTATTTAGACCTGAAGAAAGGAGGCCCAGTGATGACAGACCGCGCGCCTCGTCGTGGATGCCACAAATGGCTTAAATTTTGCATTTATCTGAATCATTTCCACAGTCTTGCTGCTCATATCTGCGCTCATTTTGTAAATGCGAGTTATGTTCTTTCTTTAATTTTCGTTTTTCGCATACGTCTTCTTCGTTTATTCTCTTCCCCTGGTGTCTCATGCGGAATATGGGTCTCAAAATGGTGTGACTCTCTCGCACTCTTTTACAGTTTTTCAGTTTACCTGCTCCTTATTAGTGTACGCAGCTCTTATTGTTTACAATTCACGTTACCCTAAGATAAGGAATTTTGAAGATGAAAGAAGTGCTGATAAATATATATGTATAAGGGGTTGAATGTATGAATAGAACAAAAGAAGGGCAATGATACATTATTGGTGCTCGTTGTGTGATTTATTTGAAAATGAAATGATGTGGTAAAAAAAGAGGGAAGGTAAATGAACATGGTAGGGGTTGAGAAAAAGAGTTGGATGGGAAAAGAAGGGACAGAAAGGATAGGTCATGATATAGTGGAAGGAATTAAGCAGGAATAAAGACTGCAGAAGAGATGGGTTGAATGGTAGAGGAGTGATAAAAGGTACATTACTGGTAGGAAGGAAATTTGAAGAGTAGGTGGACTATAAGGGTGAAGATACAAATGTAAATATGAAGATGTGGTCAAAATTGAATGCTGGGGAAAAATGTGGAAGAATCGTAATGGTCTGCGAAAATGTGTGATGTTATTGCTATGACATAAAATGAATTCCAGACAGACAAAGCACAAAATTCCGTCAAAGTCATCTCTTCATATTAATGGCGTAGAATTCTACGTAAAGTGCATATGTTGAACCATATTCTTATGTAAATACTTATGCCAGAAGTGCTCTTTGAAAACTTGAATCTGCTTAAGACCACTTCATGTACATTTGCCTTGAAAAATCCATTTCAGAGACAAATTTTGAATGTCAGAGATATCGATAGCTGAGATTTCTCTCACTTGCATCATGTGACGTCAGCTTTTATGACGTTAGATTTTCAATGCTGAAAAACTGAACACGGATTGTCTACATATGTGGAATAATAGCAGACGGATAAACAGACTCGTTGGCATTTTTTTGGTGATGATCGACGTTGGTTACAAGTGTGTTCAATAATCCCATTGATATAATGTCTGTATGTTCAAATTTTCCAACTTGAAGTATTTCATGTGGCGCCAGGTAGATTTTCCTTGCTGTCATAAATTCTGAAAATCACGAATTTGCAATTCTACGAATTATACAATGAAGATTGTTGCCTGTGACCGAAAACTTAATTTCCAAGAAAATTTATTCTTCAAGTAGAAATTTTGCTACATGCAAAATTGAAGATTAATAGCATTTTTGAATGAACATCAAAGTGCAGAGAACGATTTGTTATCAACGTCGCACTCTATGAGAAGCGATTCTTCCTATAATCGTAAAAATAAAGTATAGGAAAGGCACAGAGAAGATCGAGAAGCTACAGAAAATAAAAAAGGAATAAATAATGCAGTTTATGTCACAGCATATTCAGATCTCAAAATGATGTGTTATAGCAAATGGTAGGGGCTATAAAATTGCTGTAAGAATCGCTGACTGTCTCGAATATTCTCAAGGTCTATGAAATAAAGGGAATGAAGCTTCACGACCGCACTAATTTACATCCATAGTCAGGAGGTGATAAATAGGGCGATTCTAGAGCTTTCTTGATTTATGTTTTCCAATGAATTGACGACTTTTGAGAATCGAGCATGGTCTTACAGCTGTTCCTGAACAGTCATTCACAAGCTGAGAGCTCCAGCAAATCGTCGGTTTTGTCTTCTTCGAATAATTTTTTTGGTCCATCCAGCGATTTCTTCTTCTGTAGTTTGGCCGTTTATTTTTTTTTCGCAAGAAGTATCATCGTTTATTTGTGCGGAAGCGTATTTTCACTCTCATATTTTAATACCATATATAACTATTAATTCCGCAATTCTAACACCCCATCTAATAAATTTTACATGAAAATAATCGAGAAGGTGCTATGGACTTCGATCACAAGGTCAACATTTTTATTCCTTCCTATGATTCGATTAAGAAAAGAAAAATAGAAATGAAAAGACTCAATTCCGTGACTGCTCCACCTGGGCAACGCCTCAGCTGTGTAACATTTCTTGCAAAAAAGGTCATTTCTTTTTTCTGAAGAGGAATTTGCTCTATCTGTCCGTCGTTAAAACATTCATGTGTTTCACGTGTAGTAATACTTTGAAGTGAGAGATTGCAATGAAAGAATTTGATTGAAAGTTGTTTTGATTAAGGGCGTTGGAATATGTAGAGATTGCAGTGAATTAGAATGCAGATTTTTTAACGGCAGATTTTCTCATACGATGAAAATAATATTGATCATTTGATAACTTTGACAGAAGAGAACATCCTGGAACATTTTTCTGACGTTTCCTAATTGTTAAACTCACCCAGAATGTGATTGTTGCAGGATGAAGTAAAATTTTGAAAGCCAAGTTGACACAGGTTTCAATGTGAGCTTTTGACATTTTTTTGTGCACAAAACCTTTGGACTTGTGTTTTTGGATGTACTTTGGCCACATACCGTCAACGGGAAATAAGGTGAACACCTGTAAATTTTATTCTTTGGAGTTTAAACCACAGAAATGTGCTGGTGGACTTCGCGTGAAATAAAATGGAGGTTTCCAGGCCTTCTTTCCATGAATGAACCAAACAAACTGTCAACGTGAGTTACAAATGCCGGTTGACATAAATTTTATCTGCAATTAGTGAACTAACCATAGTTTTTTTCAAAAACTCACAATCTTACAAAAATAATTGTTGTGTTTGCGCGAGTAATCTATAATAATTTCAAAGGCTGGTGCAGGACGAAGGCGCAGAAGCAGCACTGGTTGAGCGGGCGCAAAGGCGACGCGCGCCTATCTTCACCATTGCAGATTCTGCACCTTATGCGCTCCGCAGCTAATAAGACCGCGTTCGCGCCCGAAGATATTGCGCCTTCGTCATGCAGCAGCCTATACATACTTTTCTTTAGGTATCTTCATGAATCTGTCTTGCCAATCTGAGGCTATGTTAAATATTATGTGCGTTGACTCTCATCATGTAAAGTACTTGAAGGCAATGTCTTGGTACAGTTTCGTCTGCCAGTTCTTCACCTCTTCGGAGCCTTCTCACCACGAGGAATCCACATCTAAGCTTTTCATTCCATAAAAATGGCGAAAATGAGCTTTTTCGAGGCTTTCCAGGTCCACAATAAGTGGAGAATACGTGCAAGTGGGCGGGACCCGGGGAGGAAGGTGGGGCGCGGAAAAATTTTCGGCGTATCTTCACTGAATGCGGCCAAGCTTCGGAAAAAGCTCGCTTTCGCCATTTTCACGCGCTGGAAGGCCCAGATAGGATTTTTCACGGCGAGAAGGCTCCGAAAAGATGAAATACTGGAAAACGAAATTTTGCCGAGACACTGTCTTTAAGAAAAATATAGTAGTATTGAGCGTCGTATACATATGTAGTGAGCTTGAGGATAGTCATTGTTTCCATTCAATGCTCTAACAAAGAAAATTTACTTTGCAATTCGAAAAAAAGGGCTTTTTCAAACATTTATGTTTTGAGTCGCTTAAAATGGCTTCGGAATATCCTATCGACTAAATGGTCAGAACGAACTTAACCCAGATTCATTTCAAACAAGCTGTATATTATGGCGTCCTGAAACCCTGCTACCAATGTTCATTATCTGCCAAACTATGTAAGAAGGAATTATGAGCGTCAAAATGTGAGAAATTTTTCGAGTTCCAACGATGTACTTCGCTGAAAAGGAGCCTGATGGCACGGATTCACGGCAGCTATGGATACTCCGATTGCAAAGAAGAAGCATATTCACCAAAAACCTAGATAGTGTTTTTGAAACGTATTTCATGGAACATGCGCCGGGCAAACCGCACATTTACACGCTCATATTTTCTTCCAGATAGTCGCTCGGCAGGTACTAAACATATATTTGAGATCAGCATTTCAGGGCGAGCCGATGATATATAGCTTGTTTGTATGGTTGGATTAAGTTCTGACCATTTCCGGCTAAGTTTACTACCCGGTTTGCAAATCCTGTTGCCATCAAAATTTGCGTTACATTAAAGGCAGTGTCCCGGCAGATTCGCGCCTTGGGTGATATCGCTGCGGTGGGGTTCCTGGCCACCCCACTAACCTCTAGGCCTAGTCTGGCTTGTTGATGTCCCCCCTGCGCCGAGAAAATAGCCTCAGAACCGGCGCGCGCTCGAACGACTTCGCTTACCAGCTCGGTGCGGGACCACATTACCGCTCTCCGCATTGTGCATACTATTCCAAAATAAAAATTACAGGCGGCAGGGTGTTTCGTGCCGGGGCCTCCCCAATTTCCGTTGAAACTCTCGTCCGAGCCGCTTTTTGCAAACTAGGGAAATTTCCCCAAAACGGTCTTTTCACCCGATTCTAAGCTCAGATTCGGGTTCTACGAGTCGGAAAGGCCTAAGACTTGCAGAAAGGTGGAAACGCAAAATCTGCCGGGACACTGCCTTTAAGCTAGTCTCGTCTGTCGGTCGAACTCCCTTCAAAAGTACGATATTCAATGAAGATTAACTTAAAAAGCTCCGATAAAATATTTTGAGTAATTTTAACTAAAAGGCAGCTATGGAGCACTATTGTAATAAAGCAAGAAGAACTTGCTACTTTTCCGTGGAAATAGCTTGGCATATAATATCAGGTTGTCCCATAAGTTCCGTCCATTTTGATTTTCAGTCGCAATAAATCATCAACTTCTTGTTCCTAGGTATGTTTCAAGGTACCATTCGATAGAGCAAAACAAGCTCTACAAGATGGCTATCTTGCTGTTGCACTAGCTGCAATACATCTCGAGTCTTAAACCGAAAACTAAAAAGATTCAACTGCCCGAAAAATCGAGAAAAAATCGTAACTCCGTTCAAAAACATCCTACAAAAATTCCAACTTGCTCATGTAAACACTAACCATCTTAGATATTTATATACGCCGTTGCCGTTTTTGTTCCTTGGCTAGAAATCAAGAAGACGAAAATTTTCATGTTTTTGCCAAAGTGATGTTGTGCTGTCCCTACATAGATAGTTGTAAACTACTAGCCTGTAGAAGTACAAATGTAAATTTTCAGCTCTCTATAAGCAGTGGTCTCCGAGAAATATGGATTTTAGCGTAAGACACCCAAGCAAAGCAAGCTATATTCGATATTTCTCGTAAACTACTGCTTGTAGAAAGCTGAAAATTTATGTTTGTACTTCTACAGGCTAGTAGTATACAACTATCTATGTAGGGACAGCACAACATCACTTTGGCAAAAACATGAAAATTTTAGTCTTCTCGATTTCTAGCCAAGGAACAAAAACGGCAACGGCGTATATAAATATCTTAGATGGTTAGTGTTTACATGAGCAAGTTGGAATTTTTGTAGGATGTTTTCAAATGGAGTTACGATTTTTTCTCGATTTTTCGGGCAGTTGAATCCTTTTAGTTTTCGGTTTAAGACTCGAGATGTATTGCAGCTAGTGCAACAGCAAGATAGCCATCTTGTAGAGCTTGTTTTGCTCTATCGAATGGTACCTTGAAACATACCTAGGAAAAGAAGTTGATGATTTATTGCGACTGAAAATTAAAACGGACGAAACTTATGGCACAACCTGATAAAATGGTCTGTAATCATTGCTAATGTGCTTCTTAAGGTGTGCTCTCATCTCCGACGGACACGGTCACAGATTTTTTCTTGTAATACAACAGAGAGTTTGATCTTCCGTAAAGATCAGTTTACTTACTGTTTGTGTTGATGAGTAATCAGTGCCTAAGAATGAAAACGGCAAGAATCATGGCGAAGTTATTGCCTCATACGTTGACGAATGTACTGAAAAAAGAAAACTATTTACTGTTTGCTCAAAGCTCCATTATCCTACGTGACGGTTTTCCCAAGGGTTTGGCCAAGAATCATTGGCGAATGTTTACCATAAAAAATGTTACAACGAATTGCTCATAACAGATGACGAACACAACATCAGGAAATTTTCCAAATAATTCCAGATCAATCTGATTCAGCCAATTTAGATCCACAGCAAATATGTTCGATGAACTGGAACTATCAATGTCTGTACTCGCTTCAGACATCTATCATCATTCGGCACACATGTGACAACGATGAGCGTTTTGTTACAGTCAGTCGAGGGGGAACACTTGATGAGAACGTGCAACGGGAAAGAATTTGAACTTTTCTTTTTTCCACAGGAATTTACTGTTTGGTTAAGAAATGAAAATGGATGAATGAACGATACGTTTTTGCGGTGAATTTTGGGAAATTACAAGAAAATGGGGAAAATCGTTAGTGAGCGAATTTGCTCGGAGCAAATTCAGTGAGCAGTCGTCGGCGAGTGATTGTTTATTGTTTTCCATTTATCAAATGGAAAAGAGTGCACAATGTTCTGCACCATGAAATTTGGTCTGAAATTTGATAATTCAATAATTTAGCAAAGAGCAGAGAAAAAATACGGGCATCAAGTCCAGGAAAAACCTTAACCTTTGGGAAACTGTAATCAATTGTAAATTGTAATATCAGGATGGCTCAAAACTTCGTTACCACCATTTTCAGAAATTCATAATCTCCTAATTCATCGAAGAATTTGCATACTTTTGGCTTTGAGTGAAAAAAAATCATTTGCTTTACAATGGCAATCAAAAGAATTTCCAAACCCAAATACCGCAGAGACAAAAGTTGTGGAAGGAAATTATTCATTTTTTGTGCAGAATTGCCAAAAACTTGAAACTTGCACGAGAATTTTGTGCAGTTATGGGTTTTACTACTTGCTCTTTCCCTCCGTAAAATACTCTGTGCTAATTGGGCGTTTCTATAAGCAAGAATTTTGAGAAAAATGTTAAAAATTCATTTTTTAAGTGCTTGCTCAAAGATCATGACTTTTCATAAAAATTTAGTCAACACAATCTTTACTCACAGATGGGAAGAGCAGCCCATAAAATCTTTAAAACCACATGTTCTAGTATTTAGTGCAAGTTTCAAATTCTTGGCAACAATATGTACAGTAAAGTCAAAATTTGAGTAATTTCATTCTGAGCTTCTATCTCTGCAACGTTTGGTAAAAGTCGTTTCTTTCAGAAGGTATTGTAAGCGCATTCCTCTTTGAGATAAAGCCTAAACGCAGATTTTTTGAGACAATAAGAAGATATGAATTTTTGAGAAATGGCGTAAACGATTCGGGCCAACCATAATTCGTATTCAGAGAAAAAAAAATGCAGGCATCAGGATCAGAAAGATTAGCATAACTTCTAAATAATCGTACGGTTTAGAATCTCTGAACACTTTTTGTAGAGAAAAAAGTTTTCCAGCTATCGACACTAAAAATCGATCGGTTTTTTTTTTCGAGAAAAAGCACACCCAAAAATTTCCTGCAGAAGTAGATTCAACATTTGCTCACGAGAAAACCTTGAAGTGATTATCGCACAACTGTTGTTCAAGCTCTCAGAGTCTTGTTTATGAGGCAGGGAGTGCAAGTAAAAAAAAATTAATGGAAGAACTAATTCATGGAGTAATTTTCCCCCTTCACTAGCAAAAGACAAGCAAAGGACTTTATTTTTGTGTGAAGACATTTTATTCGTGTGCACTCGATATTTGTGTGCTTGCAATTTGTTTTCAAAATTTCTTTAAACTTGATTTGCTGCCGTGTTTATTCAGCATAAAATGGTTCTATTGAGTGTTACTTTGAAAATAGAATTTTGAAAATCATAAATAACCGACACTCAAGGGAAGTTTTAAGAAGACAAGTATATTGGAGACCTACAAAAAGTTTTCACAAGGTGGAAAAGTTTACAAAAAAATTTGTTTCCATTTTATGATGTTCAGACAATTTTTGTAAAAAAAAATACAAAGAAGAATTGATTCATTATATGTTGACACCAACACAAATTAATTATCTTGATCGACGTTTATAACAATTTTTTTCCCATAAACTCAACTGGATTTAATGGAATGAAAAAATAATTACAATAAATTTATGGGCAATGTAGTTTTTAGCATAAAAATCTATGTGATCATTTTCAAAATGAAAGCGATGAAAATAACTGGAAAATCGTTCATTATAAGCAGTGGCTCAGGAAAATTGCAACTGCGGGCTTTTTGCACTCACAGCCTTCGGCTTTCTGGATCCGCTGAGTCTGATAATGTGCTTGAAAAGTCAAAAAAGTGATTTTTTTGGCGTTTTTCGGCCTTGGAACTCGCTGAGGGGGCTGAGCGAGCAATTTCCGCCAAAAACAGCGATTGGCTGCAAGTAATTGTAACTCCACCATTTCGGCGGCAACTGGCTGATCTCAGACAGCCAATAGCGACCAAGTTGGCGATCGCTCACCCCTCCCCTCCGGCAACCTCTAGGGCAGGAAAACGTCATGGGAAGCATTTTTTTGACTTTTCAAGCACGACCCTGGACTCAGCGCAACCAGAAGGCGAAGGAGAGGCGGAAAGCTCGCAAATGCAATTCTCCCGAGCTATTGCCTCTGAGCGAAAAATAATTTTCCTTTTTCTTGTGAATTCTAGTATGATTTTCCCATGATTATGCCGACATAACGTAGTAATATTTTCATTCTTTGACGTCACCGAATGTCCAGCGGATATAAAAGCGATTTTTCACAGCTGTGCATCTGCTATGCTTTGCTTTGAAGCTATTCCACCTCTATTCAACCTTTTCTTCAAGTTTAGGATGTTGCCTTTGGGGCGGCTAACGCTCGTCCTCGTTTCGCTGCTCCTTTATTTGGAAGCGGAAGCAAAGCCAAAATCATGTGCATTCTATTGTTTTGTTGCTCCATCTAGGGTAAGTAATTTGATTTTTTTTTCAAATCCTGTGCTATAGAATTTTCTAAAAACACTTCGCATACGCGAAAAAAGTTCAATAGCTGTCAACATTCTTCAGAACAAAAATAAACATGATAAAGTCAATTCTATTTTAACTAATTGTATTCTTTTCAGAAAGAAACTGTTGATGTGGCTGTTTACAAAAATCTATCCTGTACACATTTTGTCTATGGCTTCGCTCGTATACGACCGGATATGTCACTACATTCCGTCACATCTCGTGACAGCCTCGAGCTAATGAGTCCAGGAAATATGAGGAAATTTCTAGGGTATGCAGAAAACCACTTTCCTTTTTTTTCTATTACGTAAACTTTTTCTGGTTGGAGAAATCTGAGGTATAAAAATGTCATTGTTCTAAGAAAGATTTTACGATCGATTTACGGGTCATTACTCAGATTTGTAAATTTTTCCAGTCCAATTAATCGATCCAAATTTCCTCATAGATAATGCAAATCTCCATTTCCCATAAAACTTTGAAATTTAGATTGAGGGAGACACATCCGGACGCAATTCTACTTCTCGGAGTTCATTTGACTGCTAATGACGTTTTCGAAGATTTCCGTCACGCGCGCCGAATCGCTGGAATCATTGCGACTGCTGCGAAGGAAAAGTGGGTGGCTAGAGAGATTTTTAGGGGGTCGAAAAAATGAGATATAGGGTTGTGTAAATATCTCTGAACGCCAGAGATGTTTTTGCTTTTTCTACGGTGTGCAGTCCACTGTCACGATGTTTTTGTCTTATGATCTGTGTCAATTCAAAGCTCCATTTTCGTAATGATGATGCAGGCGCAACGCGCAGCGAAATCGGATCGATAAGGCATACGCACGCGACGTGATGCGAGGCTCAGAGGTGCTTACGGGAGCACAGGATTGACTTAGACCGTTTTTTTTTTGTTGAATGAAATGGAAGGCTACTTATTCTAATAGGAATATTTTTTTTAATGCAGACATTTCGATGGGGTTTTCGTACGCATGGAAGGACCTACACTTGAGTCTACCGTATCCCAACATTTCTTATCGGTATAAGTCACTTAGAGGAAGTCATTATCTCAAATTTATTTTTTAGGCCATATCTTTGTCACCTTCGTCCTCGGCTACCACGCTTGCCATCACTCCAAGATGGATGTGGCGGGTTGCTAACAGACTTAATGAACTAGCGGACCAAGTAGATCACCTCTATCTAGACATGGAAGAGCTGCCGGTATATTTACACTTGTCCTACAACCCGTTACACCCTTAAAGTTTGTGAAAAATTTACCTGTCCAGACTTCGGAAGACTTATACGCTGTTACGCACATTGATCCACTATTTCCTTTCGATACCGTACCATTAGAGGATACTATCAGTGGTTGTTCAGATAGGTGTGGCTATACCTGGAGAACAGTGGAAGCTTGAGAGAAATATTTCAGATTGCTCAAAAGTGGCGTTCCGGCGGAGAAAATCGTCATGGGTCTGAACAGTGGTGGTCGCACTTTCAAAGTGAGTTTTAATAGCGTCTCTTTTGCACCACTAACCAATGCTACCGTAACCTCATATGGTGTGGGACTCCCTCTTTAAATGTGAAGGGGAGGGACATTTTACAATGAGTTTGTGTCAATATATGCTACCGTATTCTTGTGCGGGACATTCCCAGCAGTTAAGTGGGTCTTTTGCACTGCTATGAATGCTATCGATATCGTTGTGAGACCCTCAAAGCAGTCTAAACAGTGATGGAAGCACTTTTAAAGTGAATTTAAGTAGCGTCCATTTTGCACCGCTATTGCATGCTACCGTATCGTATGGTGTGACACTCTTTAGCAGTTTGAACAGTGGTGGACGTTTTACAGAAGCACAAATTGATGGGCGAGCAAGATTACGGTAGCATACTGTAGTTGAAGGTAAAAGACTTGTATTCCGCCAGATATATAACTCACACTTCATACGATTAATAGTTTATTACGAAAATCCTGTGTCTCATGATGTTGTCCACTAAATTTCTTTTCAAAGTCAGGTCCGTGACCCAAAAACCACAGTTCATGGAGATGTTGCTGTCCAGACTGGTATTCGCCGTTCGCTTCAGGACGTTTGCCAATCGCCATGTAAGTTTGTGCAAATAAACATATATATCGTAGTTCTTGTCCATGCTATCAAACATTTTCGAGTTTTCACACTCCATCCCCGGACAGCCAGTGCTGTGACCGAGTCAAGAAGTAGTTGGACAACGGTAAACATCCCAAAGGAGCAATCACTGGGGAGAAAAGTTTGTAGCCAAAGCGATCATCGCACGCAGAGTCAGGCCGCCACTACGGACACTGTCGGCGTCTCTAAGATCAAACACGCTTTTCCTCTAACCGTCTGCTCTCTCTTCCAAACATGAACATCTCAATTGGACGTAATGGCGTCCATTCTCTGCTTACGTTGAAATGTCTGAATGTGTAATTGATAGCCCTTAAAATGAGTTTCAGATCCTATGGGTAACTCAGGAAGGTTTGGGAGGAATAGGGCTATCTTCGCTACATATGGATGATCCAAAGGGAAAATGTGGGGCGGGACCATATCCTTCCCATTCTCTAGTAGCAAAGGTATCCTTCTGTGTAGGAAATTTTTAACTCGAATCAAAATCTTATTCGGGAGAATTCAGCTACTAAAATGCAGAAACAGGGACCATCGTCGCTTACCTCCAGCCCAGTGCACTCGCCTTTGTTACCTTGACGAACATGCAGAAGATTTCGATCCAAAGTTATTAGAACCGCATTGGTGCAGCCATATCGTGCTGGGACCAGCTGACATTCACGTAATATTTTGTTAGATTTTTAAATATAAGTTTTTTGACATTTTTAGTACTCCGACGCTGTGGAAGTAAATCCAGATGTTCGCAATCTTATTTCTCGTGTGAACAACTGGGCAAACGAGATTGATGGAAAACGGCCGATGGTTCGGACAGAGAAGAGAAAAATCTTGAAAAAAATTAATTATTCACCTTTAGACTTTACTTTCCATTGGAGCACGGCAGGGTAATGAAGTATGGCGAATGGAAGTGGGAAATGCGTTGAAAAGGAAAAATCTTATCAACAGTATCAAGGCCGTAGGTTTAAATATTGCCTAGAAGGGGGGAAGGGACTAATCAATAATTTATATTCACTTTCAACAAAATTAGCCTTAAATGTGCATATTGGCTTTCTGCGACTCAAAGGCGTCGAAACCGCGCCGCAGCGATTGTCGCAACTAATGCATAGCCTGCGTCAGCGCACAAAAATCTCTCTCAGACTGTGCGCGCTATGAACGTCTCTGGAATTGATATTTCCTGGACCCGTGAGCCTCTGGATGGCTTGCTGGACACAACGTATTTGTCACAGTTTCTTACGGATTTGAGAACTGTGCTACCCCGGGTAAGCAAAACGCACGGACCATTTCTTCTCAAAAAATTTTCCCCAAAATTGCAGAGCATTGCCATATATGTGTCAGTGAATCCCACAAGCAGTTTTGATGGTCGCTATGACGTCAATGTCTTAAATAAGTGAGCTACTGATTCTCTGGCTTAGCTTCAGCGTGAACGCCCCTTTATTACAGTAAGCTACCGTAATCCAGTTCAGCAAATAAAAGATAGATGACGTCGGAGGCCAATTTTGTGCACTTTCACAAACAAGTTTACAATGGTAGCTCTTCCATGCAACGTCGTCACATTTTTAAACATGCTTGATTACGGTCGCGTACTCTAAGAGTACTGTAGGATTACGGTAGCATACTGTAGGAGTACTGTAGGATCGCGGAGGTTTACCGTAAGAGTGCAAAAAAATGCCTTCTAAAAAATTCTCTCTCAGAACCGCTGAATTCGTCATACTCCAAACTCATCGGCTCCATTCTCCTAATCTCCCAACCACTGGCCATCACTCAGCAATGTTTCCAGCACCTGGTCTCAAGGATAATCGAATGACAGTCGAGTCATTTGTGCGAGACTGGATTTCCAGGGGTATAGCGAGGCATGTTTTTAGCAATGAACTTTCCAAAAAAATTTTCAGGAGAGAGCAAGCGTTCCCTAATAACAAGAGTAGCATCAGATTAGCCACTCCCTTCAAAAATCACAATGGGACCTTTCTGAGATAATCAAGTAGTCAGGTTATAAGCTCAAATTTTGATTGAAAAAGAGGGGTCGTCGAAGTACTTTTTCGAAAAAAAAGTTACAGAGGAAGGACACTATTATCTGTACTATAGGAGCAAATGTCTGAGGAATCCGCTTATGAATTTATTTTAGGGAGAGACTGATAGTTTCCGTCACAGCAACCCCAATAACAATGAAACTCGTGCAAGAAGGTCCTGCCGGGCAATTTCTTGGATTATCAACTGTGAAAGGGTCAACATCAAGTGAACCTATGTCTCAGTCTGAGGTTAGTCTAAGACCTGATGTTTCAAACTCAAACCAGTGCTATAGGCGTTTCATGGCATGCAGAGAAAGGACTCCATTGCGGACATTGCAGACACTGCCTGCGTCTCTCAGATTAAATGCGCTATCATTACTCTTACCGTCTGTTGTCTCTCCCAGACCAGAACTATCTTAATCGGACGCAATGACGATAACAGTCCCTGCGTACACTGAGTTGATCACATATCATTCTGTTTGCAACAATGAAAAAACTAGAAAAAACTCAATTTTTTTACATTTCTCAACTATGAGAAAGCGCCCCGTTAGAGAAATTTTTAACTGAGATTCGACAAAGATGCTTCTAAACGATCTGAAACTGTGGTTGCTTTTTTGGGATTTCGATTGATACCATTACTTAGCTACTTGCTATAGATACACCCGTTTCGTCGCATCAGGTACTGGACATTATTATGTTCGATTGAGATAGTGCGTATTGGGGGCGAGGCAGCAGACAGCTGTAGAAATGAAAGTGCGTTTAAATGAGAGACGCCGACACGTCCGCTGCCCTGTTTCTGCGTGCGATGAACCGCCTCTGAAAGAATTGAGAGTGTGTCACGATGCATTTGCAAGAACTTATTTTGAGATTTTTTAGATTTGCAATATCCTTGAGATTGACAACGCTACCGAATGGCAGTCGCATTGGCTTGACGGAATCTCTGCTCCAGTGCTAATTCGTGGCACAGATTTTGTAGCATATGACAACGACAGAAGCGCAAAAATCAAGGCAAACCCCGCAATGCTAACTGAATTGAGTTCTATCAAAATAGCATTATTTTAGACAACATGGAGTTCGAGCAATAATCTAGCTGGTATGGCTATTCATGGCTTACCGTATGATAATCCCGAGGCAGAGTGCCCTTCTGATCGACCATTCCGCATACTACAAGCCATCGTCGATACGCAGGTTAGATCGATTGGAGTTACACTGAGATGACATTGATCAACTTCCCGAACCTGATCAGGAACGTCATCGCCCGATCGGGTGTTCCTTAGGTATAACAATACCATCAAAAGTTTCATGAACACCGCTACCTGTGCTACTGAGCTTGTTATATAGAAATCTTTCAGGTTTGTTCTCTATGCGCTCCGGAAAGCAAATCCGAATCCAGGTGCTCTCCCTCATTTCACACAACCTGCGATTACCGATTGCAAGAGCATAATGAAGGTAGCTCTAACATTTGAAATTAAAATTTCCAATCAGATCGTACAGTTTGCTACGGGCCTCATGCACATGCATCCCCGCCAGGAAAGGGAGATCGCAGCTTAAAAAAACTTCATATCCTGAAGCACAGTAATATCCTACTCAAATGTCCAACCAAAATATCAGATATCAAAATTGTTAAACAGGTTTTACTATGGATATCTGGATTCCACGCAGTCTATCCGAGTATTCGCACATCACAGTGGTTCATCGCAATTTTCATAAATTCGATATATCATTTGTTCTTATTAGAAGTCAGCAATTTTGAATCAGATAAACAGCACTACATCGAAATTTTTTAATAACTGCGAAGTAAGAAAAATCATTGCGATGAAAATTCAGGGGAGAGGGGAGGGGGAGGAACCTTTAGTATGTGGTAGACTTTGAGTCTGTAGCACAGGATTGGCTCTTTATGCAATGAAAGTTGATATAGATATCCGCTGATATTAGGCGATACTGTCTGCGTAGTAAAATTCAAGATTTTTTGTCTGAACAACTCGCTACAGGAATAAAAAGGGTACAACATCTGAAATATTCCAGTGAATAATTGTGTGTAAGCTTTTCATATTCAGCTTCTCTATAAATTTGCCACCCTAAAGATTGCGACACAAAAGAAACTTAGTGGGTCCAAGAACGTTTTGGAATGACATTTGAAGACTGCAGAGCTTTAGAACAACTCATCGAGTCATTTGTAGCCTTAATATGCGCATTACACACCACGCACGCTACCTTACGACTTGTAAGGGAAGAACGCTTGACTTATAGGAATGTTCGTTTTCTTCTCTCGTATGTTTTGATTTGATAAGCAGTAGGTAGTCACACATATTTCTACAGTTTGTTTTGCTAGAAAAGATTTTGGTGACAAATTACTGACGAAGGTCGTCAGCGACTGCACATTGTGTGCAAGCTCACATATCAAGGTACGATTGATTCGCGCATAGGTATGTGCCAGAGTAAGCGAATATTTTGTCCAGCTCCGTTCAGCTGCAAAAGGCGCGCAGAATTAACGCTAATTCTGCGACCTGCAGCTGGACAGGCCTAGACATTAAGCAGCAGACAGTAATTCTGCGCGCCTTTTGCAGCTGAACGAAGCTGAACAAAATATTCGCTTACTCTGGCATCTACCATAGGCACGCGCCATACTTGATCCTCTTGATCCGTCGTGAAAAACGCGCTCACTAATTTGTCATTTGGCGCGGCGTAGTATTAATTATTTTGTACGGCTGCGCAAATTCTCTGTACGCGACGCCAAACGACAAAATAGAGAGCGCGGGTTTTTCACGAAGCAATTGAGCGGATCAAGCGGATCGAGAAAATCAAGTATGGCGCGTGCCATACGTGAGAAGCACTCTGAAATGCGGAAGACAAGGGTGTTTTTGATACGATTTTTGGAAGTCGTGTAAGAATTTTTTTTGTTTTTTCCTTCTTTCATTGCAATTCTCGTTGCAGCGCGAATACTCGACCCAGCACAAATTCCTTTCGAACTTTGCACAGAACTCATTATCGAGCAAGCTCTTATTGACGCCAATGGCACCATTCGCTTCCCAACGGAAGAAAAGGAGGAGACGACAAATAAATTGGTTGGATTTGAAAACATAACCAATAATGAAAAAATTGAAGAAATAATCAAAGTGTGTTGTCTCAGAAATCTTATCGATCGCGAGTTCCTCGTATGACAATATCGATGTTTTGTGATATGAAACAGGAAGATTTTAAACAGTTGATGCGTAGTGCAGGTAAAAAATATTTTTAGTCGAACATCCTCACTTCTAGATTTTTTTCAGAGAAAATAAATAGTCTAGTGCTTTTCTGCTCAATATAGTGTGCTTGCGGTGCCGACATTGCGCGGCATGATATGCACGTGAACAAATACCCACGCCAGCGTAACGCTGGCATCTGCGCGCGCAAATGGCCAGCAATGCAGGCATGGCTAATTGTTCACGCGCATTTTTTACCCCAGAATTTTGGTACTGAAAGCACACTATATTCGGGGATCTAATAGGCTATAGCTTGCTCTCATCCACGACAATTCCAAAACGCTCAAAATTATTTCAGCAAAGCGTCGAAAGCTGGCCAGTTCCATACGAACGTTCATTGACCGTCTCTCTTTCAACGGCGTCGAGATTCGATGTGGACATCTTGCCCACAAAACAACAAAATTACAATTTTCATACTTCCTGCGGCTTCTGAACAATGAAATGAAAAGAAGCGCTAAAGCAGAGTGTGGAAACACCGTGAGCTTCAGGCAAGCTAAACATTTATCCGAGAATCCTGTACACCCAGCTTTGAAAGTATTTAATACAGAACCTCTGCATGGGATTGGAACCTTCGAGAATTCTATGACGTCACAATTTTGAACTCTTTACATCACATTGTGATCGAACCGTTTACCGTGCCTTATCTTGCTGGTAAAGCCTATGCGCATTCACCGCTGTTCAAAGTGGATCTCGATGACAAGAACATGTCTATCACTTCGATTGTATGTTTTTTTACTTTAACCAAATTTTTTGAGTGAAGTTGGCTTAGTTTTGATAGCAAAAGTCGGATAGAAAACTTAGGGAGGGGAACTTGAATCAAAGTACGCAGAAGTAAGCTCATTTATGAAATCGTGACAACAGATTTGATTGCGGTCTTTGCACCCACAGAACCATAAAACCTCACAGAAAAAAAGCATCACCTCAATGCTCAGCTCAATCACTTCCGGTATCTAAATACTATCCCATGTAAGCAAAACCATCCGATCAGAGATGAAAACCAAGAAAATGCGATTGCCGGAAGTGCGTGCGTGTCGCGCGCGGTCGCGCCATCGTCACAATTTCTCGAATGCCCTATACATCAGTTATAGAAACTCTTACTCATCCCTCAGAGTTAATCTTCATGCACATATAGATTTGACATCTAGAATAAATAGTCAATTAATGGCGCTTGCAAGCAGAAAAGCAAGTACCTGTTTTGGTAATAAGACTTTGACTGACCAGAGATTTCAAATTTTACATGCAAGAGCAGAGGTGGAAACATTTTCCGAAATACCTTTTTTAACGCGATTGTGTCTCAAAACTTCAAAATCAAATATTTGCCGTTCTTAAAGTTTATTTTATATTCTCAGGAATATATTAGGTTAGTCCGAAAGTTCTGTCCCACCATTTTCAAAAAATCGTAACTTCTTCCTAACACGATGTTTTTGCATGGATAAAACTATATCAAAAAGAACAATTCATGTACTTCTAAAACTTTGTTGATTGCTATTCAGTAAGCTTTGAATGCAGAGATAAAATTGGGAAAAGGAAATCACTTCAATTTCGGGATTTTTAAGCAAGCCCGTTAAAAAATCCAGAAGTGTGCCATAAAATCCAAGGCAGGCAGTATCCTAAGCTTTTTGATCCCCTCTTTCCAGCTGAGCAAGATTCGCGCTGATCGAGCTCTTTTGAAAGAAGTTATGATTTTCAAGAAAAAATGCCAAAAAATTAGTTTCTTAAGAAAATTGATTTTTTGATATTTTTTCTCAAAAAATCATAACTTTCCAAAAAACAGCTCGATCAACGCGGACTTTGCTCAGCCAGAAAGGAAGGTTGAAATAGTCTAGGATACTGGATGCTTCGGATATTCTGACACAGTTTTGGAATTTTTAACGGGCTTGCCTCAAAATTCCGAAATTAAAGTGATTTCGTTTCCCAATTTTATTTCTTCTTTTAAAGCTTGTTGGATAGCATCCAAGATAGCATTGGAAAGAGCATGAATTGTTCTTTTCAACCAGGTTTTAATCTTGCAAAAATATGGTGTTAGGAAGAAGTTACGATTTTTTGAAAATGGTGGGACAGAACTTTCGGACCAATCTAATACTAGGTTGGTGCAAAAGTTCTTTCCCACCAAATTTAAAAATTCATAACTTGTTGAATTCTCAACGAATCTGCAAGATCTAAATTTTATATAAGAGAGGAACTCATGCTCTTTGTAACTTTACTTGAAGTGTTCGTTAATGTGTACAAATGAAGGAGATAGAAGCTCAAAACCAAAACCACTCAAAATTTGAATTTTTCGTGTAGGGTCATAAAAAATCGGAAACTTGCGATAAAAATCGGAGCAGTCAGTATTGTAGGCTCTTTCACAAGCTCTTTCCAACAGTGCATAGTTTGCGCCAGAGCGTCTCTATGAAAAGTTATGATTTTCGAGCAAGCAATACAAAAGGGCGAATTTGATTTATTTTAGCATTTTTCAGGGAATTCATAACTTTTCACAGAAACGCTCAATCCGCGCAAAGTTTGCACTGTTAGAAAGAGTTGGTGAGAGAACCTACAATACCGACTGCTCCGATTTTTATCGCAAGTTTCCGATTTTTTATGACCCTACACGAAAAATTCAATTTGAGTGATTTCGGTTTTGAACATCTATCTCCTTCATTTGTACACATTAACGAACAGTTCAAGTAGAGTTTGAAAAAGCATGAGTTCCTCTCTTACCAAAATTTGATGTTGCAAATTCGTTGAGAATTCAACAAGTTATGAATTTTTGAATTTAGTGGAAAAGAACTTTGCACCAACCTAATGTTTTTGATGTTGCAAGCCCGAAAAATGTTTTTACAAATTTTCATATGTCGAAAAAAATAAACATTCAGTCACCTACATAATTTCCAATTTACACATCCCTTTGCTCGTTACGGTCACAGTTAAGAATTTAGTGGCAAGTGGTAAGTTTGGTTAAAAAAGTGACCACAGCGAAGATTTTTGTAGGTAATGATATGAATACACTTATTTCTATGTAAAAAACAGTCTCCCATGCTGGGAATTTCAGAAAAACGGACATTGAGGCAGTAAAGCTAGGAGAGTGTTCTACAGTCGAGTAAATTTTTCAATATAGTGCGCTTGCACTGTATCTACATTCACAGTCTCAAATTCATTGCAGTACGCCACCATACGCGATTGGGAAAAAGCTGGTCTGATGCGTTCGAAGATCATTTTGCAAGTGCCATCATACGGAAGTTTACAATACCTATTGAACAAAACAGAACACGGTATTGGAAAGCCAACGGAAAAAGAATACGGGATAATCGCACAGTCAGAGGTGATTTGCTGATAATGGCCCAATCGATGATAGTCAAGTTTAGAATTTTCTTCCGAAAAGCATTTTCTAAATTCCTGGCGCTCCATTTGAAACAATTCAAAAAATCTTTGTTATCCAAAACTTGAGTGTTTAGATCTGTCAACAACTGAAATTATCCGGTACAACACGAGAAATTCACTGGGATTCGATGACTGTGGATGCGTATTCTGGAAGAAAATGGATTAGCATAGAGGATCAGCAGACTGTCCGTTACAAGGTACACACTATCAAATGACTAATTCTTCCTAACAATTTCTGAAATAGATGCGTTTTGCGCTGGGCGAAGGACTGGCAGGTGTTGGACTAATGACATTGAACGAGGATGACTTTTTGGGTAAATGCGGATCAGGAGCTTTCCCAATACTGAGATCAATTGCAGCCAGATGTCATTAGCTTATTTTGGAAATAAATTATCTGGACTAATCTCAACAGGTACTGTACTGTGTAAGCGGAAAATTCTTCGAGATTCTTCTTTCGAAGGATAATTTTTGGAAAATTCAAAGATACACGCGAATATAACTTTATATGTGAGCCTACACACTGCGCGCGGCAGCCGACGACATTGACAGTAATCCATAGTAAGAATTCGTCTAGAGGAACAGGTTGTGGAATTGTGTAGGATATTTGATATGCTTGATCCAATCATACTAAAAAAAAGTAAAGAAAGCAAGAAAAAAACGCGAAAATTAACAAGTTCTATTTTGAAAATCGTGAAATAGCACGCGTGATGTGCAATACGCATATCTACAAATAACTCTACATGTAGGTGTAAAAGCGGGAAGCGCAGTGGGTACAAAGCCTACTAATTTTCGCAAAGCAGGAAGTTGGATTTGATAAAGTATAATTCAAAAAAACTTAGAATGATAAGGGATTTCTTGGTGAAGCAATATTGAATCAAAAGGATTACATTGAATAATCCCCACTCACGCTTTCTCGAATCTAAGGAAAGACAGCTTTTGCAGCACTACAGTATGCTACAGTAATCCTGCGCGCCTGTAATAGGTAATGTGACGAAAGATGTATGCAGTGCAAAAAACCACCAAATTAGCATATGTATAATGTTTTTTTCTATTCCGTAGATGAGAGATCTTTATTGAGAAATAACTAGGCATAATTTCAAAAATTAACCGGAACGGTAACCCATATGATATGTCTGCAAAAAAATATATCTAAGCAACGGAAAAAATAAACATCCATAATTGTTTCACAAAATAACAATAGATTGTGGTATTCCCCGCGAGAAGCTTGAGATCTGTCTCACTCTTCATGTTCCTCCGGAACATCGATGACCAACTCGGGTGAAGGGCACGACGATAGGGAGGGCTCACTACAAGCAGGTGAGCTTGCATTCGTAGGGCTTCCGAATGGACAGTAGACTGGTTCGCTGTCCATCTCCACTGTAGGTTCTTGCACACTTCTACCACGAGCTAGAAAAGTACCATAACACGGTTGAGTGGTCATTCATTCCATCACAATACAGACAAAACCCACCATTTTGCCATTTCATCTTCTTGCGTTTTCTATTCCGCCTTTGATTGTGCGTCAATTTCATGTTAACCTACATATTATTCAATTATTACATAGAAATGTACTATAATTGATTGTAATATAAGTCGTGCTATTCTTGAATTTTTTTTTGAAAAATTTGGAAACATCGGCAAATTTCTTTGGCACATAAGGAAAAGTGACAAAATGTTATCCGAAGGCATCATTTTCACCTTCACGGACAGCTAATGTAAGGATCTGTAAAGGCACATACCCCTCCCCCTCCCCGCTCTTTCTTCAGCTCTCAAAAATCTCTCATTCCTCTTTCTTCATTTTCCCAAATTTGTGGATCGTGGGATATTTGTCAATTCGAAGACAACCCGAAAGTTTATGCTCTTCAAAAGCAAGATGGAAATGTGCCGAAAATATTCGGAAAATTCAAAACTTCGGTAATTCATAACTAAGGAAATAATCTCTCAAAATTTCCCCCTAAGTCTAACAAAACTTCTCTTAAAACTCTTCCAAATGGATTATAACTACTGTTTACGATAAATACCTATCAAACTTTTGTAAAATAAAATATAGTTGCATATGACTTGGCGTCTGAAGCACTAGTATCCGACTATGATATGGAATTGAACCAAGAAGACTATTCATAACATCTAAGCAAAAAACCTGAGACATAGTAGACAAGAAAATAGAGATACTCACAGGCTTTCGCGATGGTGTATGTTCCTCCATCATTGCTCGTTTCTTCAAATTACTGTCCTTTGCTACGTAACATCCTGGAGCTCTTTTCTGCATGATCTGTAACGATTTCTTTCAAATAATAAGATGAGCACAAGATCAATAACATCAGCTCATTCAATGTGCGAAAATCCCAAGGTGATGTTGTATGAACTTGAGAAACTGCAAGCAAAACTTTTGCGCTCAAGCTTGAACTTGAAATTTTTGCGCTTACAGTAAACCCCTTCGTGAAAAATTATGTTCTTACGCACCTTCTATCCGCGAGTAAGTTGATATTGTGTCCATTATGTATGAATAGCAATTCAAAATTGAAAGAAAACTGCCGACCTGCCACTGTAAGGGGATCATTGATTCTAGTCCTGCAAAAGCATTGCGAATGTGAAGAATAACGTCGTTGACCGACAAAGTAACATCGTCATAGTTGATGTCTGCCCTAGAACAGATATTGTAAGATTAGCAGACAAGGCAAAGAAATTGCTGTAAAGACTTGATCGAAAATTTATTACGTTTCTGCAGTTGCCTCGGGCACAATTTTGATGAAGCCGTCATTTCTGTTCAGTAGCATAAAATCGCCATGGGGGAGATGCCCGATTTCCTGTAGCACTTTGGCAAAACGAAGTGTATAGGCCGCGATCCTGAAACATCTACTTCATATATCGTAGGCACGAATGAAGCATTGGCCAAACTCACATTCGCTTTGCTTCAAGTCTAGTGGTCGGCCCAGTCCATAACTGCTCACTTCCTGTGGCTACTGTTACACTAAACGAAAGTCTATCAAGAAAAAAAAACAGTAAGAGAGATTTTTACATACTTTTGAGCATTCCAATGCTGCAGCTGAAGCAGATACTTGCCCCTGAAATACATTTCATTTTATTTCCGAAAAATATACATCAATTTTTATTGAATCTAAGCGATGGTTCCCATTTTGAGCCTCACCAACTAAATCACAAAGATAACTAAAGTAGCACTGTGTGGAATAATTGCATTTCATGGTGACAGAATAGTCACTAGTGTCTTGAAAGCTATGTAAGGCTGTTAAAACATTTTACATAAAAATAGATAGACACAGCTCAAATTTGACAAAAGAAAAAACCCACATAAAATGTGTACGAAAGAGGCCGTGGTTAGCCGACTGCTTGAAAATTCCCTTGGAGTAGTTCCATACGGCTTCTGCTTCAGAAAGTCTCTAAAATAATGTCAGCCAACGTATTAAGTGCGTTTTCCTAGTGGTAATAGAAGTGGTAATAGAGATTACCATTGCTCCCGCATTGGGAACGTACTCCATTCTAGGCTGGAGAGACAAGGTCGCCCCTTTCATGCTCTGATGTCCCTCTGAGCATAGTGGAGCGGGACGAGATCGTACCAAAATATTTGTTCCAGTGATGGAGAATATAGCATAGGATTTGCCTGCAAAATAAGCACAGATAAGCTCAGTGATGCACATGCAAGCTGCTATAGTCCCTACCGTTTTCAGAATGATTAGCCACTACTGGCTCCAGATGGTTCAATGGAGCATCTAGCGATGGAAGTATGGAATCAAGAGGATCACAAAAATCGCTAAAAACATAATTATTCCAAAAATCCTGGCTGAGTGTATTACCTCTTCTTGTTCTCGAGAGGAGTGCTATCCTTTGCAACAGGCTCATTTGTGGCTGGCACGGGGGGTACTTCAGCTGGATATGGGGTTTGTATCGCAGCAACAACGCAAAATTTTGCTATATCTTGCTAACCAATTTACCTTTCTTTTGAATATAGTTGCTTTTGAGTAAGTACTTGGCAAACTGTCTCTGTACTGTTGTACGATCGACCGTCTCCAAGATGCGAGGCTTACCCATAACGGCAATATTGGTCATCGTGCCTACAACATTTTTATTTGGATTCTCAACTTTTAGGCATATGTTCGCAAAATTTACCCTGAACCATTTTCTCAACGACGCGAATGGGAACGACATAAGTGTAATCATGTCCAGCAAAAGGATCGCTCATCAAATGGCATGCAGTCGTGGCATCCATAGCAATTCGAACATCATTTTCCAAACAGAGTGACGTAACAGTCTAAAACAATTCAAGCTGTGATGCCAAGAAGCTGAAGTACCAATCCTTAGAATCTATTTCATTCATCGGTATTTTCTTGCTAGACATCATTTATGTAACGAAAAGTGGTACCTCGAGATCGTCAAAAATTTGATTCGCGTCGCATTCTTCTGGTGGATAGAGCGTGTAAAGTTTGGAAGTATCCAGTGAGCATCGATTACGTAAGCTTGGAAGCTGAAACAAAAATTTGGTTGTGTTTAATCATTCTCTGAAAAACTTGCGAGAAAATCTTCAACCTATACCAACTTTCGCCGGTGGTGTAATCCCAAGTATACAAAAAACATTAGAGCTCATAAAATGCAAAAAATCCTAAAGTTTTCATAACATTCCTGAAGACACCAGCATATATAGCAGCGGCAAGACGTGATGCAATCAAGAGCATGCAATCCCGTCTCGACCATCGCAGCAGCGTGGCGCAGTGGAAGCGTGCTGGGCCCATAACCCAGAGGTCGGTGGATCGAAACCACTCGCTGCTAACGTCTTTTGCAGATCGCTAACACACATGATAACACTTTACCCAGCACAAAGAAAGCCATAGCAGCAGTTTTTGTATACTTTTTTCAATTTTTTTACAGAGAATATTATTACCATCATTATTACCTGAATTCTATCGATTCGTCCTTTCAGCAGAGTTGCAGTAAGAATTGGTCGGATCTCTGGATCAGCTCGAATATCACGAATATTCCAATCAATCGAACACTGTGGAGTTGATGATGCAAACTGGGTTTTGAATTTGTCATTATGCCATCTCTTTTCCCAGCGTTTCTGAAAAATAAAGAGCATAGCAGTTTCGTCAATATCCTACTCTGAACTTACCAAGATGAATTCAGAAGCCATTTGATGATTGTATTGTAACGGATGCGAATGCGCAGACGCAGCATCCCCTTCTAGACTGTTTTCAATGGTTTCAATTACGAGATTCTCGATATTATCTCGCTCCTCCTGTGCTTCTTTTTGGAAGTGCTGAAAAAGATTCGCGGCATAACTTAGCAAACAGATTCAGAACTTAACATACCGTTAACTCCTTCAGATTGTTTACAAACCTGATTTCGCCAGTATTCATGATGCTCTGACAAATTGCCAGAAATCTTTGCTGTTCTTCCTGACTGAGCTTCTGAAATGAAATCGTTGACGGTCCAGTTTATCCAAAGAAGTTGGAAGCTTACCGACAAGAGACCACGGGGAAAGAGGTCCTTCGTACTCGGACACCATGGTAAATTTTCACGAGGCTGAAATGTGAGGGAAGTACAGATAAATTCAATTTGATTTATCCAAAAAAATTACATTGACAACTTCGCTTTTTCCTTTGTGGTCCTCATCTGGCATTTCCAATCGTTCTTTTTTCGCACGTCGACGTATCTCGATCATCAGCTTTTGTGCAGCGTCCCTAGAATAAAATTAGACAGTCAAAATCATGAGTTGATAGCAGCAGCAATGACTTACTTTGACACTTTTTTATGCTTCATTATTTCATATCTCAGTTTTCCATCTGATATTCCGATTGAGAGTTTCAATAGGTAATCATCTATCTCCTCCTTTGGAATAACCATTTTGGTGTCCTTAAATAGAAATTAAGTTACGGAAAAGAAAAGAAATTGGCACTTACCTGTTTACCTCTCTTCTTCAACTTTCGGCTCGATTCTTTTTCCTGATCTTTAGTAGAAGTCGGACTTTCTTGAACAGATGCCTCTGGAGGCTCTAGAAAGCAAGTCAATACAATAATGATATTTTAGATATAATGCGGAAAACTCACTGTACCATGGAGGAGGCTCATTAGGAAAGAGAAGTTCTTTACCACCAAACTGCTCTAGTAAGAGCTTTCTCATGCAGGTAACACATACATTTGGAGAGTGCGTAGCTACACCTGAAGAAAAGGAAGTGGAGAACAAGGCATTATTGTTCTAACAACAACAGTTTACTAATTGAGTGATAAATAAAGAAGTAATCAAACCGCAGGTGAACTGTTCTTTTTCAAGCCTAGATTCGAAACATTCTTGTCCAAAAGAAACCATGATCATGTGTGACATACCTAGAGCGTCTTCATCTTCTATGAGTTTTTCCAAAACCTTACAGGTTATGGAAGATGCTTCGGTTGAACACATCTCTCATTACAATCGCTCTAGTGCTCACCTCACAAGATTACCCTGGAAAAGATTGGAGCGTAATCTGATATTCAGGCCTTTATCGTGCAGAGATTCGTAGTGCATTTGCCTGTTAAATTGCTGATAAAACAATCCCGAATACAGAGAAAAGACAGAAAATCGCGGGCGAGTCCAGGTAGAACTAGTACCTAGAATTTTGATCAAGCCATCGCCCAAGCGGCTGTTCACATGATACATTCGTGGCCGAGAAACTCAACTGCAAAACTCCAAAATCTTGCCCAGACCGTGACCTTTCCGAGCAAATCGAAGCCAGCCACTGGCTCCCTTAGAATGATAAAAACGCTAATACTCTCCCCCCCTCAACTCAAAGTGAAAAGAGTTTACAGTTCTATGCACGGTACCTTCCTGCAGGTGTATGCCCAGAGAGACAATTTTTGTTGGCAGCTGGCCATCGAATTGCACTTATTTAGTGTTTCATAACTTTCTAAAAGCGTTTCAAATCACCAACTGAATCTGACAAATAGTTGCACGGGTTTCCCAGTATCGAATGTCTTGAACAAGATTCAGAAACAAATGTTGGAGAATGAAAACGCTTGAAAATGAAATGCATTTACCAGGAATTCCTATATATTTCCGTCAATTCTTCAGCAAAAGTTATATAATTCAGCTAACATAAAGCATGGTAACATCAGGCAACTAATAAGCTAAAGCTTCTCGTTCGGTTCCTTCAGGATTTGCCTAGCACAGAAGTGGACTCAAGTTGGTGACAGCCGGAAAAATCGCCCCTTTTCACATGTCTGTCTTTTCGTTTATAATCCTGAAGGTGATGAATGCATCGTAGTGTAGGGTAAACAACGACAAAAAAGCAACTCAAGAATGTTTTTCTTGATTTGGTTATCGCCAGCTATTCGAGAGTTAACATTGGGAGAAACGAACATTGTGATAAAGAGGAAGAAGATGGATTGAAAGTAGACTTTCACTGTACGATGCGGCATGATTTGAGAGAGCATGAATATAGACAACTTGTGCAGAATCTTTCGCTATTATCCCTAACAAGACCTTTTTCACTGAAATTAGCAAGAAAGCTGAGAGCAAAGGCCTGATATGCTCCTAGAAAGCATCTTGAATTCAATGAAGATGAGGTTCAGACAATCTCATCTCCAAGAACATGAAGCAAGGAAAACGGAACGAGCGACTTCAAGAAAGAAAAATCTGAACAAAATGGGTTTCGAAATTCCCGCATCTGCGTCTACGTCGATGAGTGTGCAGACGACGAGAGATTTTGTCGCTGTCCGCGCTCTGCAGCCTTTCACTTTTGGGCCTAAATTCGCTCAACCATGGTGCGTAAGTTGCTGTTGGCTTTGTTTTATTTTTGTTTTTGCTTGGAGAAAATAGGCAGCTACATATCTTGACAGCGGACCACTATCTTTCAGCTTGAGCGACATGCTAGGGTTAGTTTTTTATTAATAGACCTTCATTTTAGCCTTCGAAAAAAGTCATCAAAAAGAAGGTTGCGGCTCCACCTGCTCAGCTTCGTGCAGCTGCTCAGCCAAAAGAGGTGAAAAATCCTCTTTTCGAGAAGAGACCCAGGAACTTTAACATCGGTGAGCTGCCTCTCTTTTTGTTTACACTTATTTTTCCTTCTTTCTTATTCAAGCTTTTTGTTTTCATTCTATTTGGGTATTTAACATGAAATTTATTGAACCCCCAAAATCGCTCAGCATGCTGACTTTATAGCTTATCATCAGATTATGCGCGTAAATATTGTACAATTTGAACCAGTTGTCTAATTTCAAAGAAGAACTTCATACTAACTTTTCGGTTAAGATTAGAAGTTCCTGATGCTTGCGTATCAATTAGTAGCTAGCTAAATTTCTGAAATCACTTTCGAATCTGCTCGCCTCAACTTTTCATTACCGAGTTTTTCAATTCTCGATATCAAATGCGATCTACCGGTGCGTATGGTCCGTTAGTCAACATATTTTCAACCATGAGTAAAGCTTTTTCTGGGTGTCCCCTATACCTAAGAAAATTTGATTTTCGGGTATTTGAGTGAATAAGATTGGAAAATCACGATTCGAAAATTGACTATCGAATATTCGACAATCGAAAATTTCGATTCTTCGACTATCGTGTTCCATTCATGCTGCAATCGTATCGATTCTTACTATCGTTATTAACGTAAGCTTGCTGATAAGGTGGAACTTCAGCGTACCTCTGGTAATGCGTATTGTCTTGTGAATTTATTCGAATCATGTTGCATGACTGCACATGAAAACGTTATTCTCACACAAGGAAACCACTCAAACTGTCACCACTTCCTGATCACAACTCAAACCTCAATCTTTTTGTGTAGGTCTTATTGTCACCTTAGTCTTTCTTTGCTGACCAAAATTATGCAGCGTGACTCTTTCCCTCATTTCCTTGTTTCGAAGACAGCCAATTTTATGTCCTGTAGAGTTGCCTAACACTTTGTAGAACTATTTTATGCTGCAACTTTCATGTGACTAACGATGAATTCGTTCCTGACAGCTGTAGCACCAGATGCAATTCGCGCGAATCGTGTTTTGATGCCGTTATTGAAACGAATAGCACAAGAATCAAAAGTAAGAACTTTCATCTCAACAATATCTGCTGTCAACGGTTTTGTCTTGAATTGACCAGATCGTGTCTCTGGGACAGCAAACTGTTTAATTTAGGACGACTTTTGGTGATGAGGTCTTTCAGCATCGAGTTTTAAGTTGATTTTTACAAAGTATGAGAACATAGCAACCGTCAGGATCTTTCAATCTGTTTGCATTGCTAGTTCTCGGAATCGTGATTTTTTCTTAAAGGCAGCGTCCAGGCAGATTTGGACGTATGGGGTTCTAACGTGGAAACAATTTTCGGGGGTCTAACTAAGATACTGCCCAAGCGGCAGCGCAAACGGTGCAGTCGCGGCTGAGAAATTCGTCCGCAAACCAGCCCCCGTGACCGTATTCGCATGGATTCATGGCTCGGCACCATCGTTTCGCGTGGATCCGAGCGCGAAAGCGCCACGAGTCCATGCGAATACGGTCACGGGGGCTGGTTTGCGGACGAATTTCTCAGCCGCGACTGCACCGTTTGCGCTGCCGCTTCGGCAGTATCTTAGTTAGACCCCCGAAAATGTTTCCACGTTAGAGCCCCATATGTCCAAATCTGCCTGGACGCTGCCTTTAAAGGCAGTGGATCAGCAAAACTTGATAACCCAAGATCTTAACGCACTAGGTTCCTTATCGTCCAAGTATGAAAACGGTGCAATCCCGCTTGCACAGCATGCCTTCCCTGTTGAGAAAATCGCTCTCAAGTTTACACGCGCAAGCCCTCTTACACGAACCCAGACGAGTTGGCAATTTCCTTCTCATTATTAGAGGCTGCCCTCCGCAATGCTGTAATCATTGGGTCCAACGATTCAGCGTCATCAGCCTTCCTCCACTCGTCCAGTTTTGAAGGAAAGGGGGTTGAAAAACGCTCGTTTTCGCCGTTTTCGAGCTTTCTAAAGTGGATTTTCGTGATAAGAGTACTGAATAACCCCAGGTAAGCGAAAATTTGACTAGGTTGAGATTTGCCCACCCACTGCCTTTAGGAAGTTGTTAGCGCTAATGGTCGTAGCTTCAGTGGCGCCTGCCATATTTTAGGAAAATGACCTGCCACTTATTTGTTCGGATTTGTTGGTAGTTCCCACAGTTTTTATTGTTTCTAAACACGTTTTACCTGCCCCCAAAGAAGGACTGATTGAATACGCCCATATCACTCGCCAATGAAGCTCACAAATTTTGTTTGATGTTTTCAAATAGTTGAAAAGTTGTGTGTAGTTCGCGGTTTGACTCAGGCTTGCTAGTGTCGAAGTGAAGTTGAGTTTGTATCTCCTCTGGCGTACTTGCCTCTTGTACATTGAAAACGTAGACCGTGAATAACAAGCGTTACGAGAATCTGCATGCCAACATCAGGTTTTGGACGTTATTCTCTAATTGCTCGGCTTCTGATAGTATTACTGAGTCACTCGTTTCGCGAACTCATTCTGTAGTTGCTGGCAAAATGTGCACATAAGAGACTTCAAAAGTTCAATACTGATAATGTCGATACGTTGATACATCATCCTACTTAGACTACATCGGTTCCTGATTTTTGTAATATTAGTACTTGTTTTCCAGGCTGCGATATTCAGCCTAAGAGGGATGTGACTCGTTTTGTTAGATGGCCGAAATACATCCGCCTGCAGCGCCAGAAGGCTGTGCTCCAGAGGCGTCTAAAGATCCCACCACCAATCAACCAGTTCAGAAGCGCTCTTGACAAGCAGACTTGTAAGTGTTTGTCATAATTTTATAAGCAGATTTGACGAATTTTCTTTCTGCAGCATCCCAGCTTTTCAACCTTCTGAACAAGTACCGCCCAGAGTCAAAAGAACAGAAGAAAGAGCGTCTTCGCGCTCGTGCGGAAGCTCGCGCCGCTGGCAAAACTGAAGAGATCACCAAGCGCCCTCCTACTGTTCGTTATGGTATCAACGCTGTCACTCGCCTCATCGAAACTCGCAAGGTTTAATTATGATCTCATTTTAGCTTGATACCTACTCAAATTTCCCATTTCAGGCACAGCTCGTTGTTATTGCACACGATGTCGATCCTATTGAGATCGTCATCTTCCTCCCTGCCCTTTGTCGCAAGTTTGATGTCCCATATGCCATCGTGCGAGGAAAAGCTTCGTTGGGAACAGTTGTGCGACGCAAGACCACTTCAGCCATTGCCATCGTTGATGTGAACCCGTGAGTTTTTTTTTCGTGAATGTTTCGGGCTCAACGATCCGTTATATATGATATCTCAGTCTGAAAATTCTAGTGAGGATCGATCTGCCCTTTCAAAGCTTGTTGAGACGGTGCACACCAACTTCAACGAGAGAGCTGATGAGATTAGGAAGCACTGGGGTGGCGGTGTTATGTCAGCAAGGTCAGAGGCTAAGAAGCTCAAGATTGAGAAGGCCCGAGCTAAGGATCTTGGTATCCGTGCGTAAATATTATCGTTGTTTTGTTGATAAATTTGTTACAGTTACGTTGTGAACTTCTCACTTTACTTTTGTTGACTTCAGCGGATTTGTAGCTGGAACTCAATATAGGAGCTACCAAAGCTTAGAAAAAGCGTTTGTTTTGTGGAGAAACGCTGTTAAGACAGTGCAAAATGGGAACGAGGAGGTTTGTACCCTTGCGTAATCAATGAAAAAGAAACTCCAAAAATGTTGATTCTACTGGGAAACAAAATTTTAGGGGATTTGCTGTGTTTGTTTTGTAGCTGCTGAAATGCTGACCCACGGAGGACAAACAGCGATAAAATCCACTTTATGGTTTGCCTCCAGATGTTTGACTGCGGAGGCGTCATTTGAATGTTTGCGGTGAAACAAAACAACATCTGTATCCCACTCCAGTAGGAGCCAACATCTGCCTATCATTGAAAACTTTGCTTGATGCATTTTCTCAAAGAAGTTTAATAACTTCTTCTATTGACGGGGGCGGCTTTTTTTTTGTGGACGTTGTCACTCATCGTTCATGTAAGTAAACATCTACGATCATATGGTCTCTCTAGGGATCCATGAAAGAGAATGTTCGAGCGGCGTCCGTCATTCTAGAGCTTCTTCTTACAAGTGGCTATTAGTGGCTATAGATTTTTTTTGGAATTTATCCTACAACTTCAATGCTGTGGAGGACTACTACGAATAGCCTCTTTGATCTGCGGAATCTTTGCTAGTGACCCTGCCTTAACAGCTAGAGGCAAAACGTATTCACATATTCATTTTAGTCGCTTTGCGGTATAATACAGTTGCAAATTATTTACATAATAATATTTCCGTTGCAGGATACGGTAAATCTGTGTAGTCTCATTGGTTCCATAAAACAGTCCATTAAACATAGAGTGAAACAGCGTATGGTAAACAAAAATGCAAAATGATCTAAATATTAGGTTGGTCCGAAAGTTCTGTCCCACCATTTTCAAAGAATCATAACTTCTTCCTAACACGATGTTTTCGCATGGCTAAAACCTGAAAAGAGCAATTCATGCGCGTTTTAGAAAAATCTTGGATGCTATCTACTAAGCTCTGCGTACAGAGATAAAATTGGAAAAAGGAAATCACTTCAAGTCCAGATTTTTTAAGCAAGCCTGTTAAAAAAACCAAAACTATGCCATAAAAACCAAAACAGCCAGTAACCTAAGTTTTCTGATCCCCTCTTCCCATATGATCAAAATTCGAGCTGATGGAGCCCTTCCTAGAAAAGTTATGATTTTCAAGATAAAATGCCAAAAAATCAGTTTGTTAAGAAAATTGATTTTTTGACATTTTCTTCAAAAAATCATAACTTTTGAAGCGACAGCTCGATCAACGCAAATCTTGCTCATCTGGAAAGAGGAGACCAAAATGTCTAGGATACTGGCAATTTTGGATTTTTAGGCACAGTTTTGGATTTTTCAACGGGCTTGCTTAAAAATTCCGAACTTGAAGTGATTTCCTTTTCCTAATTTTATCTCTGCACTCAAAGCATAGTAGATAGCATCCAAGGTAACATTAAAAGCGCATAAATTGCTCTTTTCAACATGGTTTTATTCATGCAGAAATATTCTATTAGAAAGAAGTTATGATTTTGTGAAAATGGTGGGACAAAACTTTCGGATCAACCTAATAAAAGCTGAAAAAAATGTGGAAAAGGCCACAGCACTGTAATTCTTTTTGAACTCAAAATCGCGTTTACATGCCTGCAGTGGCAGTTTACATATTCCACGTAGAGTTCAGTGGATCTTATTGTCGGTATAGTGGTGCCTTTGCGGTGACAACGGCATTTGCGCGAAAACAAACGTCGAACTTGTTGAGTGCCTACGATTCGCTTGTGATCTGTTTGCAAAAATGGCCACAGATGCACTTTGCTATTTTTATCGCGCAAATAATGTCGACAATGTAATAACACTATATTAGCCGTCGAACTAACTAGGTTTATGCTAATCAAAACCACACCAATTTATCCTTTCCTATCTCTCCCCTCCCCCGCTTCCACCTCATTCCATTCTCGACTCTGAGAACTTCGTTACGCTTGAAATGGAGATTTTTCGTCCTAACTTTGTTCTCAAATATAGCCCTTCGCTGCAACTTTCAAAAGCATTTTGCACTTGTCAGCATCTCACATATGATACATGCTCGCTCTTTCTATCACTTCCCCATGTGTCTCTTGAGAGAATATTCTTCTTTACACTTCCAATAGGAACCGCATGAAACATCTTGAAGAATGTCCTTAGCAGAGCTCTATGTCTTCTTCTAGAAAGTTTTTATTCTTCACGCGAGACTTCTTCTAACTTCAAGTTCATTAAATTTTCTCGCTTCAGATTGCGTGCAAAAGATAAGAAATAATTGATGGAAGAAGTCTGGACTGAGAAAGTCAAGGAGCCCTTACCTTTGTCTCAAGTTGTTTATCTTGAACATCTTGAATCAGTCAGCATTCGAGCTGGAATTTAGAATTTAAATCTTTTCCACGACAGTCTTCCCGCACCTGCCACACTTTATTTTTCACAAATACCCCACTATGAAACAATAGAGTCATGGGATCTATAAAAACGTTGATAATCTCTCTGCAAATTGCGAAAGTGAGATAAATTTCGCACGCGTTTTCAGAAACCTGATAAAATGTGGTTTTCTAGCAGATAGAGTTTTTGTGCAAAAAAATGCTTTGGAACCTCAATAAAACATATGATCAGGCTTCTCATTCGATACAAATAGTTGTACTGCAAACTCTTCGGCGGAAATAGTTCCAAAGCACAGTATTTTGTAAATTTTCACTCTTCACATATAAAAAAGTAATAAGTCCGTTTTCTTTTTTTTCGATTTCGTTATAATCTGCGGCAGCCTGCTGAGGGAAGTAAATACGGCTTTTTACTGAAAGATCTTGACCTGCTCCATCAATATCTACTTTATCCTGCTGTGTCAAACAATTTTGTAGTAATCATGGACAAGAAAATGAACATTTTCGACAGTTTCTTAACTGCATTTCTGCGCTTTTATTTAGTAATTTTTATCTAAAAAACATGACCAAAACACAAAAACAGCCTACACATATGTAGTAATTACCATTATTTACGACCTGCTCTTCCTTCCTTTGAACAACTGTTCAAAGCCATTCTTCAAAAATTTTAAGCACAGCTTTTTACGTCGACTTCGCTCGTCTAACTCACTCATATAGTGCGTTGAGCGAGCCTCCCTCCTATCCAAATCTGTAAATCTAAGCTCTTTGATGTTTGATTCAACATTTCCAGTAACTCCGATTGTTTGTGGATTCCTTATACAAGTGTAATGATGGTAACCGATTAGCCGAGCGGGCGTAAAATGCGAGACGTGACTTTAATTTTCCAAAACGAAATTCCGAAATTCCTTATTTTATGCAAGTACTAGCTGGCTTACCCGGCTCCGCCGTATCCGGACCAAACTTGGCGCACATACACTCCGGGCCCCGGCGGGTGTCACAGTCCACTTTTCGTTATCGATCGATGTCGATTTTACCGAATTTTTATCGATTTTTTTTGCAGAGTTCACCTACAGGGCTAGGAGTTGGCACAGGGGGGGAAGTGAGCATGGGGATTCCGAATACAATATTAGTTTTCAGAATTATCGATTACTTTTATTGATTTTATCGATTTTTTGTAAATTTTGACATGCGAGGCTGGGATTTTGCACAGGGGGGTAATCGAGCATGCTGATTACGAACACAATATTAGTTTTCAGGATCGTCCATTACTTTTATCGATTTTATCGATTTTTTTGTAAAGTTTGACCTGCGGGGCTGGGAGTTTGCACAGGGGGTAATCGAGCATGCAGATTACGAATACAATATTAGTTTTCAAGATCGTCCATTACTTTTATCGATTTTATCGATTTTTTGAAAATTTGAGCTAGGGGGCTGGAATTTGGCACAGGGGTGTAATCGAGCATGCTGATCACCCCCCTTGGGGATGATCAGCATGCTCGATTACCCCCCTGTGCCAACTCCCAGCCCCGTAGCTCAAACTTTGCAAAAAAATCGATAAAATCGATAAAAGTAATCGATAATCCTGAAAACCAATATTGTATTCGGAATACCCATGCTCGATTACCCCCCTGTGCCAACTCCCAGCCCCGTAGCTCAAACTTTGCAAAAAAAAATCGATAAAATCGATAAAAGTAATCGATAATCCTGAAAACCAATATTGTATTCGGAATCCCCATGCTCGATTACCCCCCTTTGCCAACTCCCAGCCCCGTAGGTGAACTCAGCAAAAAAATCGATAAAAATCGATAAAATCGATATCGATCGATGACGAAAAGTAGCCTATGACACGCGCCGGGGCCCGAAGTGTATGTGTGCCAAGTTTGGTCCGGATCGGTTCAGAAATGGAATTTTCTATTCGGAACATACGTACACATAGACATACAGACAGACAGACAGACAGACATACAGACAGACAAACAGACATTCAGCTTTATATATAAGATTAGGTTGTCCGGAAATTAATGCAGGTTTTGAATTCCAACAGCAATAAGTCATACACTTCTCATTTCTAAGTAGATTGCAAAACACCAATCGATAGCACAAAGCAACCTCTACAAGATGACAAATGCTTTAGCAACAGCTCTGATCCACCACGAGTTTCGATCCAAAAACTAGAAAGATTCAACTGCTCGAAAAATTAAGAAAAATCGTAACTTACAAGGAGAGGATACTTGGTCGAAGTGGCGTTTCATTATGAAATGTATGCTGTCTTATAGAGCTTAGGACGCTGATTCCGAATCTGCTTTCCATATCTGCAAAGCGCTTCTTGGAGAGAACTTATGGGAATTTCTTGGAGCAAAAATTCGAACGCGCGGCTACCATAAAATCATTCAAAGAGCAGTTTGTGAGCTCGAATGGGGCTATGATCATTACCGGGGCATTTTATGCGATACTACCTTCAATCCGATAAACTCTTGTCAGTCATTACTCCTTTTAAGCACCGGAAAGATCTCAGCATTTGTTTTTCCTCAGCCAAACCACTAAATTTTTACCAATAAAAATTCCCAGAACTCCCCTCCTGGAAGTGCTTTGCAGATAAGGAAAGCAGATTTGGAATCAGCGTTCCATGCTCTATAAGACAGTATACATTTCATATGGGAAACTCACTTCGACCAATTATCCTTTAGTTCATAAAAATCCTACAAAAGTCCTAACTTGCTCACGTAAACACAATCCACATAGAGCATCTATATACGCTGTTGCCGCATTTTTTTCTCCGTTAGAAATCAAGAAAACGGAAATTTTCGTGCAATTTGCCAAATTTTGCCAAAGTGGTGCTATGCCGTTCCCACACAAGTAGTTGTATACTACAAACCTGCAGTAGTACAAACGTGAATTTCCAGCTCTCTACAAGCTTCAGTTCTCGAGAAATACCGAATACAGTTTTCCTTAGTCATGTGGTCCAAGCTAAAAATCAAATTTCTCGAGAACTAAAGCTTATAGGGAGCTGAAAATTTACGTTCGTACTACTACAGGTTTGTAGTATACAACTACTTATGTGGGAACGGCACAGCACCACTCTGGCAAATGCACGAAAATTTCCGTTTTTTTGATCTCCAACGAGAAAAAAAATACGCCAACGGCGTATATAGATGCCCTATGTGGATTGTGTTTACGTGAGCAAGTTAGAAGTTTTGTAGGATTTTTATGAACTAAGTTACGATTTTTCTTAACCTGTCGGGTAGATGAATCTTTTTGATTTTTGGCTCGAAACTCGTGGTGGATCAGAGTTTTTGGATCAGCTGTTGCTAAAGCAATTGTCATCTTGTAGAGGTTGCTTTGTGATATTGAATGGTGTTTTGCAACCTACTTAAAAATGAGAAGTGTATGACTTATTGCTGTTGGAATTCAAAACCTGCATCAATTTCCGGACAACCTAATATTTCCGGGAGACGTTCAAGGGTTGCGATTTCTCCAGAAGTCACCAATACAACACTTCAGTTTGAAGCTGTACTAATGTTCGAAAATATCAGACAAAGTGCTAAGATTACTAACTATCTGAAGTTACCATTTGTTAAGTTTGACGGCTTTTGGTGAAAAATCGATCGAATTCACGAAAAGGCGATTAGTTGCATTTTCGCGTTTTTGACTCAAATATTCATTTTCGAATCTATTTCAGGATGTAAGGTTAGACAATTTTGGCAACGATCTTGCATAACCCCTCAAAAATTCAAAATTTTTTTAGAAAGTCATTAAACGCCAAAAATGCGCTAATTGGTGTCCTTCCGGCAGTAGAAATCGCGCCTCTTGACATACACACCGATCATTTTCAAAGATACTGCAAGAGGTTTTCGTAACATTTTGATCGCTGTGACAGAGGAAGTAAAATAACGTTAAAATAAGCTTTCTGACGATTATATCGCGTTATCAAAGGTGGTGAAACCAACATATTCAATTTGAGCAGAATCCTTCGAGAAAGAAAAACCGCTATATTCCGGGAAAACTCGTCATAAGCGCAAAAACTCATTACCACCTTACCTGTCAAAAGAAGGTCTAAGCGCATATAATTCTTCTCAGCATCATTATGGTCTTGCGATATTTGATGTCATGTCACGTCATTTTGTATTTCCGAAATTTTTTCCTGCTTATAAATGTGTATTCTCAGATGTCAGCCGTTGAACACGAACACCAAGGATATATATGGGCACACCGTCCATCATATAGAAATTTGAGGCCTTATGAGGTAATTTTCCTTATAAAGTTTTTAACTACGCAAATGCAAAGTATTTTTGTCGAAACATATCAGTTTTCCCAATTCTGCATGCGATCGCAAAAAGAAATCTTCATTCACATTTATGGCTCAATTATAGGCAATTCAGTCTTGTGTTGGCTATGACTTCCGCTCTTCAGCTTTTCATAGATTTCCCATCCGCTCCTCTTATAAAAATTTCGCCATTTTTCCCACGATTATTCAGTCGATGCAATAAAAAACAAACGGAAGTAAATATAGAAGATTAAATAAGACGATAAAACCTCTGAAACCTGATACTCAGAAAACTTCAAATTCGTTAATAATTGCTACCGTTTCCATATTTCTTGGCACACTGATTTAACATCAGTTCTTAAATGCATCAATTAACAATGCAACAAATGTGTTGCGTCAGCAGCTTTTTTAGTGACTCCGTAGAAAGCATCACATCATCTTACCAGCCTTTACCCTAGAGGCCTCTGGAAGAATCATCGCGAAAGCCAACTTGTAACGTTTTCTTCCTCCTATATCAAAATGATTTTGAGCATCTACTGACACAAAAATCGTCTGAATGGGATTGGTAGGTTTGAGGATTTGATTAGATTTTTTGGGCTCTGATTATCTGAAACATAGTCACACTGATCTATTCTTAAGGTCTTGTTTGAAAAAATTTACAAAACTGCTCATAAAGAAGGTTTTTATTCCAATTCCTTGAATATGCTCATGTTCCGAAAAAGTTACAACATTGTGCTAGTCTTAAACACGAACAAAATCATTCAAACCGTCATTTAGAGTCCAGTCTCAAACAGACTAGCAAATTAGAAAGGTAGGAATCTGCCTTACAGACATTGCAGTGCTATGAAATTGCAAATATATCAGCATAAAGTAACTGTGGAAATGTGAACCATGAATTTTCAATTTCAAAAGCGTATTACAAAGCCAGTATTGCGACGGGTTTCGATAATGATCCCTTACTCTTCCTGGGATTTGCAAGGAGTAAATCAAATCTTCGCAAAAAGAAGGCAGCCATGACGGGATGCCCCACATACGACTCGTAATCCCCTCTTTTTCATGACTGTACAACTTCGATCAGAGCACATTAAACATGTATTTGTTCTTGAAAAACATAAGATTCGGCTGTCATAACCTTCAATGCCTTCCCATCGAGTGAATATGGTTGAAAACCTATGTATTGCCAACGAATTCTGTGGTGGTCCTTCGACTGGAATGTTCTTCACCACTGTTTCTAATCCCATCCATTTAGTATTTGTCTGGAGAAGCGGACACGCTTTGTTTGTTGCCGTCATCGATGCGAGTTCTTTGCGCAGTCCTCTGCGCTTTGCTCATCTGCTCCTTATCTGCGGCTGTATTTAACAGTCTTCATGGAAACGCACAAGGATCAGCCAGTTACTGCAAGCGACCAGAAGAACCATTCAGGCCAGAAGTTTTGTAAGTTCGTTTTCATAAGAAGTTGCTCGCACAGGATATATAACATTTTGTTGAGACTGCCTGTTCCAGATGCCCTCAAGAATCGATGTTCTTCTACTATACCTGCTGTGCATCACGGACAGATGCTGGCAAAGTGGTGTGCTGCGATCAGATTCGCATTTGGTTACTGTAAGTTTACTCTATATGACGACACGAACGTCTTTGGAATTTTCTTATGTCTCGCAAAGAACTTTTTAATTGTCTCACCTTCTTTCTTTTTGTTATATTCATATTCATAAATCAGCTGAAATATCTTAGCTAAATTCCGTGTAGCAGATGGAACAGAGACTTCTTACTTGATTTTTCTGTCTTCTTATTTGCTTATTTATGTTTTGCGCTCGACTAACATTGTGGAGGTTCGGTGCGTTCAGCACTTTTCCGCTAATGTTCGCTGCAGGTTTACCTCAGATTCCTGAACACGTAGGTCTTGCGCAACCTTCAAGATTAGTATCGCCTTAGCCGCTGCAGCCGATACACTTGTCCTTTCTACAGAATACTGGCAGACTGAACTACGAATAGAACTAGAAGTTATATTGTATACAGTTATCCCCTTTACACTACTGTAAGCGATATACTGAACTCTACCGTACAAAATACAAAACAGGCGGCCGCATTGCCCCATGCTGTCAATGGCCTAACTCATCCAAATTTCATTTCTCGTAAGTTTGCCAAATACGCCACCATCCGCAGACCCTGAGCCCAAAGTCCGATTCTCTGCTCTTATGAACTCTATGTACTGACATAACTAAGAGGTCAGCCCCTCCATCAGTGAACGACTCTCTTCACATCCAAATTCATTATACAGCCTTCTCGATCCCTTGATGGAAGTACATCCAATGCGGAAAACGCGAGGTACAACTAAATGCAGAAAATAATGAATGAAAACGAAAGCAGACAGATTGCCGAGTAAGACGCACAGCTATATATATACAAGCAGCTATATACAGCTATATATATACAAGCCAACACAGCCGTTGTGTTGGCTGACGATCGCGGCAACACGCGCCTTGGCTACCTAATCGTCGCCAATTATTGCAGCAACTATGCTCGCGATCTATGCATTTTGGAGCTCGTGTATTGCTAGCCGCGGGAACAACTCGTTCAATGTGCTCGCGTAGATCTCTTCATCTCTTTATTTTCATACACTGGCACATCATGTGCTTCCTCAACAAGCTTAATAGTGGCTTCAGTCTTACAATTTTGATTTCATGGCGAAGAGAGCGCAATCATATCGAAGAATGACTTATAAAGCATTGAAAATTGCCTTCACAATAACAGCGAACTTAGAGGCGGTCCTCATGACCCCATGACCCCACGCCACTAGGTCTGGAGAAGCGATTGATCAGTTGTGACAGCTGCAGCAGAAAAAAGAGGGTTTCTGAAAATGTTATGGATATTGCTTTTGATTGTTGAAAAGTCCTTCCGAGGCGGTTTCAGGGCAAATCGGCGATCGTTTCTGTCTTTCGGTCTTGTGACTCAAAACCCGAATTTGCAGCTTTCAAGTCGAAGGCAGTGGCTCGGCAAATCTCAACATAGTCAAATTTTCGCTCACCTGAGTTATTCAATACGCTGATTCCGAAAATCCACTTTTGAGAGCTTGAAAATGCCGAAAACGAGCGTTTTTCAATGCCGTTCCCTTTGGAATTGGACGAGTGCTGCCAGGCTGATGACGCCGAATCGTTGCAGGACCCAATGGTAATAGCACTGCGGCGGGGAGGGCAAGCGTTAGGCGACAAAACGTGCAAAACGCAAGCAACGTAAATCCAGTAACTCAAAACTATGCACCATTTTTTCATTGGCGTCGGGTAATGTATCGGCCCCAACCCCCACCCCCCTGTTTTTGGCGGAAGAGACGTTTTGCACGGGGAGTTCTTTGGGGTCCAAAAAATTGGGTTTGTCGCCTAACGCCCTACACCCCGGCGGCGGGCAGCCTCCAGTGGTGAGAAGGAAATTGCCAACTCGTCCAGATGCGTGTAAGAATGGCCTGCGCGTATAAGCTTGAGAGCAATTTTCTCAGCAAGGAAGGCATGCTGTGCAACCGGGATTGCACTGTTTTCATACTTGGGCAATAAGGAGTTTACCGCGTTAAAGTTTTGAGTTGTTGAGTTTTGCCGAGCCACTGCCTTTAACAACGAGACTTCAAAAAGCCAAGGCAGATTTGTAAGCGCCTCTTTCTAGTAACAAGACGCAATGCTTCTTGTGGGCAGGTGGAGGTTCGGAAGGCAAAAATCTTTAGAGCAATTCCTCGTTTTCTGGTTCTTATCGTAGCTTCACTTTCTGGTGTTGGTTTTGATTAGGATTCTGCAGCATATGTCATAAAAACTGAGATTTCCCACTCCTGGATTTTTCTCTATAAAGCATCATTTCATCTTGCATGCGGTCTCTATGTTTGAGTCGAGAGTGCTCCAGTCAAATCATTACCATACCAAGCACAAACGATTTCCTTTGGTTTCGTATTTTTTGCTAATGTCGTGGCCTAAAGAGGAAAATGGAAAATCATGAGCGATGACTTGTCTCAGCGAAGCTTTAAATCACATTGGTGTTGATGTAAACCATAGCACACTAATTTTTCCTAACTACCGCACGTGACCACATAATGGGACAGGACTCAAACATCATTAAAATTGGTAACTATGTACTCATGGAACAAAATCACCCCGAAGCTTTTAACGCGCTGAATCTAAGAATGAATCGGGCTTCTAAGGCCCGTATGCACTAACGTTTCTGCGGCGAGGGGAGCGGCGTCCCCCGTTATGAAGGGACCGCGTGCGGACGCCGCTGCGGCTTTTTCATCATTGGGGACGCCGCTCCCCTCGCCGCAGGGATGTTAGTGCATGCGGCCCTAAGAGAAGTCTGTCGTAGAGCTAAATACTAGTACAACAGATGAGACACTTTGTCGCTTTGTCAGATTGAATCGTACGACTGCACGACTTCCTCAACGGAATTCGCCACCGCTTCTTAGAGGGTGTCAAATCGGCAGTCTACGCGCTGAACTCTGTCCACCTGCTATAAGTACTTTCGCACAAAACACGTTTTATTGCATGTGCTATCTTGTGAGAGGTCGTTTTCAACTTCCGTCGTCAAGACAGTCGATAGAATAGCGCAGCCTCAATTCAAACGAAGCTCAACATCAACGCTAAAGAGGCGGTTTGCCTCCAGCACACGAGTTGATATGAAGTGCGCATGTGCTTGACTCAGATACAGTCTGCCCCAATCCCAATCAGGCCAAAATTGGTGACGGGAGTCCTCTTCGCAAGAGTTTTGCTTCACGCCTGCGGTCTGCTTGCCTGCCCTCCCTGCAGTCTTCGCTCTCTCCGACACGGCGCATACGTAGTGCATATGCAGCGCAAACGCTGGCCCTGCGTGCGCGCAAATTTAAGCAGACGGTTTGCCTGATCCCGATGTGAGCAGGCTATAGGCATGGTGCTGCGGGGTTCGATCCCGCTGACCTCTTGTAAGATATTGATCGGTTGTCTCTATCCGCATGTGAGCTGTAGACTTTTCGCGGTAGATAAATGGAGGAGACTTGAGTGTTGGCGTCATTTTTTGATGCGGTGATCCATCGACCGGCTTCTCTACAAGCAACCTCGGGCACTATGCTAGCTGGTACTGAGTTTATGAGCCGATGGTGCCGAAAATGTGATGCGAGCTCAACACGACAACCAGTAAATGGCCAATTTTGTTGAGTGAGTGTTGTTGAGGTCAAGCTGGCTCGCCGTAAGTTTGACTAAGGGTTTTCTTCAGCTGAACTCGGCAGGGATAGCACGGCGTTACTATAGGCAGTAGTATCATTTTTTGGGAGTTAAATAAACTAGAGGAGCACATTGCCACATATTGTTCAGAAAGATATCTGATTAATGATAATTAAGTGTAGTACAGCAAATATTTTATCATCAGCCTACCATTTTATGATTTAAGTGGTTGAATAGGACAATAAAAACACCTTAAGCTTGCATTTATCAGGCTTGCGTGAAGCAAAACGTTTACGACTTCAAGAAGCTCAGTCATTAATTAAGAGCTTTGCAGGATCGCCATTGTTTGTGTCTCGGCATCGTGCATTCTCGCGTTATTCTACTCCATCTACCATTACTGCTGTATTTGCGACAAAGAAAGTCACATAATGAATGCCACTGCTCTGTGATTATGAGGGAGCATTATGGGAAAGCAGTGTTTGTTTGCTCAAGCCCCAACCATTATTTGTATGAGAGGTAAAAGGGCAAGCAAGTGATGTTTCTCTTCTCACACAAAATGTACAGTCTCAATGACTACTAGATTTGAAGGTGTCATGGTACTCGTATTGATTTGTTGCTAAAAACCTCTTTTTCGAGAGATTTTTCTTCTTGCTTTCTTTCATCCCTATGAAAATGAAGCTCACAACAATAGCTCTAGTACTGAGTTTGTGCTTCCCTTTCGAACTCTATTTGGTTGTCTTACGTGTTCAAGCTTTCTGTATATGTTTATTCGAGTTCACAGTCTCGGCTTTCAACTGCGTAAGGATTTTTATGTCCTGTGCATAGCATCTTGTTCTTTTGCTATTCCATACCAAACATGATCAATGATCAAAACTGCTGGAACAAAAAAGGAAGACAAGATTTGAAAAAAGGTAACTCCTGGAGTTCATTAGTTTACTCGTTTTCGCATTCCTACAGTGCAGGCTGTGTTGCCGTCGTAGTCGCCTCTGCTGCTGCGTTAATGAGTTGGTACATTCTTTCGGTGCATCCTTCTCATTTGAGCGTTTATGCCAGAGTAAAAGAGAATGTGCGCTAGGGTGACACCTATATTCCAGCAAATTTGTATGCTTCGATCTTCTCTTCTTTCGTTTTTTACAACTTTGGAGCCAACAGTAACCTACGATTGACTTTGTTTGGTCCAACCTCAAGTTACTCTGCCAAATTTCTTGATTATCGCCGTATCAGAAAGTGCGAACCTAGGTTCAGCATTCTCATTCTAATGCTTATTTTCAACTAAAATCAAACTATTTCCCATCATCCTTGTAATTTGCTGCAGCTATGTTCATAATTATCAAAAAGATCATGTGTTTCTCATAATTATGAAGTTCGCTTTCGTCTAGTCTTTAGAAAATTAATCTCTCGCTCCCATATGGATTAGGTATGTTACGAATCCGTCATGTACAATGCATTTTCTCTCCTTGATTTGTGCCTTATTTCGAAATGTTCTCTTGTGGTGCTTCCTTCAAAAAATAAAAAAATTGACGATTGATTAATCACACGAAAAGATTGAAAGTAGTATGAAGTTTTGGTCAGGTCTATTCTACGACCAAAAGGTGTGTAAAAGCTTCAGGATACTGCAACTCCTCGTAAAGTAAAGCTACTTACATGAATTGCAAAATATGTGCAAATGATTAGTTCACACGTGAATAATAAAGATTTTTAAAATTTTCTTAAACTCCAAGATAGTCTTATGTGAAAATTTTTTTTCAGGCGTGGTAATAGCCACATCTTTTTTTTCAAAATTAGGGGTTATAGGCCAGCAATTTTGGGAAGTATCTTAAAAAAATCGAAGTGCGTGGTTAACGCCACGCACACATTTGAAAATTTCGCCCCTCTTTCCCCCGAACGGAAATCCTGATTATGCCACTGCCTGAGCCCTATTCAAAAAAATACTTATCGCGGTAAAACGTCAAAGTGTAGCAACACTGATATAGCAACCTAATAGCTTCTACTTTTTCGGTATAGCAAGACTGATGTACCAACTCAATAGCTCTTACTTGGTACAAAGCCATAAATTAACTTTAGAGAATTAGAGAATTTATTAGAATTTTCGAACTACACAAGAACTCTTGCGTCAATCTAATATCAATTGACTGTCTGACCTGGAAAGCAAATGCTGAGCAAATAAGAGCTCCGCAGCATATTTTTGTGGAGATCTGACTTCAAAGGTTTTGAAGAATACCAAACCTCGTCTTAAAAATTAATTGGGGTAAAAACTTTTGCATACATCTGGTATTATTTATATCGTAGAGCCTGCTATAAATAGTAACTCTCAAGTCTTAAAATTTCCATTCCACAGGTCTGCCGAGGCAGAAAGTCCTGAGACATTCTAATAAAAATCAAGAAAAGAGCGCTTGCGTTTGATCTCCAACAAAGACGCAGAGATCATCACTAGAGTTGCTACCTTGGACACGCGGCCTGATCTGAAATGATACATGTAAATCAATATTGTATGAGAAAGTGAATTACAGTTGACAGTTGCGCTATATATTGATGATAATGTAGAAGTGAAAGAATAGACATGAGTTAAAGAACATCATCCATGACGGTCGTTTGTAAATAATACCACCTACGCTATAAAAACCCTGAATGATGTCAATAAGCGACTTAAATATAAGAGAAGGAGCGAACGTTGACGAAAATCACTAATTAGCAGAAATCAACCAGTTCAATTTCCACTGCGATAGGCGAGCGTAACGCACTACGAGACAGAATCGCACCAAAATCGGCATGATATTAAAATGATGACTCCACCTGGCACCGATTGTTGCGAGCAACCATGTAATCGGATCTTCTGCTGGAGTCAATGGCGGGTGTCTAAGTTGTGTTACATATTCACTGCCCTCAAGTGATTTGGAGTCCTGCACAGTCGTCATTGCAAATGGCAATGACGCATTGCAAAATCCTTCCAAAATGTGAATATGTTAGCAAGGCGTCAAGCGAGAGGCACTCGCAAATGACAACATCATCAACATTGTCATCGGCAACGCCGAAAGCACTGTTAATACCAGCAACACCTCAACAAAGAGCCCAGGCACAAACATACTGATATCAAAATCAATTTCGTTTTTGGGGCAAACAGCAGAAAGGATACCTGAAACGTGCTAAACGTACTGCACCTGAGCTCCAGATATGCTCAGCTCTTCAGGGTACGTGTCAGCAGTCCAATCCGATTTGCGCGGACTTTCCGCGATGCGACGCTGCGTGAAGTTGGGCAGTTCAAAAGCCACCTACGGATACTCCTGTCACAAAATTACTTGTGGCATCGAGGGTCAGACAAGTTTAAGCGCGGCATAAGCGGCAAAGCGGTCGCCGTTGCTGCGTGACTGAGCCGTAGCCCCTCTTTCAATGTTAATATTTATGGCGAACTGAAATGCTGCCATTGCCGGAGTAAGCACCTAAATTTTGATAAGTTTAGGTATGTCGCGGATCGCGATCAGAGAAACCAGCAGACATTGCTGTAGTGTAGAAATGTGTTTGTGTAGTTTCAATGTTTGTTTATGTATGCTTTACTCATTGCCCTTTTTGGGTAGTGATCATTCTTATTGTGACTTCGCCCCGATGAACCAGTTATTCAACGCTGGTGTTTGGACACGACAGTTTGGACGGCTGAAGCAGGATGATCGGCACTTTAAAGTATACAAAATTCAAAAAACTTACGTGCTCTTTGCCTATGTGTAGCATTTCCCTCTTAAATAATATTTCGGGGCATTTCCTTCGGCTCATAGTGTGCGTTTCACGGATGAATTAGCGCAAGTACAGATTATAAAATCCCAATTTGATATTTATATAAAAAAACCTACCCAAGTTTTTCGGTATCGGATACTTTTATTGTTTGTTCCCTCTTTTGATATGCGTAGAACCTTATGATTTTCGGAGTTGTATTCTGCTAGGTGTTGACGGCCTTCCGTTAGGAAGAACCACCAAAAATCGTAACTTATTTTCGCCCAAAATATCATACTAAATACTGTCCAGTGAAACAATGTTGATTAACAATTACTTACACGTATAGCGGTGATGCCCTTGTTTATGCTGCAGTGGGCCAGCTAAATGCAAGAGGTTTCTCCTTGGGATATCTGAAATAAATCCACAATAAAAATATATATATAAATATATTCATGTTAAACAGAACTTACTTCAGAATATTTTGGGAAAAGTCAAGTAGTACTCTATCAAAAGAACGTTTATGCGGGTTTTCAAGAGTTATTCTTACCCATACGGGTAAGACCTCTTTATTTATCGAATCCTGGAATGCTTCCTGATAATATACGCAAATAAAACAAATTAACTGAATGTACACCATATCCTAGATATTCGCGAAGAAAAAGGTAAAATTTTTATATTAAAATAAATGTTACAGCCATTGTTATTCATTGTTTAGACAAAATGACATTTGAAGTTTCTAATACCTAAAAAATAAAAATTTCACTGTTTATCATACTGTAGCAGATATGATACACAGGGTTATTTCCGCTTTAGGACCTATTTTACAAATCATGATTTATATTGAGTAAGTTAAACTAAAGTAATAAATTTCAAATCTGGAACTACAAGGATTTTCAATACATAAATTTCACACACAACATTAGTCGCCTACACTTACTCATACATCTTTACAAACACTAATCTATACATCATACACATACTCACACATATTTAAAATATACGTTTAATACAAATATACATCCTTATGTATGATCCATATACACGAACGCATATACACACATAAGTCCACATCATGCATAAATGCACGAAGCCACATGCATACATACATATAGTATTTAAGATCAATTTGATGAGGATAAGAAAAAGAAAAGGAGAAAGGAGGAAATGTAGAAAAACTATGCACATGATTGAAGCACATATTTCATTTATCCCTTCCTCGCGATTAGCTACAAAATGTAGCATCACTTTACCTCTACCCCCACTTCCCAACTCAAACCTTTTCTTTTTTCCACACCCTTATTCTTCCTTTTAACCTTTACTCACGCATTTACATACTCCTTAGAAGAAGGCCTGCCCTCTTTCAAAAAAAAAAACAACAGGGACTCTTTTGATGGGGTAAACCAGTGGTGAGCCGGCGGAAAATGGTAGCTTCCACGCCTTCAAAAGTGTCAATTCTATGCTTTCCATACACTTATAGAATCAAAGATTTAGCCAGAACCCAGGTAGCAGCCCTACCGAATACGCCATTCCTCTGCGTATGGATTGGACCCTCCATGGGCTTAAATCTCAGGTCAGCAAAAACTTCACAAGTTCACATAAGTAATTTTAGTAAAAGTAATCATTAAATACAAACTTTGAAAAATGCAGGAATACAACATTAAAAGACTTCTGTGTTAAAAATTTCGGCAACGAACTAACATTCAATGTTTGTTTCGATAAGTGTGAATATTGTAAAATTATAAAC